TTCTGTAACTAATCCGTCACTACTGACGTTGTTGTCCCGAACGCGGATATCCGCTGAGGCAGAGGCTGATATGGAGTCGTTGGGAAGAAGAAACCATGAAGGTCGTCGATTTGTTGATGTTGTTAGCTTGAAGCAGATTATTTCGATGAGGGATGAGCAAGGCGTTAGTGAAGATATGATTGAGAAGCAGTTTGGCTTGAAGAAGGGGGTTTTGGGGGCGTTAGGCCCAAAGGGAGTGGTCGCAGATGTTCGATGATTCCCAAATTTCTGGTCAGAGGAGCAGACACGATGGCAATGTACGATATAAACAATTTACGAAAAAGCATATACATGAACCATAAACCATGGACTCTCATTTGTTTTATATGTAAAAGATAAGGCATAGACAGACGAGCTAATAACAATGTAATCAATATCATCCAACTGGGGCAACTCGTCGCTTGCCCAATTATTCAAGTCGTGTCCTGGTGGGTCCAAATACCATCAACGGCCTTTGCCTCCCTTATCACTCTTCGGGGGGGGGGGGGGTAATTGGCTGTAGCATGGGTTAGGGTAGTGCTATCGGTTTAAAGGAGGGGAACATGAATAGACTAAGGATAAAGAAGAGGTGTGGAAAGGCTGTTAATTAAACGGAGAGAACAAGAATAACCCGAATAATAGTAAGGGCGGTGGGATATGAAGGGGAGAGGTGGCCAAACAGAATTCCTCCCACATGCCAGCTATGGACAACATGTTACATATAGAACATGGTATCGGCAAGTCTGGCATGGGGCTGGAGTTGTTTGGCGGTGGGAAGTGAAGCGCCTGAGGTTCCAGAAGTTTGACTAGCGTTATCATCATAGCAATGGTTGAGATAAGCTCTTGCTCTCTCGCATACGAGATCGGCATAGTATGCTGGGGGACAGATGCTGACCGCCTTGGTAGCACGAGCAAAGAGGTAGCACATGTTGTGCGTAAGGTCCTCAAGCTCGTCAGCGACAGTAGGGTATGCAGGATTCTGACGACGACAGAAAATCTCGTCCACAACCACATAGTAATGGGCAGGGCGAGCAGTTCCTTGAAGCGCAGTATGAGCTTGCAGGAAAAAGTCCCAGTTACGAGTTTCGGTGACACCACGATCGACGACAGTACCGCAGCGAGCGTTATCTTTTTCAGAATCTTCAGCTTTGGTAGGATAGAATCGAGTGTTGTGCCGTTTCCCTACAATGATGATGGTCATCCTAGGAAGCTTTGGCACTGGTGAGCCGCTGTATAGGTCTTTGCAAGCCTGGACCAAGCGTGGATACTCTTCCTCAAGAACCTTGCCATACTGTCCCTCCGACACTCCATCACGGTAGATGATGATGTTTTCAGGGTATGCCTTGTTCTTAGAATACCAAAGACGAAGACGGCTCTTGAGCATGTCAGTGAGATCATCCACCATCTCTTGTTTGGCTTCATGTTGCAACCTCAGGACTGCTGGCCATTGGCCTAAGTATTTATCAACGCTGGCAACCATACCAGCCACACTAGGCGCTGTGACAGATGAACCCGGCGCAGGGTGTGTGACATCAATTCCAACCACCATAGTTTTCCCAGCCGCAATGATGCCTAGTTTTGTATCATCCACAACATGGTTGATACCTCCAAGTTTCAAATTGAACTTCATGGCAACATTGGCATGATATTGGACGTTATACTGTTTGTCGAACTTCGACCTAATGACACAGATGGTTTGGATGCCGTGCATAACTTCACCATTAAGCTTAATTCGCTTGTACACGGTTGGGTTATCGTTTGGCAAAATCATTAGGAGCAGTTTGACATTCCTCACGGAGTTGCTCGAAACGATTCTTTGGAACAGTCCGTCAACTTGGTTTTCGAGGGGCATTCTGCCTCTAAAATCCAAGTCATAAGGAAGGCCCCTATGGTCATTGAGCGCTCTCAACGGAGCTGCCAACGTTAAACCCTGTGCCTTCGCAGTAGACATGAATGCTTGGACTGCAGGCCATGGGTCGCTGGCGTTAGACCGGTCTTGGAGTACTACATACGCCCATTCGTTCAAAGGAGCCCCTGGAGTCCTAAACACTAGATTGTTAAGGTTCCAGCTGCCAGAGCGAATAGAAGCTACTCCCTGACCCTTATAACGAACAGAAGGGTTAGATAAAACACGGCCTGGAACTGTAATAAGCTTGGGGATGATGGAAAACTGCATCCGGGCCTAAAATGAATGGTTAGTTTTACCATGTAAGTACGGTATACTTAGAATTTTCAAAAATAAAGGGTAGCTCACCATAGCTTGGGGTTGACTAGTTGCTCCGATAATCTCCGCTCCGCCGGTAACAATGGTCTCGGCATTCTCCTTCGGCCGTCTAACAGCAAATGAAATCATCCTCTGGGTTTGAGCAGGACTAAGTTTTGACTTGATCGCCTGGCCAGGCTCAACTATGCAAACCTCAGCAGGAAGGTAGCTTGGGTTGGTAGCTGTCCCGACATTTATAACAGGAGAACGCTTATCCATTTGGATACCATAGCCTAGTGATAAATAATGATTAGAGTCGGTCAATAGTGAAAGAGCAAGAAAATTAAAGACGAAAGAAAAAAGTACGTACGCTGCTTGAAGTATTCAAAAACAGAGATATAGCCCACCATAGGCTTTGATGCCTTCCCCTTCCCCTTGGCGGTGTCTGTGCCATCTTTAGGAGTGTCATCAATATAGAAGTGAACGTTATCAGGCCCGGCCCCAGTGTTGTCGACTTTGGGGGGGTGTTCGCAAGTTTTGCCATCTCTAGGGGTGGCAAGCCCAAGAATAGACTTTGTTCGATAGCACTTCACGCCATTCTTGATCTTTGGCGGAAGATGGGTGACGGTGATTTTAACACCCTTCAGCAAACCGCTCATTTGCTTCAGCCCGAACAAGTTATTTGTGCTTGTCATTAGGTTAACTAATGGCCCGTCGTAGAAGCAGGTGGTATGCTTGACTTGAACATTGACTAGGAGACGGGATGTCGCGGATCGAACGCTGACGAAATACCCTCGCAAGGCGTTGAGTCCCCCTTGGAGATCACAAATGTCCTGGGTTTTGGTCTTGAAGTGTTTGTTGATGCCGACATTAAAGGTGTTACGAGCTGCTTTCGGAAAGTGGCCAATGATGATGTTCAGGGCCTGAAGGTATTCATCCTTACTTTGACCGAATGCATCGGCTCCGGAAGATGCGAGGAAATTTGTGAGCTGGTCCAAACTCAGCGGGGGAATCTCAATGATCCGAAGCTTGTAGGTGAACGCATTGGGCTGGGCAACTTCATCCAAGTCATCTCGGTAGACCACCTCAAGCGACTCGGACGCAAGGTCCAAGGACACGGTAGATACCAAGGTAGCTTTGAAATCCGTGGCAATTTTACCCCTGAAGTCGGGAAAATGTTCCTCAAGGAGCAATTCAAAGATGCGTTTCAGCTTCTTGTAGCCAGGTGCAGCTCTGCCTTCGACACCGACCTCAACCTTGTAACGGAACAAAGTGATGTCCTTTTTGGCAACCAGGGGGAAATAGTTTGCCCACAGTACCACAGGAGTACCACGGGTACCATAGGCGGGCCTCAATGGGAAGGCCTGAGAGATCTTGAGACTGTCAAGGTTCAAGCCTCTGCGTTCTTTGATGTACTCATCCTCGGCCTTCTGGACATCAGGGTCTGGCGGTGGAACTGGACGGCCTTCACTATATACCAGATAAACGGATTAGCCCCAAAAAAAATATGCCAATGACTTGCGGTTATTGTGGCCAATCCGCAGGGGAAGTCGAAAGAGAAGAGGGAAATATCCCAAAAAAAAAAAAAAGGAGAAAATTACCCATAGATGGATGGCGGGCCTCCGCGGCCACGACCTCCTCCACCACGGCCTCCTCTTCCCCCTGAAAACCCACGTCCACGGCCACCATCGTAGGAGTCTCCTCCACCGCGTCCACCGCCGCCACGGCCTCTTCCACCTCCGCGGTCACCACGATCTCCGCCACCACGACCACGACCACCACGGTAACCACGATCAGCCATGGTGTTAAAATCAGATGCCTGGCTCAAGAAAAAGATCCAGTTAAATAATACGGACTATAAAAAGTCCAGAAATGACCGATCAGAGCCGGTTAATCAATGGCTATCACTGCAGTGTTTTGATATAGCAGTCAACGGCCACTCATAGAGCTCTGGGATGAGGGCTAGGTTAAAACTGGACGAGATAAATAGATGGCAAGGAAAAACTGTAGGGATAGCTGGGGATCAATCAGAGAGAAGAAGGGGAGAAGAGCAGAAGAGGCGTGTTTTTATGCTGAAACAGCAGACGGCAGAGAGAAAGAAGGGCAGGTTTCACCCTGCTTGGATAACTATATTGTCTGCACTCTCCTCTTTGAACTCTGAGGAGGCTTTTTCTCTCTCTCTTTCTCTTTCTCTTGGTTTCTCTCTGTAAGTCTGTATATGTGGGAAGTTTTCTACTTTCCAACAAGAAGAAGAAGAAGAAGAGGAAGATGGAAGTTTCCCACTTATGTTGTTTTTTTTCTGCCCGCGTTGGGCGGTGGGAAGATCCTTAGGTAAGCATGACGATGTTTTTTTCTTTTTCTCTTCTCTTTTTCTTTTTTTCTGCTTTATTTCGTTCATGTTGGATGGTTACAGAGTGTTACATGTTTTATTTATTTTTTATAGAGGAGAAGCTACGGGGTCAGCTCTGGCTCAAGGTAGAGTGCAGCGAACCTTGGAAGCCGATTAACCTTGAAAGAGGCTCATTATCTAATTGTTTAGCTATACATGGAGTTAGCTACCCCAGTTTTAACTGCTTTAGAGTACCCAGTGTGTATTTAGCCGCGGGTCACACCAAAGAGGCTCTCTGGCCGTGCTACGGAAACAGAAGAGAAGCGGAAGCGGAAGAAGGCCATTAAAAGGGATCCGGAATATTACCATGGATGTCTTAGCAGGCGACATCATCTTCACATCTTCAACAAAGAGGGGGGCTTGGGCAGAGGTAAGACAGAGCTGTCTGTGGCCGACAACAACAGCGAACCTGCATTGTGTCATCTTGGTAAACTATCGTGAGCCAGCCTTCAAAGAGGGGATGTAAACTGTTCTGTATCAGACTGACAACGAGCTGGTCGCAAGCTACAGTCCGGACATGGCTCCTTTATTCTGGGTAGAGACTCCATCCTTGAGCGTTGGTGGAAAAACATCGAGATAGTCTCGTTACGTATTTTAAGGCGTAGCTCTGCTGCAGCTGTATGCAGCACTGTAATCTATCTATGAAGACTTTGCCTGTGACGAGTACATCAGGTCACAAAAATCAAGCAGAATCAACCTTCTTGGCAGCCAACTCATCCAGCACGCCTCCCCTGCCCTGGAATCTCATCCACCTCTCCAAGTTGAACTCTCCCTCCGTCAGATCGGCCCTATTACCTGCAAACACGTAGATGGTGGCCTGGTCAGTGGCCGGCTGCCGCCCATCACTGTAGTACGCTGTCGTGCTCCCAGTCGTATAGTTTTTCGTCTCGTACCGGGCCAGCTCGCGTGCATGCTCGACGGTCTCGACGTTAAACACCGCCCCTTCAATAACAGCCGTATCGTCATGCTTGTCGTCCAGTAGTGCCGGATACGGGCCCCAGAGCTTGAACTTGTAGCCTTTTATATATGCGGGGCGCAGGTCCGGGCGTTTGTCCAGACTAAGCAGCTCGACCAGAAGCGTTGCATCCATCAGCGTTCCGTAGAAGAAGTACAGGCCCGTCGGCGGGTCGTTATCATTCTTGCTGGCAGCGCCAGCTGCAAGCTGAAATCAGAATTGGAATTAGGACCAGAACTATGGGATAAGAAAAGGTTGAAGGGCATCGTCATACCGTTACCTGTTCTGCCATCACGATACCGTTTAAGCAGTCCAAAGTGCATTTGATAAATAGGGACGAACGGAAAGCTTGATGTGTGATATGTTTATTTTGCCAGAAGTTGTTTGGTAGCTGTTTTATTACATATACGGCGCAAGTATTAAGAGGTGGAGCTGGTAGGCATCGGTGAATTAACCGCCGACTATCGAGTTAACTATGTAACTACGGGGTAATACATAGTATAATGTCAACTACAGGAAGTGTTCTACTGTTACTATCCTGCCTTCACTCGCATTCTAGTATCCTCCAGTTGAATTCACTGCACATACAATACATAGGTGTGTTCGCCATCAAGAATGCAGGATGTTCATCAAGTAGTTATATTACTAGCAACCTTCTGGCCTTTCATCACAAGGGATTATTTGATCAGGCTCAATTCTAATGCCGGAATCGGGGCCTAGAATGTTGGAGGCCGTGATCGCCATGCTAGATACATATGCTCTCGCCACCCAACCAGCCAATTAACTATCTATTATGTATGTTTATAAAAGAAAAAGACGGAAACAACCCTGTCGAGCATGCGAGCAAGGAAGAAACAAAACAGAGATAAATCGCTAAAATGAGAGGGGAACAGCGGGGAATAATAGAAAGAAAAGCTGAAGGAAGGGTTTACCACGCTGCATGCCCACCGTCAATCCTCAGGTCGCTTCCTGTCATGAAGCTGCTGGCATCGCTGATTAAGAAGACTGCTGCGCCTCTGTACTCGGATGGCTCACTAAGGCGGCCCAACATGTTCTCGGTTGGCCACTGGGTCTTGCGTTCGGGGTACTCCACGAATAACTGCTCGACCATGGCGGTGACGATGTAGCCTGGAGAGATGGTGTTGACGCGGATGCCGTATTGGCCCCATTCGGATGCAAGGTTGCGAGCAAGCTGTATCACACCGGCCTTGCTGGCATTGTAGGCTGGACAGATAAGTCCCTGTGGTTGCAAACTTGTTAGTATAACTTTGCATGCACATAAAGGCGGAGGTGTGGGGGTGGGGGGAAAGGGGGGATGCTGAAAAATCGTACTCTATTGGCGATTGTCCCACTCATACTGGCAATCATGACAATACTTCCGCGAGTTCCGAAGCGAATCATCTGCTTTGCGACTGCTTGGGCCGTCATGAAGACACCGGTGATGTTGACTTCGAACATGGTGTTTGCATCCTTGGCTGTGTATGCGAGAGCGGGGGTTTCCTGCTGGATGCCAGCTGCAGCAACCAAACCGTCGATATGGCCATGCTTGTCGGCTATTTCCTGCACGATCTTCTCGAGACCCTCAGTATCGCGGACATCGATGCGCCGGTAGTGGAACTCGGTGTTGAGCTCTTTGGTAGCGCGTGTTTGGACACGATGGAAGTCTTCAGCCTGGACAAAGGGTTAGCTAGGAGCTATAATTATAATTTGAGAAGCAGTTGGAAGGCTTACTGGTTCTTCAAGGCGGTCAAGTGCATACACTTTTTTTTTTGAAAGAAAAAGGGATCAACGTTAGTAGATTGATCTATAGAAGTAAAACGGTCAAATGATGGTATATACCTATAGCTCCAGCTTCCAGTAATGCCTCAGCCTGTGTCAACCCAAGGCCTCTCGCCGCCCCAGAGACGAGCACAACTTTATCAGCGAGCTGAAACTCAGGCAAGCGCTCCTTGGTTCCCAGGAGAACAGGTGGCTTTGCAGCTGGTGCTGACGCAGCAAGTATTTCTTTTGAATCGGCCATGTTGCTGAGTTGCATACCTGTCTAAAAAGATTTGGTGCAACAGAAAGGGGCCAGGAAGTAACCACAGAGAGGAGCCTTTTATATCAAAATTTGCGCATGCACACGGGGAATGAATGAGCACCGTCCTTTCCGAGAGGTGAAATGGGAGAGGATGCTTGTGACCTATTTATGCAACCTCTGTCGAGTTTAACGAGGCGGGGTTTGGCCCAGACTTCCTTCGCCATCGTACAAGAAAAAAGGGAGCCATGTAGGCTTCACAGGCGTGACCTGCGACTGGCATTCTGTTTCTCCCTTGAGATGCGGAGTCCCTAGAGCGGTATCGTGCCCTCCGAACACGGCTACCGGCCGGAATCAGGGCAGTCGCCAGCTAACAACGCCTCTGCAATATCTGATGGAGCTAAACGAGTGACTTAACTAGTGAGATGGCTCTCGCCCAGCGGTCAACGGGCCGAAGGCACGAAACAAGGAGAAGGTCTGGTGACGAGAGGCCTGGCCAGGTGTACACACTGCAAGGAACATGACAGGTTGAAAGAAAGATACGTATCTAGCGACTACACAGTACTAGTAAAGGAAGAAAAAAATTAATCAAAAGCCGGGCAATTCCATCTAGAGCTCTTGATAACTAATTAAGCTTGGATTTAAGGTCGGTGGAGACGGTGTGGGGAAGCGCGAGCGGATGGCCGAAAGGGGCAATCCGGGGTGCCGGTTGGTGGACTTGGCCCCGACGGCCTGGATCGTGGGAGGCAAAAAGGGCGCCCACGGGAGAAGAAAAAAGGAGAAGGAATATCAAAAAAGAAGTGCATCAGACGACCTGGCAGATTCTTGCGGCTCCACAGACGTCTGGATGGGAGAATTATTAATAATAGCTACTTTCAACCGTCGGGCTTGCTGATCCGTACTATGTAAAAACCAGGGCCCAAGGGGGATATGTAGTTACAGAGTAGTGTCGGATACTGGACTATCTATCTTCTCTAGCAAGGAAAGGCAGAAGACAAAGAGTGTCCGTCAAGCTGAACTGGAGGTGTGTACCCAAACCGTTGGCCAGGATGGCGTTGCCTCTTCGGCAGCTTTGACCCGACCACCTCCTACTATGTAGTCTAAGCATCCTATACGAGGACCGTTACAGCCGGCTGTCAAACATTTGCATACCCAACCAATCATGCTACCAAATTTCAGTAATCATATGATTATGACTAGTGAATGGATAGTTAGGTCTTAAGCCAAATCTCCGGATAGAGACATGCTATCACTACACAAGGGTTTCTCGATCAAGCATTATCATGACCAAAGGATGATCAAATGAACACGACCTTATGTACATAGTAGTTAAAGGCAGAAGAGTAAGCATATCTTGAAGAGCCTACATAGTAAGTGCCTAATTCGTCGAATTCCTATTTACCGTGCTGGATGTCCACCTTGGTGCCACTAATCTGATAGAGTATATTACTCCTGTTTTTGTACTATGGTAGTAGTTTTAAGACCGGCTTGAAAATTTCTGGGCAATGGAAATCGGCCTCCTCGTGAGTGACGCTCCATGTGCTGGTATAGACTTCGGTCTGGTTGGAAATGTGAGTAAATAAACTAGAACAGTCCTTTTCTTTGTGATCTTGTAGGGTCGAAACACTTACCCTGGCAGGGACCCAATGGCCATCGATAGGAACTCCAGGGGATACTCGAGGAAGAACCTTGTGGACCCGGAGGGTAGATTCGCAGCGCCTCGTTAATAACGGCCTGAAGGTAAGACACTGTGCGAGGCCGCCGAGGTGGTTTCGCCATACGTTCGAAGTTGGTCCCGGATCTCGTCCTGAAACTTGCGATATGCCCGTTTACTCTTTAGCCACCGTCTCTCCACCTGCAATGCTGTATGGGATGTCAACGCAGCCCTCCTTACACCAATGTAGATGCATGGGCAGTCAATACTTTCATGCCCATCTCTCCAGCCTCAACCTTGCCAATGAGATTGCTCATAAAATCTTTCCGGATGGATCGCGCAGCAATAACTACGGGCTTCCGAATGGGTTAATAACTCCAGCAAACGGCCGACCATTGGTGTCACGTACCTGTCTACTTTTCCCTTGTGTACCCTATATGCTTCTCTTCAACCCTATCAGAAAACGGGAGCATCCCCTTGGCTAGCAAAACGAGCGGGAAATGGCGAAGATTGCCTGCCAACGTGATGAAATAGAGATAATCTTCCACAAGTGACGACCAGAAATGAAGATTCCCTGTCGACTTATTAGAAAGATCATCCTCCGTATTCTCCTGTGTATAGACAGGGCATACCATCTTCGATAGAGTGAAAGGATTCGCCGAATGCTGTCGCGTCATAGCTGTCAGTCGAACAACATAATAGATGTAACCAGCTAATAGATGGAATTATAGGACCGCCGACCTAGTTATCCCAAGACATCAAAAGCTACCGTCTCGTACCACTTGGTCATATTTAACCTACTTGTCTTCGTCTCAACATCCTCTATTTGCACCATAAATCTGTCAACGCATTGGCTGACTATGGTTTCTTGGTCGGCTAACGCGCGGGCGGAGAACGCCGCTGATAACGGCTTCTTCACACGACTGTGTCGTTGAGGGTTGCGTTCGCTCCCGATGCACAGTGAGCCGGAACCGGCCCCATAAATTCCATAGAACTTGCTTTTGATCAATGGTGGTTAGCCAGCCGGACGCTGTCCATGGATGCTTTTCCAAGATGAGACACTCGCGAAGGACAGCTCGTTCGGCGAGGCTCGAAACACAGGCTATCAAGTCAGTTATGCATACGGAGTACTCTAAACGATTCTGCAGCGCCTCACCATATTTACGATGCTACCGGTCGATTGTTTGGTGAAAAAGACCACCCATTGGATGGTAATTCTCCATATTGTGTTGGGTTGGGTGGTAGAGAATAGATGAGGGAAAGACAGCAGCAGCGAAAAGCACAGAAGATGGCACAGCTTGTTAAGTTGAATATCAATGGCATTTATTTAATTTGTGGGGAGTTTGTCTGCTCTACAGAGTACAGAGTACTTATATTAATATTGTTCTATGAGCCAGCATCCCAAATAAGTAAATCCCGAGCCAGGCCTTGCAACAGTTCACCGGGGTTATAGTTATTATTTGAGCCCCAACAGAATGATAATACTGTTAGATATTAGGGTGAATTGAGCAGGGATTAATCGGCAAGACTAGACATGAGGATATACTACTAAGAATTAAGATAAATTCTAGAGAATTTATTATATCTAAGTCTAAACATATCGAAATTAAATTTACTAAATTAAGCTTAAATATAGTAAACTCACCAAGTAGCTTGTTAGTTAACCAGCCTGTGATGGTTTAGGTTAAAACTCTAACTTGATTCAGAACCAACTTCATGAACTCTTTAAAATTAGGTAAATCGAGGAGTTTACCCAGAATAGCAAGTCCCGTAGTCAGGGCTGATGCGGCTTTTGCCAAATTCGCCCTGGGACTATCCCCGCCAGGCCCATCAATTGCCCAGATGAGGACGTGAGGACGGCTCTTCTGACACGGGAATGGACGCGTTTTTTGACACAGCCAGACCACTGTTCACCGTGAGGATGGACTGACAAAGTCACGTCATACGTCGTTACCAGTGGGTGGCCCTGTCAGCAAAGACGAAATGATACCAGCCATTACATTTTGCAGAGTCCCGACGGATGTAAGGTTGGGAAGTACGACACATTTGACTCTCTCCACGTGTGTGAAAGGCACTTTAGACCTGTGACCTAAACAGTTAATGATGACATATTATGGGGTGGCCGGACTGGCCGAAAGCGCGGCACCCCTGTTCTTTGGACATGTTATCGGATTTCGAAGAAAGCTTTATCCTCCGCGAAAGAGTCTATCGGAAAGGCTGCGGCTCTTACCCCCTATCAAAAGTTTAACTCCCGTTGGCGAACAATTACTTTTTAGAAGTCAAGAAGTGGTGACAAGATGATAACGAATATATCTATTACTCTATCTCCGCGGAAGAAATCACCTATCTCTCAACCAATTTGGATGGCAACTGAACTCAGACAATTGAAGTCCTACGCACACTAAGCCTCCAGCTTCCTCAGAGCTGGAATCAGAACTGGAAGACCTGACACTTGGTAAATCCAATCTGTTGTAGGATGCCACCACGTCTGTTACCCACTAGAGCAGCCTCCATGGCGGGGGGTCCGCACACGAAGACCTTCGTCGCCATGGATTTTCCCCTTGTCCTGGGCAGCGGCGCCATATGCTTTGACAGCAGGTCAGCATCGATCCGGCCTTTTTTATGAGGGGACCCGGGCTCTGGGTTGCCAACGACAAAGGTGGCTTAAAGCGGTCCGGGAACTGGTGCCGCCATTGGTCGAACTGGTCCCGGAAAAGGATCTCGGAATCTTCGTTAACACCGTAGATGAGATTGATCTTGGTCTTGGTGTCATCTGGGTTGTTGAGGATACCCTGGGCAAGCTGGTACAATGGGGTGATGCCGGCACAACCAGCGATGAGAGTTATGTTTTCGTGCTTATTTGGCGTCCAACGATAGGTAGGGATTACGGCGGCAAAGAGTATTGTATCGCCTGGGGAGAGGCTGTGCAGGTGTGTGCTCATTTTGCCGCCTGAATACTGCTTGACTGTGAGATCCAGATACCCGGGCTCGTCTATACCACGTCAGTCCACCCTGTGAGCAAGTATAAATTCCTAAAGACAAATCTTACCCAGCCGGCTCACCGGGGTATACAGCCTTAAGATGGGGAAGAGGTTGCCCTTTGGCCATGCGGCGGCCAGGACGGCAGCTGCATGAATCCGCGATCGTGTTAGACATGTAGCGGACAAGCTTTGGTAGGTGGTACGACACTTCAAGCAATACGGACTCGCAGCAAAGGCCCGGGCCACTGATGGTGTCTGGCGTGGGAAGCTCAAACCTCAGACGCTTAGTGGTCGGCGAAACCTGCTCGGAGCTATGCAGCCGCAGACGGAGGAGGCTAGGCCCGGCCCTCCAGAATGCTGTGCTGGCTGCTGGCTGCTGGCTAGCATTGAGGGACATGCGGGATGAGGTCTGGAGGTTCCGGGTGATGATTAAGGTGGTGAAGCCAGCAGCTGTGAGGCCAGCGAGGACCCTGCCAACTGGCCAACCTCGAAAGGTCATGAGCGTATGTCTGACTGCTTCATGGCCTATTCGGCTTCTGCAATAAAAAGAGAAAGGGAAATAAAGGAAGAGAGAGAGGAAAACGAATGACGCTTAGGTTGTTGACGTTTTAACGAAATGACAATTGGCCATAACGGTGACTGGATTACTGGGTATCTATAAGGATAGAAGCACGGAGTAGAGTAGAAGCTGTTCGAACGAGCTCCGGGCCGTTGCTTATTAGGTGTCGGTAAGGAAGACACTCGGAGTCCGGGCCCACTAATGATAATAGCGACGATAAAGGATAGCCCATCTTGCTACGCTTCCAGGTCTATGCAAGCTACGCACGGCAGATATTGCCTGGGCCGTTCACTGTACTATCCCTGAGCGGATTGTTGATAAGAGATACTGCCATGGTCGTACGATAATCCAGCGTATACTGTGTATATTCGCTCGACCCATGCCGGCCCACCATCCAGTTACTTCTGGATATCTGTCAGTATGTAAGGCTTTGCAGGCCCTACCATTGGGTAAGTCGTGAGAAGGCATGTTTGTGTATGGAGTAGGTATATAGATGTGTGTTGCGAGCCACTTTATCCGGATCCTCGCTGAATGCATCAACACAGGTCGAGCATCGGTCCTTGACGAAGATATAACGCCACTTTCTGTCGGATGGAAAGCTGTGTCTATGTAGGGGCTCGATAGCTACATCTTCAAGACGGTAAGCAAACACATTGTCACCGATCCTGAGGCTGCAGCGCTGACAACTTCCCCTTACACGTCCACAGGCAAGCCCCGGTCAATGTCGATGCAAATTCTACCTTTCGATCCTCTTGGCCTCCTAGTTCAAGCAAAATCCCTAGATTCGAGGGTTATGAATATCGAGGGCTGTCACTCCTTCGTCCCTTTACAGGCTAGGGAAACGGCCGACAAGATGGGCATTATCAGCACTGGCGGTTCGATGATCTCTGTTGCTTCTCCAGGCTTATCCCCCGCTAGAAGATGAGGTTCAACTCGGAAAGGCAATGCAGGCTTACGGCGAAGATGGCTACGTGGTGGATTTACGGAGCAGAAACGCCCATGGAATTACCGGGCGGATGGAAAGGACAGCCAGTCTATCTGATAGAAGGGGATGTGGAGTAGTAAACCAACGGAGAAGCAAATCAGGGTGAAATAGAACACTTTTTACCGTGTTGATCAAGTATCAACGATTTGAACTGCTGAAGCCGACCTGGGCGGAGATCCAAGGGGGCCATCTCGATGTCCACGATAGCACCGACCAAACCGCATCTTCCAACAGGATATCTGGCTTGACTGGCGGTGGTAGAAGCCGCCGGCCTGTGACGCCGTGCGAAAGAGCTTCTTCTTACCTGGCACAAAGTGGGCTCGGGTGGCAAACTCGCGGGGGCTTCTTTTTTTCCCATCGAGTTTCAGCATGATGGCTGGCTTCGTCCTCTACAGTTCTTGTCCTTCGTCCAGTCCGGTCGTAACTGATTGAAATTGTCCCCCATGCACGAGGCCGACAGCTACTACAACCCTGGCCAGGGCCAGCAGCCAGGGGACGTCAACTACCAGCAGCAGCAGCAGCAGCAGCAACCTGCGTATGGCGGACTCGACGAGAAGCCGACGTTCGAGCAGACGTTCAAGATCGAGAAGCCAAAGTGGAACGATGTGTGGGCGGGAATTCTGGTGCGCCCTAAACTCATCAAACGAAGAAGTAGACGATAAGCTGACGATGCTCACAGTTCCTCCTCTTCTGCGCCGGCTTCGTCGTGGTGTCGGGCATCGCGCTCCAGGGCTATGCGTCGACGCGGAGCATCCAGGGCGGCGGCATCTACGACGGCTCGAACACCTTTACGCTCAACACGAGCACGATCATCCTCTTCGTCTTCGTGCTCGTCGTCGCCGTCGTCCTCGGGTACGCCTACGTCTGGCTCGCGCGCCTCTTCCCCAAGCAGTTTATCTGGGTGACGGGCATCCTCAACATCTGCTGGGCCATCGGGACGGCCATCTTCTACCTGTGGCGACACTATTGGAGCGCGGGCATCGTCTTCCTCATCTTTGGCCTCTTCCTCGCCTTTTGCTTCTGGACCTGGATCAGCCGGATTCCGTTCTCGGCCCTGATGCTCAGGACCGCCGTGGACGTCAGCAAGCGGTACGGCCATGTCTACATGGTCAGTCTCGTTGGCGGTTTGGTCGCGGCCGCGTTCGGGGCCTACTACTCGATCACCCTGGTCGCCATCCACGATAAGTTCCAGCCGGCCAGCAACAACCCGTCCTGCGACAGCAACCTGGGCTGTGGCAGCGGCAAGGTGATCGGGCTGATCGTCTTTGTCACTTTTGCCATGTACTGGATCTCCGAGTGGCTCAAAAACACCATCCACACCACCATCGCCGGCGTGTACGGCTCCTGGTACTTCTCCCCGCACCGTCTGCCCCGGGGCGCAACGCGGGGGGCGAGCAGGAGGGCGCTGACCTACAGCTTCGGCTCCATCTGCTTCGGGAGCCTGGTTGTCGCGATCATCCAGTTCCTGAGGCACCTGTGCTCGATCGCCAGGAGCCAGTCGATGCAGGACGGGGGCATCGGAGGCGCCGTTGGCTACGCCATCTTTTGCATCCTGGGGTGTCTCATCGGCCTCCTGGAATGGCTGGCCGAGTTCTTCAACCGCTATGCCTTCTGCCACATCGCCCTGTACGGCAAGGCGTACGTTCCCGCGGCCAGGGACACGTGGAAAATGATCAAGGACCGTGGCTTTGACGCCCTCATAAATGTAAGTCCAGTCTATGTTCTCCAGTCTATATTCTCCAGTCTATATTCTCTCCTATGTTTGACTGACGACATTCTCCAGGACTGCCTGATCGGGCCCGTCCTCTCGTTCGGTGGCCTCTTCATCGCGTATGCGTGCGCCCTTCTCGCGTACCTGTATCTGCTCTTCACCGAGCCGCCGTACAACAGCGAAGGGCAGTACACGCCGTTCGTCGTCGCCTTCTCGTTCCTCATCGGCTTCCAGATCGCGAACGTCTTCACGACACCGTTGTCCAGCGGGATCGAGACCATCTTTGTGGCCGCCGGCTGGAGCCCGCAAGTCATGTACTACGAGCACCCGGAGCTGTACCAGGAGATGGTCCAGGTCTATCCCAGGGTCCAGCAGATGATCAGACCCTGAGTAGCCGCCGTCGAGACCGAGGTCAACACCACTCTTTTCGCCGCTATATATATCAACGTACGATCCCAAGAATAGGGGGATCATTAATATAAAGGGGAATTAAGGATAATACGGAGGCAACGTTTGCTATTTTTAATATCATAACTTACATCTACGTTTTACTCGCCAATGTCAATGGATGCTCGTCAGTAACAGGCCTTCCACTATGCAGTAACTGTAGCGGTGGGTCAAGACTGAGGGAGCCATCAAGGTAGGCAAAAACGTTTCACCCTTTGTGATGTACCGTGGCTCGGCTGAGGTGCTGCTCGGATGTACCGTCGACCTTACGAGATGTACGTACATGCTATAGTAAGATTTAATGTTCAGAAACTCGAGCGTATCACAGAACTTCGCCGTCTGTTAGCTCGTCTTGGTCGCAGGGCTGAAGACGAGAACTCAAAGCTTCTCTAGCGCCGGCGGTCGCTCGCTCAGCCACTTGCATTGCTCGTTAGGGCCGGAAGGAGGTCTGGCCATCACTTCGTATCAGCTGAGATCAGCCAGGATCAAGCTGCCACTTTGTACGTAGTACTCCGTTTGATGTTGATGTTGATGTTGATGTTGATGTTGATGTTGATGATGCTGCTGCTGCTGCTGCTGTATATGCTGAGATGTGATGTAGATGTGAGGCTGACGGCGATCACGACGTGGTCAAAACATCATCTTAATGCGATTAAACCTTTTGGTGCATAAACGAGCGACAGAAGAACATCGTCCAGCTGAAGAGCCCACCCAGGCTGAGTTTAGACGCTATTACGATGTGCTCACCCAGCGGATTCGCGTCTGGTGGCTCCGTTTGGGTCGAAAGTCGGGCTGCCAGACGGACAAAGACCCAGAAGTCGGACTTTTCTCAGCTGGCCGTCCTTCCGGAGCAAAGCAAATCCACAAGATCCTCCGGATGCACACTTAAAAGGATGCACATTTAAACATCGCCCTCCCTTGCCTGGTACGTCTATCCCTCTCTCTGCTGTGTTTCTCTCCTGTCCTCTCTCGTCGAAACTCTTGATATTTAACTGGTTCTCTAGTAACCAAACACTTCATACGTACGCCTTGGCAGATACAGGCATAGCCCTGCAACGATGAGGTTCACCCCGGCAGCTGTGGGAACTTGTGTCCTGGCGAGCCTGGCTTCCGGTGAGTTCCAGCGTTTACTCTGAGTGTTTGCTCATGTTAACTGTTGGCTGCAGTGGCTGCGGGAGCCGGTATACCAAGTCCAGACGTCGCGGCCAGGGCCTTGCCCAACGCACCAGACGGCTATGCTCCAGCCAAAGTCGACTGTCCCGCCAGCCGGCCAGCGGTTCGATCGGCTGCGAAGCTGTCGCAGCCGGAGCAGGACTGGCTGCAGAACCGGCGGAAGAAGACCACCGACGCCATGATCGACTTCTTTACCCGTGTGAAGATTGGCAACTTTGACGTTGTGTCATACCTCGAGGCCCACGCCGGCAACACAACCCTGCTGCCAAACATTGCCATTGCGGTCTCCGGAGGCGGCTATCGTGCCCTGATGAATGGTGCCGGTGCGCTCAAGGCGTTTGACGGCCGGACAGACAATTCCACCGCTCCCGGACAGCTCGGTGGCCTGCTGCAGTCGGCAACCTACCTCTCCGGCCTCAGCGGCGGCGGCTGGCTGCTGGGCTCCATGTACATCAACAACGACTCCTCCATCGCCGACCTGCAGAAGGGAAGCAGCGGTAGCTCGCTCTGGCAGTTTGGTCGGTCCATCCTCCAGGGCCCCGATAACGGTGGCTCCAAGGTCCTCGATACCGCCCAGTACTATAAAGACATGATCAAGGAGATCTCTGCTAAGAAAGAAGCCGGATACGCAACTTCAATCACCGATATCTGGTAATATCATATTCTTACCTCTAACCCCCTTTCTCGTTGACGGGCCGCTAATATCAGATTGCTAGGGGTCGAGCGCTGTCGTACCAGCTCATCAACGCTACCGATGGCGGGCCAAGCTACACATGGTCCTCCATCTCGCAGAACACCCTGTTCCAAAGTGCAAACGTGCCCTTCCCCATCCTCGTCGCTGACGGCAGGAACCCGGGGGAGAAACTGATCGGTGGGAATGCTACCATCTTCGAGTTCAACCCATTCGAACTCGGCACCTGGGATCCCACCGTCTTTGGCTTCGTGCCGACAGAGTATATCGGCTCAAAGTTCAATGCAGGATCCCTCCCAAAGACCGAAAGCTGTATTCGAGGCTTAGACAACGCCGGTTACGTCATGGGCACGTCTTCCTCCCTCTTCAACCAGTTCATCCTGCACCTCGACAGCCAGGATCTGCCAAAATTCGTCAAGGACACTTTCCGTGACTTCCTCACCTCGCTCGATGAGTCCAACAACGATATCGCGGAGTACAGACCGAACCCTTTCTACGGGTACTCCAACAACACCTCTCCCTTCGCCCATGTGGAATCCCTCCCCCTCGTTGACGGCGGCGAGGATAACCAGAACATCCCCTTCCACCCTCTTATCCAGCCCACACGACACGTCGATGTCATCTTCGCCATTGACTCTTCCGCTGACACCGAACTCGCCTGGCCCAACGGGAACGCCATAATCGCTACCTACCAGCGCAGCTTGAACTCGTCCGGCATTGCCAACGGAACCTCCTTCCCTGCCATCCCCGACAACAACACCATGGTGAACCTGGGACTGAACAACCGGCCTACTTTCTTCGGCTGCGACAGCTCAAACACCAGCTCGCCGACTCCTCTGATCGTCTATATCCCCAACAGCCCATACGTCACCCACTCTAACGTCTCCACCTTCGACCTGAAGTACAACAACACCCAGCGAGACGCCATCATCCTCAACGGCTACAACGTCGCTACCATGGCGAACGCCACCCGGGACGCTAACTGGCCCACCTGCGTCGGCTGTGCAATCCTCAGCAGGTCCCTCGAGCGCACCAACACCCTGGTCCCCGATCTTTGCAAGAAGTGCTTCCAGACGTATTGCTGGGATGGCAAGCTGAACAGCACAAAACCAAACACCTACGAGCCAAAGCTTTTCTTGAAGGAAGTGAGTCTACAGAGTGCCGCTGCTCCCGGCCTCCATGCTTCAGGTAAGCTGAGCGTTATATTAACAGCTATATTCACCCTTTTGGCTATGGCCTTTTTGTAAAAAAAAAGGGGGTTTGCTTTCCCTTGTTTTTGTTCTTCTCGGATAATATTGGATATCTAGTTACCGTACAGTTTACTAGACTACCCAAGCTGTTATATTATTTTTACTTGCATATTAACTTTATGAATTAAATGACTTTTTAATACCATCAGTACCAAGTACTCGAATATAACTGCCAGCATCTATAGATACTTGAAGCACACATCTGCCCCTTTTAGATATAGCGAGGTACATCACGTGATGTCCACTGTTTCCATGGCAACAAAGACGAAGCTCCATAACAAAAACCTGGAGCCAAAAGTTCAACTTCAACCAAGTCGATAAGATGATGCCAGGTCACAGCCGGTCGCATAAGCTTCGTTCTTGATCTCACTAGCCCTTGGTGAAGGAGTTGACCTGTTTTTTAAAGGTAACCAGCGGGAGGTATGCGATAAGTCGCTGTTCTACTGCTCCCCTTTATATACAATCAACACGGATCACTACTCAGCCAGCTTGACACGTCCCACATACTATTCATATAAATATTGAACATGGCACGGCGAGCGATGGAAACAGAGGCTGCCACGCCACAATCCCCTCCAAAAAGAGTCACTCGAGCTCGAGTGCGAAGTACAACGACCAAGGAAGAGGCCAAAGTAACGGCTACAGCCTCCACCACCACGACTACCACAGCCAAAAGAGGAAGACCTCGAACGAAGCCAGATACGAGTGCTGTGCCTTCAAAGGCAAAGACTGCTTCTGCTTCCGATGATCTAAAGAAGAGGGGTCGGAGAACAGCCAGCACCAAGACAGCGGCCTGTAGCCTGGACGATGCTGATAATTCGAGCGATGACGAGATGAATATTGTATCAATCAGAGCGACCGCTGCCACGAGGTCATCGACTAGACGGATGGCTACTTCTACCTCATGTAATTCATCCGTGGCTAGCGAACCAAAGAAGCGAGCTTCTCGAGTTACCAGAAAAAAGCCACAGCCAGTTGCTGCAGACGTATCGGAACCACAAGACCTAGATGACGATGACGATGACGAACTTGCAGAGAATATACAGCCTGCAAAGCAAAAAACCGTCAAGATAACTACAGCTGCAGCACGAAAGGCAAAGGCCCCTGCCGTATCGAAAACAGCAAAAGCTCCCTCTAGACCTGCAGCCAAGCTCTCAGCGCTATCGTCTACTAAACCAGAGCCCCCCGTGACAGCTAAAGCGAAGCCAGCTGCTGTCAAGAAAAAGGTTACGTTCTTGGATATCACAGAACACTCGGACAAGGAAAATCAGCCATTAGTGGAAAGTTCCAAGTGCAAAGGCAGGCCGGAGACTGGTCTGACTGCCAAACCGGTTCGAAGGGGAACTTCCACCAGACAAAAACCATTAGACGTTAATGAAGATAGACCAGAGCGAAAGAAAGAACCATTGTCACCAAAGAAAGCAACGCAGGTCGCCAAGTCAGGGTCGTCCGGTAGCTCAGGAGAGGACGAGGATGATGTATTCAGCTCCAAGCGTCATTCAAAGTCTCCACAGCAGTCACCGGCGAAGACATCATCTGTTCCATCATCTTTTGCATCGCCTGCCAGAAGAATTGATTTCACACAGGCTGCTAGACCTGTTTCCCAAGGCCCTGCAGCTAGTGACAGGGATACCGCCACGCCCTCCAAAAGTGAAAATACGCTCTTTGCAAGTACAGAGTTAAGATCGAGCCCAGCAAAACGGCCTCCTCCATCCCCTTTCCAGCCCGCCATTAAGGAGTCTCCTCGAAAGGCTCCTATCTTCCGTAATGAACCCCGGCCTGGACAAGAAATGGTGGGACAGCCGAAAGTTTCTCCATTCAAAGTGTCGCCGAAGAAAGGTCCAGGCATGTCTTTTATTCAGCCATCACTGGATGCACCGCTTTCACCAACGAAGACAAGAACTTCTCCACTCAAATCTCCTGCACGTCGACCACCTTCTCCTATGAAGATGCCTCCGCCACCTCCTGCCTCGGAAAGAAGCCCAGTTCAAATTTATAGTCCGCAGGCTCACAAAAGTATCAATACTCATTCCAATCGTGAAGGTACTTCAGATGGCTTCATGGAAGAAATGGATGTATCAACTATATGTGGAGCGGACCAGAATGTACTCGACGAAAACATAGATACCACTGAATCACAGCTGTATTCTTTGAGGCTTCAATCCCCAACCTGTGATTCTTTCACTGAAGAAACCACCACCCCAAATAGACGCGAAACCGTGCTCAGATATGATGGCGTGGATATGGACACATGCATTAACGATGCTCCCCCAGCCTCGCTACCTAGACTCGAGCCTCCCCATCCGCAGGACTTTGTCTATCGGGATGAAATGATTCATGAAGACTCCGATGGTGAATTTGAAGCGAGTCCGACCAAACAGCCACTTTGGCGTTCAAATTTCCGTTCTGAGAGTCCCGAGATCGCATTTAAAAACCAGGATCTGTCTACCGCTGAACTTGGATATACCCCATTAGCCGATAAGTTAAACCGATGGGCAGCAAGTAGTCCAGAAAAACAGCGGCCCAGGAAATACCAGCGAAGAGGGCTTTTCTCCCCGGACGTACATTATGACTCGGATAGGATCTCAACCCAAGTTCCTGAAAGGCGGCGTTCTTCGCGTATCCACCAGTTCCAATCTTCAAGAGAGTCGATAAAGTCCATTGTTGAAGACGAAGTGCCTGCAATAGAGGACCTCAGTATTCATACCGACCCGTCAACCTCTTTAGAAGATGAAGATATTGCAGATTCTATAGCATATGAGGAAAGCACTGTCGACTCTCCCCTGAGGTCCCGTAGTTCGCATACGGCCCTTACTGACCAGCTTTCTGAATGCTCTGAGAGTTATGGTGACGAAAATTCACCACCGACGATAACTATCAATTCAGCACTTTTTGAGGAAAACGTTGAGTCTCCCACAGCTTCGCCGCTGGAGTCGAAACCTATTTCCATGTCTGTCACCCCTGTTCGCCGGAACCCTGATTACCCAAGGACCATACACACAGTGTCGAAAGTCCCACTGAAGGGTGAGAGCGATGAGTCTATTAAAGTCCCTCGGAAAAGAACCCGATCTCTATGCTCTAACACAACGAGCCCAACCCCGATACTGATTAAGAGTCGAACGTTGCCGTCCCCTAGCAAAAGCAGAACACCGCTCAAGTCAATTACGCCAGCTTCCCCTGAAGATAATTTCATGCTTCCTGAGCGGCCCAAAGTAGGAACGTGGTCTGGCCGGATCAGTCCAGTAAAGCATCGAAGTCCGGTAAAGGAGAAAGGAGGCGAGAGTGAAGTTTTAAAGGGAGCAGTTGTCTATGTCGATGTCCACACGGCCGAAGGTGCTGATGCTAGTGGAATTTTCATTGAGCTGCTATCTCAAATGGGCGCACGATGTGTGAAGTCATGGAAATGGAACCCAAGGACAAGTTTATCACCGGTTGACGGCGCCGAGCCACAGGATAGTCCAAAAGTTGGAATTACCCATGTTATCCACAAAGATGGTGGTGTTCGCACATTGCAGAAAGTTAGAGAAGCAAACGGCGTTGTGAAATGTGTTGGGGTTGGCTGGGTACTAGAGTACGTTCACCTATCATTTTTTGGCCTAGATTCAAGGACAATATTGCTAATGTTACTTTGTACAGCTGTGAAAGAGAGAACAGATGGGTGGATGAAGCTAATTATGCTGTTGACATCAGCATGATTCCTCGTGGTGGGAACAAGAGGAGGAAGAGTATGGAGCCCAGGGCTCTGAGCAACCAGCATGGAATACTGGCTAAGCTCGACTCTTCCACTTCGTCAAGCAACAGCCGGCGTTTGGGTGCTAATATGGAAACATTACAAGAGCTCAGACGTCTGTCACCTATACCTCGACTTCATCCATCCAGACGAGACTCAATTGACCCAACTGCGTTTGAACATGGTGGCTTTGATGATTCGGAAAATATTGACACTCCAAGAAGACCCCAGACGCCGTCGAATTTTCTCGAAGCTGAGGAACCCCAGACGCCGGTCGGAGAGTATAGCTACTCTTTCGACTTTGATGGCACAGCCCCGCCATCACCAACCACTCCATATTATTTATCGGAGGGGGCGAAGTTGATCCAACAGACGTGCCCGCCAAAACAACTGAGGCAGGGCCTTTTCCCTATTAGCGGAAATATAGATGAGGAAAAGAGTGAGAAGCTAAGAATAAGACTCGAGGCAGCGAGACGAAAGAGCCTGGTCTGGAAACCACGGGTTGGAAGCCCGCTTGGAAAGGGATATATGTAGCTCCTTGGTTTTATTAATGTAATACTATTTCTTGGGCTTGTTGGGATTCTGGTGTATACGCATACTAATAATGTATGGGATGGCGCCTGGGTGTGTTTGCTTTTGGAGTATAGAAATGGTTTATTTTTGTATCAATTTATTATTATCAATTATTATCGTTTTTGCTCATTTTTCATTTCTCTAACCAACTCCATGCGCAACTTTTTCCTTGGAATAATCAGGGTTAAACCAGCTTTCTCACGTAGAGATTTAACCTGAGACGAAGAAAAAGGAACGGTTGACTAAAGAGGGCTTTCGGTGCCGTTGGCGACCGCATGGTCACGGTAGAAGCCAGCGACCAAGAATGCCAGCTCAAGGGCCTGCTTCTCGTTCAATCTGGGGTCACAGAAGGTTGTGTATCGTTCACTCAGACCATCTTCAGTCAAACCGGCAGCACCACCAACACACTCTGTGACTGCCTCACCAGTCAATTCCAAATGCATGCCGCCCAGGTATGAGTCGTGGGCGCGGTGGATTTCCAGGGCCTGACGCAGTTCAGACAAGATGTCTGTGAAATTTCGTGTCTTCACGCCGGATGGGGTAGATCTGGTGTTTCCATGCATGGGGTCACATTGCCAGATAGGGATGTGTCCTGAAGCCTGCACCGCCTTGATGTGACCTGGCAGGTGGTCGGCAATTTTGCTCCCACCATAACGAGAGATCAGGGTGACCTTTCCAAGCTCCCTGTCGGGGTTGACAACGTCAAGGAGAGCAACGAGCTCATCCGGTTGCATCGTAGGACCAACTTTGATGCCGATAGGGTTGGAGATTCCACGGAAGAATTCAACGTGGCCACCATCGAGCTGGCGGGTACGGTCACCTATCCAGAGGAAATGGCCGGACAAATCGTAATAGAACTCCTTTTCCGCAGCCTGAGCAGGCTGGGTGGTGTGGCTGCCGGCCGGCTCGACTGGGTTCCTCGAAGCACGGGTGAGGGTCTCTTCATATTCCAGTATCAAACCCTCATGACTGGTGTAGATATCGGCAGTCTCGATACCACGAGCCGTGTCGAGGCCGACGGTTCTCATGAAGCGGAGCGAGTCAGTGACTCTGGACGTGATCTTCTCGTACTTTTCCTTGATTGCAGGGGTTTTGACGTGGCCCAGGCCCCAGTCAAGGGGGGAGTGCAGGTCAGCGATGCCAGAAGCTAGGGCTGCACGGATATAATTGAGAGTTGCAGCAGAGTGGAAGTAAGCATCCACGAGACGGGAAGGATCAGGCTTTCTCGATTCAGGGGTGGGTTTGAATCCGTTTACATTATCACCCCTGAACGAGGGCATGGTAACACCATCCACAGTCTCAACTGCGCTCGAACGAGGCCTGTCCAAATAGGATGTCAGCAAAGTACGCCAGTCTTCGGGGCTGAAAGAGAGTACGAAAAAGCATACTTGGCAAACTGGCCGGCAATACGAGCAATTCGAATGACGGGCTTGTTGGCTCCTGTTCGTTCTAGGTTAGGGGCATTATCCCTGACGAGTCGCGACTTGAAAGGCGCAGAACCCACCCCAGATCAAAATCAAACTCATCTGCAGCAACAGCTTGATCTTTGCCTCGATCATATCCTGGTTGCAGTAGTCAAAGAGCTCAGCGCAGTCCCCTGGCATTCGATTGCATCAGCTACCGGCAACAAGACTGGCGTGGCGGAGAAGAACTTACCCCCCTGGAGGACGAATGCTTTACCAAGGGCCACCTTCTTCAGGCACTGCTTCAGGTTCGTGATCTATCGACCCCCGGTGAGCAGAAGAAGTCAAAGACGTACAGCTCCCAGCTTTTTAGCCATACCTCATGGGGAGTTACGAGTGGCGGGAGCTTCCGGAGCCTCTGAACCGCGTTCTGCAGGCCATCTTGGTCTTCATACACAATCTCCTGCTTGAGAGGCTTCGACCTCCACGCTTCAAACACACAAGATCATATCAGCATCCATGAGAATGATATGTAAATATATATACAGACATATATATACGGATATACGACTCACAGGCTGGTGTCCAGTCGGCCATGATGATATCTAGTGAGCGGCTGATGCTTCAACCCAAAAATTGAACTGCAAAGAACAGAGTCGACAGAAGGCGACGACGCAAGATATTTATGAGCAAGAAGAAGAAGGGAAAAACCTCAAGCTTTCTCTTTCTCTCACTCTCGAATGACTCAAAAACTCGACTGCATGCGAGGCTGATTGGACGCAAGTCGAGCGAAGTTTTGAGATTTCAGCTTCGACCAGACGAGAAACTCGCCAGGGACGCACGAAAGGGCCTCGTCTTGTTCCTTTTTCCTTGTCTGGTCCCTCGATCAAATGGCTAACGGTCAGGATCCCGGACTCTTAATATAATCTTATAGTTGAGTCGCCTTAATGTTTTTATAAATAGAAAGGAAAAAAGGGTGGCTTGTGCAAGAAAAAAGACTACGAGGCTTATTAAGAAAAGCATTCTCGCTACGTTTGTAGATGTATAAGAAAGTGATTAACGAACCAGGAATACGGACAGCGTATACGAACCTGCAAGGTCTTCTCTTCCTCATCAATTGCTGTTTAACTATAGGCCAAAGATGTCGGAGAAAGCGAAGCAGGGCTCAGCGACTCCCCAAGATGACAACGGCCTGTCTGCTGAGGCCGGCGCCTCTGAGATTCCCACCAACGCCGAAGACCGCGCCGCCGCCGCCGCCCTGTCGTCTCTGAATGCGCCGAAGACAGCTGCTGAGGCTGACGATGCCGACGAGGACGGAGGGAAGAAGCCGTCCAGCGCGGACCAGGAGGCTCTCGGGAGGGCGATGAGCAGGCTCGAGATGATAGCCGGAGGGGCGAAGAAGGCCGCAGCTGGCGGTGACAGGAAGAGGACGGACGCTACGACTGCGGCGGGAGAGATTGCTGCTGCTGCTGCGAGTGGTGAAGTGGTCAAGAAGAAGCCGGTCAAGGTCGCTGCGGAGGACGTAAACTTGCTGGTCTGTCGTATACCTGTCACTTTGGTACGATCACTACGGGCAGCATACTGATGAACACTAGGTCGATCAGTTGGACCTCACGAAGATAAAAGCGACTGAGCTTCTGAGAGAACATGAAGGGAACGCTGTCAGGGCCATCCGGGCCTTTATCTTGCCGCCCGCCGCTGTTGCTTGATAGTTGGATCACCGTCCTGATCGAACACAGTTGATGTTAAACGACGGTGTCGACTGACAAGCCGCATGTTGAGAAAAGGACCATACATATGATTATACTTGTGGCACTTTAACGACCAGGAATGGGGGACAGAACGGCCTCTTTCAACGGCCGGGGCAAAAATGAAACGGCAGACTGATAAGAAGATGGGACATACGACATGCACGGATAGATCATAGTGCATAGCTACATGAATATATGAAAGCATGACTCGTTTCATTCGTTTCTTCGTTAATCTATAGATTACCTCTCTGCTCTACTTCATGGTGCTTTTTGGAAGCCGGTTCCCTCGACTATTGTCCAGGTAACGAGCCATCCCAGGAATGCTTCGATGGCAAGAGACCACCAGACGGCACCGACGATGTTATGTTTCAGCCCCAGCCCCAGTCCCCAGCCGGCAATCAGGGGGCCCAGTGTCCTCGACGCACTGGATGCGCTCTGTGCAACTCCGTGCAAGGTGCCCAGCACACTCCGGTCTGGCACGGAATTGTTTACAAGAATCACCGTTGCGGGCAAGGAGAAGGTCCTGGACACAACCTGCAGGAAGATGACGGCCGAGAGGGCAGGCCATATTATGTACGGGTGGTTGGGCAGCAGCACAAGAAACGGCGCGAGGAGATAGGCCAGGGGAGAAAAAGGGAGGAAGATCCGAAAGGACTTTAACGTCCCCAGACGCCACTGGATGCGCGGATAGATGAATATCTGTATAGGTAGGCCGATGAGACCGATTATGGCGGTGGCCAGCCCGACCTTTGAGCTGGACATACCGAGTCCGCCTCCAAACTGGAAGAAACTCAGGTGGTTTTCGGGTGCGCGAGGCGTCGGGAGGAAGACGAAGCAGAGTGCGGTGAATGCGCTGGTGTGGAAGTTGAGGAAGATATGGGCCACTAGAGTGAGCAGGACATTGCGAGTCCATATCTTCCGGAACGGTAGGCGTTTACGCCGTCTGGGAGCCGTGTTCCCGCCGTTCAACGGTCTCTGGGCTGAGGCTGGTCTTCTTCCCTCTAGCTCCATATCAAAGGAGTCTGGAGTATCGGGGTCCGCCAGCCCGTCGAGGGCCTGGTAGTCGCTGTGCCGTGAGAGACCCAGGTATCTCGATATGGCTTTGCCAACCCGTATGCCCATGTCCCCCCTTGACCGGGCTACTTCATGTGTCTACAGAGTTCAGCATCCATCGTATGATACGCGTATAAAAAAGAAATTGGGAAAGTAAAGGTGTTTACCTCCTCCAGGCCGAGTGATATGGCGGCCGCAGAGCAGAGAATGAAGACTGCCGTGACCAGATTCGGCAGTGCAAATGGCCATTTGACCATCCACGACACTCCGTCTGCTCCTCCCAGCCATGATCCAGGCCCGAAGAGGGATGGATAGTTGCTGATGGGATCCGCCATTAGTCCACCCATGATGGGACCAACGATGACCCCGACATTGAAGCACATTGGCAGCAGCAAAAACGCTCTCGACTGGTATCTAATAGCATCCATTAGCTCTTGTCCGTACTTCAACGATTCCGTAGAGACATGTATACGTACTTCCTCTCCACTACGATCTCCGATATCATGGTCCTCATGACGCCGGCGTTGCTGTTCAACATACCTCCCAGAGTCCTGAAAACGGCCGCCGTGGCAAAGGACTTGGAGAAACCAAAGCCCAGGGTCGAGATACATGCTCCCAGCAGGCCAATGAGCAGCACTCTCTTCCTGCCGATGGACTCTGCATCCGCCAGCCGTCCCCAGAAGACCGCGGTGACGAACTGGGCTCCCGTAAAGGCGGCTTGTAGGATGCCCGTCTGCGACGAGATGGTAGAGTCCGGCAGCGACGGATCAAACGACTTGAGCTGGTAGAACATGTAGGCCTGCAGCGAGGTCTGCGCCAGCGGTTCAGACAGCCTGGCGACCGTGAGGATGATGAGCTGGTTCCTCTTGGGCAGCGAGCTCCATGTTACCGGCCTGTCCTGGTTCTTCGCCTGGGCTTCTTCATCGCGAGCTTCCTCCGGCGACTGCGTGCTCCTCCGTCGGTCTGTATTCTCATTCTCAGTCTCATCTTCATCCTCGTCCAGGTCCAGTCGAGGTGTAATAGTTGCAGTTCTCGAGTTGCGCTCGCCGATAGTCATGGCGTTTTGGTTCCTTTTTTCTGTATTTCCTTATGCCTGTTGGGAGCGGATCTCGATATTATAGCCCATAACATCTCAGCCATCGAAGAGGTAGGAACAAGGCGAGGATGAAGAGAAATAATTTTTTTATTATTTTTCGTTTGTCTGGCTAACATGGATCTTGTTCGGCATCTTAGCCGGAGATCGATGACGCAGTGAGTATAACTACTACATAGACAAGATGCTGCTCCTAGATGTGTGATATTTCTATATAACTCCTAGCCTATAACCAAAACTACTTCATAATCATTATGTCGTCAACTTGCTCTCTCACAATCGGCATCGAATAGTCTGCTCTCCTTCCCACATGTCGCCGGGCTCCAGTGTCTGCCATCCAGACACGGATCCTGCCTCGACGCACACCATGTTCTTGTATGCTTCGTCAGGAGAGAAGTCGGCCATGCCCTTGGCCTTTTCGATCCATGGGTTCCAGACAACCATGTCACTCAACGATGCCCGGGTGATCGAGAAGATGGGCTTGTCCGCAGAAGTCACGGCCACCGGTGCAGTTGGGTCGAGGGACTGGTAGACACGGTCTACTTCGGAGGAGATGCCAACGGCATCAGACTCTTCGGTGAACGTAGATGCTCCACGGACCTTGTCAACATATGATCTCGACTTAAGGCCGGCAATGCGTATCTTTGATATATCCTAGACAGAAATCGTTGAGCAATGAGACACAAAGGTCCAAGAGGGATAAAGAGAGCATATACCTCTACTCTGAAATAGGTGTGCAGGAGAGACTGGAACTCGAATGATGCGGTCCCCTTGTTCTGGACCTGCAGCGAGGTGGTCAGGCTCCGGGGACTCAAGGTGACGCTATACACCAGTCCAAAGTCGAACGGCCAGTCCTTCTGGAACTTATCACTGAGCATGCCCTTTGACAGGCCGAAATCAAGCTTGACGCTGGCATCACCTTCGGATTCGGACGTGGATTTGCCTAGGAACTCCCAGTAGGCGTTTCTGGCGAACCCATGCTGAGGGAGGGAAGAAGTCGCATGTTCCTTCGGAGGAGGGCCAAACACCTTGTACACAGTTAGTCAGACGCTTTCCGGTCTCTCGCGGTTCGAATACAGGTAGATATATAGCATACCGGGAAGACAAGAGGGATTCCTCCCCGGATGGGCTTGGAGCCGTCTAGATGTGCACTCTCGCTGAGGAAGAGCTGCTGTGAGCCGTCTGCGAGCTTCCACGACGTCACGGTAGCCCCGAAGAGGTTGACGGTAACTGATTCCCCCGAAGCAAGCGATGCTTCAACCCGATTCTCGAGGACGGACACGCTGGGCCCTGGGATGGAGGAGGCTACGGGGATGGCAGTGGGCTTCTTCGAGCGCTCCATCCTGTCTCCCTAGATATGCTCTTTGAACGAGCGAGATCCGACGAACTAGAACGAGCGTATCAACCTGTACACAAGAACTTTTCCTTCTTCTTGCTGGCTTGGTTCTGTTAGATGTTCTATTGATGGAAACTATTAAACACTTGAGATGTTTTGCTTTGCGGCGGCTGTTTTGGTGGGGCACGAGAAAAGATGACTTCATCGGCTCCAACATAATAATCAGACACATTATAGACAAGGCGAGAGTACAAGCATACATACATAGTGTATGCGGAGACAAGATATACAGAGAAGTATAGAAGTAGAATTAAGTGTGATTATTATGACTAACTGTTCATTACAGGTTCATTCCTCGAGCCAACCACGATAGGAGATGGGTATCAAGACGACAGAACGACGGAGAGACGAGACGCTGAGGACATGATATATATGATTAAAGATCTCTAACAGGAGGGTTAACAGTGGTATTCGACTGTTGAGGCTGTCTAGACGAAGATGGCGGCGCCGAGGGCAGCGGCAATGACGGCGTTGCTGACCACGGTGGAGGCAGCTCCGCTGTTGTTGATAGCATGTTAGCCATCTGGATAGGAAGAAAAAAGGGACCAGCTGGGTTACTCACTTGGTGCTGTTGCTGCTGCTGCCGTGGTGACTACCGGAAGAGCCGCCCTTCTTGCGCTTCTCGATGACTGGGTATCTCTCGGCCAGATGCTTGACTGGCTCCGCAACCTTGGCCTCGGCGTCCTGAACGCTGTTCTTGGGCTCGTCTGGGATAGCGACGGCCATGGAGGCGAGGAGGAAGACAACTCCGGTGACGGCAGTGAACTTCATGTTGGCAGTATGGGAGGTTTGTTGGGAGAGTGTTGCCGAATGGAGAGAGTGATAGGCTGCTCAGGACTGCTTGGAAGAGATGGATGAACGAGGAGGAAAGGACATACAAGGTCTATATATATATATATATATAGGCAGCCGGCCAAGATCAATCTCCATCCTGAACAATGCCTGACACGTCAGTTATCGAACCATGAACCGCCTTGCCCTTCAAGATCACCAGGATACGCTCTGTGTTTGCCCAAACAGGCACTTGGCACTGCCGATATCTCTTCCAGCTGCAGCCAGGCTTGCGAGAAGACCCCTTTTTTTCTTCCCCTGCCTGAATCCCAGCCCACACAGCCCGTTCCTCTGCCGCTCTGCCCACTCAGCTGCGCAGGGGATCAGCCCTCGCTCACCCTAGCAAATCAGCGCAGCCAGCAGGCAAGCCGCATGCGACCTGTGTTTTTTTGGAGGCTCAATTGCGTATAGTTTAGTTTAACGCTTATTTTTAGTGTTGACCGATCTCGTATCTCCCAGCTCTTGGGTGGTGTCCTGGCTCCATACGGAGGGCGCTGGGCGAGGCGGAAAAAGGACTACTTTGTAATTACTCTGTTCATCGGTGAGGTGTAATGTTGTTTTCCTAATGGGTATACGATCGATTCTAAACATACATACATAACACGGATCTGCGTGGCTGTCCCGAAAGAAAGAAAAAGACTGAAAAAAGCAAGGAGACAAAAGAGGTCACTCGCCTCTCTTGTATGCATTATGTGCCTCCACCTTGATATCAAACATCACATCGTCTAGCTCCCGAAGAGTAGAGCGTCCAAACGAGACATTTCTTAGGGAGCCAAGGATGGATTTGAGGGACTGGAGTATAGACAATCCCGAAGTTGCCTGCCCGTGTGGTGGCGAGTCCGTACGTGAAGGCGTTCGAGGCGCTTCAGGTTCGTCTTTGGCTACACCCTCAGCTTCTGGCTCTCCTGGAGCAGTTTCAGTCGCTTGCACGGGCTGAGTTACCCCAGTCTCGCTCTCAGGTTCAACATCCTCATCGGCTACCGTCCGCCCACGAAGACGGAGGGATCTCCTCTTCTTCGGCGCAGGTTGGTCATTTTCATTGGCCTCTTGGCTGGCTTCTTCCGTCTGGCAAGGGCTAGTTCTCTTTCTAACAGACCGCTTTTGACTTGTGAACGAGTTGTCTATACTTGGCGTGGTGTCAACGACAATCTGAGGCAGCTCAGGTACATGCACCTCAACCTGATTTGTACTGGAAACTGTGCCGCCACCGTTCTTCTTTCTCCTTCGGCTTCCTAGTTTATTCTTTGTCTTTGACTGTTTGGCATCAGATACGCTAAGGTCCATTGATAATTCAAGGTCTTGCTCCAGTTGAGAAGCAATCTGCTCTTGCAGGGGATCATTAAACGAGTCAGGGACCAGTTCAGCACCCTTGTCGTCACCATTACGGTCCCTCTGTCCGCCGGATTTGGCCCTTGAGGTCCGCTTGGGGGCGCGGGTATTATCGTCATTGTTAGGTAGAGGGGGCTCTGCGGAAAGGGTGTTTGAAATTTCATTGGGGCTTTTAGCAGTAGACTCATGGGCCGTGGGCTCTATTACTTGAGATGAGGGTACTGTTTGCGGCGGGGACGAAGGAGGATCTTCATTTGTAGAAAAGCTCCATGGGATTGAAGTTAAATCCAGACTTATAAACGATGTAAGTGGACTCCTACTAGCCGGCGTAGGAGAGGACTGGACTTCTTCTTCAACGTTTGGTGCCTCTGGTGGGATAGTTGGAGTTGGGACATTGCTGTCAAGAGTTTCGATAGATTTTCGTCTAGATGTTGGCCTGGACGAGCTCATCTCGGGGAACATGATTGTAGTATTCTTTTGTTGTCTTTCCCTAACAGATTTCTGGTTTTCTGTCATGACCTGCGACTCTAATGGCCCTGCGGAGTAATCACCTGGCTCAATGGTAACAAATTGAACCTGCGAATCGTCATGACGAGGCCGTTTAGGCGTAGAGGTACCATTTCTTTGTGCTAGCCTCCTCTTACGGCTGCGGGTATTGCTATCTGTGGCAGATTGGGAAGAACGTCTACTACCCTCTTTCCTGGATCCCTTAGTTGGCGTTGGAGTTCTCACATTTTCTTGTGAGCTTATGTATTCGGGTGGCGGGGATATGGCCTAGGTCTGCCTGTTAGCTGAAGAGTCAAATGAAATTACATTGAATGCCATTTCTCTGAATACCTTTAGTCCTGTACGCTGTGGGAAAGAAGGGAGTTGAATTTCGACGTATGGGTTCAGTTTTCGCAGGATTGATTCCAACGATGGCGGGTATGCTAGGCTCTCTTCTAAGCCGAAGGATGCATTCCACATGGAGATGAACTTGTTGACAATGGATTTATGGTGTGATTCAAATCCAGCTGTTATAAGATATTCTAGTCGCTCTAGGGCCTCGCTGTTGGTATTGCAGAGAGATTTAATATTACAAAGAGTTGTGGAAATCAAAGCCCGAGCCTAGACCTTGTTAGAATTGTTTATAACTATGATGAGGGGATAAAAGAGTATCTTACAGAAGTCAATACAGCCTTATCAAGGCCTGACTCCGTGGTCAGTTTTTTACTTGTATCTGCTAACCATGGAGCAATACCCATTTGTAGCCTCTCAAGTAAAGTAATGCGGTAGTTCAAAGGACACCGCTCAAGCCATTGAGAAACAGCGTCAAGGAATCCGGGTATATCAGGGATAAGTGTCTCTGATTGTGTATGATATATATGCAAAAGGAGGTCATTTGCCAGGGTGACGAGCTTATCACAAAATGGTTGGATGAGTTTGCCGCTCTTCAGGTTCATTAATAAGTTGGCAGGCTGCTCTTCGGCAGCTGCCTCTCGAGGAAAGGAGACCGGCTCCATAAACAAAGGCATCTCAGCACAACTTATCGGCAACATGTCATCCCGCAGTAGGCGGCTAGTGAAGGCATCAATGAACGACGACGTGTTGATATCGCCCTTTTCATTGCGAACCACGGCCACTAATGACCGAAACAATGAAGACCATTCGAAACTATTGATGCCATATCTTGAGGCATATTCAAGTATCTTTATAACCTTATCATGATCGCGGAATGAAGTTTCATCTTTTCCCATAGCATTCATGTCATTGTTAGTATTTGCGAGTACATCTTTGGCGAAAGACGAAATGCTCTTCCAGGCCTCCTCAACGGAACTAGGGTTTAGTTCGAGGGTTTCACTGGCGGGCCCAAGTAACAATTCGGTAACCTGGCGTAAGATTTCCAGGCGTGAGCTCCTGGAAGTTCGGCCTTGTAGACCAGTTTCAATAATACCGCGGAGGAGGGCTTTATAGCGAGGCCCAGTAGTGGAGTATGGGGAGAGGCATAAATGTTGGAGAAGATGCAGGATGGGAGATCTGACAACACCGTTGGGGTGCGGACGTCGGTGTGTAGGGGTCTGTGCTATACTGAAGGTTTCCGAAGAGGATTTTAGTAGCACCTTTTCCGTAAATGCAACAGACCCTAATGTAGGTATGATGGTTTTGACGAGGAAAAGAAATTGGTTAAAGAAAATGCTGTTTCCATCCTTAGCCCTGGAGACGGAACATTTTCCAGTCTTCCAGATTCGCTGCAGACTTTCGAGTATTGAACCAACAGCTTCCATTGTCTCCGCGGAAGGCTGGATTTCCTTACTAGAAGCATCTGCAAGGCTTCGGGATAAGTGAATCCAGGCTAGCCCAACCGGAGACTCTTCTATAGGGGAACCATGCTCGATAAAGAGATCAAACAAGGTCTCAAATACTGGCAAAATTTTGGAAATCCTGGAACGAACCCATTTGCAGTCCAGTCGGGGGAGATCCTCAGGATCAACCTTTGTAGTCTCGATAGCCTTTTTCTCATCCCAAACTTTGGGGTGAGAATTCCATAGGAGCATGGCCAATATCCGACAAAGTCCCAATGCGTTCCCTGAGCTCCACTTCAAGACTCTTGAGCTTGGTGGTATGATGTATTCCGCCCAGTGCAAGTCCAGGCGTTCAAATGATGTTCCTGGTCTGAAGGAATAGTAAAGAAGGTTGCAATAGCTGGAAAACGCCTGGTCGGTGTGGACACCTCGCTTTGAGGCCTTCTTCCTCTCCAGTTGAGAGTCGATGGGCTTGAATAAAAATTTGGCCAGTTGACTCCGGTTACTATCATTAAATTGTACCACGTACACTAAACGATTCCATGCAAGAAGAGCCTGTGAGTTGGCGGCAGGGTCACTGCAATTGAAACACTGTTGGATAACCAACATCCACGATTTGAAGTGGGTCCATTTCTCTATCAGCCATCGAGGGCTACGGAGAAGGAGTGTTACGACACTCCAAATCTGAGGTACGTGTGAGCTAGTTTCTCGGTTCGCAATCATGCTGGTCAAGCGATCACAGAACACATTCACGAATTTCGCGTCTTTGCCCTTTTCCGTGGGAAGACTCAGGACGTCATCGATTGCCTTGAAAACAGGTGTACACGGCCCCAAAGAATCAGTTATTCGGAAGCCTAGTTGGATGGCTTTTAACCTGACATCCTTGACTTTATGTAACAGACCGGCGATAAGGTTATCCATCCAAAAGCTGGCATGTGTGGTGAACACAGAGCGTGCCTGAGAAAACAATCGATCATATATATTGAGACGTAGAGCGGTCACTGCCTTCCCTCCAACCCGATCTGGCCCGCCTCGAATTGTCTCTAAAAGCCGAGTTACTCTAGAGCTGGTAAGAATCTTGGGTGAAAAGTTTTGTATGCTGAGTAGCCTCATATAATCGATAACAATATTCTTGGGAGTTGCGTTGTTCTGGATCGATGATATGGCACGATCGAGGATATAAGATTTGAAATCATCTGGGATTCGAGGGGAGGTTTCGGGTTTGAATACAAGCATATTCAGTAGGTTCAGAGCCTGGTGAGATAGTGAGAAGTCTGAGTCAGTGTTAGAGGAAGGCGTAGTGTTAATATCCCGTTTGATCCAGCCAACAAAGAGATCCATATTGTCAACAATGGAGTTTGAATCAGGTTGGTCGCAATAAGCCGAAAGGCTGCCGACCAGTTGGGTGTAGGCGTCTCTCCGCAAAAGATGAGAGCTCCCCGACAGCTGCTCAATAATAGAGCTAAGCATCCCTGATAGGTCGGTGGATGGACTGGAGCGGAGTTCATCTGAGTGTAAATTGTCGGATGTCACAGTCTTGGATTTAAGGATCGACTTGGCGGGCACGCTCTGGCTGGAGGAAGGTGGCAGAGACCGTAGTCGTACATATGACTTCGTGCTGTAATCCGTGAGCTCAGGAGGTTTTATATAGCTTGCCATGGGTGAAAAGTTGACTCGTTTCGACCGTGAGCTGGACAATGGTGGTGAAGAGGCATCTGAGGGAGAGAGGGCAGTTGTAGGGGCCACAATTGCAATTGAGTCGTCTGCAGACTGGGACACATCTCCGTTCAACGAGAAAGACGTCCGTGGAGGAGTTGGAGGACGAGGTTCGGAAAAGGTTTGGTCAACCATCTTCGTCTGTTCGAAAGATTCCGATAAGAACAAGCGTGGATCTAACGCTTCCGATCCAAGGTTGAAGCAAAAGACGCTCAAAACTCAATAAAACATAATTAGAAAGAGAGGTATCGCGATTCTAAAATGAAGAATGAAAAGAAAAACGGTCTGAACGAAGAACAAGAAACAAAAAGAATGCTGGTTGAAGAGTTGCGGTTGGTACACTCGACGTCTCAAGTTAGACGTGAGGTTTTGCGCTTCATCTTCTTTCTCAACTTTCCGCGCCTCTTTTCTGATTTGACGCGCGCAAAAGTAAAAAAAGTCGCGACTTTTCGCGGTGGCTGGTAACCACGTGATTAATTTAAACGCGTACTATGAACTTAATTTAAAACGTATTAGTAAGTAATACACGTGATATGCCGGTACTTCGGCTTTAGCTCCGGCATTATTCAAAGGACTATCAACAAGATACGATCCCTTATATTTACTTCTTTAGATATGTCAATAAATTTTGTTTTCTAGTCACATCTTATTCTTCAATTCCCGTAATATATACTATATACCGGAGATAGATACAAAGCAGGTTGTACTTTATATACTGCCCCCGCTCGCCTCCTCTCCCTCTCGTCATATGTACAGGTTGGTGTCAAGCATTTAACCACCCTTGGCGAAGCGCTTGAGCTGGTCCATATCACCGTTGAAGATCTCTGAGTCGCCTCCATACTTGTAGGTGTCGGCGTTCTGCCAGAAGGTTTGGTATGGCCAGCCACCTGGGGCAGTTCCGGGGCTGGAAGCCCAGCGGGCGAGGACAAGTGGGATGGTGGTGCCGAAAGTCTTGGTGTTTCCGGTGCAGGACTGCCACCAGTCAGGAGAGGTGTAGATCATGGGGTAACGGCCGGTTCTGGCGTTGTAACGGTCGGAGAAAGCCTTGATCCAAGCGATCATGGCGCTGGCACTGAGCCCGTAGCACTTGGGCTTACCGGAGGTGCCCTCTAAGTCAATCATACCGGGGAGGGTGATTCCATCGCTGGTCCAGCCACCGCCATTGGCAAGGAAGTAGTCGCATTGAGCAGTAGCGGAGGTGTCTGGGTGGGCAAAGTGGTAACCACCACGGATGAAGTTGTTGCTGGTGGCACTGGTGTACTGCGTGTTGAAGGTGGCAGACTTGTAGGTGGTTCCCTCAGTGGCCTAAACGATTACATGTTAGTACTTTTCATATCTCCTTCCAAAGAGGTGTAAACCAACCTTGATCATGACGAATCGGGTACCACCAGCGTAGGCAGCGCGGAAGTCGACATTTGGTTGGTAGGAAGAGACATCAAAGCCCTGGACCTTTCCAACAAGAGCATCGGCCTCGGCTGGGGCGGGGGCAGCGACGGCAGCACCAGCGACAGTGGCGACGGTGAGAAGAGAGAGCTTCATTGTGATAACTTATTCGGTTGAAGTCCTTTTATTTGTGAGTTTGTTGGTTTTGTTGCTGGCACAAGAAGAAATCCAGTAGGGCAACCAGAGGATATATATACCCCAAGACGCTCGTACTGTTTATCCCATTCCCCACGCCGCTCACCACACTGGAGAAGGCCGAAACTCGTTGAGCATGGTACCTTCTGATACTGCCCGTATAGGATGTCCAGTGGAAATGCGTATTTGATACATAACTTAGCCCCATGCATACTATGTAGTAGCTTCGAAAAAAGCTTTTGTCCAGGACAGAGTCGTTGCGCAACCACTCAGCATGCTCGCGCCAGAGTCTAAAATATAATCATATAATATATTACCATATATAAGCTCGACCCCGCAAAAACCGTAGCTGACCCGAGATGATCGTCGGGTTGCAGTGCAGAAGTTTTTCGAGGCAGTCCGGAAAGCAATATCACTGCACGTGCAATATAGTCCTGGACTTGGTGGGTTTTGTCGTGAATAATGGAGTAATATGTTGTAGTACTGGTATACGGAGTATGGAGCAGTTGACACTATGTAACTGCAAGCCAGGACCAGACCGGAGTAAAGACGGACGGGGCCCTTGATTGCCGGGAAGCCATCATCGTCTCCCGAACATAGCCAAAGTCACAGAGGGAGAAGAGAGAAAAAGGTTCATATCCGCTTTCTGCCTTGACATCGGCAAACATCCTCCTGCATTGTGGTAGTATCAGGCTACCAAGTGGTGGGGTGGACTCATTGTCACCATGTCCTGGCCAAGAGCCTTGCATCAAGCTTTGGTCCTCGTAAAATTTCTTAGGCTTGAAGCTGTTGGACGGCAGGCTCCGAGTCTGGAAGCTGGATGCTTTGATCGTCAAGCCTGGTTATAATTGCTGGTACACGGGGCGTTCAGCATGCAAGATCTCCATATTTAGGGTCTCTCCAAGAAGAATAAGTTCCACAACCAGTTGAACAGAGCTTGGCTGGTGGTGATGGTGATCAGGAACCATCTTTTTGCCCTTCTGGTCCACCACGTATCCAGATATATCAAACGTTTCTAACTTTAGAAATCTCTGAAAAGGGAGCACGGCTTAAGCCTGCTAGCCTGATGGGCCTTTCGTCTCTGGCACGGTAATACTGCCCCGGCGTCTGGAGTCAGATGGCCTTCCCTTCTTTATGCTTGGAATTCGAAACGTGGTTGTGATCCCGTTGCTCAATTCAGGCTCGTATGTTTCTATCCTCACCCCTGTTAGTGAACATGGACCAGATCTCGGGAAGGGTAAAGGTGGCTGCTACTCCGTACATAGGACCATGTAACCTATGGGGCTGAGATCGAGTAGGCGTGAGATCCCTGCCTGCCATTTTATAGGGCAGCTTTTTCTTGTTATGTATTATCAAATATCCTCGGCAACTTTGTAAGTTACCAAGCAACGTCCACCAACGTTCGGTAGAAAAGGGTAAAAAAGGCCCCAAAGCGACATCAAACGAACGAGGACAGACGCATCGAGCTCCCGTGGTAGTATCGCTAGTTTACTCTCGCCTGCATCTCGGGGTCTTTCTCCCTGTAATTAATTGAATACGTTAATCATCAAAGAACTCTACAAACATGCAAGAACCCGCCGAATCTCGCCCGATATACAGGTCAATCAGTGTATCTTCTGGGGCAGAGGAAGAAGAATTAACGTATATCATTCGTTGCAGTAACACCACCCATAGGCTGCATGGTTTTGTCATGACTCAGGAGTTGGCCGTCTTGTTGACATCCAAGCATCGTACCTATGTCGGTCAGGGGGTCAAAACCTGACTCGCCGAACCAGAATGACAAGTATAACGAAAGATTCCCCCTGTCTGCGGACATGCTCTTGATGAAAATACGCCTGAAGAGTTGCCTTGGGTGCCTATTCAATGGATTTTCCCAAGTTCTATACCCAGTTCTGCTGTCGTATATGCAAACCATCGAAGCCTGCTCTCTTCTATCCATTTCCCTTTTCTGATGCTTGCATCTCTCAACCCAACTTTGATCTTGCAATAAAAGAATATAATACATTATCATGTTACAATATCAAGGATATTCGTCGGAGATGCACAACTGCATGCAACCGCGGCTTCTTGATGAAGTTCACGATTTGAGGGACAGCGGGAGTTTTCGATTAGTTGTATTACTATGTCTGCTAAGTAGTTATGTACACAGACCACAAACTATAGGCCAGTGAGGGTTCCCACTTGCTTTCCGCCTCTCTTGCAGCAGTTCTTGAAGCAGGTAGGGTTTCTGCCATCCATCCAACAGTGGTAGTTGGAGAAGTGAGTGTTGTAATTCTTCTTATGGCACTTTTTCCCGCAGTCGTAGGTTGGCTTGACTGCTCCGACGTGAGGAGTATTCTCGCAGAAGTAGCATGTCGATGCAAGGGCCTGGAGAGGGAGGGCAAGGAGGATGACGGCGGAGAGCTTCATCTTTTTATCGGAGTATTATTGTATTAATTTATTCCTGATAGACTGTCAGACCAGCAGCGCATGAACATTCTCCAGACGTTTATTCCTTACCTTGGCTGTTTGAATTTTGAACCAGAGCGAGAACCTTGGCCTCTTTTGATTATTTGTGGATTAACTAACTGGCAAACAGTTAGAATGACCTCTCTCTCTCTTTCCAGGGCGAATCCCACTCACCTTTTATGTCTTAATCGGTGCATGCTGTAGAAAATACAGCGAGAGACAGCATCATCTCTGAGCTTTTAAATAATTATCCTCCACATGCAAAGAAAAGGAGAGCGGCGCACCATTTCCGCGAAAAGTACGAGTAGTCTCTTGAATACGACGAAGAAAAAACGCCCTTGGTCAGGGGCACGAAGCGCTCAATTCCTCTATTTGGCTAACTTGGGCAGTCGATCGTATGGGCGACCCTTCTTCAGCCTCAAAAAAAAAAGGGTCTATCCAGGTCGAACCTCTCACAAATAAGCCTCGAGCAGAGCTGTCAAGCTGCCAGAATGTCAATGGTTCCGCCCGTCTCGCAATGTGAAACCGGAATCCTTCAGGTTTGGCTAGCTATTTCGCTAAGTATTTAATAATAGCTAAATAGTGGGCCGTTCAGCCCGAACCTGACGATCAAAACGGGACCGGGAGCTCGGGGAGATGGATTTGGTCGTTGACCATGAATATACCTCCATATTAGACAAGCTCGGGAGGTCTGTTGAGCCGCATGGAGGTTCTATTCTCCCACAAAAAGATGTTTTCGCAAGTGATACCTAAGTGGGAAGATGAAATGCTCTTCATGAAAGTGATTGAACTTTTTATGCAGTCAGACTCGCTTCGAAGGCTCTTGGGATTGTTCATCGATCGTTATCCAACATAGGTTGACCATGGTTGAAAGCTGAGTCTTTCAGCGGCATCCTGGTGTGATATGGATGAAGTCACCTCCACACCTTTCAGTGGTATATTCCTCTGCGGGATATATGGTAGTGATAGAGAGGCATGTTTAACCCTTTGCACTAGGTATATTATTCCCATTTCTCTGAATAGTTAGTTACTGTGACTGTCTAGTTACAAGTAAAGAACGGGATTATCAAACCAACTCGAGCCAACGCTCATGAACAACCCTTGCTAATATGATTACTTACATCTACCTATACCACTTATAAGCAAATATATTCTGTGTTTGCAGGTTAGAGTTTGTTATAACTTGCCCCCCAAGATAACCCGGTTATACAGAAGCCCCGTACGCAGAGAGCCCTCTAATAACCTGGCTATTTGGCCGCTTGAGGAGCAGGTTAAGCTTCAGGTTAATTTTAGTATAATTAACAGGTATATATAAGGCTTAGCCTTCTTAGGTTTATTAAGCTCTCTATATACTGATGTCGTCCTGTTCGGTTTGTCACATCCCGTAATACTTTTGCACTGTTGCCTACATAGCAATTTCTGAAATAGGCGGATTCTGGGTAACTTGCTCTTAAGTCGCATTATATATCTGCATCTAATACTCCAAAGCAGTATTATCGCGATAGAAAATCATTAATCCTCATTAGACCCTCAATATCACCCTCAATCGTCCCTGCTTTATCCTTCCCGACCCAGCCTCGAGTATATCCGCCTCCAAAATCAACAATCCATATATCATCCTTTACATCAACTAGAACATTCGCTGGCTTTACATCACCCCATACAATACCTGCATTATGTAAGTGGCGCAATGTGGTTGCCAGTTGACTTGCCCACCTCTCATTTTGAGCTCTTGGTGTGTTAGGGCGCAGTGCGCATTCCAATGTTATGTAACGACAGTCAACCCAAGAGAGCAACAGCCCTAAACACCGCGAGTTGTCTTGAACAACACCGTACAAGACGGGAACTCGCACTGTCATGCTGCGTTGCAAGTCCCTTATGCGCTTGTAGCATTCAAGCTCACGGAGAGCGCTCCTCTTCTCTCTAGCGCCCAATGGCTTAAAGAAACAGGTCTTCCCATCCACGAGCACCTTCTCGGGCAGTTCGACGAGCGCATCCTCAGAGTCGGGATAATCGGAACTAATCTGTACTTGCATCGGTTGATATGAATGGCACACTGTGCTGAGTTTATAGCCATGCAGGTCGACCCCATGTGGTCTTTGTTGTGATAAAGCTTGGTCGCCTGGGAAAGGAACGAGGGTGTCGTTAGTAGCTAGTAGTGAATAGTAAAAAGTCTCTGGATTAAGATAGTCGTAGAGGGTATAAGGCTTTTGTGTATGCGTAAGAGGTTCGGCATCTCGAAATAGTGGAAGGAAGGGCTTTATCGCCCAGTCCTGAAAATCATCAATAGTTAGGCCGTCAAGACCGTCATCTGCTTCTGCTACTTCGGCAAATCGAAATACTGTTCTAATATGGTGGGAGAGTCACGGAGGTGGTCAGGCAGTAGAACGATATAATAACACCTTCCTTTGCATCTCACAGTCATCCTAGACTCTTTTCTGGGGGCGTCAAACCAGAATTCTGTAATGGAGAACCGTGGCAACGAATTCATGATCGACGACGCAGAAGTATTATGACAGTCAGGATGGCCGTCTTCTTCTTATGCTCATTGGCACGTTAAAAGTTACTGCTGGGGGTTTTCGATGCTCGAAGGACTAATTACAACCGTTGGTTAGACGGAGCAACTCCTGCGTATGACGTCACGGGGCGTTACGTCTTCTTTTCGATGGCAGCCCAAGAGCTGGAGGCAAAGAAAAGGCCCCAAAAAGCTGGAGACAGTCAGATTTTTGTCGAATCAGATTCATTTCTCATCACAGCATGTCCGAGGATATGAGGAATATCGGCTATGGCATGTATACTGCTGGTCGGATTCAGGATGCGCGCATCGTGTGTACATGGGCGTTCGACTCTGTACACCCCCCAACGTTTCGATAGCCTGTGGAGCTATTGCTGCACCGATTATCCTAGCAAACTGGGATGGGATGAAAAAGGACAATGATGATCACTCTCTGCCGTGTATCCTTGGAGGTACCGGGCTGAGGGATCAGAATACCCATCTACGCCATTGGGTTGCACCCTGAGGGTTTGTCCAAACCATGGTTATAAATATTATATATGGAGGTCTCCAGCTCCGGATTAATTTCAACCTGAGCTTATAACTATATCCTCCCTCGCCAGTCGGAATTTTTCCTCTCCTCCTCTGGCTGTCTTCTATTCTTTCGATACATAATAACCATCGTCAAGATGGATAAGATACGAGCTTTGGTTAAGGGCCAGCCCCGCCAGTCGAAGGAGGCTGCTGCACCTGAGAGAGAGAGTCATCCTGCCGGGATGGTGAACACACCAATTCCAAGATTAACATGGCGCTCTTTGGTGATGGGAGTCTTCGTGTCGATGGGAGGGTTCCTCTTCGGTTATGACACTGGCCAGATCTCGGGGATACTGGAGATGCAGAATTTTAAGAAACGGTTTGGCGAACCTGGGCCTGAGGGATACTCTTTCTCCAATGTTCGGGCAGGATTGATTGTGGCGCTGGTAAGGGAATAGACCCCATATACCCGGATCTGAACTCTGATCATGCATTTGACTTGGAGCAAGGATTGATTTCAATCGTGGTTCATCCTCAACTAATCCAAGGATTCTTTGATAGCTTTCTGTTGGAACATTGATAGGCGCCCTTATAGCTGGTCCTTTGGCTGACAGAATTGGGCGAAAATGGTCTATATGCATTTGGTGTGGAATTCTTTCGGCAGGTATAATCGTGCAGATTACCTCGCCGGTGCCCAAATGGTACCAGGTTGCGATTGGGCGGTGGGTTACCGGCCTAGGAGTTGGTTCACTGTCGTTGCTTGTTCCGTTATACCAGGGAGAGAGCGCACCAAGACATATTCGTGGCGCTCTGGTTAGGTATGCCAATGTCTTCCATGCGATTGACAAAGGATGCAGGCTAACCCAGCTTCTATCTTATAGCACCTATCAACTCTTCATCACTCTCGGCATTTTCATCGCCAATTGCATCAATTATGGAACCGAAGCCCGCCCCGATTCCAGCTCTTGGAGGATCCCAATGGGAGTGACATTCATCTGGGCTGCCATTCTGGGCTTTGGAATGATCTTTTTCCCCGATACCCCTCGATACGACTATCGACACAACCGGGTAGAGAAAGCCAAGCGAACGATGATGAAACTCAATGGAGTTCCTGAAAACCATGAGAAGCTGCATGAAGAGTTCAACGAGATCCAACGCCAATATGAAGAAGATGAACTTACGAAAGACCAGCCTTGGTACTCGATTTTCTTCGCACCAACTATGCGCTCCAGACTGCTTCTTGGAATAACACTGCAAGCGTTCCAGCAGCTTACTGGCGCAAATTACTTCTTCTACTACGGCACATTTGTGTTCAAGGGTGCCGGCTTAAGCAATAGCTTCATCACCCAAATGATTCTGGGCGCCGTCAACTTCATCGCAACATTCATTGGATTGTATAATATCGAGCATTTTGGAAGACGCAAGTCCTTGATTGCTGGAGCGCTATGGATGTTTGTGTGCTTTGTCATCTATGCCTCTGTCGGCCATTTCGTTCTCGATCGTGGTAACCCTTCATTAACGCCTGGAGCAGGCAAAGTGATGGTTGCGTTCTCATGTCTATTTATCGTAGGCTTTGCATGCACCTGGGGCCCTATGGTCTGGGCCATCATTGCCGAATTATATCCATCTCGATACCGTGCTACCGCCATGGCAATGGCCACTGCATCGAATTGGCTGTGGAATTTCTTACTTGCCTTTTTTACCCCCTTCATCGTTGGAGACATCGACTTCTTATACGGCTTTGTGTTCGCTGGCTGCCTCATCTTGGCTGCCTCTCTGGTCTATTTCGGTGTCATTGAGGGCGCCGGACGTACTCTCGAGGAGATCGATATAATGTACCACTTGCGCGTTAAGCCGTGGAAGAGCTCGAAATTTGTCATTCCTCCTTCGTTCCAGAGGGGCGGTGACTCCAACGGAGGCAATGAAGCAGCGAGAGCCGGGCCCGAATCTCAAGGACAAGCCGCAGCAAACGTACAGGGAGCGAGCTAGAGATTCAATAGACGCTGCTTTTGCTGTCCCCCCAAGCATTAGCAGGGCTATTCCTTTTCATATCTCATCTTTAACGACGGCAATGCCTATCAGTCTATACCCACTACTTGACCTTCTTGTATAGCGTCTGATTTCGCCTTGCGATTGTATATATATTTGAAGTCATTGTTGATTGGCTTTTAATACCCTCAATGAACCATCCCTCATAGGATTTTATATCACAAAAAATAACAACTTACTCCACTCGGAGTTTACCACTGATATGCACTGTGTATGTATACCTGGTTGGTAATCGAGGAAATTTTATGTACATGAAGCACGGAAGCCGGTGCCTAACCGAGCGAGGCAACTTGGGCGTCGCAGGGTGGCGGGGGGCTTACAACCTCGAAGTGTGGTGGTTGCTCCGCGACTTGCAAGAGGTCCGTAGGGTACTTCACCCATATGCGGCCAACCGTTGTGAAACCTTTCCGGTAGTATTGAGTATAGTCCTTGAAGCAGGAAAGAATATGATCGGTTAGCTGGATGACACGCTTTATGAGCGAGAGCCCCCTTTCTGCGCCTGTTCATATACCCAGTCGTTAAGACCCGCGCGGTTTCTAATTGCAGGAAACTTGGGTTAGAAAACAAAAGATCAATATTACTCAGGGATAATAAGGGTTGCCACAAACCTTGCGATTTCAATAGCATAAAACTGCATCCGGACCACTATAATTATATGTAACTCGTTAGCCGGTAATAGCCCACAATATAATGGTATCGTCATCACCAACCAAAAATTGTCTCTTTTTCACCATACTCAAATTTCGGGTTTGCTCTCAACAGGGTGCCAAAGTTGTAATCTGTAACCTTCTCTTCATACTGCTTCATCCAGTTTCTCCACTTTTCTTTGCCCGCTTTGCTCTTCATTTCATCTTCATTGATTGTGGCGGCAGGGTCGAAGTCGGGGAACTCGGTTTTGAAGCTCTCGTATATCTCATCATCCAGCTTTGTGAGCCGTAACTTTGATCCGGGTGCTCGCTCGAGGATTGCCCAGTATGTTGACATTTGCTGGACAGCTACAACGGAAAGCAGGTGAGCCATTATTTTCTGACATGGAGAAAGCATGAAAACTAACCTTTAACTGCAAATTGTTTTTCCATCTGGAGTGCTTTGTTAGTTTTACCAGTCACAATGTGAATGAAAAAAAAAAAGCTTACATCTTCTAAATTCTGAGCCTTCTCCGGGTCAAACGGGGGAAGACTTGAGGGAGCCATTTTGTAATAGATGAATGCCTCTTAACTGACGATTTGTGGGAGTAAGGCGGGGTGAAGGAGGGGTGAAAACTTGTGATATACGATCAAGATCGGGGCTAGCTTGTAGGAAAATAATGTGTTCTGTAAGCCTAGAAATATATCAGACAAATAATAGTATGAAGGTGCTATTATCATACCTCTTGGGTATGCTTGTGACTGGAAGTTGGATGTTGCGCTTGCGATAATAATTTCGACTCACGAAATAATTTGATAGCCGCCGGATTATTTAACCGCCGATAGAATAGACCGGGTGGATTACCTAATACATCAATGCCAAGAAAGTTTGATGGATGCAATATTACGTCATTCTATTGAAGGGATCTGGGCTTTTATAAGGGATATCATTCGTAAAATCTGGTAGGTAGAATCTGCTCCAAGCCGCCTGTATTTATCCAAGAAGATATGGGCCGGAATGCATGGGGGAATAAACAGTATATGCAAATTAATAAGTAAAGACACGGTTTAGTCAAACTCTTCGATACGGCCTTGCTCCAAAGCCGTTCGGACTGGATTCTCAACATCAACAACCCCCGTAGCGCGGAGTCTGTATAGGGTAAAAATGGTCAGCCAAGTTGAAAACATTAAAGGGGATGAAAACTACAGGGGCATACCTTTCAAAAAGAACAAACAGCCTCTCTGCTTCACGCTCCTTTTCTTCCTCAGTCATTTCTGGCCCATCATCTACGGGCTCTGCATCAAAACGCTGGCCTGTGATTGGATTAACAGCGGAATCGAATTCTTTAGTACCTTTGGAGCTGTAGGCTTCCTTTGCGCTTTCTGGAATCGCCATATCATGCGACATGAGGAACCCAGCAGCGAAACCGTACCCTACATTTCTCACAAAGTCGTTGGCATGACTTCCTGATAATTCAAACATGAGCGCTGAAATGCCATCCCGTAGACTAGGAGCCACAGGAGACGTCGACAGCCGTAGTAACCGGGATGATAAGGTGTTAGACTGGCCGATAGGTAGATCGTGATCGTTGTCTTCCGGGAGAAGTAGCCATTCCATGTATTTCCTCGGCCCTTCCGGGGCAAAAGAATATATCTTTCTGAGAAGGGTAAGTAGAGGAACAACGAGGGTCTCTAGGTGGGATGGCTTATGCATTGCCACGGCTTGGTCAAGAATGTTAATTAGCTTATCCACATTGCAGTTCTGGTCGAACTTTGGGAAGAGTGGGTTGGTGCTGAAAGGCTTGCTCTTCTCTGCCGCAAGATCGAGGTTCAGCAGCGAGTTGATGAGGTAATTGACGGGAGCTTGCAACGGCGGCGTTGGGATCTCAATAAGACTTAAGATCTTGAGTATATGCGGTATTGATGGAGAGAACGTTGTAGTATGGTGGGGATAGTAATTGGTTATATTGAACATCAGTTTGAGTGTCTCTGAGAGCGCAAGCTCATCGATACACGTAAGTTTCTTCTTTTTCCCCTTGGAAAATTGTTTGGAATGGCGATGTATATGCTGCACTGAAGTCAGCCGTCTGGAGTGATATTCAAGAATGGGGCGGGGCGTATGTCATACGTTGTTGATGCTCTCTCCCAATGAACATTCGCCAAACAACTTATCAAAATCCAGATCAGAGTCATAAGTCGTTAGGAATAGGAGCCGTGAGCAGAGAAATTCATCGTCAGAGTTATCCTCCTATACCGTCTAGTTAGCTTCATTTTTCCCCCTCACTCACTATAAATGCTGATGTCACACACCTTCAACTTCTCTGCCGCTTTCCTTCCATTTCCAAGATCGACGAACCGTTGACGTGTAGCCTTCTCAAGCAGTAGCGCATTTGCCAGACATCGCAGAGCTTCTCGATATATAATCGCCTCTGGCTCGTCGAACCCGTAGGCGGAGAGTGTCGCTATACCCTAGACGGCGTTAGAGCCATGGTAATACGCTCGTTCAAAATCGCCTGCTTTCCGTACCTCCTTTTCGTATATGGGATCCGCGTTTTCTGGCTTTCGGCCATGGACTCGAAGTTTTTGCAGAGTTTCGATCCGTTCTATTGAAACAATAAGTTATTATGCCAGGTCAGAAAAGAACGATAGGAGATTTGTAGTGACGCATACTGGATGTTGGAAGGGTTTTCTGGTCTAGATCTGAACGCAGAATGTCGAGCAGGTGGCGCACTTCAATTAATTTCTCTAATACTCAGGATGTTAACGATTGCGCATTAGATGAGGTTGCGGCCATACCTTCGCCTTGTAGTTCTAGGGTGTCCATGGCTGATGGACGCAGCGGGGTGTCGCCTTCGTTCGTTTCCTTTCTCCCTCTAGAAATTAAGGTATTCCTATATGCGCGTCAGATGGCGTCTTCAGGTGGTTCTTAAATATTTTGCTTGCCAGTTAACCAACTAGCCGTTTAACTAGTGTAGTTGTATGTACAAAGGGGCAGAGGCGGGGCGGCGCTGGCGAACTTCTTGGGCTTCCAAGGTTTCTCCCAAGCGCCCTTCAGTTTTTCGGAAGCAGTTGATGATCCGGAGAAGAAGAAGGGGGCAAAAGGACGTTCAAGTACCGTGGAATCCGAGTAGCCGGTGAAGTTATTGGATTGATGAAAGGATTACGTATAATTTAAAGGCCAATAGTTTAATCCGGTCGGTTGGTCAAAAAGGCCTGGGTAGGTGTTCATTGTCTGCTGTATTTACACGCTCTTTTACATATTCCCCTACCGTTTTGCTATTGATAACAGTCAATTATTCAATTATCTCTTGACATCCTCTGCATATAAATTCATTATATCCTGAGCCAGTAACCCTTGAGATAATAATTAAATCTGCCGCTGTCACGCCGTGGCGAAAACACCATTGCATCATGCATGTTCGGTCAATCAAAAAAAAAAAAAAAAAAAAAGGCCTCTCAAGCCTACTGGAAAGCATTTATATAGGCGTCTTCAACTTTCATTGTGCTCGGTCAGCCTAAGAAGAAATAATGCTTTCGTACGGCACTTTCTTTCTTCATAGCCATGGCGTGTCTCCACAGCCGCGATAGGCGTATTCTTTGTCTGTCCGCGGAAGAAGATACACCATGCTGGAGATCAGCTACGAACACTGATCTCTGCCTGGCCTGGCTCAGAGATCGATCGTGAAACAGGGCACTGTAGTTGACCGGAGTGACTGTCGTCTGCCATGCTGGGAGGACATGCTTCCCTTCGTCTATAACAACAACTGCAGCTGTGCTTCCACACAGGCCGATCCGGTCCTCCAAACGATACGAACGGCCAGTCGTCGTCGTCTTCTCATCGTTAAGAAGACGAAACGACCCCTGGAGAAGAAGACCTGACGGTTCTGGGAACACGGCTTGACGACCTGGTGGATGGATGGCGGACGTCACTACTATGATAGTGAAAGGCATCTCCATCCCTGCAAGCAGGCCTGGAGTTGTTTCGATACCTCACCTTCGAGGTATCTCTACGTTGGCGAACCAGCGTCTCACAACATTGAGGTATTCAGTCATAAATACAATTACCGAACACAGATATAGCTTTCCCAAGTGCAATTGAACGACCGACAGATAAAGAGCAACCGACAGCGCAAGCAAATATCAAACACCGCATAGGCCGCAACTAAGATGATAGCCTGAAAAGAGAGACCACTGTTGCCCTGCTTACTTAGTTGCATGCTTGTTGTTGGCGAAAGGAGTCCGTTTGTCCCGCTTCATCTATATATAATCCCTTACCGTCCTATTCTCCTATAACGCGAGCCTACTAGCTACCTGGAGTTCGAGATAGGCGGCAACCGGAACACAAATTCTTAAGAACCCCGAAATATCTTGGTACTGCTACGTTCGAGAAGTGGCTATGGAGTGAGGATATTTAAATGTCCATCAGGGCTTTTTAGCAGTTGTTTTTGGGGAGATTTCAAGGCGCCTTTATTCTATGAATGCTGGGTATCGTGTAGTAATTCGTGTAGCCTAGTGGTTAGTGCAGGGCCTAAATGCGATTCTCTGGATTGCGCTTCTTGACACTCACCTCGCCTTTCAAATTCATAAGCATCCTCTTCTTCAGCTGCAGGTTTTGCAACTCCTGAGCCAAAAACCACGCTGTTCCCTGGCGTGTAGAGAGGTATATCCACGTCCTTGTAGACATAAGGCGTTTTATCACCTTCGACTTGCACTTCACGCCGGCGCACTTTGCGGATTTCTGACAAGTCCGTTGCTGGGTTCCAATTCCGCCCTAGTAGGGAGGATATCGCACATGAATGATATCTTCCCGTATACAGAATCGTAGATCAGCAAGAGCCGGAGCGTATTCACTATTGGGATGTGGTGATTTCTCCAACGTCAAGCGTAGTGACCACTTGGCCTCCTTGTAGTTATCGCATTTCAAATTGATAATCTACTGGCAGCGCATCGCTGCCATGGATAGATTGAAATCAACTCGATTGTTTGCGTGGGGGCCGGAGTGCAACGAGGATCATAAAGGAAGGCGAGAAAATATTATTTTATGTACATGAGAGCGGCTTAGTCACGTGATATGCCTATTGTTGTAATACGGTTCCTAATATGGTTAGCGCGTATTATCTAACAAGACAAGCAACCTTAAAAAGGAGTAATATACTATATTAGGTTAGTGGAGCCAAGGCGGGCATCTTGTGCTGTCGATCAGTGGAGACAAAGTTGGTGCACAAAGTCTGTGTTTTCTTGCGGATGCAAGGCTGAAACTAAGACACCTCGGCTGAAGGAGGTGGCACTGGACATCCATCCTACACTCACCCAGCGGTACATACATCTTGTTAGGGACCATCGATAGGGGCATACGGGGTATGCCACCGGTTCGTGCAGGGTCTCTTTTTGGGTTGTTTCCCTTTTTTAACTCCATTCATTGGCGAATACAATCGAGGAATAGAGTATATGGTTCTATACATGTGTATGCTGCGCAAGGGGCCAAATGCACACATTAACCCTGCAAGCAGTCAGCCAGTCATAGCCATGCTATTGAGACAGCACTCCCACAGCTACCACTGTACCCACAGGTTGTAGTTTGTTATAATATAAAAGGCTTCAGGTAGCCTGCGAAAGTTATTAGGATGGTCAACACCTCATATTAGAGATCTTCACTACACAGCTTTCCCAATATGGCCGGCCTGTTAGAAGGACACCCAACCACCCATCTTGGCCTGGTAGTCTTGCTTCTCGCCGGAGTAGTTTTGATATGCTTGAAAATTGCCCCATGGACCAGAAAGGAGCCACTTTCTCGCTTCCCGGTAATCAAATTGCCATCTAACGACATGCAACCTGGACTTACCCAGGGATCAATATTGGTATGAATTGCTATTTCCTATGCGCATCGTCTCTCCTTTTTCCTATCTAAATTAGAAAACAAATAATCTGACATAGACCATGCAGTACCCAGACCAGCCATATGACATCCAGGTCCCTGCAAAGCGGATGACAATTCTGCCCCGTAAATACCTGGACGAGATTAAACGCTTCCCCGAGAGCCAGATGAGCTTCAAGGCCCTGGTGAAAGATGCGATGGTTGGAGAATACACGCTGATCGCAACCCATGACCACAGTCTGGTAACCGCTCTTAGACGTGACCTTACTCAAAACATAGTTCATGCTCATGAGCTTCTACAAGAGGAAGCTGTCTCGGTAGTTAATAAGAAGCTGGGGTTCTGTGGGAATGGTAAGTCATATGGCCCCATCTTTGAACATGAAGAAAGGTCTTGTAATGTTGAAAAACCCAAAGACTATGCACCTGTGAAACTCTTGCCGACGCTTCTCGAGATGGTGTCTTCTATGACAAGCCGTGTTCTGGTTGGTTTGCCGCTTTGCCATGATAAAGAATGGGTAAGAATAGTCCAGCATGCTGTTATTGAAACTTGTTAACGGTACCTGTATAGCTGGGATGCATGTTGAAATATACGGAAGATGCTTTCAAAGCCGGTATGATCTTGTATTTGACCCCCAACATAATTCACCCGCTTTTGAACATCTTCCTCCCACAGCTATGGGCCGTAAGGCGACATTATTCTACCGTAAAAAGGTCAGTGATAGCCTATCCATCACTAGTTAAAACATACATACTTACCATTGAGATTTAATGAGATAGATTACTTGGACCAATACTTCAAGACCGCGTGGAGAAGCTTAAGGATCCCGACTATAAACCACCTCGCGACATTATTCAATCTTTCATAGATATCAATGAAGAGAAAGGAAAATCTCTAGATTTTCAAGCAACAAACCAACTCATGGCCGCTTTTACGTCTATGCACACAACCTCAATGAATGCGTGCCATGCATTATTCCATCTAGCTGCAGCACCAGAATACATGGCTCCCTTAAGAGAAGAGGTTGCGACAGTTCTAGCAGAGGAAGGGAACATCACCTCGAAAAATGCTATGATGAAACTCAGAAAACTGGATTCCTTTCTAAGGGAGACTCAGCGCTTAAACCCGTCATCTTTCGGTATTTTCTCCCTTTTGTCATTTTCCAATCTTCGGGTGTTTGATAATTAACAACTATTGGGATATGTAGTTGGCATGGAGCGTAAAGTATTAGTCACGACCACCCTTTCAGATGGAACAGTCTTGCCGGCTGGGTCTACATTTGGGTTCAACTCCTTCCAAATAAATTATGATCCTCAACTATGGGAAAATCCAGAGAAGTTCGATGGATTTAGGTAAGTGAATTGAAGGTTACCAGGCTTCCCTTCAAGTATACTTATCATGTTGTTTTAGATTTGAACGACTACGTGCGTCTGAGGGGAACGAGCATAAATACCAGGTAAGTATATATATATTTGATACTCACAAGTAGCCCTAAGCGCATCATTCTCTTACGAATACTCACAGGCTACTTCTATTGGACTTGAAAGCTTATCCTTCGGCCTGGGAACACACGCCTGCCCAGGTAGATTTTTCGCTATTAACGAGATTAAAATCCTTCTTGCTCATCTAATTATGAATTACGATTGGGCATTCCCGGAGGGTCGAGGTCGGCCGGAGAATATCACTCTTATTTCGGCTCTTCTCATAGACCCAAATTCGGAAGTGCTATGTAGGCGGAGGCAATGATGGCAGCCCAGGAATTTCTACAGTATGGAAAGTGTGGGGAATTCTGGAGTGAGGTATTATTCCCTTTAGACGGAACAATAGACAAAATCAGGTTATGACTAATAATGAGGGGAAATTGATTATATTCCATATTGCCAGTAGTTCATAAAGTCATATAACATTGAGTTCGATGTGGTCATTATCCATGTAATATCCCAAGGCCGTCTTCAGCTGGTTTCCCCCAATTTTCTCCATTGTGGGCAAATAGAAAGAATCAGGGTTATCCCAGCCACAATAATACCAACAATAGATACCCCTCTTATCCCACTCTTGTATCCAGTCAGGACACTGGCCAAGTTTACCCCAGTGAATTCATCACGTAGATTCGCAGCTTGGGTCTGAAGGACAGTGGTTATGTTGAGTTCGGGGTTTGTAGTTGCAATTTTCCGTAACAAAGTACCCATAAAGGTAACATCCGACACCTGGTTGAAGAGGAATACCCCGAGAGACTGTAGAAACAATGTTGAGGCCGTAATTGTTGATATATCTTCGCTTTTGACGGAAGTCATATTCACAATAATGGGCACCTGGTGGGCAGCACCGATCCCAATTCCCGTAATAATTTGGTATGCGGCCCATTGGTAGTTTGTTGAGGCGGCATCTAGCGTATAGATGAGGCCACTGCCTATGATAGTAAGACTTGTCCCGAAAACCATCATTGGTGTATAGTAACCGAACCTCCTAATCAAATAGCCTGAAATGATTGAGGCAGACGATATGCCAATCATAAAGGGTATTATACGGATCTTAGAATCTGATATTGACACTTCACCGATGGACTGAAAATATACCGGCAAATTATATAGATGCATAGAGAAAGTTCCGGCAAGAAAAAAAGCAAAGGCAGTGCATGAAGCAGTATCACGGGCAGCGAAAAGACGGAGCCTGATGTTTGCATATGTACCACTCCACCATTCAGCAAGGAAGAATATAGCCAAAAGGACTCCAAAGGCTAAATGTGTAACGGTAGCTGATGCGCTGCCCCATGGAGCATTTGACGTTCTCAATCGCATCGAAAGAATATAGCATGTCATCGCAGGCCACACTGTTACAAGCCCTGGAAGATCAAGTAGGAGCAGCTTCTCGCTTCTGGATGTAGACGGCAGGTTAACCGTAGGGACTGTTTTGAAAGAAAACATCATAGCAATAAAACATAAACTTCCAATTGTAATGTTGGCAGAGAACGTCCATCTCCAGGACGCCGGACCAAGGAAAACTTTCCCGATATATGCACCGACAATGTTAGACATGCCGTACGCTGCACCAAGGATACCAACATAAAATGGGCGTCCGCGTTCATTTTTTATGGAATGTCCAATGATACTATAAGCACCGGTTGTGATTCCACCTCCAGCTATCCCGGAAATTGCACGTCCTGCAATGAAGATTGTTGAATTAGATGCAGTACCGCAGATAATGGAACCGAGCCCGAGAATGAGGAGAGAGACGAGAAAAGCAGGCTTTAGAAAGAAATAGCGGTAGATTTTTCCCCAGCTGGGCTGAAGACTAGCGAATGTCAAGATATAGACAGAGTCGTACCATCCGGAATGTTTAGTGTCTTGGAATTCTATTGAAATATGAGAAACGAGAGTGGCGACAATTGCGGGCTCGAGAAATGTCAAGAAGATGGAGACGAAGAGAACAACAACGAGCAAGATAAATCTCATTCTATCGCGTTTTGGTGCGAGTTCTGCGGCTATGCTTGTCTCTGCGAGCTCTTCGGGCCATTTAGGACCTGTTTTTTCGGGTTCACACATTGTCTCTTGGTAGATACAACAGGCAATTCAACGAGTGCGATAGTCCAAAGAATGATTCAGGGCGGCGACCTGAAGTTGAACTGTAAGGAAGAGAGATGGGGTAGGAGCATGTTATAAGAGTATGGCAAATCTGCCATTATTCAAATACTGACGGCGTTAGATGTGCATGCAGGAGACGGAGTAAACAAAGGGCATTTGAAGTGGCGTTCACACAAACATTCTAATCTCGAAGTTCGATCCAATAGCAGTTGCATATATGTGTAAAATCATCATTGAAAGTGATGTTGTTTGTGCTAACTGTTCGTAGGAAAAATAAATCATTTTTGCCATATTAGATATGAACTTGGAGTTTGGCTGCTAATGGTGGTTTGCAGCTGCGGCCTGCGATCCTTTATTCCGCAAAGGGTAACTGGAGTACCGGTAATATGCCCAGCAGGGATAATAAATCAGGAATATGAACAGTTACTACTAGAAAGAGTATATCTAGTAGTAATTTTAGTGAAAACTGGAATGGCCTTCGTGTGGTATGGCAGTGGCTTTATATCACTTAGGGTATCTGCATCTTGTCCTGATGGAGGCAAATAGCCCGCTGTCTGTGATCTAGTATGGCTTTCAAAGACTGAGTCCAGTCTGTCAAGCACTCACAGGCACGGCCAGGTCCAAAAAATTATGCGCGTTTCTATATACTCGTTCCCGCCCCCAGAGAGCGTCATGTAGCGCCCCTTACAGCGCTTATGGTTCAGTGGTTATCAAGAGATGTAGTTAACTAGGGCGAAATATTCAGAGGATCCTGCTCGTAGGTGCTATTGAGGGTGCCCTTAACACCTAATAGCGATGAACATGGCGCTTCTCTATTCGAATCGACCTTGACAGCGATTTCTGAATCCATCTCCTTCTCAATGGCTCAGTTACCATCTAGGGTTGATCCCTAGACGCCACCATAAGCTAGTTATCGAAGAAGCCATGGCTGGTCAGCCATCCAGGGTTGTGTCATCGAGTTCTCCGATTCATTTCGTTCTCCTTCGTTTGCTAGAATATTCATACCCGAAACGAAAGAACACGAGGCTAGAAAGTGCTAGGATAGCCCATGTCAACGATAGTATGAATATATATATGTATTGCTCTTTGTTGGTTGTGTCGACGTGGTTGGCGAGACGTTGGTGATGGTTAAAACTTTGGCCGCCTTCAACCTTCAACAATCGACTGGAATGCCGTCTCAGCTCGGCCAAAGGGCATTCATGCAGTCTCCCACCTCATTTTTGTGCTTCAAAACCACCCCGTCTCTATTCATCATTGATAAATAGCGCGGGCATCTCCACAGGAACAATAGCAAGCAAGATTCGACTAGCAGAATGCACAAAGAAGCGCGCGCATTCAAACCATTTCAAAAAACAAGAACTATGTACATAGAATGATACCACGGAAAAACAAGATGTCTAGAATCATTGCTTGACCATGGATAAAACACTTATTTTACGGGACTTTGGGTTGCCTCGCCATGACTGCTCTTCCACGGCCTCTTCCAAGGACGATGGAGCTGGAGCTTTCTCTTCCTCTCTGGATTTTGCGGATTGAGTACAAACCTCAAATGAGAGACTGCGGACCGCAACCCGATAGCACACCACTATTGCTGGTATAACAGACTGATCTCGATGCCTCATATCTCGTCCCCGAGTGAACCGTCGAACGATTCGAGGCCGGTTGATGGGCAGCGGCTCCGGGCAAGATGGGCATCACTCTTCCACTTCACCTCCAAGAGGCATCTTGCTCCCTTGGCTCTTGCTATCATCTTTAGCATAGCCCGTGGGCTCGCGGTGCCTGTGCTTGCCTGGATACTGGGCAGGTTGTTTAACGCATTTTCTAGTTTTGGCTCTCATTCAATCTCTGCCAGCCAGCTGATGTCGACTACCTCCCTCGAGTGCACGTATCTTTTGGCCCTCGGGTCTGGCGTTTGGTTTTTGGATTGGGCATACTTCTCTCTGTGGGTTACCTTCGGCGAGCTGCAAGCCAAAAATGCGAGGAAATGGGCATTTGAAGAGCTGCTGCGCAAGGATATGAGTTGGTTTGACGGAGTCACTGACGGGCTCCCTGCGGTCTTACCTCGAATTCAAGCGTATGCTGACAGCACAACTCAATATCAATACTAACATGGCACTGCTAACATCTGATGTTCTATAGATACATCCGGGACCTTCAACTGGCCACCTCTCAACCCTTTGGTGCCACTCTATACAACCTTACCGCTTCTGTGGCAGCCCTGGTTCTGGCTCTGTATATATCATGGAGTCTAACGCTTGTCTGCCTTGCAAGTGTGCCAGTTTGTGCAATCATAATTGCTGTGTTCTCTTCTAAGATTCAACCAAAGATCGAGGGACAGCAGACGGCACTCACAAAAGCGTCCAAGTTTGCAACCACCGCCATTTCTTCAATCGATGTAGTGAAACATTTCAATGGACAAAAAACGGAAATCGAAAGCTATAGAACTGCCATCGAAGTTGCTGCACATTGGTATTACAAGGAGGCTCTCTACAGTGCTTCCCAGATCGGCCTAATATCCTTCCTAACCTTTGGCATGTTTGTACAGGGGTTTTGGTATGGCAGCTACCTTGTAGCCAAGGGTGAACTGACTGCAGGTGAAGTGTTGACAACATTTTGGGCATGTTTACAGGCAACACAGTCGATAGAAGAGATCATCCCTCGCTTGATCGTCCTTGAAAAGGGGCGTACTGCCTCAGCAGCGATTAAGCATACCTTCCATGATACGTGCCATACTTGCACGCTCCAAGATCAAAGGGGGAACTTACTCTCTCCAGTATTTTGTGAAGGTGATATCCGGTTCTCAGAGGTAAATATGATCGTATCTCTTTGAGAAACGAGGCCCTGATTGTTTTCCTTTATTTAGGTGACATTTGCGTACCCTTCTCAGCCTGGAAGAAGAGTATTAGACAATTGCTCTTTCTTCTTCCCCGCTGGTGATACAACTTTCGTCGTCGGCAAAAGTGGCTCTGGAAAAAGTACAATTGGAAATTTACTCATGAGATTTTATGCGCCAACATTTGGGGAAATATATATCGACAACAGGTTGATCCAGACTTTAGACATTAGCTGGATCCGCAACAACATCACGTTAGTTCAGCAAGAGAGCATCCTATTCAACGAAACTATATTGAAGAACATCACATTCGGTTCCCGCAATGTTGAAGATACCACGGCTCGAGATATATCTGCAGCTACAAAACTAGCTGGCTTGCAAGATACCATTCTTAGCTTCCCATCAAGGCTTGACACGATTGTTGGCTCAGGTGGGAGGTCCCTGAGTGGAGGACAACGCCAAAGGGTGGCATTAGCAAGGGCGAGATTGAGGGATACTCCCATCTTACTACTTGATGAGTCCACCAGTGCCTTAGATCATTCAAGTAGGGTGTGTTTAATGAACGCCATCCGGGCATGGCGCCAGGGCAAGACCACCATAATCATCACCCATGACCTGTCCCAAATTCGATCCCAGGATTTTGTGTATGTCGTCGACCAGGGAAAGATAGCTCACCAGGGTTACAAGCATGTCTTAGAGAAGAAGGCAGCTGGTGTGTTCGAACTCAGCAATCTTACGACTCTACCACCAGAGACCACACCAGCCTCTACATGGACTTCCAAAGCCCCAGGTCCCCTGTCGGGAGGAAGAAGGGGCTCAAGTTTTAGCAGCATAGAGCCGTCAGTGACGGAACGGCGCTCATTATCAACTCCGCTTTCTCCCTTCTTTCACCATAGCCTTTCTCTTGAGTGTGCGTATGCGGACGCAGATCAGAGCAGCAGACCAAGGGCATTTAGTACCTCTGGGCGCTTGGCCAATCCTACAAGTCCTAGGTTCAAAAATCCCTTTGCTGATAAAATACTCTCAGAGTTTGATTCACCGGACGACAAAAGGGTGGAGAAAGATTTAGGGCAGCTATCTGATCAGGTCCCAGGCGAGCAAATGCCATCGCCGAAGGAGTCAGGGCGAGAGTTTTACTCGATATTACAAATTCTCTCAACTGTGATACCGTCCCTATCATCTTTAGGCCGAATATCCTTACTTTTCGGTTTCATTGCTGCTTTTTTTAATGCGGCTGCAACTCCATGTTTTTCTTATATGTTTTCTCAGCTGCTAAGTACGTTATTCATTGTTGAAAACAGATCCCAGCTAGCAAAGCAATGGGCACTTGCAGTCTTGGGCATAGCAATTGTTAATGGGGTAGCGTCATTCTTCATGCACTATCTCCTGGAACGATGTGGTCAAATCTGGATAGATCAGCTTCGTCACAGAGCCATTCGGAAGATCCTGCAGCAATGCAAGTCTTGGTTTGAAAGGGACGAAAACAGTGTATCTAACCTAAGTCACTGCTTAGATCGGAACCCTGAGGAAATGAGAAATCTCGTTGGGCGATTTGCCTGCTTCGTGTTTGTTGCTGCTGTCATGACACTGATCGGGTTTATCTGGGGAGTAGCAGTGTGCTGGAAGCTAGCTCTAGTTGGTGCTGCCACTGCGCCTCCTCTCTATGGCCTAACAAGACTTTATGAGAAGATCAGTGGATTTTGGGAGGCCAAGTCAAACGAAGCCAGTGAGATAATGGCGGGAGTATTTGCTGAGACTTTCCTCGATATTCGAACAGTTCGATCACTGACCTTAGAGTCGTACTTCCATACTAAACACAACACATCCAATGGCAAGGCTTTGACAATTGGTACCAAGAGAGGGTGTTATTCTGGCCTATTCTTTGGATTTTCAGAGTGTTCGATTCTTTTCGTCTATGGTAAGGAGCTATGCTGAGCCCGTGCTTTAAATATCTTGCTGACATTGTCGCGACCTAGCTCTCATCTTTTACTACGGGGCAGTACTTGTTTCTAGTTCACAATATTCAGCCAAGGATGTGCTGATGGTTTTCTCCATGCTACTGTTTAGCATGGCAAATGTGAAGGGAGTACTCTCCTTGGGTAAGCTATTCCCCATTCCCGTCTACTTGATTTTCATGTTAATGATGTCTTAGTTCCACAAATGAGCTCTTCTAAAGATTCTGCGACTAGGGTATTGCACCTGGCTGACATGCCCGAAGATCAATCGCATGAGGGTCAAGGCAGCCTCCACATCCCCAACCCTGCGCCTATTAGTTTCAAGAATGTGGATTTTAGTTATCCAAACCGGCCTGATAAGAGGATATTGAAGAACTTCAACCTGAACATTCTTAAAGGAACTTGCACTGCGATTGTTGGGCCTTCTGGCTCGGGGAAATCAACCATTGCCTCTCTACTGCTTGCACTATATCCAGCTCCGCCACCCGAAGGTAGCAGAGGCAGCATCACCCTGAGGGGTGTAAACATCCGCGACATCCATGTCCCTACACTGCGGTCATTGATCTCGATTGTCCCCCAGGACCCTACGCTGTTTCCTGCGTCTATCAAGGATAATATCATCTACGGGCTGCCAGAAAACTCTCCACTCGAAATAGCCGCGAATATCCAAGCTGCTGCTACGGCTGCCGGAATTCACGATTTCATCTCCTCACTACCGTCAGGGTATGATACACTGGTTGGAGATGGCGGGGTAGGTGTTTCTGGTGGCCAGGCGCAGCGAATTGTGATTGCCAGGGCACTTGTCCGCCGGCCACAAGTACTGATACTAGACGAGGCAACATCGAGCCTTGACATCGAGAGTGCAACTGTGATAAGACAGACGGTGGCGAAACTCATGGCTTCCAAAGAAGGCCTGACGGTGATTATAATTACACATGCCAAGGAGATGATGGAGCTGGTGGATAATGTGGTGGTTGTGGACGAGGGGACGGTGGTTGAGGAAGGGTCCTTTACTGACCTGAGCAGCCGGAGTGGCGGGAGGCTGAGACGGTTGCTGAGGATGCAGCCGTAGCGTTTCCAATACACTGTCATCCTGTTAATTATTGTAATGATATTAAATGAACATAAGTAGCTTGTTTCATGTTCAAGTCACGGATTTACACACCTTCTCGTTGGCATCAATCTATACCAATTATCCTCCACCAACAAGAGCGCCCCTTAACTCGTGCGGCACTACTCCATCTCACAGGAAAATAAGAAAAGAAGTAGAAAAAAAGAAAAGAAAGATCGAGGAAGAGCCTTGATTAGACCGAAGCCATCGCGCATAAGTATAAACCTTAGGCCAAGCCGATCGCGGGCATTTTCTTCCATAACTCGCTGGGATAGGCCGTTTCAAGGGGATCTGAGGCCGCTGCCAGGGAATCGGATTCGATATATCTGATCCCGTGGCGGGCTTTTGAGGCTCCTGAGCAAGAGGGAAGAGAAGCGGATGGAAGGAAACGCCACTGGCGTATAAAGAGGTCAGGGCCGCACTCTTTTTTGGCTTGCTGGTCCCTTTTTTTTCTTCCTCTTTTCTCTTCTGCATTCATTTATTACTATTTTATTTTTTCTTTGCTACCTCTGGTTTGTGGCTGATGTCGATGGATTCTACGGAGTTCGTCTATAAATATACCCCTTACGTCGGATCATGCCATGGAGAGAGACGTCATGATACATAAGATATAAAGAAACACCATCTGTCTTGCATCGTCACTATGATAACCATAGGCTATTGATACCGTTGCATGCTACTGCAGAGCAACGCGAATCAGATTCCTCCTGTTTCCCGACTATTTGGCTGATAATTTTCCTAATCCAACAATGCCATCGCTGAAATAACACCAAAGAACAAGAGGTATTCCCAAGAACAAAAAAAGAGAGAGGGAGAGAAATCCAGCGTGCTTAAAACGATTCTATGGCCCGGATTGAAGTGGTGAAGAGTGAGTATGGGAATATTAGAACTGGGAACCAGCAGATTGATCGAACTCCAACAAGACGGAGAATGCAAATAGGAAGCGATATAATGTGGTATAGTGTGGCAGGCAACCAGAAATAAAGAGACAAAAGGGTATAAAGTCATCCCCAGCGTGTCATGGGGATGGGTAAGTAGTACGGTTTATAGAGATGGGCGGGGAAATAACAGATACGGGGTGCTACTCCGTTTCAGAGAATTTTCGCTTTCCCATACCTGGCTTCCGGGCTGTGATGACATGGCTATAGATGCGATTAGCGATGGCGGAGAATGAACAAGGCAAAGAGTTTGGTTGCATACACTATGTTATACCCGTGTAGCGCGCGATTGGCAAGATCTTTCCTCAAGCCAACGAGGAAGAGCTCCATCTCCTCTCTGGACCAGCCGAGGACTTCGACCAGCAACCCCAGGGCATAAGGTTGGAGGGCATCGGAATACTGGACTTGCTGGTACCGGCCGGCGAGCTTGAGCTCCGGGTCCTTTGGCCAGGTGTTGATAGGCAGTTTGAACTGTTCCTCCTTCACATCGACGAAGCCGGCCTCCTGCATCCATCTCTTGACGTTTTCTGGAGCAGTCAGGGTCTGACCGATAAGGCTGCATGCTTTGATACAGTTTGATTCCCACTGGCGCAGGTGACAGTCTTCGGGGATGGAGTCGTCGTCGCATGTCGCGTACACGTCGGTTTCTTTGGCTTCGACATATCCACCCGGCATCAGGTTGCTATCGCCCTTCTGTCAGCCACTTCAACCACAGGACAAAACTCAAATACAAAAAAGACTGGAACCTCGGACGGGAGTGGCAACGGGAGCGGGAAGGTAAAAGACAAAAGAAATATATCGATAAAAAAGAAAGCAAGACAGGAAGTTTAGGTTCAACGGGTTGAGGGTCTAGTTTGTTGACATACTCGTATATTTGAGAGAGTAAACGGCGCCAGTCGCGGATTGCACCGTTGAGATTCTGGAAGTGAATGAGGTCGAATCGCTGCCTGAAGGTCCATTCGCTTTCTGCATCGTCGATCTCGAACGAGATGTTTGGTGAGACCCTGGCGGTGGCGGGTTAGTAGTCTTCTTTACTAGGGGGGATTCGCATGAATGGAGAAGAGAAGCAAGAAAAAAAAAAAAAGAAAGAAAAAACGGACCAAGTAGGCTGGATGGGCGAGATATCGGTTCCTATAACGTGTGTGGCTGGATATGCACTAATCATAAGCTGCAGCGTGAGAAACGAGAGACATCACTCTTGAGCAGGATGAGAGACCGGGGGAAAGACGAACTCTGCAACATCCAAGGCCCAGATACCTGAAATACGAAGAGTCAGCATGCAGCTCGAGCCGCCGGGAGAAGAAGAAGAAACTTGCCTGTGCCTGTGCCGATGTCGAGTATCCTCTCTGGACTGTCTGATATGGGCGCAAAGATGAGCCGCCCGCCAAAGAGCATGCCGTATATATGTTGGAGGAAGTCATGGCGATCCGACTCGGCCTGGCGATGTTAGAAGAAGCAGAAGAGAAGCAGAAGCAGAAGAAGAGGCCAACCTCATCGTTGGGCAGGCAGTATCGCCCTCCTCTGAATGAGGCGTAACGACGTCCGTTCCTGTAGACATAGCTGGTAATGCTGGACGTCAAGGACTGTAGCGAGTTTTCATCGCTATCCACCCATTAGATGATTGAACCTCTTAGAAAAAGACACGATTTAAAGAACGATAAACTAACCCATCGCTTCCGACAGCAGAGTCACTGTCATCGAGCTCGTCGTCCTCGTCCGGCGCCAGCTGCGGCGCATCCTCAGGCTCAGGACGACGGACGGGCGAGCCGGTCGAGGCCTGTTCAGCAGCGACGGCGACGCTCTCGTCCGGCGACGGTTTGACCAGCTTCGAAGGTCGAGGGCCGTCGGTCTCAGGCTGGTCCTCGGCGGTCGTAGAGTGCGCCATGGGGCGGTTCTGTCGCTGTCGCTGCTCCTGATGCTGCTGGAGGTGCAAACGAGAAGGAAAAGCGACTCCGGTCAGCGTGTCGTGTATATGTTGGATCCGCGGGATGCAGCAGAAGTAGCACCAACAGGCCGTACCAACTCGTCCTCCTCCTCTTCTTCTTCTCCTCTCCCTCTGATGGCTTATAGAGGAAGTAAGTTGTTCGATGTAGTCGAGCCCGTCTTTGTCCGTCTTTGTCGCATACGTAGATATCTCGAGACAGCGTCCACGGAAGACGAAGAGAGAGAAGAAGACCGTTTCTCTTCCTGGCTCAACAGGTCAGGCAAGATATCCGTCTCTCTCTGTGTTCCCCTGTCCTTTTCCCTCTCTCTCTCTCTATGCATCTTCCAGGGTTGTTGTTATATGTTAAGGGGGGGCCTTGCTTTTCTTCTTCTGCCTCTGCTCCCCTGCCCTTACGTCGCATGAATATATATTCATTTATATATATTCAACTGCTTTTATAGCTGCTTCCAAATCCCTGCTAGCATATACATTACTTAGACAAAGTGAACTAACTAGCAGTCAAGTTAGCTGGCTTCTTCCTTTTCTATATATCTTTCTTTCTAGTTTGCTTGCCTGTCTTTTTTCTTCCATAGTAAAAAAACCCGCCCGACTTCGAAGACATCGACATCGAGAGACGTATAGATAGATCGATCGAGATGGCGACGATGACGGTGCTGGGCCTCGCTGCCGCTGCCGGCCTGCTCTCCCACTGGCAGCTCTTCCTGCGCGGCGAGTGGGAGAGACATGCTCCTCTGGTTGCTGCTTTCTACTCCCTCGCGGCCGCTGGCTTGCTTGCTGGACTCTTGTTCGTCCAGCGTCTGCCCGTCTTCGACTCGGTGGTGACGCTGGCTGCTCTCGCTGCGGCCTACTCGCTCTCTCTCTTCGCCAGTATATGCATCTACCGGCTCTGTTTCCATGCACTCAAGCAGTTCCCTGGGCCCGTCGCCGCCAAACTGTCCGGCTTCTGGTCTGTAGCCAGCTCCCTGCCTCAATTCAAGTTCCACGAAGCCGTTCAGGGTCTTCATGCCGAACACGGTGACTTTGTTCGTATCAGTAGGTTTTTTTTGGCCTCTTGCTACGTGGTGTTGTGCTGACTGCTGGTTAGGACCGCGCGAGATATCAGTCAACAACGCATCTGCCGTGCGTGATATCCATGGCTACGGCTCAGTCTGTCTCAAGGGACCCTTCTATGATCTCAATTACCCGTCCAGGTCTCTTCAGATGACGCGAGACAAGGCATTTCACTCGAGCAGACGGCGTACCTGGGACCGAGGCTTCAGTCCAAAAGGTGCCCCTGAACTGCTCTCTCTCTCCCTCTCTGTCAAATGCTAAGGATCTACTAACATCTCTACAGCGTTGAGCGAGTATGAGCCCCGTGTGTTCCAGCACTGCTTGGAGCTGGTCAAGCAGCTCTCTAGGCTGTCTGGCACTCCGGTCGACATCGGTAAATGGTTCAAGTACTTTGGCTTCGATGTCATGGGCGACCTCAGCTTTGGACGCTCCTTTGACATGCTCAGGACGAGCAATCCACACTTCCTCTTTGGCATGATGGAAGCCGGCAAACCGGTTGTCGGCACCCTCATCAGTGTCCCCTGGCTGTTTATTCTCTTCCAGAAACTACCTGGCATCAGCCGTGTGCGTGCAAACTGGATCTCCTGGTGCGGTGTCCAGGTCCAGGAGCGGATGAAGGTACTGCTTACTTCCTACGTTAATATACATCTACTGACGAGCAAATAGCTGGGGACGACACGGCCCGACTTGTTTTCCTATATACTGGGAAGCGACCTCAGCGAGGCGATTTCTGACGGAGACCTGACTTATGACGCCGAACTGGCCATCGTGGCAGGGAGTGAGACCACCGCACTCAACCTGACCACGGTACTCTACTTGCTCGCGCTGAATCCAGACCAGAAGAAGGCATTGCAGGCAGAGATTGACCTGCTCGTGCCTACAATCGACCAGCTCTCGCACCAAAAGCTGGCCGGCAGCCCCCTCCTCGAGGGTTGCATCAACGAAGGCCTGCGCCTATACCCTCCCGTCCCCAGCGGAGTGCAACGCCTGACCCCTCCGCAGGGAGCAATGATTGCTGATAGATGGATTCCTGGAGATACGATCGTCTCAACTCCCACATTCTCCCTCCATCGCGGTACGTATCACGACTTGAATCCCTGCTAGCCCAAGTTACTTTCTTTTTTTCTTCCTTTTTTTTTTTTGTACTTCTGACCTTTTTTTTTCTGCCTTTCGTATTATTGCGAACCCTTTCCCCTCATCCCCGTCGTTTTGAGTCAAATGTATGTTCTAACATGGATATAAATTACCCGATCTAGATAGCAGATACTTCGTCAAGCCCGATCAATTCATCCCCGAACGATGGTCATCCAAGCCTGACCTTATCATCCGGAAAGATGCCTTCAGCCCCTTTTTGGCCGGCAGATACTCCTGCGCTGGTCGCCCGCTGGCCATGATGGAGATGCGCATGTTGCTTGCCATGGTCGTCCGTCTGTTCGACTTCAACTTCCCCAAAGAAAGCCGTGTCGGCGCCGAGAAACTCTACGACGGTAAGGGCGGATTTAGAGACTACTTCACGGCTGATGCGCCGACGGTTCCCCTGGTCTTTACCAAGCGTTCTCCCGACCTCGTAGCCAATGGGGCTTGAAGCTGGTTTGTTCCTGTTCCTTCGTTTTTCCCTTTCTCACCTCCTCCTCCTTTTTTTTTAACACAAATAACTCCTTACCTTTTCAACTTTAGTCCTGCAATTTCACTTCTTTTCTTCTTTTCTCCTCTTCTAAGCGGGCGGGCTTCTTTTCTTTTCTTTTCGGGTGTATATGCATAATGAAGACATTCAATGATTTTTCAGCCCGAAGCCGAAACGATGAACGAGACATGACGATTTCTTTTTTTTTTTTTTTTTTTTACTCCTCTCTTTAGGTCTTCATGCCATAGCTGACGAATTTCCTTGCTGTACCTCTTTATAACCCTCTATGAATTCAGATGCGAACTGAGAATAATCAAGACGTACGCAGATGGCAGCACAACGTCCGTTTGAACACAGGGGATCATTTTCTTTTCCTTTTCTTTTCTTTTTCTTCTTTCCCTTCCCGCCAACCCTACACAAAGAGAATAATAAACTGGAGCCGGCCAAAAAGTATTAATGTTGGACAAAACACCAGATTCGATTTCAGGCGAAGGACGCAGTAGCAACGGGCAGTGGGAGAAAAGAAAAGAAAGCCACTCCTCCGTTTTGTTTCAGCGGCGACGGGATCTAATTGCGGCAGCGCGCGCATAGCGGTCCACATGATATAATACCCCATTTTGAAAGCTGAAAGAAAGGTGCACCAGATTAATGATATTTAAGCCGTACTCCGTATAAATCTATATGTTGGCAGTCCAGCAACCAGCAACGTCACACCAACGCCGACCCGCTGAATGGGAAACGTCCACACCCCGAACCAGCCTGACGGGACACGGGCATCAGGCTCGTTCATGGGTTCTGTCTGCTGCGGCAGTGGTGATTTGCTACCAGCCCTTGAGGATCCAACATGCTGGGCTCTTGTCCGCGTCGCAGCATGATATATATTAACATGATTTAGGCGAGAGATTGGCTTCTTCTTTTTTTTTTTTCTTTTCTGATTCTTTTCTGGTTCGTTTTTTTTTTTTGCATAAAGTTTCAAGGTGAGTAGGGTTTCCCATCTGTCGGTTGGCTGATACATATTTTGGGATTGTGTGATCAACCCGCTTCCACCACATTATTAACTGCAGGTCTGCAACTATAACTTGCGTTGACTTCTAAATCCTGACCTCGTTGGGAGTATGTATGGCCTGATGTGCCCGCAGGGGACGGAGCACATTCCAGACGACGGACGCACGATGTAGGTATAGATACTCTGTACATAGTACGAGTGCATCATGGCGTGATCCAGGTAGCGGGCCATCAAGACCACCTCTTTTTCACATTTATTTGAGAAAAGAAGCCGCGGTTGCATAATGGATGCATTGGTTGGGATATGGGTCAGGGGTTCCCTAGCAATCCCTGACCGTCTGGAGTAGCATTTGGGGTCTAATTTGTCCACTTCGAACTTAGGAAAACGTTATTCAATGGACCATCCGAGGGAATCGCGAAGAAGGGGATTATACGAGCTTACCTTCTATACATACTTTGTGTGGTCGGCTTGTCTCTTCGTTTCCTCTGGTTGAGATTGAGTATGCATGCAACAAGTCAGATCAGTCATCACGCACGACATACAACCCTGTCCAACGCTCATCAAAAGAAACGTCGAAGATCTGCCTGCAGATATCATAATCACCACTGCCCTCGGCGATTTCGGCGTGCGAAATTCGTATCATGTATGGCGTACCTCTCTACGTACATAATCTGTATGTACTGGCAACGCCGGGTCACTCGGTAACCCTTGATCGACGGATCGGCTCAGTAAGTTTCCGCTGCCACATCCATATCCTTACTGTAAATGTTATATATATACCCCAAGGGTTAGATATGGCGAACCAGAGAAACCCTTGACTGTAGCCTGGGGCTGCCTGTCCATGTCCTTTCCGGCCATATTCGTTGGCTGGCTCTTCGTGTAATGAAGATTTCTCATATATTAATAAGTATCAAGTGCAGTCGATGGCTAGGTGTGAGTTCCAGGCCGGACTATATAACGTCCCCCAGTATCAACACATGTGGAGTGTTTGGAAATATTGTCGCTTTTGAAGCCGCCTGGTTGTCTTTTTGCAAGGTCTGACAAGGCCAAGGCAACAACACCATTCATATACACATATAAGCGGGAGGACGGCATGATGCTGCCACCATCAGCAAGTTATGATGCCTTGCTCAAAGTTGTATAGATATCCTCTCATTCGTCTCCCATCATTGTGAGATGCTGCTGAAATTTATGTCTCTTCCTCGACGCTCTTTGAACCGTAAAAGCCTGCCATTCTCTTGCCACCAACATTGGCTATCATATTTGACGGATTGTGTAGTCAGAAAGCCTCTTTTCGTTTCATAATTCATTCTTTGCTCGAGGCCGCCTCAATAGACTGCCGAGCGGTCGTCAGCTCCTATCTCCTGGTTTGTCGATAAGGTGCCGCTTCGCGCATCAAGATTGGTGGTAGCACAGACGAGTAGAATGACTGGTCTGATGGCACATTGAGATGTTTTGCTAGGCATACCAGCCATCAATCACTACCTAGGTGCATACGGGGTAATACCTCAGTGTCTGAGCGCATTTGCCCCAAGCGGCCTGAGGCTCGAAATTCCGGGGCCAAGTCCTTTTCTTTAGCTCCCGGGCCATACCTAATTACATAGTCATGTACGGAGTATTGAAAGCCTACTCTGTGGTTAGGAGTGCACCCGTATGCGGTTCTGTTCACCTTTGAACCTGTCATTGTCGATATGCCGAGCTATACGTATGAGATATTGAAGGGACCTGGCCCAACAACCAAGCACCCTCTCGGTCACCCTTCTTTCGCCTGCAAGTGACTATGGCGCTGAAACCCTAGCCTTATGGATCTCGATGGCTGGCGGAGCCGCGCCCTGCCCCCTCCATGTCGCCTGGTTATACATACACGATACTATGTATATACGGCCGTCATTCCCCATCCTTAGGAATCCTGTAGCTACGTAGTCAGCTTCATATGACAGATATAATAAAGAGCTTTGACTCTCCGTTGAGCCAGGGCAGCTCACTTGTTTCTTCGGGACACTGGGCAGCCAGACGAATGTTCTCCGTTTCTCCTTGCTGATATATTGACGAATAACTGCTTGTTTTCTCGTTGCGAACTCTATTGCTGCGGCTCAGCTCCACTGCCTAGCAGAGCTGTCAACTTGTCAAAGGATGGCGATGCCGCCGTGTCTCGGACAGTTTCTTGGACATGAAGAATCAGACGGACGAAAGGAGAGACTTGGTGCACTTGAAGCCATCGAATATATCGAGGTCTGCCCCGGAACCAACCCAGCAGCAACATATAAACTGGTGGAGCACGATCTGGCCCCCTTGTCACTGATGAAATTATCGCCGTTGATTGGCACGTAGTTGAGGGCGCAGCAGTGCCATCATCACCTCAGCCCTGGAAAAAAAAAGTCACCAGTCAACAATGAGAAGCTGTTTGGTAAACTAGACTGCTCAGGAAAGGCAGTGAATACCTTCGAACCCTCTGTAAAAGCTGTTGGTGTTACCATCCTAGAGAGACAGCCGCCAGATTCCATCGGTCAAGGACGAAGAAGCGAGAGAGCGCAAGCAGGTTTCCGTTCGGTGGTGGCCCAGCCACATCGAGGGCAAGAGAGTTGCCATACCCGTTCAAAGATGTATATTCTCCGGCGAGTTAGTGATGATGATATCAGGTCAGAAGTCCCTGACAACCGGTACTATGTGAGTAAAATATCCTCTCTGGGAGAGATTGATAGATCGAGGTCTGTCTGACGGCCTATATTCTGTGTTTTGCAGGTTGCTATCATCGTCCTCGCATTCGCCGTTTCCTTCATCATAGCGTTCTTCGTGCTACGGCACCTTCGAAGGCAGAATTATCAGCCTCGATTCATACCCGGGAAGTACTTGAAGGGCCTGTGGCAGCGATGGACACCTGGCTCGTCATATAACGCCGTACCAAACGGAACAGCACAGCTGGCCGAAGTCAATGGGAGAGAAGATGCCAGCGAGAGCCGCCAGGAGGCCGCAGTCGACCGTAACACCTCCGTCCGATCTGTGATGACACTCCCATCCTACACGATGACGCCCAAGGCGAGCGAGCGGGTGATTGCCAGAGAAGGGGAGCGGGACGGGATGGACGTTGTCATCGAGTTCCCCGAGACAGCCGAGGAGGAGGAACATATCCGAGAGGAACAGATGGAGTCTCTCTATCAGATCCGGCTGGCGCGAAGGCGAGAGATTGCTGAGCGCGAAGAGGCACGCCAGCAGCGCAGAGAGGCCCGCGAGAGAGGCGACTGGGCCCGTGTAGAGGAGCTTCGACGAGAGAGCCGCGCTCGAGCAGAGGCAAACAGGCTGCAGTCTCAATCCGGATCCCCTAATGGAAGCTCTATCAGCGTTTCTGCGGCCACTCTGCTGGCTGAGCATCAGTCTCGCGCCCGGGAAAGACGAGTATCCAGCGTCTCGTATGCTGATATCGGCCATGTCAGACACGACGGAACCCGTTTATCATCCGGCTCTCCCGACTCCGACTCGCGAGGCCTGCTCGACTCTGCTGCGGCCATGGGATCGAGTCCGCTGGGCATCCACACGCATCAGCGGTCGACGTCGGCTTCGTCTCTGCTGTCTCACACATCCAACAACTCTGATGCAGAGTCTTTCAGGACGACCACAGGGCCTGCAACCCTCCCCAGTGAAGCTGACCTGGGCATGAGCTCGATTCCTCCGCCGTATGAAGCTGTGGAATGGGGAGATGCTCCTCCGTACCAGCCAACGCCGCCCAACGAGGCCGCCGACATCGTTGTTAGTGAAGCCGTCGACGGTGAAGTCGAGGCTGTCGAACACGCACCGAGACTCCCGCCGCTCTCAACACTGCCCAGTATCGCGATAGAAGTTGCTACGCCTACCAGCAGCGCGCCGCAGACGCCTGTATCGCATCTCCAGGCGCCCTCGCCAGCTCACAGCCCGACTTCTGCTCCGAGATAGGGGTATCTTTGCCGTGGGTATCTTCATCTTCTAGGCTGATGTCTTTATATATCACTTCTCCCTTTTACTTTGCCCCTTTTTTTCTTCTTTTGGCGTTTTCTTCTTCCTCTCCAGCGTGTTTTTGTTTATGAGCTCGATGAATTTCTTGTGACGTTGCAAGATGGGTTGTATAGATGTTATTAATTAAGGTCACTTTTTCATTTTTATACAAGACGAATTGAGTCTTATTAAAACAGCATGTCAACTTCTTTTAGAGCCCTTTAACGGACTAATACTCTGAATATACCATGTTTATAACCGTAAAAGATAGGGAAATAGCCAGCATAAGTTATTTTAGACCTAAAGAATAGTAGATGGCAGGAAATAAAACCCATAACAAAAGATCAGCCATTCTAATAGTTCAGTAACAAATCTCAATGTAAACACGGAAACGTTTGACAAGAAACGAAATGCAGCATCTCATTAGTATAGAAAAAAAGGGGGAGAGCTAAAAGGGACCAACTTCGCTTCACCAGTCGTCGTCGTCATTATGTTTTCCCTGCATTGCACTCTGGCGCTGCCGTAAGGCCTCCGCAAGACCACCGGCCAAGCTTGCGTTGCTCATACTGTTTGGAGTTGCCCGGCCGCTTGCACCAGATGAATCCTGTGAATTCATGCTGACAGCGCTATCCCGTGGAGCTACGGGAATTTGTTTGCGGACGTTGATCGGGCGTTTAGCTGGGGGTGCGGGGGGAGCAGGCTTTACCTTTGCGGCGGCAGATCCACCGGCACGGCTTGCACCGTTAGACACGGGGGTGGGAGTTGGAGCTTTGGCGGCTACCGGGGGTGGCGGAGGTGGAGGAGGAGCAACCGCTGCCTCCTTCACTTCTTCAAGATATGCTTCTGGCGTCCATCCCTGGATGCCCGAGCTTGGATTCATGCATAGCCACCAGCCTATACAAGTTGTCAGTATATTTTAAATCCTATCAATGACGAAGGGCTAAAAAAAGAGGGCCAAATACCATTGGTTTCACGGGAAATAATCTGTACCATTTCTCCCTGTCGGATTGCCAGCTCATTTGTATTCCCACTGTTGAAGTCATACAAAACTTTGGCCATAGGTTTTTTGGGTGGTGGAGCCACTTGAGGAGGAGGAGGTGGTGGTGGCGGTCGTGACTGGGTTTGTGACGATGTAGAACCAACACGGTTATGTGAGGCTGCAACGGCAGCAACAGGACCAGGCTGGGGAACGGGTCTCGACTCGAGAGTCGACTGATGACCACTTCCCGGAAGTTGTTGTGCAGCGGGGCGAGGTTTTGGTTTGGCCGCAGCTTGGGAGAGCTTGGATGGTCCGCCTCCAGGGCCACCAGGACGCAGGAGTTTACCCTTAGTAATGGGCTTCCCGGCAACCTGTTTGGGTCGCGGTGTTGGCTTTGATACCGAGCTTGCAGGCTCTCCTGGCCCGGTGCGGATGGTTCCACTCTTATACACATCGTCCCTGGCAACTGCTGGATCTTTGACCACTTTCACTTGGGCCATCTTCCCTGGCTTTTTATTGAAATCGATCCTAGAAAAAGAAAGTTAGTATGATGTGTTTTTGGGAGGAAAGCTTGAAAACATACACATCCGCTATTTTCAAGTTCATCTGTCCGCGTAGAGCGTTTGTGAGATGGGTGAAAAACTCTGTTTTGAGGACGCACGATAGTAGGGGGTCTGGCTCCTGCTGAGCACCAACAACGATTGAAAACCAATCATCCTTAAGATTGGATGTTCCAACAGCCTTGATCGCACCCAGTGAGATGGTCCGCTCAGCAGATATGTTAAGTTGATTGTTCACAACAGATTGAACGATGATATAGACATTTTTTGCCGTCTATCAGAATGCCATATTAGCATCCACTAGGACAAAAGGTAAGGGGCATACACATACCAGGATAAGAAGTCGTGGCGCAGGTTTACTCGATCGACCGAATTTTGTAACTAGAAGCTCGCAACGACAGGAGAAAAGTACCGTTTCGGAATCTAGAATAGAGGAATACATATTTAATTGACGTAATGACAATGCATCCATCGTGCTTGGAAACTTACCTGAAAGGCGGATGGAATCCTTAACGATCTCTCCAAACCCACCAGTATTCCCAACACCGATATAGTCACCAAGGAACCTCCTTGAGCCGAGAAGACTGAAACGGCGACGCTCTTTCTTCCCACCTAGGACTCTGTGACCCTGATCTCGTAGTTTTATATACTCCAGACCACCGGTGACACGCCTCCAGAACCTTTGAATGCGGATGGCACATTCGATTCGATATCTGAGATAATTGCGCCATGCACGCTGGATCCTGATTGCCATGTTATGCCAATAACGGTCTCGCATGTGTTCTAGGGCGAAAAGGGTTTCGGGGGTCTTAATGAAAGCCTTGGTGACTCCCATTTGGTATTCTTCGCTTGGGATACTAGTGTCCTTCAAGATTTGTCGACAGCCGGATTCTGAATCGCCAGTCCAGGTGTAATCACCAGCATATGAGGTTTTGGGGGATAAGAGATAAAAGCGTTCAACAAACTTCTCGAATGTCTGTCGGTAGGCGAATCCAGCTCTCCTGATTCGCACATTTTCTTGCAAACCCAGGTATTTGATTTGATGCATAACATTGCCAACATTGTATTCGGAAGGCGATTTGTTGTCATTTGGCTTGATTGTTCGAATATACGAAGGCTGGGCTTTAGATAATGTCGTAACCAGGTCATTTGCAGATGCCTTTATCTTGTCACCAGCCGTTGGAGGACGTCGTTTGTCGTCCTGATTCACTTGGTCAGGGAATAAAGTATGCAAGAAACCGTTACTGCTCGAGTTGACAAGGTTTAATATGTCTTTAAGGAGTTGGTCCTTGTTCTTGTCGGTCATCCCTTCAATAGCATAGGAGACATCGCCGGCGTAGTGCTTGACAATAAACTGCCCTTGGCGGGATTCGAAATTTGGATTCTGGCCCAGGAAGTTCAATCGTCCAACAAACGTTTGATCCGCTGCCGCAGAGTCCGCATGCGCGGTGGCACATGCATCATTAAGGGCAGCGAAAATTCCTGGTGGCCTTTTATCTTCAATTAGCGAGCAAACGACCTTGTTGTCGAAGTATTTGATGGGTGTCCACTGGATCTGCTCCCGGGCGTATTCTTCTTGCTCAGTCTTTAATGTTAGTTGAATGAAAATCTGCTGAAGCTTTTCGTTAACGTAGTTAATACAGAGCTGTTCGAATGAGTTCTTTTCGAAAATTTCAAATCCATAAATATCGAGGATACCAATGGAGTTTGTGACAGCCCCTTTAGCGACTAGGGAGGCATTTACTCGCTGCACTATCCAGTCAAAGAGATTGAAGTAAAGGGCTTTCGCGAGAGCATCACGAACAGCTAGGGCTTGTACGGTGTTTAATGGCACCTCATAGATGGAGCCTCTCCGGCCTCCCCTAGCTGTTTCGACAATCCTGTGGGTGAGGGCCTTCTGAACCTGGTCCGCATCGACTTCCATTAAATAAGCAACAAAATCGATAACTGATCGATCCGTAATCGTGGCGTTGCTTTGGTCATCCTCAACAAACTGCATATTTCCTAGCCAAAGAATGGCAGCTAACACGCGGAATATATTATCCTGCTCAGCTTGACTTAAGCCAATGATCTTCATAGCTTCAACGGTCTCTCTAAAGTCCGCCGAATCATCTATATTCGGTACGTCAAAGCATTTTGAGCGGCTTGTGTAAAGGTAAGCGTCTGGCTTTTGAATTCCAAATGATTCTGTGGCGTGCATTAGTAGGTGCAACAGGTAAAAATCATAGTGATTCGTACCTCTGTATGATTGGGGAGCAGCCTTCGTAAATTGATAGAATATATGAAAATTGCGCTCGTTGGTGATTTGGCCCACAACTCTGGATTTTTCTAATAAATAGTTCGTAATCACAGCTCCAACAGGTTCTCCCACCGAATTGAACTGAAGCTCCAAATACTTTCCAAATCGCGACGAATTGTTGTTGCGCAATGTTTTCGCATTCCCAAACGATTCCAGGAGCGGGTTGGTTGCCAGCACCATGTCCTTGGTTTCTTGGATAGAAGAATCAGAGCCTCCTGACACGTTTGCAATGTACTGCATTAATCTCCTAGCAGCCTCGGTTTTCCCTGCACCAGACTCTCCGGAAATGATAACACACTGGTTTTCCTTGTATGCTTTCATGTTATAATATGCCGACTCGGCGACTGCAAAGACGTGCGGTTTGACCTCGAGCCGGTTCTTCCCACGGTACGAATCAAGGACCTCATCGGTATATATTCCCACTAAGACAGAGTTAGAACGAGCAGGATACACGGAGGGGCGGACGGAGACTTACAGTCTCGGAATGGATTGACGGATACAAGCACATGGCCAATATATGTCTGCGACCCGGAGTTAGCTCGTAGTTCGTCGGGGAGCAGTCATTGTACGTAACCCACGTAAATTTCTCCATGCTCAAAGCGTTTCTTCAGATTCTCGTTGATGGCCTCGTTGGAGACTTTACTGAGTAGCGTAAGGTCTGATACGCCAACCTCTTTCTTCTTGGTGCTCTCAAATACTGCCTTCTTTACTCGCGGCTGACTAGACCCCTTATCCCCCGCATGTTTTGACCGCCCGCCTTTGCTCTTCTTATCGTCCCGGGGACGTTTAGAATAACCCTAGCAGGTCAAATTAGCAAACAGGCCCAGTCCTCTTAAGCTGGGCTTGTATCCTTCAAGCTTGCGACTTACCATCCTTCCGATAGTAGTAGCTTAAGGCCAGCTGGGGCGGCCAACACAGAGCGAGCCTGGAGAGTTATGATGTCGAGAGCGCGCGGCTGTAATTCTTCCGTCGACGGTAAAAGGAGGCACCCAGACACTTATCGCGAGAGATTACGGGGTGAGGAAGAGACACTGCAGCAAAGGCTGTCTTGGGTATCAAAAAAGCTCAAACAACAAGCCTGATCGTCTTGGTCAAGTCGGTAACATTTCAAAACTAATTAAATGTCGTTTATTACATAATCAAGATGATGCAGCTTACCACGCGGCTTTTTCTCCTGCGCCACCGATTGATTATTTATATTCTATAGAGATATAGATTGGTGATTACGGTGACATGTCTATTCAATGATCTCAACTATGTTCTAATATACAATATGAAGCGTAATGGAAAAAAGGAAGTGGCCAGAGTGGAACTACTGTTGTAGTTTAAATATTTAGACAACAGAGGGGAGGGTATCTCAAAGTCATATAAGATGTATATGTTCAGATATGCCACAAGTTTGTCGAACGAGCCAGAAAATTTACTTGCTCGGTTGAGGCATGGATGGTGAGCCCGCATCTCGCTGGGATGGAGTTCGGGCTGGGGTCTGTGGTCCGGGGTTATTGGTATTATTGCTGCCTGATTTTGGCCACAGGAGGTAGGAGGAGAGCGTCGTGAGAAGTGTTGGAGACTCAGGTTGCGGTTCTGGCTCCTCGCCAGCATCCCATATTTCCTTTGGTAGAACCCGCTTTAATTCCTTCACCGGACGCTTCTCAAGCTGGGCTTGTAGCCGAAGAATCTCCTTCTCCAAGACAATCAGCGCAGCGCGAGCAGCATTCTCTGACTCTTCTAGTTCGACAAGACGCTCGGCAACGTCTTCTCGCCTTGATGTCTCCTTTCTCCGGGACCGGAGAGACTCGAATATAATCAGTCCCCCTCCTACGAGGAAAAGAAAGGTTTCGCTGATGAAGTTGGCTCCCATATCGATCGCTTTCCCTTCAGACAACGGTCGAATCCGTGGAATTGGAGGGGGTTTTGTAGCACCACCACTAGCCTTTTCTTTTGCCTTAAGCAGCTCCTCTGCCTTTGTCTGTGCTTCCGTCTTGACGGTGGGGGTTTGGAGCTTTATCTTCTTGGCCTGCGCCTCCGCCGCCTCGCGAGCAGCTTGTTTTTCAAGGGCAGCAGTGTTCTGAAGCAAGCCGAGTCTTAACCGCATATCAATGCGGTGGACTGCTTGCGCAAAGGATACGCATATCCGACGAAAGCGTTCATGTTCACGAGCTTGGGCCTTGATTTGGTTCTGGTCACGCAGGGATGCTGTTAGTCTATTTCATAGAAGCAGACATCGATATCCGCCGCGCTTACCGCTATGGGTTTGGAGAGAGTCCTTATCACAAGAGACGAGAGCTTGAGTGTAATGCTAGACATTGCGTAGCTATCATTCTCTTCTGCTGCTTCTTTCGATAGACAGGTTCAGTGTATAACGAGCGACATAACTACCGCATCTCCCCAGCAACGTAATGGGCTCCGAGATGAATAAGAGTGATGATATCAGCTATACAACAACTGTAGATCTAACAAACCAATATCAAAACGTCGAAAAGTAGAAAAAAGGCCAGCTGAGTGATGACATAATCATGAATAGATCCGAATTGTTTTTCCGATTCCGAGAGGTTTTTGTTTATATATTTCCTTTTTGGGACATAGCGTTGTCCGGCCAAAAAAGGTTGCTTTCTTGGAGTAAACATCGAAAGACACACACATACACACGTACACTCACTCGTTTATTTCATACTGAGTGTACCTTTTGAAAGACTTTGCGGTATCTTTTAGCAGTCTTTACGTCTTTTATTGACGCATTTGTTTCATTCAGCAACTACTGTATTCATTTGTCGTCTTCCTCATTGTACCATCGGCGCAATTCTACTTCGTCTCCCCCCCAGACCTACAGTTGAGCTCTCCTATTATCCGCAGAGCAGCTCTTATACACTCGGATCAGCCATTGCCTTGTCGTTCAGCTTATCTACTGCCCTGATTTCCCGCCCTATGCAAGCTCGCAAAACATACTAGACATGGAGCCACTATCTCCGCGATCAACCAACATTCCACCAAAGCCGAAAGTCGAACTGACTAAAAAGCTATCTGTCAGGAGTAATTCAGCTCAAAAGTCAACGTCCAACCGGCATCATGCGACACCCCCGCCTCCTCAGGTCAAGGAACCTGGCGCCTACGGAGAGGAATACGATATTGGTGGCTTTCTAGGGAAAGGTGGATTTGCAGTCTGCTATGAAGGGAAACTCTCCAGAAATGGTCGAGTATTTGCGATGAAAGTAGTGAAGTCAGAGATGCAGCAGAAGAAGATGGAGGAAAAGGTATGGCAGCCCTGGTATCTGGTGGTAGGTGATAGCTAACCTAATTTGCGGTACTAGTTTCGGACAGAGCTCCAAATCCACTCAAAGATGAAGCATCCTAACATTGTCACCTTTCACCGGGCGTTTTCTTTCCAAAAGAACATATATGTGGTGCTCGAGCTTTGCCCCAATGGGTCGGTGATGGACATGGTTAAGAAAAGAAAATTCCTTAGCCTACCAGAGGTGCGAAGATTTATGATACAGCTTTGCGGTGCGGTGAAATATCTTCACAAGCGTCATGTTGCCCATCGCGATTTGAAGATGGGGAACCTCTTTCTTGATCAAGGCATGAATATCAAAGTGGGAGACTTTGGACTGGCCGCCCTGATGCTAAGTGAAAAGGACGAGAAGAGGAGGAAGACACTTTGCGGAACACCTAACTATATCGCCCCAGAGGTGCTGGATAAGAGCAAAGGAGGACACAACCAGAAAGTCGATATATGGTCATTGGGCGTTATCTTGTGAGTTACGCAACTCCTTCACTCGTAGGTTGAAATAAAAAGACTAACCATACCACTATGTGTGGAAATAGCTTCGCTATGCTAACTGGTTTTCCGCCATTCCAATCCAAGACTCAAGAGGAAATTTATAAGAAGGTTAAATCCCTTAGTTATGACTGGCCGGTGGACACTGAAGGCGCAAACTATATCCCAGACGAAGCAAAAGACCTTGTCACTGCTTGCTTGAATCTTGCAGAGGAAAGACGACCGGATCCTGACCAGATCGTGGACCACCCATTCTTCAACATGTACCCCGGGTGTATTCCCCGCGAACTAGACCCTGAATGCCGCACATCAACTCCGCATTGGGTAACTAAGCAGAGCCCCCGAGGAGACAATATAGAGCCAGGATTCAGTTTGGAGTATGATGCAACATATAGAAAGCTGATCTCTCATGTTACGAATTCGAACCAAAGATACACCATATGTAAGAACATATTTTACGCAGAGTGCGGCGTTGGAAGAAGGAGCTCCGGCGAAATACGAAAATCAGCTGGCAAACGGTGCGGAAAGTCGGCTTTTGCTGAGTGTCTCACAGAAGAAGAGAGAGGACTCCAGCCTGTTATGCCACTTCCAACAGATAGGGTTTACAGTTACTATATTGACAATGGCAAGGACTGGAGTATCGAGGAGCCAGAAGTGGAAAATGATTTACAGGAAGAGGATGATGATGGTAACAAAACAGTTCGTGCCCGGCAGGGCACCCTTACAAAATCTAAAGCTGCAATGATAGCGAGGACCGAGATTGCCCTGGCTGCCCAACTTAATCGACGAGAGTCAGCTCCAAAGAATCATGCTGCCATGCTACGTCAACAAGCAATTGCACCGCGTCAAGCAGCAAAGGAAAGCTCTTCAAGTAGCCCGCCAATGGGAGTTCCTTTGGCAGCGACCGACTCTGCAAAGGAGAAGAATCCAGCCATAAGGAGCACTCGAAATTTGCTCAGTGAACGCCCTATACGCACCAGATCACAAACTGCCCAGGCTTATCATGAGTCTATGAGGGAAAAGGCACGCGCGCCCGCGGCATCTATGTCAAAATCAAACTCAACCCCAGCAGCTCTAGGGGCTTTTACTAGGAATACTTCCGTTGCAGAGCCAGATCCAGCCCTAGCCCTTCGGGATATGGTACAAGAGTATGCGGTCGAGGAGCCCACCAAACCTAGATATGGTAAACCCCAGGCAGACCCAGATGCCAGTCGAACGAAGCCAATCCAGGTAAATTCAGACACAACTCTACGGCGTCAACAAACTCAATCATCAAGCACGGCCAGAGGCCCTGAATCCCGCGTCCAAAAACCAAACGGTAGTATCAGTAGGTCTACAACCTCGTCATCAACTTCGTCCGGCAGTAGCGGAAAACCCCGCTCGGCATTAGGTTCTGGGGCTCTTATCTTACCAGAGGATCAATCGGATATAATGCCAGGATCTAGTGTTCAGGAAGTTATAGCCGATTTGCAAATATACCAGTCTGTCCTCCGGCAGCAGTCACCTCAGAGCTCACTTGGAAGTTCTGGGCAGCGAGTTGTTCAATCTAAGTCACTTTCTAAATCCGGCGCGCATCCATATGTTGTTAAGTGGGTTGACTACACCAATCGATATGGAATTGCCTATGTCCTTGATGAGGGGAGTGTCGGTTGCGTTTTTAGGGGTGAGAATGGCTACCCTGCGACAGGAGTGGTAGTTAGGGACGGCGAAAGTCATCTTCGGCTGAAAGCGCGTGCCAAAGGGGACCCTGAAAGCGCTATACCATACTCAGAAGTTGATCAACTTGTTCCAAGGGACGGCAAGCCAGTTGAGTTCTACGAAAATGTAGAAATCAACGTAGATGGGTACTCTGACGGAACTGTCAAACGCGCTCTTCTTCCTGCAAGAACATTTGAAACAAGAAGGTCAAGCCCTGATAAGCCAGCGAACGTTCTTTGTACCGTTCGAAGTGCTGAAAAGGCGAACCGTGTCAGACTAGTGGATCAGTTTGGGAAGTATATGGTAGGATCGCTGGGCAGAGGAGCCATTGAACCATCAAAGTCAAGAGGTAGCAGTCAATATATCAAGTTTTATCAAAGGCTCGGCAATGTTGGAGTGTGGGGCTTTGGAGATGGTGCGTTCCAGGTAAGATTCATCTATCAACCAATCCTCGGTTCGGACAATTCATTGACCTTCTCTATTTGCAGTTCAACTTCCCCGATCACACAAAACTTGTGCTGTACCTACCTGAGCGGAGGCCTACTGATCCGTCAGACTTGGTTAGCTCTTGTCGAATTGATTTCTATCATCTTTCACCCTCAGCGGCCAGATATCTTGTTGCAAAAGGGAGAATGCATCCTAGTGGTTTTGACACTAGAACCGTGATATCAGAACCGGCCTCCGCCTACCTGTCTGCTATTGCCGGCCTCCCCACAAGGGTTCCAGGTATCAGTTCTGAACGATTTAGAGATATCTTGGAAGCGAACTCCTTCCCCAAGAAGCTTGAATTCATCACTACTGTTATCGAATGCTGGACCAAGAATAAAAGGCTAGGAGGAAGAGTCTCTACCTCGTCTGTCTCCAAAGTTAATGGCGCTATAAAATGTACTTCGATGGATCTTTTCTGGGACGGAGCTCAAGAACGGTCATGGGCTAGTGCTTCTGGAAGCAAGTTTGTTTGGGTTTCTGTCGGAGCACAAGGGGGAGATGGCGACTACATGTCTGTCAAGCTTCAAATGAACCAAGCTGGAGAAGTTGAGTGTGTTGGCATGGAAGGGAGTCCGCAGCTTGGGACTCAGCTACAGAGGTTGGCTTGAGATCATCCCGATACCCGCCACTACGTTATAGAGTCTGGTTTACTCGCGCCCTTGGCTTCCATTGTTTCACTACTTGTCAGTCTACATTTGCTTCATATAACGAATTTACGACCCTTGCCTGTCACTGCTTTTTGGTCTTCCTGGAGCGAAAATACCCTTGGCCGCATGTGAATATGGTTTTCTTCTTCGTCTTTCTTCTAGCATATCTATCGATTCTCTTAGCTTATATATAATATTTTCAACCAAGCAGTGTCCCTCCACATTTGTTGTTAACTTATCAGCTCTCTTTACCAACCGAAGCCAGCCACTGTTCTCTGCTAATAGCATAGAACACCTCCCCTAGCTCTGTTCCGGGTAGCGGATTGTCGAAGTCCAAATGGAGTGTTCTTACATGTTTCAAGCCACACTTCTCCATAACACGGCGAGATCGCGAGTTGACGAACATAGTCCCAGCCACGACCAGGTTGACATTAGATGAGCAGAAGGCGTAGTCTACCAAGGCTCGACCTCCCTCAGTTGCCAGTCCCTGGCCCCAGAACCGACGACGCAGCCTGTATCCAAGTTCCACCACCACAGGCTCTCCCTCGGATTTCTTGACTCCATAATCTTTCTCATCAAAACACTGCTGGGCTAGTTCATCTAGATCACCAAGGCGTAGCCAGCCGATGAATTCCATCCCTTCATGTGCAGGAGTTTCAGCTATCCATTTGCCATATTTAGGGCTTTTATTGTAGGCTTGGATGATTTGCCGGACTTCTTCTTCCACTTCTTCCCTGGACGGAGGAGCGTCGTCGATATATCTCATCACTCCTTCGTCATTGTTGAGCAAGCAGAGAAAATCGACATCGCTTGGTTTGAGGCGACGAAGGTGAATACGGGGCGTCAATTTCATATCAGAGGTAGCTTCGTCCATTGCTGGGTTAATTTTCGATGGATAAACTCGTTATATATTCAACAGGAACTTATATCAATAGTTGGAAGCGTGCAAAACTTCAGCGGCTTTCCTCTATAGAGATAACTATCGTATTTGCTTTTTAGTATCACCAACTATGACTCGGGTAGAACAATACGAAGGATCCTAGCCTTAACTCGTGGGATTCCATAAAAAGGGCATTCTATCTGCTTCCATAGGCGGAGCAACCCAGCCACCCCTGTTTCTCTACCGTAGTTATTCGTAAGTAGTTTCTCCCGGTTAGATACTCTTTATTTCACTCAGAGGGTGAGAAATCAATCCTGGAGGGTGGGTTCAAAGCAACAAGAGCTGCATCGCTGAGAGACCATGAGACGCTATATTTCCTTAGCCCTTCCTGGCGAAGATGTTATGCGAATACTCGCATTTATATAAAATTGGCCAAGTCAGTCCTCAAATTCCCCTGTGATGATAGATGATAGGTCATCACAAGTCGTTCTCAGGCTGGCTACCAGCTTCAGTATAGGCAGCTTGGTGTCCACTTGAAGGCAAAAGAAAAGAATCACCCCTTTCATTGCGAATGGAGTTTTCTTCGCTGAATCAACGTTGCAAGCGGTATATCATCTTCGTCATAAAATTCTACCTCTTCATCGACTCCAAAGTCACCTAGCCGTTCACCCTCTGAATTTCTCCAGCCCTCTTCTCCACTATTAGATAGTTCCTCGTCTTCCGAGTCAGAGGTATTCAACAACTGTGCATCATCTCCCCTGTTTGTATATCTTTTATTGAAGGGTTTCCGGCGGCGAACATCAGACTCGACTTGCCGGCGCAAATAGTCTGCGTCCTGCCGCTGTCGGAAGGCATCAATTTCCTCAGAGTTGAAGTTTCGGTTCTCACCAAAGAGCATTGTATTATCTTCTTGAGACCGATGCACACCGCGTGCCATTCTATCGGGATCTGGCGGGGGCCAATTGACATATTCATCTTTGAATAATCAATACACTTGTTTTAAGCAGCAACTGGAGGGGTTGGAGCGTAGGGAAGAGCTGTAACGGAGCAAGACATACCTTCAAACCCGTTAACTTCAAACTCCAGCCCTGTGCTTCGTTTTGGTGTCTGAGAGAAAGGCCAAAACCAGCCAAGTATCTGTCATGTTGCAATTTCCTTAGAACACGGTTTCTGTAAGGGTTTACCCGTTAGTTATTAGGGGGTGACGAACATTGCTGCTTCCACCCATTCCATCTCTAATATTATTCCATATACCAATATCATATGGAAACTCCTGCCTTCGAATGCGGACTTTGACACCGTCCGGACCATCGAGGTAACCGCCAAGGGCTCGTGCTCGTCGGCATAGTGTCTTATGTCTTTCTATTTCCCATCCCTCAATAGTAGTCTCATTTGCACCTAACATCCATATGTTTCTCAAAAATAGAATCAACAGTGCAAGGAGAACCACAGAGTTGACAATTGCGAGCACAAAGAGATGCCCAAGCTGAAATAGAGACGGGCCATAATACTATCCTCAAAGGTTAGTTGGCATTCGATTTGAGGGTCACGACGATGAAACATACACTCGGAAGTCCCCGGTTATTCCATATAACAACCAGGCGGGTATAGAGGAAACGCTCCAGGTATATCATTGAAGCAACGGCATAAAACAGAAAACGGATGAAATGTGGGAATGTGAAATGTGAAACACAGTTGTTTGTCCATGGGCAATGGTGATCCATTTTAGGAATGCATCTTTTTGATAGTTATCAGTAACACGGACCAGTAGAGAGGCTATATCCTAGACAATCATGCTATGCTCACCGTTGACAAGTCTTACAGTGATGGGATCTTGGAGGTTTATAGGCCTCGCATCTCCTGCACCATCGCTGACGGGAACCAGGATCGCCACCATCATCACCAGGACGCTTCTCCATCAGTGTATCTGAGCGAGGAGGAGGCGGTCGCCAGTCTTTTGGAATCCTCCCGGGATCTGTCAGGCATGACCGAACATAGCATATCCATATACATGCTACCAGGAAGTTGAATTTCACCAGCTCCGATGTATCGAGAGGTGCAGGATCGATATGGAGAAATAAATATTGCGAGCTATAAGAAAGGAATGCTATCAACAGCACCACTAACGGTACTGCAAGCTGAGATATCCGAAAGTCCGCCATCACCTCCCTGTTCTGAGGATTCATCCAGAACCAACGAGAATCAAGGGGTTGGGTTTGATATTGCATAAACGGCGTAGTTAGAAAACAGGGAAAAAGCTTTTCGCTTCCTGCGCCAAAAAAGCGGAGATTCCGCATGTCGCACTAAAATACCAATCTTTATATACCAAGATAAGTGACTACATAAGATATATTTTGCTACTGCTGGATGTTCTACGAGAAGAACATTTCGATTATATTCAAGGCTACTACCGCATTGGAATTGCTATATTTAGGTGTACCTATAAGTCCCTAGTATATAGTTATATATCCGATCTACATAAACGAGGCGATCTACTTTAGTAGGTATAACGAAATGAATGAATCTCAAGATCGGTCTTATCGTTTACTTCACTCTCGGGATATATTTCATCGGAGCAACTTTCATCAGGTAAGGGGCTTGTGGACGCATTCAGGTTATCTCGAGCTTTGTTCTGACGGATACAAAGCGTCCTATGGTAGGAAAACCGTGAGCTTGAAGCCTAGAAAGCAAGGCAGAAACATTATACTAACCAGTATACTATACCACAGACTGCCATCATTATTAAGGAAGCAATCATGGCGCCGAGCCCAAGCTGATAGTGAGGTTTCTGACTGTCGAGGAAAAACTGAGGGCCGACTAATCCTCCGACTCCTATTTCTCGAATGTTAGTTACGAACGGACGTGGCATCTGAAGTCCACTGAGGTAAAAAAAAAGGGGGGGTGATTACCATGGGCAATGGCAATGGATGCTGAGACAAAGCTCTTCTTTGTCGCTCCAGCGGTATTAGAAGCCACAAGGCTTAGGGCCATAGTCCAGGCAATGTTGTAGAATCCGGTTAGGTATACCCCCATGAGAGCCGCGATACGGTTCTCTGACACAGAAACATCTTGAGCATTATCCGTTAGCTTGTGACCGGCCTCGCAAAGGAGCATACATCTGAATACTAGTCTAGGGTGAAACTTACATCTTACTACTAGGATCCCCGCGAGAGAGGGGAAACAGGAGAGCACCCACAGCAGGCAGCGGAGGTTAGGAATGTAGAGTGCTAACAACGCTGCACCCACCTGCGCGGTTAGGGCAACAACCCCCTGGGGGGCTGCTAGAAGCACAGTTATCTGCTTTGAGTACCCAAACCCAGCTATTATTAGAGGATTAAACTTGGGGGAGTGGTTAGTGATTGTGTCCTGCGTACCATAGACCCTAACGTGAGATCGATGTTAACTCACATTTGTAACCCCTGCATTCGTGACAGATTGAAATAAAACAAAAGCCACAACTGCCCAATATTTACCGTCCTTCAGAGCCTCAAAAATATGGGGTAACTTCCATTTCTATCACATTGATCAGTATCAGCCTCGGATAAGATCGAAAATGTCGTGCAAAAAAACTAACCTTACGCATGTCCTTGCCAGTCTGGTTATCAGAAACTCTGAGTTTTGCCTCATCTCGTTCGCCCTTGGAGAGGAAGAAGGCCTTATCGTGGTTGTCCGGGAGCGCCAGGAGACAGACGAAGCCAAAGGCGATAGTAATAGCACCGTAAATCAAGAATATCAACTAGTTATATGCCATGTCAAAATGGTAATACAACTAGGGCAAAGAAAAGGGAGATATTTTTCCGTATATACCTTCCATGTAGGTATTTGTGCTCGAAGTGTTCCAACCGCATATGCAAGAATACCCCCGAATATCTGTCATGTATCAATATGAGCGAGTCATACTCTCCGACGAGTAGCACCGAAAATACATACGCCTGAGAAAGGGCCGAAACATAACGCAGCGCGAAGGGGTTGCTCCTCTCGCCGATACCAGCTAGCCATTATCACGATCACCGACGGCAGAACAGCCGATTCTAGGGCCCCCAGAAGGAATCGGACGGCGGCAGCGCTTGCAAAATTGGTACAGGCCGCCATAGCGCATGCACACGCTCCCCACAAAATCAACGAAGAGCTGACATACTTGCCAATTGGCAGTCTAGTAAGTAGCCATGATGTAGGAAACTCCGCAAAGAGGTATGCTATGTTGAATATGGAGCCGAGCCAGGAGTATTGCTGGCCATGGAGGTGGAGGTCATCGTTCATCCCCAGAACTGCGGCATATGCGAGCGCATTCTATACATGATAGGCATGGCCTGCTTAGCACTTCCTTTTTTTCGATAGCGCTCAAGTTATGCAGACCTTGTCCAGCCCCGCGAGGAACAGTGATATAATCAACAGCGGTAGCACGCAAAGATCGATTTTGGTCAAAATAGATAAGGCCATAGCATCGGTAGACAAGGGAAAAAGGAGTGCTCGCTGTAGGTTGTTCTTCATCTGCAGATGGACTGGGTTCTAATATATTGCCAACCCATGTACAGAGAACAAAGTATAGAGGCTATAACCCTGTTAGTTGGAGCAACTCTCTTGCTTGAGGGTGGAGTATGGCAGTAGCTTAATAACCCGCCTGACCATATAATGTTCGGCTTGCATCGCGGATCCAGGGATACGGGGTGAAGATGGATAGCAATTCGGATACCATCACCGACGTATCAGAGACCACTATGTTTATACTAGATGAAACTAGCATCAGCAGCAGAGCGATGATGTTGCATCTATCACGTTGTGTAATATATTGTGGGAAAATCCTGGTAAGTCCAGCGCTTCTCTTTTTCAAACAACATGGAGATAAATATTTAAATGTTTAATAGTTTTATTAAATACCAAGGCTCGATATACATACCATGTAGTACATTAGGTGAGAATCCTATATCTACTATGTATGTATAGGGCACCCTTATAAGAGACAAGCAGATCAAACGGGAAGGGGAAAAAGGAAAAGAACGATGTAGACACACGTGACACTAACGGAACAACAAATATCCACTAGCCGAAATAAAGTAATTCGCCAAGCTATACGCTAATGCAAGATATCTAAAATTCAACCAATAATATAACTTAAGGAAGGCCCACTTCCCGAAGTTTTTAGGTAATAGGCCCACTTTTATAAAAGTATAAGTCTAAGCGATACAATGTACGTCACTTTGTAGTTATCTTTAGTTGGAAGTATATGATATCCTCATTACCTATGTATATATTATAGTCATAGTAATGAATCTCAGCTCTAGAGGTTAACACAGAGCCCATATCTTACAAAATGATAGTTATATCCGAGTGTAATCTCACAGAACTACAAGACCCCTTAACCGACAAATATGAACATGGTGGTGGTTCCAATAAACTTGGTTGTTATTGGTCGAATCAACTCAGCAAATCTATTATTGCTGGACACTCGATTTAGCTGTATAGTTGTGTTGACCGAAATGTAATCGACAGTTCACGTAGAGAGTCGAAGATATGGGAAAGGCGAGCTTTAAGTATGAATTTTGTTCTTGAGCTTAAGCCCAAACTTGAGCGCGGGTTTACCAGTGATATTGCCCTCTGGAAGTCCTTCATTACCAGGTATATTCCACCCTTATTGGTGTTCCTGGACACCGCGGCATCATTAAGATATTATTTTATTGGTACCTACCAGACTAGCTTTTTTTTCTCATAATCTATATCAGTGAGGATGAGTTTGAAGAAGGCATATCTATGGATGAGCAGACCCGTACATACCCCGCTTACCTATACCCTCCGTGCCAGGCAACTTATCATTAATATTGATATGATGGAAGCTGCTGACTAGTCTGAGGGTCGTTTTAATAAACTTTCTCCGAAGGTCACCAGTTTATTTCAGACTGGTTATGGCCATAGGGTTATTTGTCCCAATCTCTAGTTTTGGCGTTGATAATATGATGCGAAAGTCAGATAGTTACCCTTAGAACAGGAGATAGACCAACGAGATCAAAGGTGATCACACAGATGGCTGAAACCCTCGTTCTTGCTACTACAGAGACCAAGTCCATCGAAATGCAGCATAAGCAGCTTCACCAGGGTAACCTTGGTGATACTGTTGGCTTCAATATTGAAACAAAAAGGCTGATGCAAACTTCCATCACCCTGTCTCCTCAGGCTGCCAAGTGGTTATTCGAACCAGTGGTTTGGTAGCTCCCGCGTGGCCCACGCCGGATTAGGCGCGCCTTGATGTCCTTCTCAGTGGCATTATTTAACAACCACGAGATTTTTATAGCTTTCACGGCCGAAGATGCGATTCTTGAGATAGCTGAGGCCCAAGGACAATGACTGTGTGTTAATATCACTGAGTGGAGATTATTACCACTAAGTACTTCGAAGATGTGCTCAGCCTAATGTAGGTTTGCGGCTCTTAAGTAGGGACACTAGAAACATGTACAGATGGTCAGTAGTGCTTTTTATGTCCAGGGGTAAATCGCAACTATGATAGTTGTATGTTACTGGCTCTGGGATCCGGAAAGAAACCCGGTTGGTCTCATCAGTTACTTTGATGTCATTGTCTGTCTAACCAACACTCACATCCACTCTCCATGTGTAATTGAACAGCCTTGGTCCGTTTTATCGGCCTTGTCAGTGGGTATTAAGCCTACAAAGAGTTAATAAACAGAATTCTATCGATAATCTGCTCGCGGAGGGGCCTCGATGCGGTGGGGTAAAATATATGTATTCACTGGCGAAAAGGAGAGAAACCACGGTGACGGTGCCATTAAGCTGTTTGTCTGTCTCTATTCAGTTGAAAGGGAATATGCGGAGCCTCTTAAATGGAGAGGAAGAGGATATGAAGCTACTTCGGATAGTTCATCAATCCAACTGTCACTGTCGTGTTTGTGTGTATCTTTTGGGGTCAGAAATACTACCGTAACTATCATGATGAACACAGTGGCGGCCAATGGTAACAATTGATGATAACTAGAGTGCAACCGCAAATGTCTGTCTTCATGATCGCAAGATACTAATATCCGTGACCTGCCTTTCTCTTCTTTTCACAGGTCAGAGGAAGCCTCGGCTGAGTTATTTAACTATCAGAGAAAGCAAACTCGTTTCCAACGTTAACGATACGAGATATCACAAATTTTACTTGTAGTCAAACTATAAGAAGGATATTCCAAGTCCCAAAAGGAACCAGCAATTCGGTTTGATACCCAAATTGTGATCTCTCTCTCTCTCTATAACTACTTCACCATGACGGTGATAACCTCGCAGCCCATCCAACAAGGACCAGGAACAGGGACGATGCAGCCCTCCACGGAGAGACAGTGGGCTCAACCGTCACATCCATCAGCCATCCGAGTAGTTTCCTCCAGGCTGCTCACCTCCGGCACGAACATGGACGAGAAAGCCGCCTCCTTCTGCCTGGCGGCCGTGGCAGACCGTGATATCCCTGCAAACAGCCTGATCGTCAAGAACACATCCACCACTCTGGCTGCCGTCAAGGCCTACTCGACCGTCCAGGTGTCCAGGGACCAGCATATCGAGCTCAACTCAGACCTGCTATACTGTAACCATTCCTGTGATCCGAACGTGAAATTCGTTACCTCGACGCTGGCCATGGAATCACACAACGGTCAGGCTGATGCGCCTGTCTCGGGAGCATTGGAGGTATGGAGCGTGAGAGAGATCCTAGCGGGCGAAGAGCTCAGGTTCTTCTATCCCAGCACCGAGTGGGATATGTCACAGCCCTTCCGGTGTTCCTGTGGCGCAAGGAAGTGTCTGGGATGGGTTGACGGCGCGAAAAATACGTCGACGGATGTGCTGCGGAAGTACTGGCTGAGTGACCACATCAGGGACCTTCTAGAGCAGAGAGACCATTAGCAAGAGGGTTGACAGGCCTATACGGAGACAACTTATAGACATAAATGATAGTAAATATCAAGTATAGAATATGTGTGGTGACATCACAGAAATACGGGCATTTTTCTTAGCCCTAAAAACATCATTTTTTTTTTTCTGTCATCGACTTTATCAAACTCGGATTGTATCTTGTATAACTGCAATACTAGTACTATGACTTATATTCTCTACAGTGATAGCAGACATCGATAGAATACATATCTCACAGAAGTTCCCTCGTCGAAACAGACAGCGTTGGGCTGTTGTTCTTCGTCCTCCCCGCCCCCGCCATGGCTCCTCCCACCCCCATCACCATCATAACCGGCTTCCTAGGCTCAGGGAAGACGACGATACTGCTCAACCTGATTCCGCAGCTCCCTCCGACCTACCGTCTTGCACTGCTGAAGAACGAGTTCGGTGACGTCGCCGTCGACTCGCAGCTCGCAGCCGCAAACTCCATCTCGGGCGTACGAGAACTGCTCAATGGCTGTATATGCTGCAACCTTGTCGGCCAGCTGGGCGATGCGCTCGTCCAGTTACGCGAAGAGGTGAAGCCTGATCGTATCGTGATCGAGACCAGCGGCAGTGCGTTCCCTGCCACCCTTGCGATGGAGGTGAACCGAGTTTCACGCGAGCGGAAAGGCGAGTTCATGCTAGATGGCGTCGTGGCTGTCATAGACGTGGAGAACTGGGAAGGATACGACGATACGTCTTACACGGCGAAACTGCAGGCTAAATACACGGATCTGATCGTGTTCAACAAATGGGAGCTTGTATCGGAGCGGCGGTTTGACATCTGTCTTGACAGAGTCGGTGATTTGGACGTCCAGACTGCGTGGGTCAAGTCTGAGAAGGGCAAGGTAGACCAAGATGTTCTACTTGGGATTGACGGGGCCTTGCTGGCGAAAGAAATAGAGAACGGGCAAAACTCATCGCTGGACATGCTGCTTGTCGACAAGGACGCCCATAAGCACCGCCATGATCACCAGTCTGAAGTCGAGGTGCTATCGATCTCACTCACTGGAGAGGGTGACGATCTCCTCGTCGATGCTGAGGCCTTCACGACACTTCTACAGTCAGCGCCCAAGGATGAAATCTACCGGATAAAGGGGATCGTCCGCTTTTCCTCCCAGCATACACCTGTCGATTCATCAGGCGAGACCATTACTTCCAACACCAACTCAGCCGTGCAAACCTGTATCCTCAACTGGGCCTTTGGACGATGGACCCTCACCCCGTCTCCATCGCTGTCTCAAGCCACAGTTACGGGAACAGCCGCAGATCCGGCGTTCTCGAAAACAAGCATCGCCCGACTTACCATGATCCTTGCACGATATGAAGCTGCCAAGTGGAAGAAGAAGCTCGAAGCTGGGCAATTGGTGAAGGCAATGGGCTCTTCCCCTGCCACGACTTCTCTGCAGGTTGACGTTATTGGCTGAGTAGAAGAAAAGAACCGTTACATATATATACATATGCACCTTGGCCTTGTCTGCATGATGCGATGAGATATGACGACATTAGAAGAATTAGAGATGGTAGATCATTTATTATAGCTTCAAGATAGAATATACATTCGATAGACGATTGATACCTGATGATTTCAACAGCAGAAAAACAGATTTATTGAGATTAGAGAACTAACAATAACATTGCATTCAAGCGCCTCCCTTTTTTTCTTCTTTTCTAAAAGCCTGGTTCTTTTCTGTAACTAGATACCTTCAACCCCCTGAAAGCAACTGTAAAAAGATAACAAAACCGAAAAAAATATATAGAAAAAAACCAAACTTCACACCATTTTAATAAACAAACTCTGTTTCCACTTAAATACTTCCTCCACCTTTATTATCAGTAGCCTAGAAGTGCAGCCGCGCCAGGCTCGGTGATGATATAGATAACCTCATGCTGGTCGGTGAACCCATTAAAGCGGGTAGCACTGCACTGAGTGTACGCGCCCATATTCTCAAAGTAGAGCCAGTTGCCCACGCCAAGCAGGCCATTCAGGGTGACACTCTCACTAATGACATCAATGCCGTCACAGGTTGGGCCCCAGATAGAGTACTGGATCGGTGCGGAGGTATAGGCATCGTCTTTAGTGAGGATCTGTGCGACTGGGTGCTGGTGATCAAAGACGATATTGGAGAAGTTGCCGTACACGCCGTCGTTGAGGTAGATCATGTACATTCCGTTTGAAGCCGGGGTGGCTGCGCGGGTTGGGCTCGTGGAGTCAGATTCAGAGTCGGAAAGCTGTTCCTCGGATCCAACGTCGCGACGTGCGATGACATTGGCAGCCAGAGTAAACGCAGTGGCAACGTAGTAGCGTCCTGGCTCGGCGATGACTCGAATATGCGGCGGGAAGTAAGTATCCAACGCCTCGCCGAGGGCAGCAGCGAATGGTTCAAAGGTGTCATCCGAGAATCCACCTCCGACATCGAGAACTTTCAGATCAAATCCGATTTCAGCCGCACGGTCAAAAACGAAGCGAGCATCCTGAACGGCTTTGATAAATGACTTGGGGTCCTCTGCTCCGGAGCCGACATGGAAGCTGACCCCGACGACATTAAGGCCCAGTTCGTGAGCTAGTTCGAGGAGCGGGCGAGCCGAGGAGAGCGAGGCACCAAACTTCATGCTCAGACGACACAAGCTGGCAGAGTCATCGGTCAAGATACGCAAGTAGAGTTCAGCGTCTGGGCACATGGATTTGATCTTGTAGAGCTCATCGGTGTTGTCAAACGTCATCTGCTTGACGCCAACCTGAGAGGCATAGCGGAGGTAGGACTTGGTCTTGCACGGATGAGCATAGATGATGCGAGTTGGATCAACACCGGCGGCGAGAGCAAGGTCAATCTCAGCTTTGGATGCACAGTCGAAACCATTACCCAAAACGGCCATGAGACGGAGGACCATAGGATTCGGGTTGCATTTCACAGCTAAGAAGAGTTAGAATCACAACAAAAAAAGAAATTTTCCTAAAAAAAAAAAAGAAAAATAAAGGAAAAGAAAACATAGAAAAAGAAAACATACCGTAGAAAGGCTTGACGCGGGGGAGATTGGTCTTCCAGCGAATGTGCTGGCGATAAATTTCTCCTAGATCGGCGACGTAGAACGGATCTTCCTCTCCCGGATAGCAGGTCTGGACGTCGACAGTGGCGGCCTTTTGCTTCAAGATATCAAACACAAGCTGCCTGGACGCAGCTCTGGCCTCGACCAAGTGGGATTTCCCTGGATGTTCATCTGAATCGCCAACATGTTTATATTTTTCATGAAAATTGTCATTCAAATATAGTCTTGGGAGCTCGCTAGCCGCAGGTGCCATAACCATCAATTCGCGTTTATAGTATGGTATCTTTCACGTGTAGAAATTCAAGTTTGTAGGAATACCTCGTGTTAGGGAGGTCGGAATGTATCGCAGCCTTCGCTCACTGGACCTAGCCTCCTCGACTCTTCCTCTGGAAGAGGAAGAACCCGTTGAGAAGTCCTATGCGGCAGCTCAAGGGTTTCAAAATTGGCGGGGGTGTAGAGTACGTCTACCAAAAGCAACGGAGGCGAATTGGGAGAGTCGTCCTTCAGGAGATGGAGAGATCTGAAAAGTCTAGTAAAACGGGCTAGGGAGAACAATGTTTGAGGATCAAGTTGCGAGGACACCGTAAACCAAAATGCCTTTGGAGAGTCCCCAAAGGCGGTTGTAGATAGAGAGGAATACGGATCCTGCCAGGGAGGAGAGGAGGTTAGCTAACGCGTCCGAGTGACTGTGACTGTGACGATGATGGTAACGATGACGATGACGATGCTGAAAGATGGACTCGGTCGACATGAATTGGGCGATGAGGAGTCATGGTGACGGGGCAGCGAAGAGCTCACCTCTCAGGCAAAGGCCGGAATCAGGCTGTCCGTGGTAAACCGGACAGACAGAGAAGAGCACAGCTAAGCGTGAGAGCAAGAGTGAGTACCGCCAGGCAACGAGGAGCGAAGTTGCAATTTATAGCAGAGAAGCAGAGGAAAAAGGAGGAGGAAGATTGGAAATGGAAAATTTTTTTGGGTGTTTGTTGGTGGGAAGTTTGTGTGTTAGTCATCAAAGCTAACCAGCTCGGCCGATGACACAGAAGGAAGCTGAGAGAGTGAAAAGGACGATGACGAGGTGAAGAAGCAAAAAAGCGGTTTCAGGGAAGAATAGAGAGGGACCACCCTCGTCCTTGCATTGCATCGGCCTGCAAGCTTGTTGCTTTTTCCTTTCCTGGCTGCAGGAGGAGGTGGCTGAGAGGGTGATCTGTCCGTACTGACTCTGTAATGTAAAAAACAAAAGACAACACCACCCTCGCCTAGGCTGTAAGTTGTATGAGGCATATGTTGGCTGGCGAGACGGTGAGCGTGAGGGGAAACCGTAGCCAGGAGCCGTCGCGGATGATATCCTTGTGATTCCGGATCCATAGTTAAGACTGACATCTTACTCCGTAATATTCCAGCTCAGTGTGGCTTCACATGAGAAACTGGTCGCAGGTATTCTTCAATCAAAAAATCATCCAGGGCATTGTGTGTTGTCATCTGACGGCCGGCTGCGCGGCCCTTAAAAAAGGAAGCTCTTCATAGACAGTAGAACGAATGCTCGGAAGAGCAGCGAAAGCGAGAGCAGAGGTGTGTCCGATATCAGCGATGCTATAGTGGTTACCAGTTGACGATCCCGAGATCGACGAGTATGTACGTATTCCATATTAGAGGTGGATTTGTTTGATGGCGTCAGTTCCCGTGAGAGATGTCTAAAGCTGGTTCTTGCATGGTGTACAATATATTCTTTTCGGGGACGATCTGGTAGTCTGGGTTGCATTTATCGCACATTTCGTAGAGAGGTGGAAGATAACCGAAAACAGTATATTTCGATATCTACCCTTTCCGTCTCGCCGTCTGAGTAGACACTAGGTAGCCGGATGCGAGCCTTGTCGCACAGATCTAGACTTGCACACCGCATGAGCTCGAAGAAAACAGCTTCACTCTCATGCCGTCTTTTGAGCGCTACGATGATGATGGCCTGTGGGGACCAATCGACCAACGCAGCCATTGTGTCGACCAGAGCAGGCAGGCTGTCCGAATTGTACGTACAGTCGGATACAACAACAATGTCATACTGCCGTCCCGAGATGCTGCCAGGAATGCTGTCGTTCCAGTCGAGGACTTGGAAGTCAAGCGTGGAGCCTGCCGCGGGTTTAGACATGCTGATGTTACGACTAACGATCTCGCGTACCTCTTCTAGGTCTGTTAGGAGGACCGAGCATTCTGTCAAGAATTGAGCGAGGGCAATTCCGACAATACCACATCCGGCTCCCAGCTCAATTACATTGAAATGCGACTTGCCGTTCTTCCGTCGAAGCAAGTTCTTGAACGTGAAAAATGGACACATAGCTAGGTCATCTTCAACCGGAGTGAGTGCCTCCTGGAAGAGCATCAGCCATGCGAGCGAAGCATCCCTGCACCAGTTAGACAAGACATCAAATATATGTAGAGATACAGAAGCAACAGAGACTGATAGTTCATAATGGAATATTAGAATCCTACTGATAGCTAGAATCACCAGTGATCATCATGGTCATCATTTTGGTATATCCTGCGTTGTACCCTACGTACCAGATATGTCTTGCGAGGTTATTGCCAGTCTCTTCCCATATTCGCACCTCTGCAGGACACCGAGCCTTCAGCCGTCTGAGAACCAGCTTGTCAGCCTGTAAAGGCCCCGAACCACCGAACGACGGACTCCATGCCGATATCAGTTGAGGGATGGCCGACAAGACAGCAAAGTCATCATCTGGTCCAACATGGTGGTCTGCTGGCCCGATACGCAACTGGATAGCATGCTGCCGCAGATCAAGCCGAATACCGTCAATAGATACGGACACTTCACGGGCTCCGGCCGGCCAGGAGAATTTCTTCTGTTTAATGCACTTAAAGCTGTCATCGTAGTTGTCAACATGGACAGAAGCCGTAAGCTCTACTTCCTCGGCGAGAAACGAGTCTCCTAAGTCGGTTGTAAGCGTAACAAGCGTCTTGATGCTGCCCAATCCACTGCTGGCTCTCTCTATCTTTGGCAGCTTCAGAAACCGCACGTAATGCGGCATCTTTCTTCCTTTCTTCTCATGTTGACAAAGTTGAAGTTCGACTTTTCGAAACAAGAAAACAAAGTAGGATCTGCTTATGTAATCGAGGCTGGCGGACCCCCCCAACGGACTTGTATTAACATCTTTGCGTTAATGTCAGTTAATATCAATATCAATATTATTATCCAGCCTACGATTTCAAGTTTGCTATGCGATGTGTATCGCACCGAAATGATTTAGATGATTCTCTACCTCGGAATGTTCGATACAGGCGCCTCGAAGGGATAGGACAACGCCTGACATGCTCACAGTATAAGGCGAACTAACCTGGCAGCTAAACGCATCATCTACCGCCAGACATATCAAAAGACGAGATAATTAAGGGATCAAGTTTCTCTTGCTATATATATTTCTTTATATTCGTCCATCATGCGCCCCGGAGACCCACGTATTCGCCAGACTATCAACCAGATCTCTCAGAATCTCGAGTCCGCCAATGAGTCCGCGCAGGAAGGGATATATGCCTTTGCCCATAACTACATCGAGCCGTGTTTCTTAAGCGTACAAGAGTGCTTTACTTCCTGTACCGCTCCCTGCTTCCCTAGCCGAGATGACCAGCTTCGTCGACGGAGACGGGAACGATCTAATGGCCGGGCAGAGTTTACTTTTGGGTTCTATGACGATTGGGACTACGATGAGGATGCGCGCGAAGAGGGACTGCTAAGTTGGCGAAATGGTGAACTTGACAGGCTTCTGGCTGGGAGCAGCTCATCGCGCACGTCTAGTGACCAGCCGCGCATGAATAGACGCATGAGTTACGGCGCACGGCGGCGGAGTTCGGCCCTACCTAGTGACGAACGGCAAGACCCAACTGTTATTCCCAGCTCGTCCATCCTTGGCTTCCTCGAGCGGTTTCCATGGAGGATAGGCGCAAGAGGCATTCGCTATCGCCCCTCTGCTGCTAATCTGCAAGATAATCCCGGAGGTCTGAAGCGTGACGCCCCAGAGCACGCACCATTACTCGAAGCCAGCGACGAAAGTGACCATGCTAGCGGTAGTAACAAGGACAACAGTCAACATTACAAGCCAGAAACCCACCCGAGAAAACGGCGTGGCACTCAATCGTCTAATGCAACTAGCAACTCTCTCAGCTCCCGCGGGGACCTAATACACAGTGATGAAGAGGAAGATGCCGTTCCGCTAGATGATGAGTTCAATATTATGGCACTTGGCCGTCGTGGAGGCAGTATAGGCGGTGATGACTCCGTTTTCTCTGCCCCACGTTCGGTTTCCGGTTCAATTAAGGAAACTCCTTCATCCAGAGCCTCAAACACAAGCAAGAAGACAAAAGGCAAGCGAAGGAAGAGAGACAGAGATTTGAAACGGCGTCGTACTATGTCCAAGTCGTCACGTTCGACTTCCGAATTAGACACCAGTATTTTAGTTGAGCCGGCAACGGACGGGGCCGCGTTAGCTGACTTAAAGAGAGAGGAAGAAGCAGCACGATTGGAAGAAGAGAAGGCGATAGAGAGAAAACGTCTCGCCGCGCAAGATCTCGCTAGGCAGAAGGGGTTGAAGTTAGCCGATCCTGGAGCTGAGGTAGACACCCTATCGTATACCTAACTGAAGCAACCTCTACTAATTATAATGTGTAGCCCTCTGCAGAAATTCCGGGCGAAACTCTTAACGAAAGACACGATCTTTCTAAACAGCCTTCAGACAACTCATACATTTCACCATCACAATCCGACCATGTGTCATTTACACCTATCAACTCTCCGAACCCAGATAATAACTATGCGAATCCTATCCTACAACTCAACAGCTCTGACCCTCATATACCCCTGACAACATCACAACCAGAGGTTCCAAAACGTGATATAAATGTCACTAACACAAATGACCCTGAACCCAACCACTCAATACAACTTAATGCCGACCCGACTAACAACGAGTTATGAATATCTTTTACTCTTACATTCCTTGCCCAACCTCTTGCCTTCGTCCTGTAGATTATTTTTTGACTCACGCCCAGGTGGCCATTTCAGCGATTAGGAAATCTGAGGTTTCCAAAGTTCTGTTGGATTGTTCGATTATCAACACGAGAACTGGCAATGGCCAGCGCATATATGTGTGTGGTATATATTTTGCCATATATTGTCATATACAAATGATCTGTCACCTTCAACCTATTCCTTATGGTTTTTAATGGGATAATACTGACACGCAAGTATGATCTTTACCTACTTAATATGTGTCTCCGCTTCAGCACTGTGTTTCGCGAGGCTCTCTATACCAATCTTTGTAAGGATGATTTTGGAACTCAGCCTAGAAAGCAGCTCTTCTCATACTTTGCTTAATTTGTCTTTAAGTTGGTTTATCATATTCTATTAGTTGATACTTTGCCGTCGTAAAATATAGTCCTTGGATTTATATACAAGACAATCCAGGTGAAATTCAAATAACCAGCGATATAGTCGAAACAAAGATATAAACACGCAGGGAGAGATGCGTGATCGAGGAGCTATCTACAACAAAGACTTAAAGCCCTTGGTGAGGGTGCCTTCCAGACCCAAGAAGGCCATGACCATTCCAAAATGATCAACGCCGAAGAAGGACTCCGTCTCATCTTTCGCGTTCGTACATTCAATCCACGGCAAGCCGAATGCCCCGGATTCCACGGCCCGATCCGTGTTTGAGATGAGAGCCTTTTTAATTTCGGCAGTAGTTGCCTGTTTGTTCTCTTCAGTCAGAATAGAAGTCCAATTACACATACTGTGTGCTCTCCCTGAAGATGCATACCTTCTCCGCCACTTTGACAACGGCTTCCTTTCCGATCACACTCTCCAGCACAGGCAGGAAGCCCTCGGGTTTACCAACAGCTGAGTCCGCCTTGACCCATAGGGCATGGTATAATGCATCAAGGGAGGCGGTTAATTTTTCAGGTCGATCCTCCGCAATGGCACATAGAGCACGCTGGACCTGCAAGTAGATAAATTAATAATGATAGCAATATAAAGAAAAGAAAAGAAAAGCCAGCTCCTCACGGCTGGAGATTAACTTACAGCTAGGGTATTGACTGGAAATCCCTCTGGCGTAGCCTTTGAAATGGGGACTTCCAATACCTTTGCCCAGCGCATGCGCTCTTTATTGATCCATTTATCCTTGTCTGCGGGATTTATATAACATTAGACAAAACGGTAAGACAAGGTGGAATGAGTTGGTCAACGACTAACTCTTGATACGGATTGGAGGGCTGTTTCCCGTAGCGTGCATGATTCCACCAAGGAATACAGGGACATATGTCACTGTGCATTTCGCAAAAACAGGGGAGTTCTGTTGCATTAATGCATATTAGATTAATCTGCATTGTAGAATCATGGCATTTAGACCAATCTTCTACTTACCCGTAGCACATGGTATGCTATGTAGGCAAACGGGCTGACGATGTCAACGTAGAGAGTGATTCTGGGGCCAGCAGCCATCTTGTCCGTAGGTAAGCTGGGGTCGAGAGGTGCACCTTATCCAAACGTTTACTCACCCCGAGCTGTAGATATATATATGTACGTACGGTGGAACTTCAAGGGTGCAAATAGACAGGTCGGGGCCGGCTCAACTCTCTCGGATTATAGTTTATCCTTTTATCACTCCCGAGATGCCGAGGTTGATTTTCATTGGTTCTGATTGGACAGCAAGAGCTTGTTCCTTTGGCAAATTCACTGGTAAAACATCCCCTGTCGAGTTCTCCACCAAAAACCCCACAGCCACAATCGATGTTCTCGAGTTATCATGCTCACATCTTGTTCAATAACGAGAACGGTGTTATGCAAACGACCCCGGGATTTCAACCCTTTTAGGCCACTGTTAAATCTACAGGCGAGGAGACTCGGTACTGCTCTGGTCGATAAACATGAAGATGATAGGCACCGTCTCAGTCATTCGCAACTCAAGCAACTATTTTCTGGTTACTATCCTGACGACTTTCCAGAAGAGGTGATACGACTCAAAGGTCCATTTTCAACTTACTCCACGCTGGAGAAAGCATTTAATACTTCAAAGTACAGGCATGTTTCGCTTTACCTTGTTTAAGTCCATAAAACTAACTTAAACGAGCAGCTATATGAGAAAAAAAGCGATTGTTACCTTTGATTTTTCAATCTCTACCACTGTAGTAAAGTATCGTGCATCACCCCTACACGACGCCATAATAGCATCCACCTTTGAAGAAATATCACTCCATACCGGGTCCCAGGGAAAGCGGGGCATCTTCCAGTACTCTCTATATCAAGATAGAGTGTTCCGGACAGGAGATGAAAATGAAATATCAATCCTCGCACCAGATCTTCTGGTCTCATATAGGAGCAAACGCAACTCCGGAAACAACCAGCCTGTTTTGGTACTGGAGGTTGGATTCACGGAATCGTATGAGTCACTCGCCTCCTCTCTCTCAAATTGGCTAAATCGTATACCAGAGCTAAAGATGGCAATTTTGGTTAAAGTCAACGAAGTGCCTACCTATAAAAATCCTCTTGCAACGCAAGGCATGCTTAATATGCCAGAATTAAAGCCCTTACGTGGAGGTCTGAGAAACAGAGATGTATCTCTAGAAGACCCTACCAATCCGTATAGTCCTTTAATGATTTGCGGCATCCGCTGGGTTGCACCAACCACAGCATTTGTGGAAGCCTGGACAAAAGACAAGGAGACTGGAAAACCTGCTCTTCAGGGCAAGCGAATTGTATGTAACCCAACTCCCTGGTGTGATGAATATGTTTTAACTCTGTTGTAGCAGTTTTATGGGCCAGGGCACTCTGACACGCCACTAACGCTGAATTTAGCTGATTTTGTTCCTGAGTACGAGAAATTCGCAAGGCCTACTTTGGGGTTCAATTGGAATACCTTTAGAGATGCACTATCGCAGGCAAGGTATGAACTGGCAATATTCCGCTGTACGGAGGCTGTTGCAGCATACAAGAAAAAGCCTTAACATCGATGCAACGGGATTATGTTATTTGAGATGTGCATGGTTATGTGTTAGCCATGTGTTTTGTGAACGATCCACGATGATGAAACTGTAAACTAGGTTGCGACTACAACTAATACGTATACTATCAAAATAATATCTGGCTATCTTCATCCATACTCCATAGTTAGTATATAAGGCTTATCGTGTATTCCAGAAAATGGGTTCGATATTCCCTACAGGGCTACCCACACCTTAATCAGGCGGCATGAACATACTATATAATAGAGTATTAGCTCTTCTCAGAGATGTTTACCTCTATTAAATCCCACTATCACAGCTTTTTAGTTTTTACGCTGATGTAGTAGTTATATGGTTGGCTGCCAGCCTTTAGTCAGCCACTGTAGCAGTAAAAACGCGCCCTTAACGAGCTTAGAGAGCTGAAGTTGGGAGTTGATAGAAGTGATATTGATACATGCTATCTCCTGCAAGGATCAATATTTCCTGGTTGATTTATAAAGACGGTTTTCTTGCATAAAGATCTGCGCTCAGTTCAAGTTATCAGCTTGTGGGATAACTCGATCAGGCGCTTGAGGCTGACCCACCGAGATCCCAGAAACCGAGGCATCGCCAGCATCGCATACGGTTGCAGGAGGCGACTAAAGGTCATCAAGACGGCCGATAGAGGCTGATAGATGGCGTTGGGCTCGCCAGGCCTGTTACACTGAAGAGCTGGTTTGGAGACAGGCGAAGCGATTCGATGAGGTTGGTTTCGGGATATTTACTATCCCACTGCCAATTATTTGGATATTGAAATGCTTAGCGTTGACGCAGGGATTCGTGAACATCATCCTATCATCACAGTGTCATCATGCCGATGAAGCTGAGCGTGATGGGTTTAATGATTCTTCACTGAAATACAGCCAGTTTGAGGGAAAAGGTTGCGCCTCACGGAGCCTGATGAGTGGACGGTAGCTATACAGAAGAGTGATCAAATGATATCCCCTATTATGACGATGTCAATCATCACCAACCATTTACCAGTGGTTTCTCTTATGATGCTGCTCAAGAGCCCTTCCCTGATCTTGGGCATCGCTGCTCTGTCGCAGCTTCTTTCTCGAAGATATGTTTATTTACTTATACCCACCGTGTCAACAGAGCAAAGACGCATTTCGTCTTCATCTCCAACACTCGATAACTATCACGAAGCGAGTTAATTTATTATTGTGTCTCTCCAATAAAAACTCAGGGTTGACGGCATCGCATATTTGATTGCTGCCCACTGTCTCTCGGCTATGCGTGGCGAACCTGACCTCTAAGCGCATTTTCAACGCGATGAATAAAACGGAAACAGATGGGCTTAATAGCCCAGAGCCAACGGACAGTGGCCCAAGGACGTTTCTTGACCCTGAGGGGGGAACTCCAACATCAGCCATTCTCGACGAATCAGTTACTAAACGAAGACGCCAGGCGGAATACCTCCATCGGCCGCCTGTATGGAATATTCGACCCTCCCACGATACCCCGCCAAATCATCTTGATTCTCAGTCCAGCCTCGAAAATCCACCTAATCACAGAGATGCAGGAGTTCAAGACGCATGCCAATTCTGCTTACAGAGACTACCAGGCCCAGCTCTTTCTCCTAATGCTCCTAATCACCGCAGGCGTTGTCCGGCCCTCGACACGCCCGCTACTATTGGGAGGTCTCTGCGAAAGACAATCTCTTTTCTAAGGGATAGGTCCAAACCATCCACTTCCACCATCCCGCCATTCGATGCTAGTCCGATAACAAACCGCGAAGTTACCCTCCCAAGTCTTCAGGCTCGCGGTATACGCCCTGATGGCACTGTCTTCGAAGTCGGTAGTATAGCAGCCACAGATAGCGATGGCTCCCTTCCGTCTAAAAATTCATGGTCTAAATTAGCCGGCTTCGTTACTAAACTACCAGCCCGGCTTAGGGAGTCTGTGCGAAGAAGGAATGTTAAAAAACGGTCCCCATATAGAGCTATAGCCGAAGATTCGTTGGGTTCCTAGCCTCTGTATATACATCTTTTCCTCTTTACCTGTACAGAACGACCGCTTTTCCTTATCCCTCGTTCCTTTGATTTGGCGTGGGCAACCTTGGGTGTTGGTGTATTGTTCCATGTTTACTTGCTAGCATTACTAGAATACAATCAGGGTTACATATAGTTGTTTTTCCTAGTATAATGACCACCCTTTATAGTTAATATTCCATATAAACGTGAAGACAGCAATGAATATTAATCCATAGTAGGGCAGTTCTTGACGTAGCTTGTCTAAGAGTCTAGGCAATGGCTTTGATACATCTAAAGCTATAGTCCTCTTAATTTAGTTTCCTCACTATTAATTGACCCGGTGTATAAGTATCTCCCAACTAGGTGGCACCGCCCCTACGGTACTATTTATTTCCGGTGCTTTGGATTATCAAGAGTAGGATCAAAATAGCCACGCCGGATACGCTTGAGCGTTGTAGGGCGTAAGATAGGCGGATCTTCGTCATCTTCAAAGATGTACTTTTGGTTAGCTGAGCCTCTCGAGGGTGCATTAAATCGGCCACTGGTCTCATATTTCGAAAAGATATGACCGCCTGGCTCGCCATTCCTCAAGGGTGGGAGAGGATTGGGCTTTGGAGCAGCATAAGCTGAGCCTGGCCCCCATCCCTGCTGTACCGGCGGATTTGAGCCGACAGCCTTCATAACAACAGCAGTGATTGTAACATACGTGCGTCCATTTGTTACCAATTTAGTCACAAGTCCCCCTAGCCCTTGGTCCCTATTGTAATATGTCTCGACAATATATTTTCCAATCTCAACATTGGATTTCCCAGACGCCTTCTGCCTGTCGAGCATATTTCGGACCTTTAGTCTCTCTCGGGAGTCCATGTCATACCGATACGAGACTTGGTCAACTTGAACGACACCAGAATCTCGTGTTTGGGTTCCATATTGGACCGTCGAGCCACTCTCTGCGTTTTGAAAATTATATGCTTGTCCCGCATTCAAGATGTTTTGAGCCCGTACGGAACTGATAGGGCTCACAGTACAAGGCATAGCATGTCTGCTGCTACGGACAGAACTGGCTGGGCTTACTCCACGCATCGAAGATATGTTGGCACAATAGGGTATCGAAAGAGGAATTTTGACTCAGGGGGTCAACAACTTGCTCCCTTTCAAGGTAGACGAGGGTCTATTGATTATCAGCTTGGCTCTTAGGTGGTTGCTTTGAGCTCTCTTTGGTGCCCAACTGTCAAGGGAGGGTATTTGTTAAGCACAAAGGGGGAAACTGATATCTCAATATGTAAGGTAAAATGGGGATAGTGGGTAAATATAGAAAGGTAAGCATCAAAAAGGCGGGGAAAAGGAGTAGATTTTATATAGAGAGCAATAGCTAGAAAAGAGGCTCAAGTGATTTAGGACAACTATTGCGGTGAACTGCGGTGAACTCATGGAGAGCTATAGAATATATTGGATCATCACTGTAAGTACTTTCTGCGAGATTGCGACCATCCACATCATTCTATAAAATCAGGAGGGTATTTCCGCCAAAACTAGCCTGGAGAGTGTATGCAATTCTATAAATGTGAATAAAGAAACAAGACTGTATTATAAAGAAGGGAGATAGCCGTGATGTCGGACATTCACAGAGTATAAAAGCTATCCTCTTTTTTGCTATAGAGTAAACTATTGCGGAATATAATTCAATTCAGGGGGTATATTTGTATAATTAACTATAAACAGATTAACATCTTTTCCATATCACTTAGAATAAGTAGGTGTTAAGTCACATAAACATGCTCCAAAACACAGGAATAGTGAGACAACAAGGGGCATGTTGTGAAGGAGGGTATCACTGCATTGCTAAAAAGAAGATATACAAAAGGCATTCCAGCTTTAAAGAATAAAATGCCAAGTTAAGAGGGATATACATACATAGGTTGGAAAGATAGTCCCCAGACATGTGAATGTGAGTGTCATTCGTATACCGTTTGGACAGTCAAATTAAAGACAATTTAAAGCCAGAGAACCCAGCGGATACATCTAAATGTACTGAGCCCAATAAGGCGGATAATTTTCCAGATCATGACACTTATCCATAAAACCCAGAAAAGGCCCATAAGCAACCACTCAAAAACTGCAGAAAGCAGCTTGATGATGGAGCGGATTCGTCGATTGCGCTTTCTCAAGCCTTTATTTAATATATTCTCAAGCTTTTTGACGGGCAAGGTACTTGCTGTTCCTAGGTCACTGGTCAGTGTTTCAGCTTGGGTTGTTAGCTCTCGAATGCGAGGCGTAAGCGTGGAAGAAACCAGCCGTTCGAGGCGCCGGATTTCACTTTTCAGTGGTGGGGCCTTCGAGTCCACAAATTCTCTGATTAGAAGATTGTACGCGGATGTACGCTCATTGAACGCAGAAATTGATTTCCTACTGGCGAGAGCGGATGCCTCTGAACTTGCAATATACGGCGCAATACTGTTATATGTAACTGGTGCATTCAGCCAAGAATCAACACAGGACTCAGGGGGTTTCTCGGCATAACGACATATTTCGACGGCTTTGATACCTGATGACAAAAGATGAGTACGAACGCGGGAAATGTCTCGTTTGCCGATACGACCTGAGTGAGGAATATTTCGAGTAGAGAGGGCCCACTTGCGCGTAATATTGTCAAGCCTGGTTTGCGTGGATGAGTCCCAGGTGGCCAAGGGGCCATGCAGAGGCTTGTCCTTTTTGGCGTCGGGGTTACGAGAAAGCGGTTCATCCTCGATTGGATCATTTCTATTATTCAAGGCTCCTCTCCGTGAAGTTGACGTGACAGCCGGAGGCGGTACTCGCTGTGCTGCAAAATCATACGTGTTCACTCTTTGTGCTGCATCGCCGAATAAACCATCTTCCATAGACAGCTTTGGATCGCCTGGGACCGTTTCTGCATCAATATATTCGGATAAACTAGAGGTAGATGATTGTCTTGAATGACTTTGGTGCTCTCTCTTCCGTATTAAGTCACCAACCCTCGACACTTCACTCCCTACTAGCTCGGCAATCCGACCTCCCTTGAGAATTCTCTTCCATTCCTGTTGGCCGCCATTCCTAGTATTTTTGGCGGGTGAACTATCCGATCTTCGGAAACTCGAAGTCTTTTGGTCTTCGGGGGTGAAAGGAGAACCTGGAGGGGAAAGGTTGGAAGTCGTATGGCGGTGAGAGAGGGGAGCACCAAGGTCAGCGGAAGAGTCTAAGGGATCTAAGGATTGCCCTTGTTTTTGCCTACTAGATTTCCTCGAGTGACCTAGGTAAAATGGATGTCGGCGGCCTGGAGACGTAGAGCGGCCACGTAGCGGAGATAGGTTTATTCCCATGTTTGGGAAAAGCCCTCTTTGTGCAGACGTATGGAAAGGACTATTGTCGTCATGAATTGGCGTTCCTCTCGAGCCAGGTATCCCACTATCACTAGCCATGGAGGAAGTGGATGCAGCATATCCAGGACGTGGTGACATGTAAGGGTTTAATTCAGTATCTAGGGGTGGTATAGGCATGTTTTTGGGTGTATATGGCTGCCTTGTATGAGTTCCAGGTGTATTTTCAGAGCCAAAAGCCATTTGATTTGGCGTAACCGGCCTTGGATTATTTGAGGCACCGTTACTTGAGCTCGTTTGTTTGTCGTTGTCGTTGGGTTCTCTGTTTTTTGCATCTGATATAGAGTATCGCTCCGCCAAATTTCCACCCTGGTTGCTACCGTATGAATGACGCGACAAATCAGAGGAGCTTCGAGGCCGCTTTTTAACTGGAGATCTGCTTTGTTTCCTGAGCTTGCTATGGCTTGGTGTCAAGTTAATTGACTGCGCGAACCGGTCTCGTAGGCGTCCCCTTTCAACATTTTGCTGGCCTCGGCCACCAGCCGAAGTGAACGTTGGTAGAGGTTTAATATCCTCTATACTTTGCTCAAATTCGGCGTTTTCATTTGTTTCCTTAGTTGAGTCAAGGGAACCCAGTTGTTTTGCTGAGGTATCGGGTTCTGATCTAACTTTGATGCCATGAGGAAACAGCCTTTTCCCATTGCGATCCTCAACTTTGGTTTTATTATCATCCTGCTCATACCATACGACATCCGCCAAGAGATCTAATGGTGTTGTATTCCAATCCATTCGTGGACGGCGCCTTACAATGTCCCCTGACCGTGTAGGCGTCAAATTTTTGTCAGGCTTATCTTCTGTATCAGCCCTAGCCGCATTCGGGTTGAAAGGAGGCAGATTAATATAGTCGTTAGGCTGTCGAAGACGTAAGCTTGGCATTTCTGTAATAGAATTGACCCATTCTGTGACTTTCTGAACGTCTCCCCATCCTGCCGCTTCTGAATTGATTACTTGTCTTTCCCTGAACCTAACTTTCCTATTGCGTAGATACTGCAAGGGGTTGTATTTCCTGCCTTCCGAGGCATCCATTTCATCTTCACGGGTATTTTGAAATCTCCTATTTCCGTCGCCAGAAGAAGGTAAGGGCGGAAGATGTGGTAGGAGGCGCAAGTAATGCTCAAACAATTCGAAGTGTTGTTTAGCCTTTTCGGCCCTGGCAAGAGTTGCCTCGGAAAATTGAACCTCGCCATAATGTGTAGCCCCATACCTCAGATCAACGGTCTCCTGAGGTGTCGGTGGCCCACGCGATGGAGTTTCAATTTCCGCTTGTCTGGTTGAATTAATACCTTGGGGTCTAGAATGGACCACAGAGGACGACAGCCTAGGACGCTGGGCTCCACCGGAAGAAGTACGGATTGAAGAGCTCCTCTTCCGTGAATCACTCAGGCTCAGGGCAAGATTAACAATCTGAGCGGGATCTGTATCTAGCCCAACTGAAGACGAAGTGCGAGGATGCGCGTGTGATGAGCTTCCCGGGGTATACGGCGCATCCTTCTGATCATTCTCTTCATTTGACACAACATTTGAGAGTGGCGAACTTCCAATAGATGGCTTAGGCGTATGAAGCTGGCGACGTTGCTGTGAGTTGCGTTTGGGAACAAACAGCTCGCTGTCATCACTCTGGTGGCGGACAGGTTCTTTACTCCATCGACTAACACTTCTCCAAGGAGAATTCGACGGTCCTGCGGGCGACTCCAGCCGAAACGTACTGCTTGCTTGCTTCCTATGCCTCCTCTGAAGAAGATAATCTGCCCCTGGTGACGGAGTTTGATCCAAGGGACCGTCCCTACTAGAACTGGGGCCAGCTATTCCATCCCCCATAGATATATCTCTCTCTGCATCCTCAGGCAGAGCTTGACTTGACTCTTGAGATGAAGAAGACATCTGAATTATGAGTCGATGGCAGCTCCAAGAAGCTGACCTGGCCGAATGTTATAAAAACAAAAGCTGTATGCATGTGATTAAGCCTTAATCTTGGTCATGCAAAAAAGAATGAACTCCCCCCCCAAGCACACACAAAAGATGGCAGTCCACTGTAAAACCAGCCTGGTTGAAAATTCGACAACCATGGCCGTCTCCACGCAAGCAAAACGAACAGTCGAAGCTGTTGTTGTCACTCGATCGAAGATCCGCAGCTACTCCTTTTTTTATTGCCCTTTTGGAGCTTAAGTAACAAACAAGACAAACACGTCACATGACCACCGCGCCACATATTACTAAACTATTTTTGTGGCGCGAGCGATATAGGAGTATGAATAGGAATACACGACTTGATGGTCCAGTAATTACGTTTTGCAATTCTAGTAGATACAATTGAGATCTGTTTTACAGAAGAAACTAAAGGTCTAAGACGATAAAAGGTGCTTTTGAATGCAAAGGCGGTTAAGGAAATGTCATGGCACTAATGTCCCAAGCTTTCAAACTGGAGGCACTTTAGACGGGCTTCCGTTTGAATGACCTAGAGAGCCTGAGTTAGCATCCATTGCTTGTTATAAAGGTAGAAGGGGAGAAAGAGGGAGAGTTCAGCTAGAGGACCATAGTAGACTTACATCCATTGCTTGCCTAACTTCCAAAACCCTTCTCACATCAGCCAGCCAATCCTTGCTTAATAACTTCGACCATCCGCGAAGTGCGTTCATTTCACGAGCAGCTTCGTCCAAGTTGCCCTCTTCAAGCAGCTTCTCTGTGCGGGTGAGTATGCTCTCGACATCATCCCCGCTAGAGGAAACTTCCTTTTTGAACATAACCTTGCTCATCAGATAGCTCGTTGCGTGGCTAGCGACACCAGCATCTTCGGGGAGCAGGCTTGCTTTACGGACTTCGTTGGCAACTCGTCTGAAACGGTCAATGATCTGGGAAGTAGATGGGATTCCACGCTGGTATGCGGTAGGGTTTATCGAGGAGATGGCCGCATTCACAATTGGGTCCTGACCTGCGAGGCCCTTGACCGCAAGCAGTTCATTGATGAACGGTCTGGGCATGCTATCACTCTCAAGGGCGGTGTGAACCGCATCAACCGCAACTTGAAGCTGTTGGGTAGTCAGGTTTGCGCCAATCACTTCGTTCCAGCCAGCAGTCAATTTCTCAAGCTCGGCAACTTGGGCAGTGAGCTCAGACAGTTTGCTAAGGCGGCCTCCACGCTCCTTTTCAACAAGTGTCTCGACATCGTTAAGGAACTTGCGGTTCATTTCAATTGCTTGCTCAACTAACTCGTTTCGAAGTCGCTGCTCAGCCACTGCGTTGGCCCGCTCGATTTCAGTCTTGATCTTTTCCTGGTAAGAGTGCGCAAGCTTCTCACGCTCCATCTCAAATTCCTCACGATACTGGGCAGCCTCTTCCGCACGAACTTCATCGATCCGTCGGACAAGTTCAGTCGCAGATCGATCAAATTCCAGGTGTGCGTTATTAATCTCTTCCTTGGCCGCAGCAAGGGCTTCCTCCTTGATTCTAGAGATTTGTTCTCCAAGTTTCAAGAAGTCTTCCTTTGCTTTGGTGAGCGGGGCAGCAAGCTTAGAAGCCGATTCATCCGCATTTATAACAGTGATAAGACCGTTAACAATCTTTGTTAACTCCTGAATAGTTGCATCATCTTGTAGAGCAGCTAATGGCTCAATGCTGGAAACGGTAGGAACAGCGGGCTTTCTCGGCTCATCAAGCGAAACAGCGGGTTTCTTAGTATCGGTAACTGGGACTCTTTCGTTGCTTTTATCCTTCTTAGTGCCAGTAGTCTCAGAAACAACCTTGTCTTCGCTAGCTGGGCGTTTTGGTGCAGATTTCGACTTATCCGTAGTACGAGAAGTTTCGGCATCCAAAGCACTCATATGTCTTCCCTTTTGAGATACATCACTGCCACCTTCCTTCTCGGCTACCTTCCAAGAAACGCCGCTCTTGCTTGGGATGGTCACTTTCTCACCCTCGTCTCGAGGAGCGGCAGGCCGGGTGTTAATATGTCGGGTAGCGTTTGGGAAACGGCGACGGAAATCAAGCTCCTCGAGATACAATACCGCCTCCTCACCATAGGGAACATATTCCGTGAAAAAGTCATGGAAGTTATCGGATTTAAGAGAAAACCACACACCTCCGGCATAGGCTACTCCAGTGGTGAGAACCAGGTACAATAGGAACCTGGTGAATTTCCCCTTGGCCTTACGAGCAGGAGGAGGGGGTGGTGGAGGAGGAGGAGCGCCAGTTTGGGTCTTTGGGGGTTCCGGCGGGTTTACCGATGAGCCAGGCGATGTCAGACCCTGGGCGGCAGGCGATGACGGTGGTGGTTTTGAAACACCTTCTGGCGTTATAGCTGAGGCGGAAGAGGGAGAAGGCGGTGATCGAACATTGGGCTCGTTCTCACGAAGTGTTGCGCTGCTTGTAAATGTGGCACATGAGGTTTTCCTGGTTGGTAATACAGCGGTCCCGGGTCTAATTGAGCTCTCATAAGGCCAGCCAGCGCTTCTGGCTTTACTGTAGCCCCTCTATACGGTAAGATAATGCGTCGTTAGCTATTAATTATCAAGGAATGATTGATAGACGCTCTACAAACCTTTCCTAGGAGGCTTCGTCTGGATGTAGTTAACCATGGACCGGCGGCTCTTTGCCGGGCCAGCGAACCCAGCCCTCGGGACGGCGCAATTGAGTTGCGCAGCATACTGGGACTTATCTGCCGCTAGATGGTCGACAAGGGCTGAATGGTTGTCGGCTCATGAGATGAATACAGAGTGTGTGTGAGAGAAGAGAAGGCGACGTCGGATGTTTTGGTGCAACAAAAAGTGGTTTCTTTTAGCGCCGCTTTAAGCTGTTTCATCGCTGTTTTAAGCATCCACACAGTCTTTGCTCTATACGCATGGTAGAGACGACGAAGAGCTTTATATTCATATGATTCCATTCAGTAGTGCCTCGAATGGTCAACGGTGGCCTAATTCATTATACTTGCTGGATACTGAGGTCATGGAATAATAATAACAGGAAGACGTAACAAATTACAACGTGAATAGTAGAAACCAATATGAACACCAGGGCAGAGCTGCATGACAAGGGGGAAAAAGTAAAAGATAATTAAATCGTAGATAGCAAGAGGAAACACGCGCCGCAAATCGATATCTAATAGAGAGAAAAGAGAGAGAGAAAGAAAACCCATCAAGAGCTGTGTATAATAAGGTAAGAAACCACGGTAGTCTGAGGGACTGTTCCAAGAAATTGCCAGTTATTGTCTCGAGGCCTGGGGGACATGGAATTATATCGAAGGGAAAGGACGGCAATTAAACCATATCAGATGATACTATCGTTGTACCTTGGAGCCACGTTAGGTTTCTTCTCTCGCCATTTATTTCCACTTCTTCGTTTTCCGTGTGCGTTCCAAACAGTCATGATGGATAATGAATAAACAAAGATATCCTCTAATGCACTCAGCAGCTGCATGCTCCTCCTTGGGTATTCGCCGACTCCGGGCGTAAGTCAACGCCCGGTCTTGGGTTTGCCCGCAGATTTCGTGGACCAGCCTGGTCGAGAGGTAGCTTCTTCGCAATAGCGGTAAATAGTTCCCGTACGTTCGTCGACGTCTTCGCAGAGGTTTCGAAAAACAACAGACCAGCTTCTTTGGCATAGGCAGCCGCATCAGCGGTTTCGACAGCGCGCTTGTCCGGACTTTCACTGACGAGATCAAGCTTGTTTCCGGCCAGCGCAATGATAATGTTTTCGTTCGCCTGTCTCTGAAGCTCCTTTACCCATGACTTGGCCTTGTCAAGAGATGCCTAATTCAGCACAATCTGTTAGTCCCTAGCAATACAAGTAATAAACGAGAGACTATGAGAGTAGAACAGGCCGGAGAGTCTTACAGCCTGAGTTATATCATAGACAACGACGGCACAGTTGGCATTTCGATAGTACATGGGTGCGAGTGATTTATATCTTTCCTGACCAGCGGTATCCCATATCTCAAACTTTACTGTAGTCGTTTCATCGAGTGATATAGTCTGTGTAAGAAATGCAGCGCCGATAGTAGACTCTCGATAGTCGTCAAATTGGTCCTAAAGCACACGGTCAATACACAACTGGCAAGACAAACTTGAGTTGGTATAGGAAAGTAATTCTACCCACTTTCACAAATCGCAAAACCAGCGAGCTCTATTGTTAGGCAGCCGTCAGTAAATTTCCCTATACCGATATGCCACCACCCGTTTAATCAAGGGATAGCAAATTTACCTTTCCAACAGCTGATTCTCCTATATAAAAATACACTTGTTAGCATCCAGCATCCAGCATCCAGCATCCAAAGATCGTATTCTATATTCTGGGAGAGAAGGCATACCGAGAAGGACAAGCTTAAACTGGGCGAATCTAGCACTAGGCCGGCCTCCAGGTGCCCTTGAAGCCATGGTTTCGTTCCTAAACAGGTAACTTGGCGGAGAGTGGGCGGAGGTCTGGGGTCCAGCAAGTCGCAGTAAGTGGGTGAGATGAACAACTGTTATGCCGGCAAAGCTGTCCCGATGTGTCGATAGAGAGTGGCTTTCGATGATGATGATGATGATGCTTGTTGCTTTAATTTGCTTTGCTTCTTCTCGGGCTTGTCGTCAGATGACGGAGAAGCTGCTTATGTCATATCACGTGAAACATTCTATCACTCTGAAGACATTCATGTAAAATACGATTAAATTTGCATACATAGTATACTCCGTACATACGAGTTAACTATCTAACTATAAGCCTTGCCCTCTCTTTGGCCAGAAAGATCTCCTGTTCCTTCCGGCTGGTCGGTATATCAACGAAGAAGAAGAGGAAAACGAAACTAGCTACACTAAGAGCAAACAGGAAATAGAAAGGGGTCGAGTTGTTCCCCGATGGCGATGCATCTATGATGGCACTTGAAACCAGAGGCCCGATGAAAGAAGACGTCTTGCCGATGATGCTGAATAGACTGAAGAAGAGAAACTCTTTGCCTCTGGGAGTCACTTCTGATATCATGATCTGGCTGTAGCTGTACCACGGGCAGACGAAGAGGCCATAAAAAGCCTGGTAGGCCCAAACTTCCCAGGCCTTGTGGAATCCAAACTTAGAGGTCCAGATACCCACCATCCCCCAGCCGTCAAGGAGGATGATTGCAATGGCGATAACATTGAACATGGTCTTGGGTTGTAAGTTGAAGCGTTGCTGTATGGCCCAGAAGGCATAGATTCCGATGGCCTGTATAGGAATCCGGGATGATCAGATAGGTTCATTATCCCAAATGGCGTCTATTACTTACCTGAGAAGTGATACCAACAATAAGGAGATATGTTAACTGGAGCGTGTTATACGCAACAATGCTATTTTGAAGAGTTGCAATCACCGTCACTGTAGTATTTAGAGAATCTCCGAGCAAAAAGTATCCTTAACTCGACATGTTAACACTTTGTTTGGACAAATATTTTACACGTAAACTTGCTGAGGGATGGTTTAATACCCTCAAAGCTCTTCCCCAAGGTACAGGAGGGAAGAATGAAATGGAGGACATACCGACAAGATAAAACAAGCTCTGCCTTAGGGACCAGATCTCTGTTGCTGCACGGTATAACTGGCTTAAACCAGCCAGAACGATATTCTTCCCCTCCAACTTTTGTCCCGGTCGTCGTTTTTCTAGAATAAACCATGGAATTGACAGGACCAGCCAAACCGCCGTCGCAAAGGCAATAAGAACGCTCAGTCCCCTGTTATTATTGGCTTCGCTGGCATTTACATCCAACGCGAACATGATGCCCACGATCACTGCCAGAATGAACACTTCGCCGACAGACTGGACATAAAACGCTACATTCGATAACTGGCTTCGCTTCATAGAATCAGCAGCATCATATTCATCTTTAGTGATATGTCCCGCACGAAGCTCATCGGCCCTTTGTCGAATTTCCTCCGTATTCCTCGCCAGCCCGGGAAATGCGGCAGTCCAGAAGGTCAGACATGTCTGGTAGGCGATGAGGCCCACAATGTAAAGGCCTGACGCGATGTGCCACTTCTCAGACGTATGGACATCAATCCATCCAAACCCAACCGCGTATGCGATTATAGACAGCACGATGAGTATATTTGGCCTCCAGGTGCCGAAATCAGCAAAGCTACCAATACAGAGGAAGACGAGAGCCTGAATCGCAAACGATATGCCGTTGCTCAGAAGCACGATGCTATTGATCGTTCGTCTGGAGCCAGCAAATACCAAAGTTCCACCAGGCCCTGCGGCCTGAGAGAGCAGGTTCTGGAATGCAGTAGGAGCAAAGTCTTCGCATAAGTGAGCATCCGTTATATTGTGATTGTTTGACGTAGAAACCCACTGAATAGAGTCAGTCCATTATTCCCCACGTAGTAACTGTAGGAGTATTGTCAGCAACTGTGTGAAAATGTTGATGCTGTAGTAGCTGGGGAACCCATTTATCCATTTCATGGAAAAATAAGAGGGCAACACACGCATAATATGCCCAAATCTCCCATTTAGTGGTCTGGTATCTTGTATCAGGTGCATCAGTCGTGGACTCCTCTGGTGGTTCGATATCTCTTGAGTCTGCCCTGGCTTTGGGTATCGCATCGTCGACAGGGAGATCAAGCTCAGAATGCCTGGCAGCCATCTTGTGTGTATTTTTCCAACATCTTGTATGCATCAAAAGAAATCGCCATTGAGGGTCTTTATATGCATTATATCGGTCTTCTCAGGCCGATCATCAACGAATCATCCGCTCTGAACGAGGCTATTCCTTGCTAGCGCTTCGCTTAAGTGGATTGATGAGTGTAACATCGGCCAGTTACTACGTAACTGTCGACGATGGGGTTAATAGGTAACAACTTGACATCCTCGGCATCTACATATAGACGTTACATACTAACAGACAAGTTATTGGGACCAATTGCACTTAATAGTGTCTGAGCACAGGCAGGTATCACGTAGACATCATGATTCATAAGTTAAATAACATCAAAATATACCAAGAACATTACCGAGGAAAAGAGCTAGACGTCATCTACTTCTCACTCACAGGAGCTTCGAAGCCATGTTTAGGAGATTGGAAGCTCCGCTCTGTTGTTGTTGTTGCTGCTGCTGCTGCTGACCTCCACTTCCTCCAAGGGCACCGGCAAGAGCGGCCAGTCCACTCTGCTGCTGCTGTTGTTGATGACCACCACCGCCTCCCAGGGCACTAGAGATAAGAGCAAGTCCACCGCCGAGTCCACCCATTCCAGTGCTGCCACCACCCATCTGGCCCTTTAGGTACATCTTCAGAGCATACTGAGCAGCCATGTTGACGGCAGTCTGCTTATCAGTGTCCTGTTTCCGTATTCATTAGCAACCAATTGCTACGGAGTCAAGTAGAGAGATCTTTAGATAGCTGGATAACTCACCACACGGCCCTCCTGGTTCTTTTGCTCCCACATCTTGCCGGCCTGAGCCATTGCCATGCCAATAAGCTTGTTCTGGTCGCCACCTCCCTGACTCTGATTTTGACCCTGGTTCTTGTTCCCATCGTTCAAGAACATCTTAAGAGCCTGCATTGCTGCTCCGGAGCCCAGAGACTCTGCACCATGTTTCTCGTTCCTGTCATCTACATCCCCGTACAGTTTCTGGTGGGAGTTAACAACCTTCTGCTCGTCAATGTCCTCGCGGCCCAGCTTCTCCTTGTTATCACCCAGGAAGCTCATGGCCTTGCTAAACAGAGAACTGTCATCGTCTTCGTGGTCTTCGCGGCCGTTCTTGTGGTATTGGGCCTGTCTGACGGCTTGGTCCTGGTTGAGGCTGAGGTCGCCTGGGTTGTAGTAGCCAGCGGCTTCACCCCGGTGCTGAGTGTCGTTGTAAGACATTGTAGAGAGCACGCTTTAAGATGGGAGACTAGAGATGAGCTGGCGAACTGGTGAACTTAAGACGACGAATCGATTGATTTGCGAGGAGAAAGGCCAGAGGCAACCAAAAGCTCGCCCCTTATATAGCTCTAACTCACACTCCAGAGGTGGCGAGTTGCTTTGGAGGGGCAACAAACAAACCTGCTAAGCCCCCTTTTCCCCCACCACCACCACCACCGCCACATATTTACATGCCCACGCAGTGAACTAGATAACTATACTACGACGTAATTCGATATGCAGTGCCTAGAGTTTACCCATGCGTGGAGCGGAGTGAGGGGAAAATCGACCAACGCGACGCCCAAGTCAACATCGGGTCAAAAAATCTGACGGATCGAGTAAAAAAAAGAAAGATGGTGAGAACACGTAGATTGTCCGATTGATAGGTACCTAAGTCAGCTAAGAGGGTTCCCTGATTATTCTCCGTTTCTTTTTTTTGTTCCTTTTTAAATGTTTCAATGTGTTCCGAGTGCTCCTCCCAGTAAAATATGCAATGCCCAGAATACAAGCCCGTTTCCGTTTCCGTTTCCGTTTCTCCGTTTCCGATGATATTGAACGCAAAGCACAGAAAGCCATTAACCATGAACCATTTGCAGAGAAAGTGTGGAGAGAAGAAAAAGAAAAAGGGGTAAAGTGAAGGGAAAACATGAAAATTGTCCTGCCGTCTTGAGAATCCATGCATGATGCGCCCCTTTCGACCGTAAAGAAATGAACAGTTTTTTTTTTTTTTTTTTTGGCACTGTAAAGCTGAAGGAAAGTGGATTGAGCCACCGTGAGAGAAAAGAAACTAAAAACACAGTTGCAGGGGATTGATTGTGTTGGAGACAGATCTTTTTTTCTTCTTTTTTGTTCAAGGGGAAGTAGGAAATGAAAGTGCTAAGAAGGAAAGGCATCGTGAATTCGTTGTGGCCAGTCATTGAGAGTCGTTGTGAGTCGTTCCTGTGCGTTAAAATAAAAGCGATATATTTATCGTATCGCTTGTGGGAAAAGGCACGCCCGTGCGAAAAATGAAAAAACTCCGTGTCGTAGCATAACCCGACTCCAAATAACACCAACTTGGAATGCTAGAGGAAAGTCAATGATGGAAAGATTTGAAGGGATGAGGTCACTTGTGCCGTGATCGTCGGATCCTTTTCAATTCATGCAAAAAGGCATCGGAGCCAAAGGGCATAAGCCAAAGAAGCCAGACCAAGGGGGGAATTTTTATCCCAAGAATCGGTTGAGTTTTGCAAATTCTGTATCGCTCATGAGTCTCTCATATCGAATTCTACGCTCGCCAGCGCTCAAAACGCAGCGTGGGTCGTCGTCAAGATCAGCTTCAGGGAGCCATTCGTTAGGCAGATCCGGATGATAGACGTCGCCACGGCTTTCAATCTTTGAGCGTCTAGTATGGCCAATACCAAATTCTTGGCCCCACTGAATGCGATCGTATTCCATAAGACCTCCAAATCGAGAATCCATGTTAGAAACCCAAATTCTGCCGCCGTCAGGAGTGAAATCAGCTCCACCAATCTCACCAAAGAAATCATGAACTTGACGGGATTCATAAGTCTGGGCATTAACGATAACGATGCGGTCCGCAGGCTCACACATGAGGAGAGTACGAGGGCCACCACCAACAGGGGAAAAGCGGAGAGAACGGTATCCTGCAACATCTGAATCAATGGTCTGGAGGATCCTCCACATACGGGCGTCCCAGATGTTGACAGTCTTGTCTTGGTTACTGGTGGCTATGTGTAGCATATCAGGAGACCATGCACATGCAAACCCATAATCACGATGGCCAGAGAGGCATTGAACTGGCTTTCCAGTCTCGCTATCAACAACCCAAGAATCGGCAGCGTCACCAACGATAACGCGAAGGCGGCCATCAGGAGAGGTATCAGTGCAGTTAATAGCCCGAGCAAATCGGTGGGTCCCGACAAACTTGTTCGTCTCACAGTCAAGGATACGGATGCATTCATCATTCGAAGCAATCACGGCCTGGGGGTTGCGGCTGGTTCGGTGTTTAACAATGTCGATATGGTTCGTGATCCCGTTAAGGTGTTTAGTGATGCGACCTTCCACCTTCTGGTAATCGTGCACTTCGCCTTTATATGCATATTCGCCGCTGAAGCCACCAACGACAGTGACTCCATGCTTGGCTTTCATAGTGGAGATTTTCAAAGGTTCGGCCACAGGGTTAGAGGAGATCGACTCGGAAAGGTCAACAATACAAGTATGCATGTCATAGAATGGAGTGACGGAATAAACCTTGTTTCTATGGACATACTGCACGGTATTGGATGCAGTCACAGCCATGAGATTTCGAAGTTGAAAATGTGCCATGGTGGCCTTGTACTTGGTATACATGGTCTTGGCTTTGAAGTAATTCTCACTTTCTTGTGGAGTGACGGCAAACTAGTACGGGAATATATATATTGATTAGACCATATACGCGTAAAACGGAGAGGCTGGAAGGTTAAACTTACACCGTGAGGCTGGAAACGAAGGTTATGGTAAGATGTATACCAGCGATCGCGTAGAGCCCGAGCCTCAGCTCTATCGACATTCAATTTGCTGGTCCACGGGATATTTTGGATGTCAAACAAGCGATTTTTGTGGTCTTCAGGGCGTGATATCTTGGTTGGTCTCGGCCACTGCAACACATGAATGGCCTCCCCAGAAATTGGAGGATATGGTTCCTTCACGCCGAGCCGCTCGTGAGAAACGCGGGAGCGGATATACCACTGGCGAATAAACTGTTCGACAGTCAAGTTACGTTCGAAAGCTGGCGGTTTGTTTTGGTTAGCATTATTAACAGGAGCAAGGGGATTCGCGAGCAGTATGCTTGAAGTGTAAGAGTTAAAGGAATGGAGGACCATGATGGGTGGGATAAAGAAAGGGGAATAGTCAGTTGGTTCATGCAAGGTCTCGTATTCCTCTTGTGTTAACAGTGGAAGGTGTTGGTGATGTTCAGGTTGATGTTCAGGTTCATTCTCAGGTGGTGGAATAATGCTTTGCTCAGAAGATTGTGCGTTAGTTGAAAGCAGATCTTCAATACTTTCATCTGGCAACGGTGGGATTGTGAAGTCTGACGCCTCGGCATCCTCACTAGTACAACCAGACGCACGCAAGAGATGAACAGCAAGTTCGGTAAGCTGGACACCATAGCGTAACATTATTCCCATTGACTGTTGATGTAAATGGGAAAACTTTCCAAGCACTTGACAAATTCTTGGAAAGTAAGCAGACGGAAGAGGTAAGATTCCCACCGAACTAGTAACTAGTTCTATAAAGCGAGTAAACGCTTGATGAAGTTGCCGCATAGAGTCAAGGCCATCGTAGCCACCACCAATGATAAGAGAATTCATAACTTGAGTGAGGGGTGTATCGGTACTATTAGAAGCTGGTGCAGGGGGGAAATTTAAACGGAAGGAAAGGGGTAAGAAATTATCATCCATACTCTCAGTATACATTGAAAGATCTGCGTTGTCGGCATCAGCACCAAACGCATCAAAATAGCTGTCGCCAGGATCCGGCAGCGCAAACTGGACAATACTGAGTGGGGCCAGAGATTGTTCCGTTGGCGGAGTAATAGGGCCATTGTTATTATTGTTGTCGACGTTTGCTTGCCTCGGAGCAGGGGGGGAAGTTGCTTTGCCACAGATGCTCTCTGAGCCGTGGTACGAGTCTTCGTCGTCAGATGGATAAAAATGCTCGGCGTCGTTGGCATCTTGTTCAGAGTCGGTAGAAACCGAGCCATTAGCCATGCCTACTCTGGGATGAGGAAGCTTGTCGAGTTCGAAGCCAGAAAGCTCAGAATTTTCGATCAAGCTACCGCTTCCATCGGGAGGCTCAGCCCACTGGTCGTCTTGCCATCCATCATCAGTATCATTGCTTGAATCCTGTGCAAAGTTGGTAGTAAAGTTAAAACCATCATCAATAGGAACAGTTAGATCCATATCGTGATCGTTATAATTTGTGTAGCCAGCTATATCAGATACACCAGTGTTCTGTAAAAACGAGGTAACGGGTAAAGTCGGGCCAGTAGCCAACTGTTCAGGGCTAGAAGGTGTTAATAGTATGTTGCCCTGAGCTAAGGCGGACAAAAAACTATCACTTGGGGGAAACTCTTGTGGAGAAGATGAGAAAGCAAGAGGCATAGATGCAAGACTAAGAGGCAGCTCATCTAATAGCAGAGCAGAGATAGATAAGGCTGTAGTAGCGAAGAAGTTAGATAGAGTATATTAATAGGAGTGAATATTATAAAGGAAAGCAGGCTACCTTCACGTGTTTCACTACTATGTGAAAGCTGCTCATTCATAACTGAATCTTCTTGCTTGGTGGTATCATCCGCTATAGTAGAAGCACTCTGAGATAAGGATGACCCAGTTCCTGTCTCAGGCTGGCCAACCATATCTTTTAACAAGGAATCTTTTAGATATTCACGCGTAAATGAATAACTCCTAGACCTCTAATCACTAACTTGAATCCGGACTTGCCTAGAAGCAAAGATCAGGCCCTAGAATCTTGACGATAGTAGATTCAATAAGGCTATGTCCTGATTGGTAGATGGTTTTAAAGATCTCGGCAGGTTCCAGTACTATAAAAACGCGTCAGAAAGGTGAGCAGAAGATAACAAGAATCAGCACAACACATACCTTGGATAAAGAGACGGTCTAAGAGAGATATTCTTCTTCTTTTTCTTCCTTTGAGATTTGGCCACCACAAGAGTTATGGCTTAAAAAAAAGGAATATGCTGATCAGAGATAGTGGAAAAGAAAAGAAAAGGGAAGAGAAAAGAAGAAAAGGAAGAAGATAGAAAAACAGAGGTGTTGTTACACAGAAGATAAGCCAGAAGAGTTAGAGGGGCCAAGAAAGCAGAGCTAGGTGTGTTGCTGTTGCTGCTCCAAGGTAAGGTAGACGGAGGACCAAGTGAGGTGAGGAAGTGTAGAGTGAGGTTTAGTTGCTATCACCACCAGATAATTAGAGTGAACAACAACACAGAGAGGAGTAAAGAGACAGGTTGAGGGCAGTAGAAGAAGAGTAGTAGTAGCAGAGGGAGATTGGATAGTATGCAAAGAAGCAACCAATATAGTAGGTATTAGTTAGCGTCAAGCTTCCAAACAGTTCAAGATGTCTGTAAAACGGTCCAAAGGACTATCTCTTCCCCAAGAAACAGAAGAATGTGAGTGCAGGGCCTGGTGATGATGCGGCAGGGGATTAAATATTGACTGAGTCCTGGTTGATAGTAGAGCTGGGGAGTTGAGAGTGCGGAGTAGAGAGGAATAAGTAGTTAAGAGAGGAACAGAGAAGCGGGATCAGGAGTTGCCACTGCTGACCTCCCGTCAGCCTGTCACTGCCGAAACAACCACCAAGCCTCTCGACCTCGACCTCGACCTCGACGAGGCTGCGGATCTCGTTTGTCTGATGTTGTTGTTGTTGATGTCGCTACCCTTTTTTTACGGCGTTTGTCCTTCTTTTCTTCTTTGAGTTCTCGACTTTCGCCCCGCGCAAGGAAAGAAACGCCGAGATCCGATGTCATGTGATCACCGGCTTGCCCTAGCCCCTTTAGGACGTAGCAGAGCCTTAAAGTTATATAAAAAAGGTTTGGAGCTTAAGAGTTGTGTATACACATATGTGAAAGTCATTATATATATACAAATGTTATGATTCACATGTTGGGTTTTCTATGGATAACAGTGTTCGAACGGGAAAAAGGACCCAGGGGCTGCAGGGATGCATCTCCTTTTGACAGCAGATGCATGCCGAATGCATGATGGGGCGCATGATGTGAGAGGGGGCGGGTAACACTCGCTACCGCATGCCTGCTCAATCGCGGCACGGGAGCGGGAGAGCAGCGAATCAACCCAGCAAGCATCCATACATAGCACATACATTACACACTCCAGCCGGAACATATTATTATATTTCTAGACATATCCAGACACAGGGTTCCGCCCGAGATATACGGTGGAGTTGCACGACAGATGGCAGCCTTGCTTTCTGTACAAGGTGTGTCTTCTGCTTTTCCTTACCCCTGCATTGCGTACACGGCTTACTCCGTATAGCAAACCAATCCATACATTACACGGTTCACAGATTTAAACCCGCCACGCCCACCGTTGCAGTCTTGACGCAGCTTCCCTCTTGTCCCCCCTGCATTACACTGCATGGCTGCTGGATGCCCAAGAGGGCAGCCCGATGGCTAGACACATACACGCTATGTAGTACTTATTTTTCCCAACCCCCCCCCCCCGGCTTGCTAACATGCACAGACAGGGATGTCTTCATGCATGATATGCCAAACACGGAATCTGCAGGCTACGATCTTATATCCCCTAAGATATAAAAAGGCAATGGAATTGTACATTGTATTTACTTATGTAATATGTATACATCCGTGGGTTGCCCGTTTGCTAGCACGGATAAGGGGCCTAGGAGGGCTTACGTACCTTACATAAGTTCGTTTCAAAAGGTGAGGAGAGTAATATAAATGAAGTCTTGTATATCCGTGTATTTGTATATACATCTACCTACAAACGGAACGAACAAAAATGGTAAAAAAAAGAAGTATAATGCGATGTACACTTGACTCCGAGAAAGCAAAATGACAAGGCCATTAACCAAGAATAAACACTATGGAAGCAATCGCAAACGGATTTAAGAGAGAAGACAAAAATATTACTAGTTAGTACAAGTATAGAGAGTTCGGTGGTATATCAAAGGTTAATAAGTCAAGGCAGAACATAGATAATAACTATGTGAAGCTTTCGTGGCTCGTCGCAGTTGAGAAGAGGTATAAAGGGTAACGGGTTAAATGGCAGTAAAAATGACAGAAACGATATTGGGTAGTAGATTTGGGTTTTGAACGTCCGGGCAGGGGAAAAAAGCAAACATAAGTAAAAATATAAAAGAAAAAAGGAAACACACATGCTCAATTCAGTGTCTTCATTGGTAGTCAGAGTATCCACCATACACGGAATTATGAGCGTAGTTAGAAAACGAGGAATTTGTATGGTGATGACCGGCTGCGTTTGCATTTCGAATTCGGCGTTCTACAGAGATGGTTAGTATCACCCGTCCAGTAGCCACCAACAAACAAATCAGGCAAATGGAAACAAAGACATACCTTTCTCGAAATCTCTCCACCGCTTCATTGTTATCTTACTGCTATCAAATTCACCCTCGTACTCGATTCCTGCAGTCTTCGTCTTCTCGCCCGCGGTCTTACGGGTGTCTCCCCAGCTGAAGTCGTCGAATTTCCAGTAGGCGTATGTAGGTAGCACGAAGTTCCAAATTGGTAGGGAGAGCAGGTATATCAGCATCCAGAGGACGTATGATAGGCGGTGTGCAGTGACTACGATCAGAACGGCAGGGAGACCCAGGATAAGTGCCAGGAGGACAAGTGGGATTATCTGCACTGGTGAATGGACGATGGATATGATGACGACGTAAAAGGTGAAGGCAATAGCTGCTGGGAGGACAAGTGTTCCAATGAGTTCCATGAAGACGACAAACTGCATGCTGAAACAGAATGTGCCACATAGGTCGCGAACGAGGACGAGTTCCATCAGGTTATGGACGGTAGAATTAATCCAACGACGACGCTGAGAGAGCAGAACGGAAAACTTGTCGGGCACGGTTGTCTTGCATACCGCTTGGGGAACAAAGACTTGTTTACGCTTGGGGAAGGTCCTGAGCATGAGCGTTGACAGGTACCTGTCCTCACCCAGCAATAAAAGATTCTTCTTGTGCAGCGTATCCACGACATTTTCAGAGTAATGTTCGACCACATCTGGATTGGCGAGGATAGGGACCCAGTAATTCTGCCCTCCCTTGGGAGCTTTGATACGATACATACAGAAACAGCCTGGAAGACAGGTGACACCTCCAAAGACGGATTCGAACGCCTTAGACAGGTGGTGTGAGATGAAGTACTCGAACACCTGGATCATAGTGACCCAGCTGTCGGCCTTATTCGCGATCTTGGTTTCGCCGCAGAGGCCCATGATATCGGGGTCGCGGACCATGGCGGAGAGCATGTGGGTGAGACTGTCGGGGAAGACCTTGGTATCTGCGTCTACCATGAGGACTACCTCATAGAAGTCTGGGGAAATACCGGTGATTTTCCATAGGCCGTTGAACATCTCAAACTCAAGCTCTGTCATCCGCTCGTCGAACATGACCTTTTGCAGGAAGGACATGAGGATAATCTGGCTGTCTCGTTTACCTCTGTTTCCAGGCTTGCTCTTCTTAGCCTCATCAGGGGTTCCACATTTGACAACTACCATCATCGGCACGCGCTGCTGTTTCTCTGGTGGGACAACGGAGTCTTGACCGTAGTCGTAGAACCCTGCGTAGATCTTGGCCATGTTATGACGTTTTGAACCGGATGCTACAGCAACGTAGGAGAAGGGCTGGACATCATCTGGATGTACGGCATGGTCACCCATCATGCTGAGAACAGCGTCGGGGGTCGAGGTGGACTCGCCCTTACCCTTGATTATACCATCACAGATAACGATAATGGTCTTGTGGCTGTTGGGATAATCCGTCATGGCAATAGAATCCAAGGTGGTGCGAATACCTTCCACGCCTTCAGAGTAAGCGGTAACCAGACATAAAGTATGGGCTAAGGGGTAACCAAACGGCTGCCACTCTGGTGGAGGCTGTGGCACAACCGACTCGTGAATGAATTCCGCAGGGCCCTGACCTTCGATATCGCTGATGGTGGAGTAGCGCGGGTCATGCCCGGGGACCATCAGGCTGGTCCGGCTACCAACAAGACTATGACGGGGGTCAGCGCTGAGTGTGCCCTGGCTGGTGTTGCCGCTAAGCTTGTACATAGGTGCAGCACTCAGGCGGTTGGCGTTATTCTGGCTTGACATTGTCGTGATGGCATTTCGCTGTTTGTTTGCGCCGACAACATAGGGGCTAGAGAATCGTGAGGTGGTCGGGAAGATGGTAGATCCACGCTTGCTGGAGCGATCTGGCATGGCGGGATCCGCCAGGCGGGGCCCAGGGCGGTATATATCATTACTCCAGTCTTCGATCTGGCGCTTCCGCTCCTTGGAGCTGGGATCCATGGCAGTCTTGGGGGCGGCAAACCGGCGAGCAAGGAACCATTGGAAGGCTAGAGCGAGGAGGAACTTGACGACGACAACGGCGAGAATGAAGACAAGGGAGATGTAGAGGACGACTTTGGAAGCAATACATCCGACAGTCTCGGTGTCTATAGATCCGACCTTGATGATCTCGGTTAGACACTTGAACATCCTCTTCTCAGGTCCAGTCTGGAAACGGTGGGTGACATCGATACCGCGCAACTCTTTGCTCTCCCTGAGCTGGTCGAAGCGGGACGGGTAGGAAACATCGCTGGAGTTGAACCATCTGAGCAGATCAAGGTCGAGGACATTACCCGAGTAGACGAGTAAGTTTCTGCTCTTGTTCTTGAGATCATCCCAGGAAAAGTAGACCTCACCGGTGGCATATAGATTGTAGAAGGCCTCCCGAGCAACCGCAGAGGTATGGCACTTGTAGCCCAGGTACGCTGGGGCGGTGAAGTTGGGCTCTGTCGAGCCATCCTGGTTGAAGGTCACGCAGGGGAAATACCAGCCCATATCACCATCGCTATTTGAAGGAATATCAGACCCCGGTTTTGGTGTGATCATCCCCTTGCAGGCGCCATTGACGTTCTGGAAGAGAAAACTACCGTCCTGCCCACCGTATCCATCACCGGAGAAGACGACCACAGACGAATCAGGGAGCCCAAGCACGGCAGGATGCTTGGACTCAGCGAGGTTGACGGCCCTTCCATGGAAGATCATGTAACCCTGGTCGACCTCGTTGACCTTGAGACGCAAGGGCGGAGCGCTACAGACGACCTGGGTGAAGCCGAAGGTGAGGAATCCAACAAAGCCGCAGATGAGCAGGATAAGACTGATGAGGCCCATCTTCTCGCGCCAAGCTCTCCGCTGTGCCTTGGCCGGCATGCCAAAGCACTTTAAAATGAAATCGGGGGCCCAAAAGGTGACCATGCCGCAGTAGACATTCCACAAGCTAGGGGGCTTGATGTTGTCCACCTCCTGACGCCTCTTCTCCTCCAGACGCCTCTCCTCCTTGGTCGACTTGGATGCCTTGCGGGAGAGCTTCCGCTGCATGCGTCTTTGCTCCGACTCTGGATGCCTGGCAGGATGGGCGGAGGTAGGTCCGGTGGTGGACGGAACCGAGTTCACGTCTATGCTGGGGTTCCGTTCCATGCTGGTGGTGTTCCGTTCAGGCTTCGTGAGGCTCTTGAGGCCGGTGCTGCCGGAACTGACGGTCTCGGTGGTGTCTGCCAGCTCCGGGGTCTCGGACTCCTCGTAGACGGGGTCGTTGCCCGTGGTGGAAGGGTAGACGGACATGTTCTGGGCATGCTGGCGGTAGTGGTAGTTTGGATGGTCGCGACTGATCCTGTGGCGTTCGGGGCGCACCAGACTGCGCTTGCGACTGAGCTCAGCAGCGGGCGAGGGCGAGGGCGAAGGGCTGGCGGACTCGATGTCTGGCCGACGGCGCTGGTAGGAGTCGCGGAAGGACGGCTGACGGGGCGAGGACGAGGAAGCCCCTGGCCGCTGGGGAAGGGACATCCTATAGCTCTGTCCTGCGGCTCATTCACTGTCTTCCCCTTGTCTCTACAGCATGAAGCTATCGCCGTCGTAGTGCTATGTCGTGGGTGGTGAAGTTGGCTTAGGGGGGTCAACACAACATCAACAAACGGGATAACGAGCGACGGTATAGGCACTGAGAGAGAAACGAAGGGCACTCAGGCCGTCATGAGACTATCTCGACTGTCTGCTGTCGTCCGTCCGTCCGTCTATCTGCTGTCTGTCTGTCTGTCTGCTGTCGGTCTGTCTGCTGTCTCTGTCTTGTTACGAAGAAGTCGAAGTTGAAGTTCAAAAGAAGGAAAAAAGTCTCGGTTTTTTTGGTTTGGTTTCGCGGGCAACGAGTAAGTTTACCGGTATGACCGTTACACAAGTTACCGGCCAGCCTTGGATAGACTTTGCGGGGTTCCGTACTTACAATACGTGTAACCAATACTCGTTACATATACATCGATACAGCATCAACATCGATATTTTATATCTTCTTACCCTTGCTATATCTATATCCATACGCATAGATAGGTAGCTGGGTAGATGTAGACTGACGACAGATGTAGATACATTGCAGCAGATGTGCCTAACACGGTAGAAGGAAGAGGGAGAATGAAAAAAAAAGGGGGCTCAACGGCTGGTTTTTCTTGCATGTCTCAGATCTATAAAAGTCGACTTTTGCTCTTGATTATCATCAAATGGGCGTCACTGCATAGATATACCATGGAGGATTCGTTATATTCCTCCTTACTGCTGGGCTTCTCTCGTCATCCTGTAATATCAGCTCGCTAGTAAGCGAAACAGCCTCCACTCCTGCCAGCGCTTCCTCTTGACTCTAAATATAGGGACAAAGTAGTTTGGTTTAGCAGTTTATGCATCCTGCATGTAAGGATGTAATATGAAGTAATATCATAGCGTGTTTCTCTCTCGCAGCCTGGGTTCTGCTCGCTGGCTCCCGCGGCTGTTCTCGTATAAACTAAGCCAAACATCGAAGACATCGAAAAAGGAACAACCAGCGAGCCTCACCACAGCCACCAACGAACAGACAAGCCAACAGGACGAAAAAGACTTCTCTCGCTTCTTCCGTCTACGCTCGTTTGCCTGATTCTCACGAAAAGAAAAGAAAAAAGGGCCTTTCTTTCGCTTTCACACGGCCTTTTCGCTAACCAAAGAGCCTAGTTGGGTGGCTTGCTCTGCTTCCTCCTTTATAAACGCCCGTAGAAGGAAAACCACCGTGGCTCAGATCTTTTCGCCCAAAACTCCACCAGGGGGGAAAAAAAAGGCTCTTCTCTCTTTTCTCTCTCTCAGCCGTCATGGTCCTGTTCTTTCGTTGAAAAAGGCCCGGTAAGACCCTGCTCCTTGTCCCTTCGTTGTTGGCTTCGTTGTAGGTTGGAGTCTGACTTCTAATAGACAGGAACAACGGTATTTTTTATTTCGAAAGGCTATCAGAAAACAAAACTTGCGTCGAACGGAGGCTGCATTGTAATAACCGGTGGATGAGAGAGGGAGTTCTCATCCAGCTGCACCGATTGGCGGTGAAATTATACACTTAATCAGGATATTGTACGGGGGGATTCCTTGATATATATATATCGATTACAAGGAAAAACAAAAGACGAAACATGGGCAGCCAGCCTCCGCCTCTCTCGCCTCCGCTGCCCGTCTACCTGCGCTCGACACCGACGAGGAAACCTCACCCGGTCCTGCCACCGGATGGCCAGGACAGCAGTGTTGTTATTCACGGAGGACCTGTCTCGCCAGTGAGGATAGACGCTGGCATACCGCAACCACAGCCTTCCAGTGCAGAGATGGGCCATACCACCAACGGTCAGCTACACGACACTCAGGAGAGCGGCAGACGGACGGCAGAAGGACGAATCGACGGCGATGGTGATGGACCACGGACGGACAGCCCGGACAGACAGACTGCGGATGACAGGAGAGAGAGTGACGAAAGTATCGAGCCGTACCAGCCGCTCCAGTACCACCACCAGCCTTTTCACGAGCATGTCCGGAGTGCCAGTGCAAGTGCCAGCATCTCCTCTCGCTCTTCTAGCAACCGCAACATCCACGGTGACTATCTGGGCATCCCTCACTCCAGCAGACGCTCCCCACATACCCGCGCGGGCAGCTCCCACTCCCACTCAGATATCCGCCCACTCTCCTTTGTCGATTTGCTGAATGTGCCTTACCCGCAACCTCCTCCAGCCGCCAATGCCTTCAGCAACGCCCAGTTACGCTCAGCCGTGGGCAACAATGCGTCCCTGCTCAGCCAGAAGCAGACCTTTGACATGTATCTGGCCAACGTGAAGAAGACCAACGACCCTGGCGCCCAGTACGAGTTTGCCGTCTTCATGATACATGCCGCCCAGGACATAGACCAGGCCGAGGCAGCAGAAGGGAACAACAACAACAATAACAACAACAGCAGCAGCAGCAGCAGCAGCAACAACAACAACAACAACAACCCAGCAAAGGGGGAAATCTCGCGTGCTGAGCTGCTCCGTGAAGCCAAGGGGATCCTGCAGCGCCTGTCGGACAGAAGTTACCCTTACGCACAGTACTACCTTGCCGACGGTCTTGCCTCCGGTCTCTTCAACAAGGGCAAACCGGACCATGACAAAGCCTTCCAACTTTTTGTTGCGGCAAGTAAGCATGGCCACGCCGAAGCCGGATACCGTGCCGCCCTCTGCTACGAGTTCGGCTGGGGAAGTAAACAGGATGGCGCCAAGGCTGTGCAGTTCTACCGCCAGGCTGCCTCTAAAAACCACCCGGGGGCTATGGCCAGGCTCGGTCGTGCTTGTCTAGCCGGAGATATGGGGCTGGTAAAACGATACCGTGAGGGACTCACCTGGCTCAAGCGAGCTGCTGAGTCCGCTGATGTCCAGTACAATGCTGCACCTTTTGAACTGGGCCTGCTACACGAGGCAGGATACGGAGACGATGTCTTCCAGGACGAGTCCTACGCAGCACAGCTGTTCACGAAGAGTGCGGAGCTAGGACATGCGGAGGCTAGCTACCGTATGGGTGATGCCTACGAGCACGGAAAGCTCAATTGCCCTCGAGATCCGGCCCTGAGCGTGCATTTCTATACCGGGGCAGCACAGCTAGGCCACCCGATGGCCATGATGGCCTTGTGTGCGTGGTTCATGGTCGGCGCCGAACCGATCCTGGAAAAGGACGAGAACGAATCCTACGAATGGGCTAGACGGGCTGCCGAGTGCGGTGAGTCCTATGCATGTTTACTCTTTTTTATCAGTATACATACTAATACCATATCAGGCCTGGCGAAAGCAGAGTACGCAGTCGGCTACTTCACCGAGATGGGCATAGGATGTCGTCGTGACCCTCTAGAGGCGAACGTATGGTACGTCCGCGCCGCAGACCATGGTGATGAGAGGGCAAAGCATCGTATAGCCGCCATCCGAGCTGCCGCTTCTGGAGCTGACCCTGCCTCTGCCGCTTCCCGCCGTCTCACTAAAAATGGTTCGTCCCTCCGTTCAGCCCCCGTATCTATAATGCATGTACTAACAATGCTACTACAGGGGATAAACCAAAAGGAAAACGATTCGGTCTATTTTAACACTCCTTCTCACATTCAACCATGTTAAGCGCGCATCCCTTTCTTCACCCTTTTTTTTCTTTGGCTCCTCGCACATCTCTTCTTTCTTGCATCTTGACCTTTAACGTCTATATCTCGATTTTGGTCCTCGCCTCCTTTTCTTAACCCTCGCATACTTCTTGATTGACTTTTATGGCAAGACCTGCGTAGTAACTTAATACCACATATACAACATCCATCCTTCTACATGCATTGTGCGGCGGTCCTTTTCTATATACTAGCAACCACTCCATCTCTGCCCTTGCACCAGCTGCCTTTTTCCTGCTTTTTATCGCTTCTTGTCCATGCATATACACATATTTTGTCCTACCTTGGATTCTTGCTTGTTTCATCCAATGCATAATAATCAACCAACAGGAGACTCCCGGCTCTATCTGGCTCTATCTTGACTTTGACAAAAGGAAATACTATCTTCATCTTCAGCATTCATCTTCAGCAATGAATTACTTCTCTATGTTTGGCGGAAACATACAGGATCTTTTTTTTTTTTTTTGGGAATTGAGAGTTGCATTGTCATATTATATAGTTAAGCATGCCCGAGCCCAACGCCATCTATCTAGTCTATAGCATTAAAATAATAAACACAATCATGACCGGTACATGAAGATAAATAAACAAAAAGAAAAAGCAAGGAAAGGATATCGTCAGGTTTTCTCAGTAGGGTTGACGGAGGCCTGCGAGGCCATGGCTGTCTCTACGGTTGATGCTCGATCCTTCTTCTCGACCAGTGTCTGTTCCGAATCAATCCCCTGATTTAAATCATATGAGGCAGTCAAGAGACTCAGCAGCCCCCCGATAGCCATCAATACGCAGCAGACAATCCAGACAAACCTCAAACTGCCCGTGAATGCCTCCTTAAGATGGATCTTCTGGGGGCCATCCGGCATGGCGCGAACAGCCTGCACCAGCACTGCGGCATCCTTGCTCAGGGCCTCGGCGATACCTGGCGCAGAAAACTCTGGATATTTCTGTAACTTGGCTACCATGCGGTTTTGGAAAATGACGCCTCCGATAGCTACACCGATGGCCTGGCCAAAGGCGCGGAAGAAGCTGAACATTGCTACCGCCATGGACATGTGGCCCTTTAGGGCGGATGCTTGGATGGCGAAACCCAGGCCTGGGAAGAGCATGCCTAGTCCCACGCCAGCGGGGAGCATGAGGAATATCCATCCGGCTACGCTGGTGGTGACCTTGAGGATGGCGAAGAGGCCTAGGCCAAGGGTGCTTAGGAAGAATCCAGCCCAGATGGACCAACGGTATCTACCGGTCAGGGTGGTGATGATGCCCACGACCACAGCGCTGGGGGCGACGGTGAAGCTGAGTGGGAAGAGCGCCACGCCAGACAGGATGGGTGAGTATTCCTTGACTGTCTCGAAGTAGAGAGGCATGTAGTAGAGGCCGCACCAGAGGACGAGGCCGTGCAGTACCGTCTCGATATACGTGACTATGGCGGTGCGAGTTACAAAGACAGTGACGGGTATCATAGGGTCGGTAGCGATGTATTTCTCATAGAGCATGAAGCACACCAATCCCACGATACCTAGGATCAACGGCACCAAAGTACGCCAGGAGCTCCAGTCGTACATGACTCCTCCCCAAGTGACGGGGATGAGGAAGGAGACGGCAGATGCGATGAACAGCACAGCCCCGATGTAGTCTATCCTTCGTAGTTTGCTGGCCAACGAGTCCGGAATACCAGTGAGCTTGAAGAAGAGCACGATGAAGACAAGACTGATTCCGACAAACGGGAAGTTGATGTAAAAGATCCATCGCCAGGAGACGTTTTGAGAGAATCCACCGCCCAAGACGGGCCCTAGGACCGACCCAAGACTCCACATCGAGCTCAGGATGCCAAAGTACTTCCCTCGCTCGCGCATGGGGACGATATCAGTGACGACTATCTCTGTGAGGGCGATCAAACCGCCTCCTCCGACGCCTTGGATTGAGCGGCCAACCAGCATCTGTGTGAAGTTCTGAGAGAGGCCAGAGACCAGAGTGCCGACAAAGAAGAAACTCAGTGCAATAAGGATGATGGGCTTCCGGCCGAATATGTTTGAAAACGACGCAAAGCTGGGTTGGAAGACTGTTCATCTCGTTAGTTCCTGGAACATATAAGCACAGTTCTGATCGATTGCGAACCTGTTGAGCATAGAAGGAATGACGTCCCGCTCCAGAAGGCCTCGATGGCAGAGCCGTGCAGTTTGCTAGCAATGATCTTGCATACCGAGTCAGCTGTTTATATCTGGATGAGTTGACCAAGGGTCTCACGTACAGGCAGTGCAACGGATATAGATGTCCCATCCAGGGCCACCATCAGAGTCAGAACGGCCAGCGTCAAGAAGATGAGCCAGGTACGCTTCGAGGGACGGAACTCTCCTATACCCTTCTCCGCACTGGCTGCAGACGAGTTGTCTGAGAGCGGCGGACCGCTGCGGTCTCCTTCGACTGTGAGGCTCATGCTGGTTTCAATCGCAGACAATTTTCAGTCTTGGTATAATAATTTGCTTTGTCGAACAAGCCATGATATCGAGCTAGCTATATAGATCTGCGCCTATATATATACATGTATGTATATATATGCCATCGATCGGAGATACCTGGGGGTTTGGTACTCCCGACTTGCCGTTCAACAAGATAAAGATTGAACGGGCATAAGAAGAGCCCATGATGGATGGGGAGAGATGTATTGCTCCATGCCGTATATCATGATAGCTTCAAGGACTCCGCCATAGATCCACAAGACCCAAGAAGAAACGACTTCCAGCTGGTCATAACGTTAAGCATGTGGCCATCTCTCCATCTATCCGGAGAGAGTTACGTGTGAAGCCTTTGGCCGGCCACGCCCATTGCCAGCAAAGAAGAAAAAGGGCCAGGTAGAGCTCCATTTCTTCTTACCGACTCACGCCATAAGCAAGCAGTCTCACCATCTCCCCGTCTACTGCTGTCTTCTATTGGACGAAGTCTCAAAATTAAGCATGAATCAAAGTTGAGCGGAAGAACCGGTCGGCCCGCGAATCGGAGTCAAGTTGCTCCGTCGGTAGAACGAAGATCCAGCTTGCTTCTCGTATAACTAAAGAGTACTAAAGAGAAGCTTTGTGGTGTATCATGACGTTGATGTAGCTTGATGTTCATGCAAATGTCGAAGACCAAAGATTGAGACGTCAAAACCTGGTAGAACAGGAAACTCTTCACATAGATTAAATATGAATACGGCTAATGCGCACATAAATACAACTCTCCTAATCCGACTCACTCCAAACACGTAAAGTTGCTCCACGGCCAGGGATTCAAAAGAGAAAAGGGAAGAAAGAAAAGGGGCAGCAAGGGAAGAAAGCTCATGCCATGCACTCCTGGTGTAAGCGGGGGAGGAAAGGAGTAAAGCAAAAAGGGGTGCATAAGACCTAGCTAGATGCTAACTGTACATTTATTGGAAGAGTTTAATACATCCCCAGTGCTGCTCGATGCCATATGGTCCAGGGTCCTTCCAGCGGTCATCAGTGAAGGAGAAGAAAACGGACTTGGATCCGACCTCCTCAACGAGAGATTTGATGGCCTCCTCCTGCTGCTGCGTTCCAGGCACGGCAAGCTTGTTAGGGCTACCCTCGGTAGGCCAACCAGTCTCAAGATTGAAGACATCCTTGCCAGGACAGATCTTGGCGAGAAGCTGGATCTGGCCGGCAACGAACTTACCACAGCTTGAAGCTTCGACGTCGGGGTTGAAGAAGCAATGGATGTTGGCGCCGAGGACATCAATGACGCCGCAGAGGGAAGAGCCGTGCGCCTGCCAGATATCGGTGGTCTCGGTGGTGGTTACGGGACCGCCGTAGCCGGCAGCCTGGAATGCGGTCTTGGAAGCGCTGATGAAGCCGGCGAGAGCGCCGGCGTCAGCGCGGCCAGAGTGGATGGACTCGTTACCGATGACGACGAGAACGACCAAATCCCACTGGCTCCAGGAGGTGATGTCGGTGACCTGTTTCTGGGCTCCAGCGATACCAGTTTCGGAAATAAAGACGCCAATGATCAACTTGAGGCCGTGGGCCCTGCAGGCGTTGCCAACGTTCTTGAGGCCATCGCAGTCGGAGGAGTAGATGCGAACTGTGTGGAAACCGGCTCCTGCAATGACAGAAATGTCGTCCATGACGGCGCTGGCGCCCTTGCACTGGCCATCATTGGTGTAAGGAGAGTAGGTCATACCCCATGTCTTACCACCACCGAGACCGCCGCCTGGGGGGTTGCTTGGCTTAGGGGTTGGAACCTTTGAAGGCTCTGGGACCTTTGATGGCTCTGGAGTTTTCGATGGTTCCGGTGCCTTTGGTGGTTGGGTTTCCTTTGGAGGTTCTGGGACCTTTGGTTGAGTTTCTTTTGGAGGCTCTGGGGCCTGGGTGGGATTCCCTGGGGCTGGAGATGAGCTCGGGGGAGCTGGGGCCGGGACGGGGGCTTGTGGTGGGACACTGGAGGTGCCTGGAGTTGGGTAGACGGTGACGGTGTTGACGGGCGGCTGAGTTTCTTCAGCGGGCTTAGAGATAGGAGCAGAGGCCGTAACATTAACGGTGACCGTGGTGAAGCTGGTCAGATGGACGGTGGTGGTGGATGTCACTGGTGTCGCTGGAGCAGGCAGTTCGACGACTTGAAATCACAGTCAGCACTCATTTCTGCGACCTATATCGGGATCATTTAAATATCGACATACGAGTTGGTTCACCCCAGTAGGTGGTGACTCTGGTGACGCAGACACAGCTCTCCTGGGCGGCTGGAGCAAGATCACGGCGATGGAATTTGCTATGGCCATGAGCGTGCGAATTGGCGATGGCAGAGCCTAGCAGCCCAACGGCCGCGGCAAACAGGGAAGCCTTCATGTCTCTCACTCTTTCGCTATCTCGCTATCTCGATCGTCTCTTTGTGGCGGGGCTATCTCGATAACAAGAAGAAGACGAGGAAGAAAGCGTTCAAGGTCGTTAAAGAGTGCCCGCTGAATGAGTGAAGCGGTAGTAAAGGGGTGTGGGAGTCCGAACGGAAGACCTGGGGATATGAAGGGAGGAAGAATTCAGAGGAAGGGAAATGAAAGGACCCGGAGCGGCCTTGCTAAGTATATATTAAGTACTCCGGACAAGGACCCCGTCTCTTAGTATAAAAAAGGGGGCGTCGCACCGCCTGTGGAAATTGCAACTTTGGCGTTCAAACCCCTTGGCGGGTCTTGCACAAGGGCTTCGCAGGCAGCCGGACGAAGAAGAATAATAAAACCCCCCCAAGGCACTAAGCAGACTAAGACTTAAAAGAGCGCTGGTCGTTTGAACTCCTCGCCCCTTTGTCCCTTTCTCTTTCGTTTCTTCTCTTCTTCATCGCTTCGTCTTCGTCTTTTCATATATTTGTTGACGTATTTTTGGTATCGTAAATACAGAAGTATAAAGATAAAGTGACCGTCCAAGCTGCCGCTTTGGGTGGCGGTGAGCCAGGTCCGCTGTTGTTCTCATTGGCTGGAAAACCACGCTCGGCAGGGGCAGAAACCGCTGGCAGAAACGGTATCGTAACGGCGATACGCCTTGAGCCCCGAAAAGCGAGGTGTGTGTGTATTATATCAAGAGCCAATATAAGTATTTATATATGTTGCCCTTCATTTCTCCTGGGCAAAGCCTTGTTGTCTTGTCTCTTGTTCAATAGTCTGATAGATGTCTGGATATGATGTCTTGGTCCCAGGATGTGGTAGGCTCCGTTCATACCGTGATGCTCCGCCGGAAAGAGTCGTTCCTGCGTTTCACCAAAGGGAAAAAGGACCACTCCCCTGTTCCCTGCTTCACTTTCGGTTTGCCCCCCCCCCCCCCCCCCCCTGCTAGGGCTTGGGGCTGGTCTGCCCTATCAAGGTCGTGTGCTGTGGTGCAGACCAACGCAAAAGAGAGGATCCACCTCGTGTCAAGCGCTATTTTTACCCGAATATCACGGAGATTCCCTTCTCCCTTGTCTGCCAGGGCTAGCAGAAAGGGCTCTTGGAAAAGCCTCGCAGGCTCGTTGGCCCCTTTTCTCGGCCAATCGTATCGTATACACGGAGTGTTGTATAAGTTGCTGTCTGTACAATATAGTAGCCATCTCCCTTCCTTCGACGTGGCGTTGTCACTCGCAGCTGTAAAATCGGAGTTGTGGCTGCACACCAAACTTTTGTTTTGGGGCGCCCTTCGTTTATTTTAATGCATCTCAGAGCATTCTTTTCTTTTCCCTCTCCTTAGTTTTATTGCGGCTCTGGCGCCATCTTTCTATACTTTGTTACCCCTCGTCGGCAATACCTTTTTTTTTTGGTCTGAAGATGTGTTGACATGTTGGCCACCGCTCTCACTAGATTCCTTGCGCAGTCAATGGCAACAGAAGTGTTATATATATTAGAGCAAATCTTAGTATAGCCAGGACGTCAGTCCATACGTGGTATATGACGTGTAGATCATGCTTCGTTGGGCCTTTACGCCGAATGTTTGTCTCTGGGCAAAGTTTGCCTCTCCTTGACTGAGCAGAAGATCCAACTCCACTGAGCTCGTCTAGACATGCGAGATCTCATCATGTAATATACATAGTACATACATTGATGATGCTGGTGTGTGCGTAAAAACCCAATCACGTCTTGACGCTGATCAGATCGGATTGGCAGGAAACTTCTTGGGTATCCGCGGGAGAATCCCGAGATTCCATCCACATGAGAGTTGAGCTTGATATGACCTGGGGGTGTCGGAAGCAAGGCTGTACACAATACCCGCAAGTCGAGGCCCTTTTTCCATCGCCGGCTATTCTTGGAACAACGCAGACATTTTCAATGCAAGGCCCCAAGATGACACACCCCTCCTCATGCGAGTCATCACACCGGAGATTAATCAGATATATTAGCTGTTGGCATCAGATCCAAACTCCTGAGATGTTTGGATATACGCATCATTCTTCATGCGGCAGGCCGTCCTGATGCCGTATTCAACTGGGCGTACGCTGGCTTTGACGTCCACGTCTCACGATACCGTGTATTCGTACCCGCACCGCAGGTCCTTTTCTGCTTGGTAGAAACCCTTGTCAGCCTTGCTCTCACCGCAGAGGTGGACTTACCAACATCGATGGAAATACTGACACCTCCCTCGTATACTCTTTTGTCTAATGCGAGGTACACGTCGGCCTTAAAACATTGCGCGCTTGCTCGGGATACACCTGCTGGATGCTTAACCATGACTAAAAAATCAAGCGGAAGAGAGTTTTGAAGGAAAGTCAATGTAGATAAGTTCGTACATAGCACTGTCGAAGGTTGGAGCACCTGTTGAGAGTGAAGAGGTCGTTGAAGTGATAGACGATGTCTTCGTTTTCGATACCTTCAGTGTTTGATATCCTTTCCTTAGTGTCAGATAAGTAACCCCCTGCGCCCGACCTTCTATGAAGGAGGCATCTTCTGTTAAAAAGCGAATAAACATTTATCAGGTATGAAGGGCCTCTAATTAATGAGAGTTGGTAGTTCATGGTGTCGAATAGTGGATGATGGATGGTGGATGTTGTAATTGTGGCATTAGATCTGTCAACTGGCTACGTGTCTCATCTTCAGCTACTGGGTCAGAAATATATAGCAAAATGGCCGTGAAAAGTGTGATATTTAATAGCATTCGATGGAATGAGATATATCAATTACAAAGCATAGCAGTAGTACATGGCTAGTTAAACATAAAAAAAATTCGAGATAAGACATTGGAACACACCCGAAGCAAAAGAGAGAGAGAGAAAAGGAGGCAACGATGACACGCCGGTTACAGTATTCCATCCATTCCCACCAGCCAGGTTAAATTTAACGTACGTCCGAGAAAAAGGTATAGCGAGGTTTGGTTCTCATGTCGATCAAAAAAGGGCGCCGGCGCCAGGTGCCTTGGGTGAATAGCAACTCCCGGATATGCATAATACAATAGAGAGGTATTTTAAAAGAGAAACAGAGAGTTGAGAATGTAAATGAAGTGGCGGTAAAAACCTCTCCCCTTTCTTATGCTGCTTTAGCAGGGTCAGCATCGGCGTCGCCCATCTCCTGGTCCTCGTCTGCCGGTGCCTCATTCTTCACTTTGCTGGCATCAGCATCTTTCTCGCGGCCAGCAGAGGTGGCTTTATCATCAGATTTGGAATCCGCTGCGGTATCCGCAGCAGCAGAAGAAGCTCGTGCGTTATCCTCAGTCACAGCGCCAACCCAGGTTCTGAATTGCTGGTTTGACCGGTCAACCTCATCTTTGCTTAGCCCACGAGCCCAAGTCGGGTTGTTCACAAATTTTCCTCTGAATCTGTCTCTGCGCTTCTCTTTCAGACTTGCGTACTCTCTCATGCCCTCGATAGCCGGAGACTCCTTGTTTGTTTCGTGGCGATACCACCAATCCTGAGTGCCAGTCTCATACAAGATGTTGTAGCTGTTAGCGCAGATGCGGATGACTAGACCGTCATGATGGACAAGGGGCTTGTAGAAGTTATTGTACTCCTCATCGGAGCCCATTTTTGGCGGGAGGTTACGTTTCAGGAATGGCATGCGCATGTCTGAGTACACCACTCCTTCGGTGGGATCTCTCATGGTATAGGCTGAGACGTAGTAAGACCATCGGGCTTCATGGCCGAGGCCGTCACTTTCCAGGGTGCTCTGATCTGGGGTTAGAAGCTGGACCAGAACATGTTTTGTAGCGGGAACCTGATGTAGATTTTGTTAGCATAAGTTAGTTGCATAAAACATATAGAAGGGCTCTTACAAAGGTAATGCGATAGATATCCCCCTCTTTGATCAATCGTTCGACCTGTTTGCGATACTGGAGTTCCTGGTTATGAGTTGTCTCCTCTTTCTCTCGCTCCTTGTAAAATAGATTGATGACATCGGATGTCCTATCCTTGACATCGCTGTTGAACACGCCACCAGCGTACTTTGCGATACCACCCAAAATCCTATCAAGTTGATAGAGTTGCCATCCATTTTTCATGTAGAAGCGGCGCAGGGTTTCTTCAAGATGCGATAGCTCCATTTGGCCCGTGATTGCCTCTTCACACATGCGGATGATTTGGTGGTACAGATTGGATTTTGGATCAGTGTCATAAAGAAGGTCAGATGGCGTTTTATCAATCATGCCTAGCTCTAGGGCGGCCTTTGGTGCCATGGCGCGACGAACAGCTTCGTGAGCCTCCTTTTCATACTGCTTCACATTCAGAAGACGACGATAAAGAATCTCAAAGGTGTACAGGAAGCAGTAAATGTTCAGGTTGCAGTAGAAATGGTGTATTTTCTTCTTGTAGGGCTCGTTTAGGGGGTATTCACGTTTCTGATGGAAGTTGCCGCGGGTAGGATGATCCATCCATCGCAACTCCGCAATATCAAAGTTATCACCTGAACGTGGGGCGGGTGTTGAATCATTCATCGATATAGGAGTTGAAGCTCGGCTAGCTGCTGCTGATCCGGCTCTGAGGTCTAGTTCCGGTCTATTAGACCTATCTGCATGTCTGTTGAGAACTTCACGAAGAAGCTCAAATTTCTTTCCACTTGTGATGCGTTTTGGTCTGATTGGCGCCTCATCCGGTGAGCTCTCGTCATCGGCATCCTCGCTTGCGGATGTGCTGTCATATACTTCAGACAGATAGTTTTTGAAAGCTTCACGATCTATTCCGAAGAATACGGGAATAAAATCCTTAATGAAAGCCATAACGCGCTGTGGATCGGCGCCGAAGCCAGCAGAACTGTGGTCCAGATAGCAGAGCAGCAGGTGAGCAGCATCAAGTACAACTTCCGAGTCCTCGAAGGCGAAGTCAAGCTGATAGTTGGGGACTTGAATTCCACTTCTGCGACGATTCCTTCCCTCTTCAAACTTGGTCTGTATCTCATGCTGGATATGTTTGGTTAAGAACAGCTTCTTATCATTACCCTTCATAATGATGGCCTGGTGATCCAAACTTCTCCAAAAGCCCTTCTGCATCTGCTCACGCCATACCTTATCCCATTCACGCTACGTTTTTGTTAGTATTAATACAAATATATTATAATGATCTTGGAAAGGTGTAATCATACCTGTGTGGCTTTCCATTCTTCGCATTTCTGCTTCAGCCTTGCAAGGACAATTGGTAATACGATGCATGGCCTAGCAAACATTTCCTCGATTACCCTCTGACCGGGTTCGCGGTCATATATCTTCTTGATGACCCTTCGGTAAATGGTTTCGCTCTGCCCCCCAAGGCCAGGTGGTAGCTTAAATGATGCCCTCTCGCTATCATTCATAAGCGAGATCTGTTGTACCAAGGGCTCCAGGAGCTGAATAGTACGAATACAAGCTTCGATATGGTGGTCGTAATCATGGCGATCTTCTTCAATACGGTGCAGTGCATCTTCATACTGATTCTTGCGATGTGCAACGAAGCCGGAGTCTTCTGATGCCCATGTCGGATGGGAGGCCCAGTCATCGTTCAGCACGCTTTTACATAACTCGTCACGACCACTGCAAGCCTTTTGGCGTTCACGCTTGGGTAAGAGACGATAGCTAGGCCCCAATGCGCGGCAGTGAGAAAGGTTGACAGATCCCGAATCAGGCTTGGCCTTGGGTTCGATGAGCTCGTCTTTCGGCTCAATGTGCATGAAGCGTTTGAACCAAGACATGATTTCTTGGTTGGCGCCAATGAAGCCGGCGGCACGGTTAACGAGGACATTGCGGTCAATGAGGTCTGCAGAGTAAAGGTTGCAGAGCTTGAGGAATTCGCCGAAAGTTTGTTTGTTGCCGATGAATTTTTTCACACGGTCAAAGAAGGCATACTCTTCGTGTGAGGGGGTGAGCGAGAAGCTTGGAGGGATCGGTTCAGGCAATGCTGGAACGAGTGTTGGTGAAATAGCAGGCTGGGAGTCAGCAGCAGATGGTTTATGGCTTAGCTTTGTTCGCTTGTTCATGCCCATCTGCTGTGAGGCATTCTTGTTCATCTGGTTGCCGTTCATATCACCAACAGCGGGAGGCATGCCCGGCATTCCACCTCCGACAGCCCCGGCACCTGGTGCGCCACGCCGCTTCTTATTCTCCTTGTTCGAATCCTTTACGTTAAATTGTCCTAGGGGCGGCATTTTGACATCACCTCTCGACATTTGAGGTTGTGGGAGTCCTGAAGTACCATAACTAGGTTCTCCGCGCACATTGCTGAGTATGGGAACCTCTTCTTGTGACTGACGGTTCGAGGTGGTAGCTTGAGCCTTTGCCTGGGCTGCAGATTCTGGTAGGAATTGTTTGAAGTCCTCCAAGAGATCAGGAGCAGCTCCGAAGAGGTGAGTGACCTGAGTATACACGTCCTGAATGGGTTTGGATTCGCGTTGATATGTTTGTAATATTTCGAGGAATTGTTTGTATATCTCAGGTGAGTCGGAGAAGCGGTTCTATTGACAGGAAAGTTAGTGGGATATAGTTTATCAAACAGAGTATTTTAGGAAGTTACCTTAATTTTATTAACATAGCTAATGGCATGGTTAAACTCGACGGGTCCACGCTTTGCGGCATCGACTTGACCGGGAAGAACGCCAGAAGGCCCAATACCACCAGCAAGGGAGTTCATCGGCTGCGAGGGACCAGGTGTATGAGAACCTGGCGGAAGCTGCACCATTGGTTGCCGCCCTGCGGCAGTGGCTACAGAGACCGCATTCTGCAGCTGTGAGACGCCTCGCTGTTCTTGTTGATGAGCCATTGCCGCTGCATCACTGGGAGTTTGTTGGTCATGTTGGGCCTGGTAATCATACTGCGTGTCCTGCGATGAATTATGTCGAGACTGCTGCTGTTGTCCGTACATTCCGGTAGCCATGTGCTGCGACTTGGGTGAGTATGAGCCTGCAGCGCCTGGCGGATGGCCCTGCTGCTGCTGTTGCTGCTGCTGGACATGACCATGCTGCCATGCACTGCGTGGTTGATCGTAATACTCTGGGCGTGAGGGGGGAGCAGAGGCTGCTGTGGGACCAGCTGCTTCAGGCGCCCCTAGCGAAGGCCGCGAAGCTGATTGCATGGAGATGGTATTTGTCCCTGAGGGGGTGGTGACGCGAATCGCATCCGGGTTATCGTCTGTTCCGCATTCTATGCGGTAGCCAGGCGGCAGGAAGGTATTAAAACCCTGAATCAGAGCAGGGTGTCCATTGAAGAGAGTCGAAACGCGCTGGATCACACCAGGAGTATCAATACTAACGAGAGATGGTTAGCATTCCTAATATGTATCACAGCCATAACTTGACGTACGCTTGACTCTTGAAATCCTTCATGATATCGAGGAACCTGTTGTATACTTCGGGCTGCTCGACGAAGCGGACCTTGACCTGGTCCAAATAGCTGAGAGCATCCTGTTTGTTAGGACCCATTAGTGCGAATTCAACTAAATAGTAAGTCGATGTCGATAATCCCCAGAGAGGGGCGGAATTGATTATATCCAACAAAAAGGAAACATAGGAAAATGGGTAAAAAATATCCAAGGTAGAGGGAGGTAGACACGAAGATTAAGTGTTAAGTGCATAAATCAATGATATATGAGGTCTGGGGCAAGTGAAGTCAACCCGACCGTAGACTGTTTTAGCCTGGTGAATGGAATGTCACGGCATATTCCATTCCCAAATACATCAGTTTGATCGGCTGATGTGAGCATGTTCGCCAGCGAGCTTTCATTTTCATTGTATGTATTCCATTCATACACCAACATAGCCTTTTTTTTCGCACAAGGGAGAAGATGGAAAGAAGAGGGGGAATTTCAGCAAGTTTTTCAATGACTTACATTTAATATGGGCTGCTGGCCCTGGGCCAAAGCTGCAACACTCCCTGGAACCTGCGAAGGGCCGGAGTTGAAAGACAGAATCGGCTGCGAGGGTTGGAGATACTGGCGAGGTGGACCTTCACTGTGTTGCATGGAGCTTCCAAACAGGTTAGAAGGCTGGTTTGAAGCTTGAATGGACGGCTGTGGCGCGCTGGTTGCCGAACCCAGGTTCGATAGCAGCCCATTGGGCCCATGGATGGAACTAGGAACCTTTGAGGCGACTGGCTGGTGAATGGGGATGGAACCGGTGTGGCTCTGTACCGGATGCTGCTGCTGCTGCTGCTGTTCACGATGATACCTATCAGCCATTTCACGCTCTCGTTCACGCATCTCGTTTTCCCTTTCCATCTCTCGTTCGAGCTCAAGCATGTCCATCTCCCTCTGACGAGGCCTGCGTTCGCGTTCACGTTCACGTTCACGGTCACGGTCATGACTTATCGACGATGGGGGCGAGGTATGCTGGATCGACTGACCGATACCGGGCAGTGCGTGACCTCGTCCTAGAGGTTGTTGCTGATGTTGGCTATAACGCGGAGGTTGTTGTTGTTGCTGCTGCTGCTGCTGGTGTGATGGAGGAGCAGCTGAGGCGCCCTGGGTGAGATCCGCAAGAGTCGGCAGAGAGTGACTTGACTGGCTTGCGGAATGATATGGACCTATGGCGGGGGATTAGTCGTCGCTAGATTGATTGCCATGCCGAGATAGAACGGCAGGCAGGTCCTATGGCAGGCGTACCTTGCGGCGGAGGAAGGGTTCGCGACGGCTGTTTCGACGCCGGATCATCCAAGGGAGTGTTTTGCCTTTTTTTTTTTGCGCGCAAAGCGTCCCGTCAGCTCAGATGGTGTCTTGCAAACCAGGCGAAATTGCCCACACGACAAGTATACGAACAGACAACCATGATAATGGTGGTGGAAGATGGGGGAAATGACAATGACATACCCAAAAGCACCCACGGGCCGCGCTGACTGCTGGCCCATCTGGTCTACATGGTGAGGCTGCGGGCCACCAGCCGGATGCCACCCATCTTTACCTGACGGATTCATACGGTCCACACGCCGAACAGCCAAGTCTCGAGATATGGTCGAGGTGAAAACGAAGCTATAGCCGTTCGACTGGACTCAGCTCGACCAGCAGCGAGCCAAGTGGGAGGGAGAGAGGGTGGTAAAAAGAGGGTCGCTTTCAGGGGCGAGCTACGGCGCTGCACATGGGACGAGGACGGTAAATGGCGCCAGAGTCGAGCGCCAGCAGAGGTCGTTGATATCGAGATAAACTGGATTAACGAGCTGGCTGTACCAGCTAAACTGATTGTTGGTGTTCGAAAGAAGCTGGGGTTTATTGCTCGTAGTCTCTTCGTCGTCTTCTGCTTCTTCGCACGCCGGAAAACTCAAAAAATAAAAAAAAAAAGCTGGACGATAGCGTGGAGGGCGGTGAGAGCGCGGCGCTTTTTTTCTGCCAACCAAACTTGTCCTTTTTAGGTTTAGTGTGAGACCTGGGCACGTGACCCTTCATCGACGTCATCTCCCGTGACTTGCTGACAAAAGTATGAAGCAAGCATGTCGCGTTTATATGTTTGTATAGAGATGGAATAGAGGAAGATGTATGTATGTAGAGCTTGGTCTGCAGATGAACTCCACGGAGAACAAATACTAAAGCACAGGAGTTGATACATCTCCATTGCAGGTGGCCATGTATGCATACTACTCGGCACATGTGTATAGTATGGCAGTGTCCAGTATGACCAGTCGCATTATCACCGTTACAATCGACGTTCTTCATCGTCTTCTCATCCTGTTCTACACACGTGACCAAAGGAGCTAACATCACATGCAATCGGGAGCTCCTTTCGACCTGAACCGTCACATGTTATGGGCTTTCTAGTCGCAAGTTTCTAGAAAAGCCCTCCGCTACTCCCGCTCGCCCACTCGCACGATAGCATCGACTCCTTTCTCGTCCACAGAGAAACTGTAGCGACTCGATCTTCCCTCATCTTTCAACCTTAAAAAATGAACTCCGGGGAAAAATGCCAAGATTATGCCAAGACTCGTCCGGGGAAACTACGGGCCGTCGTTATTCCGGTGTTTGCTTACATGTGCAATCGTATGATTGGCCAAGAAAGGCTCCACTTGCTGGTACCTCGGCTCAAAGCGTCGGCCTTTCCCATCCATCCTGCTGATATCAACCCTTCTCTTCTTCCCTTCTTCCTCTTCTTCCACCAACTTTTCCCTCTTTTTCCCCCTTCAGTCACGCCGTATATACCATTTGACCCTTTTTCTCTTGTCGTACAGTGCTATCTCACAGACTCACAATGGCTCCAAGGGTTATCGTCGTTGGTGGTGGACGTATGCTGTACCCTCCCCCCTCACATCACCAAGAAAGAGCTGACCAGCTTTCTTAGTGTCCGGCCTCAGCGCTGCTCACACAGTTTACCTGAACGGTGGTAACGTTCTGCTGCTGGATAAACAGAGTGAGTGCCTTCTTTGTGTCGGTATATGGGTAGATCGCTCGTTAACCGGGTGGTTTAATAGACTTCTTTGGTGGAAACTCGACCAAGGCCACCTCCGGAATCAACGGAGCTCTCACGCGCACTCAGGTTGATCTCGGTATCCAGGATAGTGTCAAGCAGTTCTACGAGGACACGCTCAAGTCTGCCAGAGACAAGGCTCGGCCTGACCTGATCAAGGTGCTCACATACAAGTCTGCATCCGCTGTCGAGTGGCTGCAGGATGTCTTCAACCTCGATCTGACTCTCGTGTCTCGACTCGGGTACGTCGATATATAATACAATCACGCTCCAAGCGTAGAGAGAGGCCGAGGATTACTGACAAAGTATTAGTGGACACTCCTTCCCCCGCACACACCGTGGCCACGATGCCAAATTCCCCGGCATGGCCATCACATACGCCCTGATGCAGCGACTCGAGGAGCTTACCGAGAAGGACCCTGAGCGCATGAAGGTGCTCAAGAAGGCCAGAGTCGTTGCCGTCAACAAGGAAGGTAACCAGGTCACTGGTGTCACTTACGAGTACAATGGCGAAACCCACACCGAAGACGGTGTCGTCGTGCTTGCTACTGGTGGTTACGCCGCCGATTTCACCGAAACCTCGCTCTTGAAGAAATGGCGACCAGATACCCTTGGTCTGTCCAGTACCAACGGTGTTCACGCCACTGGCGACGGCCAGAAGATGCTCATGGCCATTGGCGCCAACGGCATCGACATGGACAAGGTCCAGGTTCATCCTACCGGTCTCATTGACCCTAAGGACCCATCATCCAAGTGGAAGTTCCTTGCCGCCGAAGGTACGTCTTATTTTGTTTCCCTAGTCCGATCTACCATGCATGCTGACTTTTCTCTAGCTCTGCGTGGAGAGGGTGGTATCTTGCTGAATTCTGACGGCCAACGGTTTGCTGACGAACTCGGCCACCGTGACTATGTGTCTGGCCAGATGTGGAAGGAGAAGGAAAAGGGCAAATGGCCCATCCGTCTCGTCCTCAACAGCAAGGCCTCCAATATCCTTGACTTCCATACCCGCCACTACTCTGGCCGTGGTCTCATGAAGAAGATGACTGGAGCCGAGCTCGCTCGCGAGATCGGCTGCGGCGAAGACGCTCTCCGCAAGACCTTTGACGAATACAACGCCATTGGCGGCGGCAAGAAGCCCGACCCATGGGGCAAGAAGTTCTTCCACAACCTCCCCATGCAAGTTGATGACACCTTCCACGTTGCCCTAATGGAACCCGTCCTTCACTTCACCATGGGTGGCATTGAGATCAACGACAAGGCTCAGGTGCTGAACAGCGAGAAGAAGCCGTTTGACGGTCTCTTCGCCTGCGGCGAGCTTGCCGGCGGTGTCCACGGTGCCAACCGTCTTGGTGGCTCTTCCCTGCTCGGCTGCGTCGTCTATGGCCGTGTGGCCGGTGACTCTGCCAGCCAGTACCTCTTCCAGAAGCTCCTCAAAGATCCTGCCTCTGCCAGCGGCGGTGCTCAACAGCGTCTGAACCAGATATCCCTGCACATCGACCCCAGCCAGCCAGGCAAGGTATCGGTCGAGTGGAGTGCCCCGTCAGGTAAGCCTAGCACCACCCAATCCCTTGCTGCCCCAGGCGCGGCGTCGACATCGTCGTCGTCTGCATCTGCTGCACCGGCTCCATCCGCTTCCACTGGCGCTGGCGCTGGTGCCTCCGCTTCCGAGCCAGTGGCCGCTGATGTCGCAAACTTCAAGGTGCCCGAGAAGGAGTTTACGATGGAAGAGGTGGCGAAACACAATAAGAAGGACGACCTCTGGATCGTCGTCAAGGGCGTAGTGATGGATGTGACGAACTGGTTGGACGAGCACCCTGGTGGAGCGCAGGCCTTGTTCAGCCATATGGGACGAGATGCTACCGAGGGTAAGTTTAATTATTTTCTAGAGCACGATGTGACAGATGAACAGCGACTAACGATCATCTAGAATTCAAGATGCTGCACGACGACGAGGTTATTCCAAAGTACGCTGCCGGGGTCGTCATTGGTCGCGTAAAGGGCCAGAAACCCAGCTTGGAGTACTAAGTTTTTGAGCATGTATTTATAATGCATCTACCGTCTTCTTTTTTCTCTTTGTATGCCACATCTGATGGATGTACTTTTACGAGCCCAAGTTTCATATTTTGCCGTCTACTGGAAATGTTACTCCACATCTTCTATAGTATAGTTCCATATCGTACACTCTTATCGTAAACATGACAGCTACGGCATCTTCCTCTCCTTTATGTGTGCCAACACCATCCTCAGCCTCGCCACGGCAGGCCCGTCGCCCAAGGCCTGCTCCCCCTTCTCTGATCTCTCCTGCACCTCCCGCCTCGCCTCTTCCACACACGGCTTCAGATGGCCCCATACGACGTCGTGATATTCTGCATTTAGATCCAACCACTCTGCTACACCGGGTAAGTCGCGCAGATGCTCTGCCTGCGACTGCGCGGGGACATTGCGCAGGGAAGAAAGAACAAAATCGATATCTGGTATCAGAGACGTAGACGATATCGATGGCTGCTGTCGGCCTGCCGTAAGAAAGCCCGCATCTGGCTCTGTTTCCAGTTCCGGTTCCAGTTCCAGTTCCTCGTCAGGGTGAGATAGCGGATCAAAGGATGCAGAAGACAGTAGATCCGACACGGCCTGGCCGTCCATCCGTTCCTGTTCCGCAAACGATCGAGACGCTGTTGAGGCGGTGGTATCCATGGCAGCAGCCTTCCAGACAGAATCGAACCTCTCTTCTCCCCCCTCCTGTCTTGCTTTCCCCTTGGAGGCCGAGACGTCGTACATCCCGCCCTCACCGTCACCGACCAAGCCGCCCAGATGGAACTCCCGTTCCGAACGAGACTGCATCTCTGGCGGGGGCCGTTGAGATCGAAAGCCTGACAAGGCCGTCGATCTATGGGTAAAGCCACCGTCTACCACGCCCGCTGGGCCAGTGGCTGAAGTAGACGTAGACGCTGATGAAGCGGCACCCTTGTCGGAGCTAGAGACACTTGCCAGAGAAGAAGAGACATCCCTTGCAAAGGCGTACGAGCCGGATGGTGCTGACGAAGGGGGTGAGATGGCTGATCTCAACAGCCCTGCCGCAGATGACTGGATCCTCCCGGCCATGGAAGCAGAAGTAGAAGTCTCTGAACTCGGATCTTGGCCATTCTGACGGTGCTTTGCCTCGGAGGGCTTCCCTGGCTTTTCCTGCTGCTTCTCTTCCATGTCTTCCTGGAGAAGTTGGTATCTAGGTAACTAACGGGGGGGGGGGTTAGCAGGTGTATTTATATAGATTATGATGTAACTCTTGGATACCTAAGTTAACTTGCATGTGACGATGTCTTCTTGTCTCTCTCTGTACTTGTCTCTATACAGACGTCTCTCTCCGTCTTTCTATCCTGCCGCCGTCATCGAGTAAGAGCCGATTTTGTCCGTCCGTCTGTCTGTTTGGTGGCGCAGGTTGAGTGACCAGAGCAAGTGACGGTCTCCATCTTCACCTTCACCATCACAACTTCTAACAGCGATAAAGCCAGAGTAAGTCTTCTTCTTCTTCTTCTCTTCTCTTCTTCTCTTCTTCATACTACATGTCCTTACGTGTCTAACAACATCTTCATCTTCATTGGCTTCTTCCGCCGTTTTCTGACTTCATCTTCGCTCCTCTGCTCTTTAGCCTGTCAATTGCGAGTATCGCCACCTGCTTCACTGCTCTCTGCCTTGCTCGCTAGTTATATAGTTATATTAACTGACTGCCTGGCAGTCTGCCTCTTCTCTTCTTCTCTTCTTCTTCCCCCGCTCGGACTTCCCACGCCTTGTCTCTATCATCTTGCTCCTGGTCTGTATATCCCTTGGTTCATGTTCTCTACCTAGTCATCTCTTTGTCTCTCTATCTCTGTCTCTCTCTCTCTGTCTCTCTGTCTCTCTGTCTCTCTGTCTCTCTGTCTCTAGTTGTCTGTGTCTGTCTGTCTGCTGCTGCCGCTGCTACTGCTGTCCAAGTAACATCCCAGCCCAAAGAACGCAAAGGCAGCAAGGAAAAAGAAAAAAACTCCCTACATCTATTCATCTGCTCTTCTCCTTCTCATGAATGAACCGGACATCTTTTGCTAACAGCCTTGTTGTCTCTTCAGTTCACCCGCACTAAGCGACCTTGTCCCTTAAATTTTTTTTTATCTCTGCTTATCGCCCCAAAAAGTACCAACGAACCACCCAAAAAACCATCACAAAACGCCATCTATTTTATCTACAACAAGCCCATCCGCCACAACAGACAGAGACACATACACACGCATCCCTCTTTTGAAACCAGATACCTGACACCTTCAGCTTTTTGCCTCCGAGGGCGGACCAGCTCGCAGATAACACAGTGAAACAATGGTAGACGGAGATCCAGGTTCACCCACCTGGAAGTTCACACAGTCTGTCCCTCCTTACTCCGCCTCTTTCTCTCTCTTCTCCGCAGATAACAGCGAATACTGACACTCAAGGTTAGATGCTTTGGCGATAAAGGTGATGTAGAGGATATAACGGAAGGTGAGCATAACTCGACTCATGGCCCTCTCGACTGTTGGCTCCGATAGCTCACCCCTTCTTTAGCTGATATCATCTCCACGGTCGAGTTCGACCACACCGGCAACTACCTCGCCACCGGAGACAAGGGCGGTCGAGTCGTCCTGTTCGAGAGAAACGAGACGGTTAGCGACTCCTTTTGAACCCAGAAAGAAGAAGAAAAAAGGAAGACTTTCCCCGCTAACACTCAGGATCAAATCATACAGAAGAAGACTTGCGAGTACAAGTTCCATACAGAGTTTCAATCCCACGAACCCGAGTTCGACTATCTGAAATCCTTAGAGATCGAGGAAAAAATCAACAAGATAAAATGGTGTAGACGGCAGAACGCATCGCATTATCTCCTATCGACAAACGACAAGACTATAAAACTATGGAAGGTGTTCGACAAGTCGCTCAAAGTCGTGGCTGAGAACAATCTCTCTCGAGACCTTACTCCGGCCGGCGCCGTAAGTGGTGGTGGCATGTCGCGCCCTCCCCGTGTCTCCTTCAAGGATTCTTCCTCCCTTAAGCTTCCTCGCATGACACACCATGAGACAGTCGTCGCCGCTGTACCGAGGCGAATATACGCCAATGCCCATGCATACCATATCAACAGCATATCAGTCAACAGTGACGGAGAGACATTTATCAGCAGTGATGACCTTCGGATCAACCTCTGGAACCTGAACATTCAAGATCAGAGCTTCAACATTGTCGACATCAAGCCTGCCAATATGGAGGAATTGACCGAAGTCATCACAGCGGCCGAGTTTCACCCCACCAGCTGTAACTGGTTCATGTATGCAAGCTCAAAGGGTACCATCAAGCTTGCCGATATGCGGCAGCGGGCTCTATGTGATGAGCATCAAAAACGTAAGCTTTCCCTCCCAGTTTTTTTTTTTTTTTTTTTTTTTTTTTTACCCCTCCTCGAAACTGTAGCTTACGTGCCTTGCAGAGTTCGAACAAGAAGAAGACATCACCTCCCGTTCGTTCTTCTCCGAAATCATCTCTTCCATATCCGATGTTCGCTTCTCCCCTGATGGCCGCTACATTCTCTCCCGTGACTATCTTACCGTCAAAATATGGGATGTCAACATGGAGCGTCAGCCTGTAAAAACAATTCCCATCCACGAACACCTCCGCCCGCGCCTCTGCGACACCTACGAAAACGACAGCATCTTTGATAAATTTGAAGTCGTCTTCTCCGGTGACGCCCAAAACGTCATGACGGGAAGCTATAACAATAACTTTATGATCTACCCGACTGACCCCACCAAAGAAACCGAGGTCGTACTGCAGGCAGATAAGACAGCGTTCAAGGCTAAGAAGGTCGGCGTGCCGACGCCAATCAACTCTATGGCTTCCACTAACGCTGGAAGGAAGAATGGATCGAGGTCCCGGTAGCCCGTCGGGCGCTGGAGGAAGGATGAGGAAAGAAACGGACGCTGACCAGATTGATTTCAACAAGAAAATCCTACACATGAGTTGGCATCCGTTCGAGGATAGTATTGCTATTGCTGCTACAAATAACGTAAGATCCTGCCCTTATCACTCGTGCATCTGTGAAACCACATTGCTTATTCTCCGTACAGCTCTTCGTGTTCTCTGCTCTATGAGAGCAAGCATAACGCAGCTAGATATCTCCTGTCTTCTATCAACCTATCTACTCTGGCGCCACAATGGCATAGCCCACTTACCTTTAGCATGTTAACTCTTCATCCCTTCCATAATGTCCAGCCACGCCCCTTATTCCCCTCTTCCAAACATGTCTCTTGTCTCTATTTTCCTTTTCTTCACTTCCTTCCATGGCCCCCGGCAACAGGTAATACGCAGAATGCCTACAAAACAAACATACAACTTGCCATGAACAACGAAGGACTAGTGACTCCCTCTGTGCTGGAGGGAAAGTACCATCAAATACTGAATTCTGAATACTACAACAGATCCTCACTTCATTCTTCTCCCTTTCTCTATCCCTTATCCCTTACTTCACACTAGAAGCGAAGACTCAACATGGGCAAGAATCACAACTGCAACTCCTATATTTATCTTGTTACCATTTATGGAAATGAAATGAAATGGAAAAAAAAAAAGGAAGAGGCTAGGCCACAGGTATGGAATCTGGATGAACTCGGTCCTGGGTGCAAAGAAACCAAAAAAAAGTAAACTAGAAAGAACTCTCTAGTCTAGAATTAGGATGTTATCAAACCGAAAAAATTGCTCTTTTAATTTATTACATGAATATTAAGCCTGGTTATTTATACATGGCTATTTATAGCTTGCCTGTAAGATCACCCTTAAAACCGTTTTATTAGGCGAGGATACCTATTATCCCGCCAAAATACCTGTCTTCCGTAAATAAACGAAGTCCAAGTATCTATCTCTTATCTTTGGGTCTCTATCCCTACATCCGAACTGTTCGTTCCGGTAAAGAGGTGCTGTTATCATGACGACACAAATATCCAAAGTTTAAGGCCAGATTATAAGGTATGGCTCCCAATACACAGATAGACCTCTTTGGAAGTACACGCAATGTACTTTATAGATGATTCGCTGAAGTTTACATGTTCAGAAGTTTGCGTGTTCATTAAAGATGTGACGCCGCTGGTCCGACGACCCAGGTGTCCGGTTAAGGTTACGGCCTGTCCCGTCGGCCAGCTTGCTCCACCATCCTTGCTGGAACCGGACGAGATCATAATATCATACGAAGGAAATAGATATCGGAAAGTGACGAGTAGAAAGACGAGTATACCGGCTGTGCTATGCTCCTGTGGATACCTTTACACTCTAGTTTGGTAGCTATAAGTAACATGTGATGGTATGGTCATATAAAGAATCATGGCTTTATTCTATCATTATCTGCGACGTAGCGCTTGAACAGCGTACAAGTCCTCTGGTACAGATATTAAAAACAATGTCCTGAAACCAAACAAGTTAGAGATTTCGTAAATTATTGTAACACGTCTACTCTGCAAATCGACTCCTTTTTCGTAACGTAGGTCCAAACCAATAGAGGGTATAAATGCCAAAGACACAGGCGGCCGTTAACGCCCCGATCAGACTTGTACCCTTGGCAATTCCCAGGTTACGATATAGTGGGCCGGACCACATAATCGACGCAAAAGCAAGAGATGATCGGGCAAAATCGTTCATGGCGAATAAACTTGCCCCATACTTCGGATACGCAACGGCCATGTATCCAAACATGCACTGTAGGAGGGTGACCACTCCAGCCATTATGAGCAAGAATCCCACGGTTGGTACAGTCCAGTGAATTTCCTTTCTCGAAGTCCAGGCAAATAGAAACATCCCAGCGGGAACCAACAGAGAACCTAGTAGGGCTGGTATAAGTCTGCGTTCCGGTGGAGGGAATGTCCCGCTTAGGATGGGTCGACTTATTGCAAAATGAGTCACGATGAAGTAGAATGGCATAATGATCAAAACGGCAATGATGGCGGTGAGAAACACAAGGCCCATATGTGGTAGACTCATGTGGTATATGTTCAGGTAGACGAGAGGGAAGACTTCAAAGAAGGAGTAGAAGATGGCGTAAACTAATGCTGTGTAGACTGTGGTAAAGAGGATGGCTGGATCCAATGCGTTGATCTTCCAGGGAATGATAAGTGCAGAATTCACAATGGCGGCTATAGATGACTTTGACTTGTCCAGTTCAGAAGGAGCCCTAAAGGCACCGTTTCCAGTAACAGCCCGAAGCCGTTTTGCACGTCGGTAGAGAATTGTCTCAGAAGATGTTTCCGGGAGAATTAACTAGAATATAACCTTTAGAGCTGGGAATATATGCAAAAGGGAGTGGATGAAACGAACCAACAATATTAAACACGGTACAGTACCCCAGAGAACTTCCCACATGGACCATCGCCAACCCTTGACGACAGAACTGAATCCGGCAATTGTTGGGGCTACTGCAGGCGCAGAAGTAGCGAATGTTCCCCAGATCCAAAGACCATAAGGAAGGTTGATGAGGCTAGTCACGTCTGCTAATGATGCTGCTCCAGTGGCAAGACATGGCGAACCAAAGAACCCCTGAAGGAAGCGCAGGACAAGGAAACCAGGAGCATTATCCACCACTCCGGTAAGAACAGTTAAAACCATGAAGATTACCAAAGTAATCACGTATGGAGGATTACGACCAAGAGCTGTGATTTCTGACATGGGGCTAAAGAGCATCGGCCCGATTCCATAACCCAGGAGGACTAGTGCGAGTCCTAGTGAGCCCACTGATTGAGGAGCGCCATAGATTGCCATGAATTCTCCCTGGACGATGGAGAAAATGGAAGATGACATATAGATGACAAAGGTGTAGAAGTTGATCTGAATGTATACCAGAACTTTTAACCATGATGGCCAGTTGTGAGGGTTTCCAGGGTCAGAATCAGAGTACCATCCAACTAATATTGTTCCATCAGGCGTGACTTCCGGACTTAGCCATTGGCATCCCGCAGACTGTGCACTTTTCTCTATATCTCCCGACCGGCTCCCGCTGTCACCGCCGGGTGAAGATAGCCCTGGTGATGTGGGAATCTGATTCCTTTGTTCTTCGTTTCCTTGACCATCATCTCTGATGGATTGTGACCTTGATTGCTGCGCAGCTCTTTCTGCCGCAGCTAAGTATTTCGGAGGTAATTGAAACTCGGGTCTTTCCTCTGGAAACCGGAAGAGCCGGCCATTGGTTAGCCAGCGTATGCTGCTACCGAACGATGTGCTTGGGAGGAATGAGGCCATTGGGGGTCCTGCTCCGGAAGGATATATTTGATCTTAGCGTAGGATGAGATGAAAAGGGAAGAATCAAAAGGACGATTTTGTCCTTTCCCATGAACCTATGACGGGATAGGCGGCCCGATATAGGCTTTTTGTGACATTGCCATCGGCCTGCATAAGAAAGACCTTTGGATCGGGCTCTACTCAATTTTGGGAGAAGCGGTCTCCGTATGATGCATATAAGGCTGCCCCGTGTTTATTTGCTCTCAGTTGTAATAATAATCCATAGCTATGGCGTTAAGGTTTCTGCATGAAAGAATCAGTATTATGGGACATATACATGGGACTATTGATATTGATGTACACTCGTCTGTCAAGGCTCGAATAGGTGGAACAACCTGAGCTGTGTTTTATTTTTGTTTTTTCCCCCTTGCGTCATAACTACTTTTAGCTCTCCTTTCGCCAATGGCCACCGCAATTTCTGTGGCTTGACGGCAAGCAGGAATTGAAGCTATTTGATGGTAGAAAGCTAGAAGAACTCCTGTGCTGATGGTTTGCGGTGAAGGATTTGGAGGACGTTGAGATAAAAAATTGAGGGAGGCTTGACGCCAAGCGAGGATCCGAGCGTATCAGATGGAGATCTACAAGGGCAAAACTCCATAGCACCTCGCGAAGCTGATGTTAGATGTTTGGACCTCTACTTGATATAGATATTTTTTAAGGAGGTTTCCTTTTAAAGGATATCTCAAGTAAAAACAATCCTAATTCTATGAAAATTTCTACCAGTCTATGGGTATATACAGCCATCTTCACCATTCTCTAAAATATCAAACATAGCATCATAAGATCACAGTATAAAAAAGCCATAAGATAAAGGAAACGCAGCAGCAACATTGGAATAAATACCAGCAGCGCCCTCCCTATTGAGAGAGCTTCTCGAAAAACCATCCAACCAGGTGTTTGATGGTTGGATAACTCCAGACTAAAGTGGGTGGGACGTTCACTTTGAGTGTGCGTTGGAGCTGCCGGCGCAGGGCAGTGTTCATAACGGAGTCTAACCCTAGATCCCCTAATGCTACCCTTGAGTCTATATCTTTTGAAGAAAGATGGAGGACACTGGCAACGCATTCACGGATCTGTTCATCGAGGTATGTTTTTAACTCTGGCCCTGAAGACGGAAGCTTGCTGCTGCCGGTACTTGACACTGGAGAAGCCCCATCCGTAGCCATAGGTCGAGCCCTACGAATGGCGATGTCGTTCAGAATTGACGTGGGAAGTGGTTCTCCGTCCTCAAAGGAGCGGCTACGCAAGACGACTCCATGATCGGTATCAAACTGTGTGAGATATAACCAAGCCTGGAAGGCATCATGGCAGGTCACATCGGTGATGCCCTTGCTCTCCAGCTCTGCGGCAACGAAGTCGCTATCACTGCCCATACCCATGCCACGCCATGCAGTCCATTGGAAGGAAATTGCATTTTCACCCTGGTTACGGCGATGTGTAGCTAGTGCGTCAAGAAAGCTGTTGGCGCTACCATATGCACCTTGACCAGGGAACCCGAATAGTTGGCCGCACGAGGAGAAAAGCACGAAGAAATCAAGGGTATTAGGTGGAAAGGCCTCGTGTAAAGCCAATGATCCAGCAACCTTGGGCGAGAGGACGCGAGCAAAAGCATCTTGTGTGGTTTCCTGGATAAGCTGGTTCTCCAGAACCCCAGCTGCGTGGACAACACCCAGTACTGGAGGAAGGCTTAACTGGTCCAATTTCTCCAGCAAACGCCCTGCAGCTTGAGAAGTAGAGAGGTCCAAAGCTAAAATATGGATACAGACGCCTTGTTGCTCAAGGTTCTGTATAATCGATATAATTGGCTGTAGTTCCTTACTTGCCGTGTTCCAGGTTCGTCGTGCTGGTAGGCCACGCCGAGATATGAGAACTAACCGTCGTGCGCCGTGACTGACTAGGAATTCAGCTACGGCAAGACCCAAGACGCCGAGACCACCAGCAATCAGATATGTTCCCTCAGGACGCGGAAGACATTTGGAAGGCTCCTGGCTACGGCGATCTCGAGGGAGAGCGCGGAGTCTCGCTGTACGGGGAATTCCGTCCGCAATACGAATAACATCGGCTCCCTGTATGTACTTCATGGCAGTGAGAGGCACAGCTTGCTGCTCACCGTCAATAAGGCCCCCAAAATTGTCAGGATGTTCACTAGCGATAATCCTACTGAGCCCCAATAAGGTTGAGTGTGCAAGTGCTGTTGGAGTCTCTCCTTGCATAATATTTGTTGTGAGCACGAATACTTTGGTCGGTAAAGACTCCCGGACGACAAATTTTATCACTTCCAGCAATTGCCATGTGAAGTTTTCGGCGGATGTGGGTACATCTTGCATTGACTGGACTTCCCCCGGGACGTAAACTATCACATTCCCTTTGTTCTGTTGAAGACAAGGTAACATAGTACTTAAATCTCCTGGTTTTGTAAGTTGGGCTAACTGGATGTGAGCGGGTATAGATTTTGCGTACAACTTCCCAGTTACAGTACTCGTAGTGATCAAAATGACCTTTTCTATGGAGATAGGTTCCTCTGCAGGGAAAGCTGGTGGCCAGGAAACTCTATGGACTAGGCTTGACATGCTCCCACTTGCACCTGGCGTTCCCTCAATTTCGGAAAACCGCATGGAAGTAAATCTGGCAAGCAATTGCGAAGTCTCACTTAATACGTGAACATGACAGGAGAAGTCAGTGCTATGGTCTCTCTGAACGTATAACCAACCCATCTTCGGTGGATCCTGAGTAGTGAGGATGTCTATCTGGTGAATCTGAGCCGGCATGCGCAGTCGAGGCTCGGAGAAAAATATGGTAGATCCAATGGAAGTAGCCGCATCTAAGATAGGCGCCCAGGATGACTGGTCCCAATCGAGATTCTTTGCGCCGGGAGCAACATCAACTCGTGCCAACATTTCGTCGGAATTCCCATAATGCTCTGTTACCTTCCAAGGGAACCCCATAGCAGCAACGCCAACTTTTGCCAGGTAGTCGATGGTAAAATCATCCTTCAATCGTGTTCCAATACGACCAGTTACTGTGGATACATCGATCGTTTCTGCGGTAGGTGTGGCGCCTGTGATTACACGCGCTTCCGTGTGAGTGACCCAAGAGCCTTCTTCCGCAGCCTCGTTCTGTATTAATCGAGACATGAGTTTGACTTCGCCATCCCGTACAACTATCTGAACCGCTCGTAATCCACTAGTTGCGACAGGGGCTCGAAGAATTGTGTTCTGCAACGAAGAGCTGCCAGTTGCTTTCAAAAAAGTATTAATTAAACATGCGGCAGGAACAATTTCCGTTCCAAATACCGGATGGCTCCCTGGAAAGGGCTTTGTGCTGACATCTAATGTGGTCGAGTACACCACTAGGTCGGTACCAGCTACAGCAGTACATCTGCCCAGAAGAGTATGAGTTTCAATATCATGCATATCGGATCCTGTGCTTCCTGTGCTATTTGGGCGCTCGTGGTGCAAAAAAGGGCGATGTACCCATGGACTAAGGGGTATACCTTGCATCCAAGCACCCTGCATTTGTGCCTTCCAGTTTATCTCTACTCCACTGCAATGGAGCTGGCCTATCGCATGAGCAATACTCTTCTCAGCAGGCTGGTCTCTTCGAAGTGTGTGAACTACCGAATAGTCCTCGACTCCAGCGTCCATCAATGTCTCATTAATCGAATGGGAGACTAGGGGATGGCTAGATATTTCCAAAAATCTGCGATAACCATCATCGATGGCAGCAAGGACTGCAGAGGTAAGCCGTACTGGGTTGGTCATGTTGTTAAGCCAATAAGTAGAGTCCCTGGGATCGGAACCGCGTGGATTCAATAAGGAAGTTGAGTATAATTTGACTTGTGGGGATACAGGATGCAGGACGCCTTGCAACGCAACTGAAAGAGGTTCCCTCAATGAGTCTAACATTGGGCTGTGGAAAGCAATATCGGTCTTCACAGTATATGTTTTGATCCCCTGTTTCTGATATCTTTGAGATACAGTAGCAACGGCATCCACTGTGCCAGCAATGACACAGGATGACGGGGAAGAGTCGATAGCTGCTACCACCTCATCCCTTTTTGCGAGGTCTTGCTTAACTTCCCCATAGGGACGAGTGATTAGACACATTGCTCCTTTGCCCATGACCTGCCTGTATAAAATTGCCCTTCGGGTCACAATAACAGTCCCTTCTTCAGGCGAAAGGGTACCTGCAACAACAGAAGCAGCAATCTCCCCAACTGAGTGACCAATAATTGCCTGGGGATGAAGACCACGGCTTTTTAATAAGGCACTAATTCCGACTTGGACAAGGTATGTTAAAATTTGGATGCAGTCGGATGAATTGAAGTCGCCACTCCGGAGCCATGTTATGGGCGACATGCCCGCCTCATCTTTGACGATTCTGTCAAGAGGCTGGATTGTTTCATAAAATATGGTGTTGTTTATCAATTCCTTTCCCATGTTCGCCCATTGTGCACCGTGACCAGAGAATACCCAGACTACATCTTTCCTCAAATCAAAAGGAAGGACACGACTTCGGGTAAGCCACTGATCATTTGCTCCTTTGCACAAACAGTCCAAAGCATGCATAGCTCCTTCAATGTCATTGATAATCGCCGACGCTCTAAAGTCATAATGGCTACGCCGTGTCGCCAAGGTTTTGCAAAGTATAGCCAAGTCAAGCTGCGACTTATTCTGTTGACTGATCCAAGTCTTTAATGATTCAGCAAGAGTAACCAAACGTTGTTCTTGGGGGGCTGAAAGTAACAATAAGTGCTCGCTAAGGTTGCTCCTATCGATGATCTCCTTGTAAAGGACAGGTGAAATATCCGGGAATTCTTCAACGATGGCATGAGACACTGTCCCACCATAACCGTAAGAACACACTGCAGCGCGGCGCAGTCCCGTTTCTTCTGGCCACCCTGTTAGTTCCTGGACGACTTTGAGGCCAGAGTCGTCCCATTTTATTTTCTTGTTTGGTGTTTTCAGATTAGCCTGGGGTGGCAAAACTCCTTTCTGAATAATCAAAATGGCTTTAATGAGGCCCATTACTCCAGCCCCCGCTTCCAGGTGCCCTATATTTGGTTTGATAGAGCCAATATAACACGGATCATTTCTTGATCGCCCTTTTCCATACACTTCAGCAAGGGCAGAAATTTCTGTTGGGTCTCCGAGGGATGTAGATGTAGCATGGGCCTCAATGTAACGAACTGTATGAGGATCAATATCTGCAGCCTGTAGTGCGTTCATTGCCACGAGCTGTTGTGCCTTAGAATCTGGGGCCATTATCCCATTTGTTTTCCCATTATGGCCTACTGCAGTGCCCTTAATAACTGCAAGTATGTGATCTCCGTCAAGGCGTGCTTGTGACAAGTTTTTAAGAATGACAGCACCTGCGCCCTCTGCACGGCCATATCCGTTGGCGTTATCATCGAAGGAACGGCACTCTCCATCAGCAGAGATGGCGCCAGCCTTGTCCAAAACCCTTGTAAGTCCTGGTCCGCAAAGGGCATTAACACCTCCAACAATCGCTATAGTTGATTCTCCTGCTGCAATGGCCGTTGCCCCTTGATGTACAGCAACAAGTGATGAGGCACATGCAGCATCCACAGCTACGCTAGCACCTGTCAGGTTTAGGTGATAGGATATTCGGTTTGGGACCCCGCAGTATGCCGTTCCAATTCCCATCCAAGCATCAATGCTAGGCAAGTCTTCTAACACCAGCCTTGAGTAGTCATTCGAGTTCACACCCCAGAAAACGGCGGTGTTACTGCCACTAAGAGATTTGGTTGGAATACCAGCGTTTTCTAGTGCTTCCCAGGCAACCTCAAGTGATATTCGCTGCTGTGGATCCATCTGTTCGACTTCCTTCGGTGAAACTCCAAAAAACTGATAGTCAAAGTCTTCGATATTCTCAACGAAATACCCCCGACTCGTTGTGTGACTTAATATCCTTGAGTTTCGAGTATCTCTCTTATGATATGTCCCCCAGCGATGGGGTGGAATATCTCCACTTGCGACCACTTGGTTCAGAAGTGCCTCCCATAGCTGTTCAGGGTTCTGTATATCACCAGGCACGCGACATGCCATACCAATAACAGCTACATCTTTGCACTGATCCTGAGACTCCAGTTAGTATGTTTATTTTGTATTCTAGTTTGGTTTGGCATACCTGAGTACTATACTCAGTCACCGGAGAATCGGGGTCCGCCTTTGAACTCGAGCATGGTGTAGTAGTAATAATGGAGGACATGAGAGGCAGTCCAAGCAAGTTGTGTGCCAAAAAATCAATTCATGCTGAGAAATTTCACCTGGAATGTTTACCCATGGCTGATTATTTAACTGTATTAGATACATCCATGGCAATCAATCCACCTTCCTGGATAATGCTTTACCTGATATCAAAATTGATGGTGGGTAATGTATACGCAGATCATAGTTCGGTCATCGCTCCCATCGGGGACTCCGCTTATCCCACCGGGACGTTGGGTATATCATTTTATTGTGATTACACCGCCTAAGGTGTGTACAGTGGCTCAGCCAAAGTATGTGGTTGAAGATGAGTGGCTTGAATTAAAGCCTGGTTCGAAATGGTCAATGGTAGTGGAATAGGTCGGCGTACCACCACAGCTACAGATATCGATGTAAAACTGGTAAGCCGGGTCATGGGATTTCCTTTTATATGACTCCCCGCAAAGCCTCTTTCATCTCTATAATAATTGTATGTGGATATTCCATATCATGCTGTTCTTACTAAAGGAACCATCCGGGGTAAAGGTCAATCTGGAGGGGTATCTGTCGCAGGGATCAAGGGAGTGACCGTCACAAGCTATTGGGTCCAAGCATCGACACAGTTCCTCAAATGTCAGGGCGGTCATGATGAGATGACATTTTACACGTTAGGCAGCCGCAAAGTTCCAGCCTAGCCCGAGTCACATGATATTAAGATCGTTGACAAGCGAGTGGCTTCAGCCACAGTCATGCAACGAGCGTAAAAAAAGAAAATATTGGCAGAGACGAACGCAATCCATGCCCGTGGCCATACACAGAAGACTTTGCCTTACCATTCCCACTTATTCCACTACTTTAGCGGCCTGCTCCGTTAACTGTGCGCCCTGTATACTATTTTACCTCCACCATACGGCAAGGGTCGATAGCTATTTTACTAGTTATTGGTGTTGGCGACGGCAATCGATATTCCCAAAAATGAGAAGTAGGTGAACATCCTCAGACCGACAGCAAGGGGGCAAAGTTCAAAAAATAACGATCGGGCAGTCATCTGAAGTTATCGTAGATCCTATGCAGCTCGATGGTAGATCAAAATTAAAAAATGCGGACAACCATTCAGACACACCCTGGGTTTGACGCTATGTATCTTTAACAGAATATTCCCCTTAACACCAATATGGCTCGTCCCCAGTATTCTAACCCAGAACATAACCTCTTATGATCAAGATAATGCCTTTTCAATGCCCATTGTCAAATTGCAACCGCTCCTTTCTCCGCAAAGAACATCTTAATCGTCATCAACGGAACCATGATCCAGTCCGGGCTCATCAATGTTATATATGTTACCGTAGATTCGCGAGGAGGTACATAAACCATTACCCATGCATTTGAGCAGTAAAGAAAGATGGCTGAATTAATGGACGTTAGAGATATCTTAGAGCGGCATCTTCCAATCCACCATGCAGTGTCTAAGGGTACCCAGCGTATCCTTGTGGCATGTCAGACATGCCGATATAGAAAGTCCAAATGTGATTCTGGGGATCCTTGTTTAATGTGCTCACACCTAAAGGTGCCATGTATTCGGGCTCCATCGAGTGCACAAGCTACTCCCACTCGGGACGCACTTCCACAAATCGTGAGGCAAGAAGTTAGGGATGAAAACCCGGCCCAGGTAGGTTTACGTATTGATAAGACATGGGATGGATCTCCCGTTTGCAACGAGGACTCCGGTAATACCCCTGAGCCGATGCGGAAGGGTGGGACAAAATGTGTCTTAGCGAATGCCGAGAACCAGAATACCAACACGCTTAACTGGCCTTCTATTGACGAGTGGATGTCAGAAACTCGAACAGTTCCCTTCGAAGGTGATCTGGTTGAGGCTTTACTCGCCTTGCCCTCAAGGGAACTGGACGATGACAATCAACTCCAAATAATACTCCCAACTACACCAGAGTCTACAACAAACATGGGGCATTCTTGCCTCCCAGACACTGTGTTCCATGAAGCATGGGCTATTCTTCACCATTCTACTCTTGAACAAGCAGACCAGTTTCCCTTGCTGCTGCAGGCAATAGCATTAGTCAAGTGGCCGCCGCCGATGAATAATGAACGGAATAAACTGGCCAAGGAGTTGATGGCACATCTGGTAATCGGTCCAGTAGGTTATATGTTATCCTCGTCAAGCGTTTAATTGTTAATATGAAGGTACCATAGGAAGACTTTAACACTAGACTGGTTGAGACGTTTCGGAATATTCAAGCTCTTGTCGTGGCTTTAATATCATATACAACCGAAGATGTATGGTCCCCTCAAAGGCATGTATTAAGAAAACTGAGTTGACGATAACAGATTATGCCAGAATCCGCCCACTGGGCTGCTCAGGGTACGGATATCGTCATATCTGCAATGCGACGCATGGGTATGTTCGCCGGGCGATGGGTTCCAGTGGATATTATACCAGAGCATAGATGGATTTGTGAAGAAGAAATCAAGAGGTATGTATCCCTTGTAGGCCAGTATTTTTGCACATTATAACTGATGACGCAGAATGGCTTATGCTGCACTTCGACTTGATGTATATTTCAGTATCATCATTAATCGTCCTCCATCTCTCCGCTTTCAAGAACTTCATCTTGCTCTTCCCGTCACAAAAACATTGTGGAAGGCATCCAAAGTAGAGGATAGGTATCATATCCAATGGTTCGAACCAGCGGGACGTGATAGGTGCATATTCCAGTCCGCCGTCCAAGACTTTTTCCAAACAAGGGGAGGGTTAGTGAATACTAATCGAATGCAGCCTTTCGAAGAGCCTGATAGCCATTTGGCTCTTTGTGCTATCCAGGTGGAGTTATGGTCCGCCACTCAGGCAGTACGAGGGGATAGAGACTGCAGCACAAGGTTCATGACATCAACCCAGCAGTCGGGCAACCTTGGCTTCCAGAGTAGCCATTTGCTTTACTGCCAAGCATATCTCGAAGACGCCTATAAACGTGGGCAAATATGTTTCGTAGAGTGTCCCGAAACACAACACTTTTGGCTTGCTCTTAACCTGACCCTATACCACTTAACACTTCTCAATATTCACGCTGATATATCTCTTCTGGAGCATCAAAACTGTGGTGATGCTCGACAAGAAGCAGAAACTCAGAGGATACTTCGGGCATGGGTAGATTCCATGGACGGTCGCAAGGCGGTGTACCATGCCGTTCAGCTCCAGCAGAAATACGAATGTAAGACGTGTGCCGCGTGGCCTGAATATTACAACTATTGGAATCCATTACGGCCCACAGCTCTGTTGTATAGTTGTATTATTTTGTGTGCTTACAATGCTGAATGTGCGGTATCTGTAATGGAGAATAGCTCAGCGGTAGAGTTGTCTGTTGAAGAGGATATAAGTGCAGGACCGATTCACGATTGGATACAGAAAGGTGGCTGTGCATCAATTCGAGGGGCTGTACTGGGGAGATCTGCCATTTCTCAGCTTGTTTCATGGGCTCGCGAACGACTGGCACCGTTTAACACTGCCTCTCGCCGGTTCGAAAGGTTTCTGTACAGAGTTGGCGACTATTGTTAGTCTTCCGGGTAAAGTATCAGCTTTATATAGTTGGACAGATATAATGGCGTTCATCGATCAAATATCTCGATAAAGATAGGGATCTTTTCTCTAGAGGTATTGAATAATTGGTAATCTCAGTCCGCTAAAAGCTGAGGCGACGTTGATATAAGATGGCTGGGCAGGGATTCCCTGGCATAACTAACTCAACTAGTTAGCTAGTTGATTATGTAACTACCTAATGCCAACGACGAACTACAAAACTGTGGCGCAAGAGAAACCTCCATCCACCATCCAAGCAGCACCCGTAACATAGCTGGCTCTGGTACTACAGAGGAACAGAACAACATCGGCAACCTCTTCCGGTTCTGCGATGCGCCCCAAAGGCACGATATTTCCGACAACGTGGTGGACTTCTGCAAGAACTTCGTTACTGTTAATCATCGGTGTATTAACCCATGACGGACATACAGCATTAACACGAATCCCTTCTCTGGCGAAATCTAAGGCTTATCATGAAGTTCAGGTCAGCTACAAATCTTCAAATATGTAACGTTTGAGGCAACTGGGGTGGCTGAAGTACCGCAAGTCTTCGTCAATCCTATCACGGCATGTTTGGAAGCTGTATAGTGAGCCGTCCCAGGGGCCGATTGGGATGAATGAATAGATCCCAAGTTGACGATGGAGCCTCGTTGTCCAGTTCGCGTCCCATGCAAGCCAGAGAATGTAACCTGGTCCTGAGCCCGCATTACTCTCCCAATCGCTTGCATGCAATGGAGAACACCTTGCACATTTACCCGGTTGACTCTCTCCCATTCATCAACAGTCAGGTTCATGAAATGTGTTGGTTTGTGCATAGCCACCTATATTCAATTAGCTCAATTGAGCCCAGGAAGCCTAGTCTCTCGGAAGGGACCCGTACCCCAGCACAATTTACATTGTAGTCAATCCTAGTGAAGGTTGCGAGGGTCTGGGAAGCCATATTCTCGACTTTTTTTGGGTCGGTCACATCCACAGCAATTGGCAAGGGTATATAAGAAGGGTTTGTTGCTATACTTTTGCTTTTCTCAGCTTTCTCCTGAACGACGGATAGCTCTAGGTCAGCAAACACTACACCCGCAGCACCTGCTGCCGCAAAGCCAAGAGCACACTCAAGGCCAATGCCACTTCCTACTTGAACTCAGTCGCCAATTATTCAGATACACCGACTAGGAATTTTCTCACCTGCTCCCGTAACTACCGCAATTCCGGCAAGATCAAACATTTTGGTCTGTTAGTATTGAATGTGACGAAATTAAACAGTATCAACTTGAATGGGGTTTAATATTATATATATATTGTCTTTTAACCCCACACGTATTATCCCATCGGGTACATGGAAAACAAAGTTCATTATGCTAAATTATGCTCATTATTACCCCGTCTGCCTTGTCGGCTCTTTTCAGGCATCCTTGGCTTGCATCTACCGCTACAGTACCTTTCAAATATTGCCAGATATTCCAGGTACAATTCTTTCCAATTTCTCCAGGAGTTCTCCCCAAACCTTCTTCTGTGCTTGCGCGCCCTCGACGCTCTTAACGAATTTGGACAAAGCGCCCCTGCTTTGTTAGCTTTGACTACACGAGAGACAGGAAGGGGGGCTTACTCGTCAATCTTGCAGTCGTTGAGGTACTGTCCATGCCCTTCCCAGCCCAAACTAGCGGCGTGAATTAACGTCCGGGATCCTTCCACGGCTGTTCGGGCCAAAACCTTCATGACCTGTAACTGGAAACCCCAAAAGCCTGTCATTTTGTTCACTAATCCAGTAAGGCAATACCCTGGAGTAAAGGCATTGACAACGACTCGAGGATTTGTGGAGGCAATGTCTGCTGCCAATGCTCGCATACACAATACCTGAAGCAGCTTCGATACGTAGTACCTAGTGCGTTTTCTTAGCTCTATCATCAAATTGATGTTCCTATGGGAAGTTTCGTGCAATACCTATCATCAGGCCCCGATTTAGTCTCCTTTCGCAATGTCACAAATGTATTTGGCGTTTTCCACTGAGGCAAATTCGTCATGACGTGCCGGTCGGATGCCACAATACAGAGCCGAGGAATCGGCCCTTTGTCAACGGCTGAGGCACGTAGCTTCGGGAGTAACAGTAATGCAAGCATCATGGTGCTGACAACGTTGACAGTGATTGTACTTTCATCCTCTTCCGCTAGGTAGAATTTTTGCTCCATCTTACCAGCATTGAGCATGAGAACATCCACCTTGGGCAGTTTAGAAACAGCGGCAGCAAACTCCTGGACTGATGCATAGTTCTCCATATCCACATGAAACACACGAATTTGCCCTGTTCGCCCAGTAGAGTTCTCCAGGTCCTGCACCGCACTTTCGCCCTTGGCCAAACTTCGTACCCCCAGGATAACTTCAGATGCATTCAGATTTAGGAAATACCGCGCAGCTTCTAGTCCAAGTCCTGCATTGCCGCCAGTGACGACAATAGTCTGGCCAGTAAAGTCATGTTTTGGCACAGGAAGACGAACGAATAACTGCGAGTAGAGAAATGATAGAGCGGACATAGTCGAAAGTGTGAAATATCTTAATCAACAGACGGAACTGAGATTCAATGAGTTGGTTCTGATTGCATGGATATGGAGAACCCTCCTCCTGTTTTTAAATATATGGCCATGCATATAATGTTTACCCGACATTGAGGTCGGAAAGCTTATGCCATCCGGGCCGTGTGGGATATGCGAGTGGAATTGTTGATCGACGCCGTTGTTAGTCTTAGTTTTACGGCTATCGACAGCTGGCAAGCAGAGTCAAAAAAGGATTAAGAAGACATGGAACGAGAAATGTAGTCAACAATTTCCGCAATCCAACACCGACAATGGATACCCTCTGGATATATTGCATTTTTTTCATTTTATTAGCCCTTTGGGCTCTTTTTGGGGGCTATTTTCCCGGATTGAGAAACCCCAAGCTTCCTCCTGGTGTGTTAATCTCCCGAAATATTTTTTAAATCCACACTAAATAAATATATTCTCCTGCCAGGACCTCCATGTCTTCCAGTAATTGGCAACTTACATCAAATTCCAACGACGGGGGCACATTTGAAGTACGTAAATAGCCTAGTACTCATAACCGTCAAATCCTCATCCAGCAGACCTAACAGTTTTTTCCGATAGATTTACTGAATGGGCTACCAAATATGGCCCTATTTTCTCTCTCAAAATTGGGCCAAGCACAGCTGTCGTTCTCAGTTCCCCTTACATGATTAAACAGTTGATAGACAAACAGTCAGCTATTTATAGTGACAGACCCAAATTTTATATCGCTGACCATCTGGTTATGCACGGTGACCATCTTATGTTCATGGGCCCAGATGCTCGATGGCGACGAGGGCGGAAATTATATCACCAGTACTTTAATGAGTCAGTTTGTGAGAAGAAACATGTTCTTCTGCAGAATGCAGAAGCCGTCCAACTACTTCGGGATCTCCATATCCAACCTGATGACTTTATGAATCATTGCAAACGCTTCACAAATAGCACTACAATGAGTCTAGGTGAGTGCTCTAATGTCTTTTTCCGCCATATTGCCACTAAATGCACCTATAACTGATTGATACCTCTAGTTACCGGTATTCGAACGCCAACACCTTCCGCTCTGCATATGCGACATCTGTATGCTGTATTGGACGGCATTTCTGAGATTTTTGAGCCAGGAGCCACTCCGCCAATCGATATTTTCCCATTCCTGGCGTGGCTTCCTGAGTCGCTTTTCAACAACTGGAAATCGCGCGCACGAGAAGTTGCCCAAACAATGGATAAAGTATATGGCCCGCTTGTCGACCGTGTCTTGCGACGACGTGAGTCGGGGTCGAAATGTCGTGATAGTTACTTGGACATGGTACTGGATCAGCAGGATAAGCTCCAGCTTACGAGGCATGAAATCGACCTGATGGTTGGAAATCTGCTTGAAGGTGGCTCCGATACTACGTCTATTATGACAATCGCATTCATTCAGGCGATGGCACTATACCCTGAAGTGCAAAGGATGGCTCAGAAAGAGATTGATGCAGTTATTGGCGAAGACAGATCTCCAGACTGGGGTGATTATGCGAGCCTGCCATACGTAGCCATGGTAATAAAGGAGACGATGAGATGGCGGCCAGTTCTGCCGACAGCCTTTCCACACGCCACAAGCAAAGGTAACTTCCTCAACATAATCAGATCTCCACGTCATTCATGCCCGACTAATTAGTATATGCCCCTCCTATAGAGAGTACAATCGACGGAATGACCATCCCCGCTGGCTCGACCGTTATTCTGAACATATGGGGGCTGCATCACGACAGCCGCAAACATGCCGATCCGGATAGGTTTAACCCTCTACGGTACCAAGGGCGCGCTGATCTGGCATCCGCATACGCCTCTTCACCAGATTATGAAAACCGTGATCACTACGGGTATGGGTCTGGTCGGCGCATTTGTCCTGGAATTCACTTGGCCGAACGAGGGCTCTTTCTCGGGGTGGCGAAGATTCTGTGGGCTTTCGATATTACCCCCATGAGTGATACCCAAGGCCGTCCGATTCCTATCAATACGGACCCTGCCACCGGGTATACGGATGGCTTTTTGCGCTGTGCAAAGCCATTTCCCTTGAAGATCATCGTCCGTTCTGAGCGCCGCCTGCAAACGATTGGCGCAGAGTTTGCAAGTGCAGAGAGGGATGTATTCAGTCGATATGACGTATAGTCTTGATTTATAATGAACTACCTATTATATCTCCTTAATCTAAGTTGCGAGTACATACTATCTAGTATGGGAGTAAAGACCCGACAGAAGGGTTAAAAAAAAGGGTTAAAAAACAAGTTTATCAACAAGATCGACCTGGCGTTATTTGGGTTGTTGGCAAACGTAATTTTTAGTTTTGCTTTTAACTTTAAGGTTGCGGCTAAGTCTGGGATATCACGTGATATGACGAAGCAAACTGACTCGGCAGTTCGGCAACGACAAAAAAGAAACAAGATCAACTTTGTCCGCATGCCTGGTTCTTTATACCCCCTTGCTCTGTTCAAGCATGGCTGTCCGACGTGCAATCGGATATCCGATGTCATGTATCATATGCCATGGATAACCATGAATTCCGTACGCCTTACATGGTCTGGGGATATCCACAGCGCCACGACTTATGCATGCATTATACCAGTGCTTTGCTGGGTCAAGGCGCTGGACCGAGCACAAGTCAACCTAACCTGCCCAAAAATGGTGGCAATGCTAATGGCGGTAAGGATAACGAACGGTAAGGCCAATCGGGAAAAAGTGGCATGGCCCAGCACGGCCCCCGAGTGATCAGCAACCGTTGAAGAAATGCGGGTAACCGGTGCCACTTATGTAAAGCGGCCTTTTCTCGGCCTCCATACACATATGGAAATCAGGAGGGGCCAAGTTGAACCTGGGGGAGATTGCTTCTCCCTTTGCATCTCTATGGCTCGGAGTTCCAGTGCGCAACACGTCACAGATGTTACGGAGCTGAATATACCCGAGGCTATCAATTGAATCCGGATTGAAATATAACCTCTGCTGGCAGGACGACTATCTAGCTCAAGAGACGAACACTCCAAACACAATCCTCAACTTATAAAAAAAATAAAGTATTAGCTTGTTTATTGCTTTCATCTACGTGCATTCCAGCATTCACTTCAGTCATATTCTAGGCCGAACAATATCTATTTCACCTTGCTTATTATAATTGCTTATCCAGCATGGCAGTCAAGAACGCTGAACCAATTGGCCGGAGATTCATGGCTCAGGCCATTGATCGTCTCTCCGAGTTGGAACCAGACAGGAAAGTCTGCATCGTACCAAAGGGCCCTAACAGTTCGGACGGTTTCTATGACCTGACTTTTAAGCAACTAGCCCATGCGATAAACTACATGTGTTGGTGGATAGAGGAGTCCTTTGGGCGCAATGCCTCCTCGCCTGTGACATTAGCCTACCTTGGGGCAAATGATATCCGCTATCTGGTGATGGTGATGGCCTGTAACAAGACAGGATATCAGGTAAGCTGGCTTCTAGACACTTTCAATTAAAACAATTAACCAGTCAATTGATATTCTAGTATACTGATATTTCCCTAGCCATTGCTCTCTTCTACTAGGAACTCTCAAGCTGCTCAACTTCGTCTTCTTGAGATGACAGGCTGCTCAAAAGTTGCGTATGGGGTCGAACGAAAGCAGAAGGTGGATGATATACGAGCTCTCTACCCCGATTTGCATAGTGTGCAAATTCCATCACTAGATAATATGCTTGAGGGTAACGCCAGTCCATACCCATTCTCAAAAAATTTTGATGATGCCAAAAACGAAGTAGCCTTCATTGCTCATAGCTCAGGTACAACTGGTAAGTAGCAACCCAGTGTTATAACTCAACATTCAGCGTGTTAACTGGTAGTGTCAAGGTTTTCCAAAGCCCATACGCCTCACTTACGGCTACTTTGGTGCTCTTGACCATGGCGCATACGTCTCCATTCCCCAAGGACGAACGGCAGGTGTGCCAGATCGGCTTACCCCGAATGATCTTATTATGGCCACAACTCCATTCTTTCACATGATGGGCTTTGCCGTACTTATAATGGCCGTATTTCACAGGATCCCGTGCGTAATTTTACCTGACCGGCCAATGTCCACGGGATTTTTGACCTCGGTGATCAATTCCATCAAACCAACAGCGGCGTTGTTTGCCCCATGCATTTTAGAGGACATGTCCACGTCTCCTGAAGCTATGCACGCACTTTCCACTCTTAAACATGTATACTATGGAGGCGGCCCTCTTGCATCTGATATCGGAAACAAGATTTGTGAGTGCACCAAGCTCATTAACTTTATTGGGATGACTGAATGTGGGTTTGTCCTATCTATGGCTCCACTGGACAAGGAAGACTGGTCTTACTTTGAATGGAGCTCATCTTTCGGAATTAAGATGGAGCCAATGGCCGATGGCCGATCCGAGATGGTTTTGTATAGGCATGAGAGGCCAGATCTCCAGCCCGTATTCAACACCTTCCCTGATCTCGAGGAATACCACACAAAAGATGTCTACTCACCGCACCCAACGAAGCCGGGTCTGTGGAAGTTTCATGGTAGACTTGATGATGTGATTGTACTCAGTAATGGTCTAAAGTTCAATCCCGTTACCATGGAGAAGATCATCGAGGGTCATCCCTTGGTTTCTCGGGCTGTTGTCGTTGGATTAGCAAGATTCCAAACAGCCCTCTTGGTGGAACCAAATTGGAATCACTGGGATGAAAATAATTCGGAGAATAAATTTATCGAGGAAATTTGGCCTACGGTACGAGAGGCTAACAGCATCAGCCCCGCTTATGGACGGGTCATGAAGAATAGAGTCGGACTAGCATCTCGCAGCAAACCATTTAACACTACGCCAAAAGGGAGCACGCAGAGACGGCTTGTATCCAATAGCTACAAGGAAGAAATTGACGTTATTTACATGAATCCGGCCAGCGATGTGTTTGAATATGCTATCCCCAAGTCAACAAATCTAGAGATCTTGACCGAATCTGTGCGAAATATCATTTCTGACGCCCTGGGTTTCTCTAAATTCACAGACGAGACGGACCTCTACAGTATAGGACTCGACTCCCTCCAAACGTTTCAGTTGAGTATAATTCTCAACAGATCTGGTTTTACTACCTTAACCCCTCAGATGATATATGCACACCCCACTATTGGAAAACTGTCAAATCTCCTGTTCTCAATTTTGAACGGCGTTGAAAAAAATGACATTTCAAGATCTGAGAACATTGATATGTTGGTCAGTAAATATACGGACGGCCTTCCTGACCTTGAAAATACGAAGAGCCACTCTGTAATTTTGACCGGATCCACGGGCTCTTTGGGCACCTATCTCCTCAACTATCTATTGAACGATGATACCGTCTCTAAGGTTTATTGCCTGAACCGATCTGATGCCAAAGAACGGCAAACTGAAAGTTTTAGGCTAAAGGGCCTAAGGATTGAAGCTTTGGATAAGGCTGAATTCCTCACTGCTTCGCTAAGCGAAGAGCGACTTGGCCTCGATAAAGAGAAATACGACGAGCTCATCCGTACGGTGGACACAGTCATTCATAATTCCTGGAGAATGGATTTCAATATCTCTGTTAATTCATTTGAGGATCAGATACAAACTGTTCGCCAACTGGTTGACTTCAGTTTGCAGAGTGTACGCCGCGCTCACTTTTACTTCAATTCATCTATTGGAGCAATTGGGGGCTGGAAACTTGCGGATGGCCCTGTGATACCCGAAGCTATGTTAGAAAACTGCGGGGTAACACTCAAGTCGGGATATGGAGAGGCCAAACATGTCTGTGAGCGCATCTGCCGGGCAGCGTCTCGAGCTGGCGTACCAACAACTATCCTCCGACTGGGGCAGATAGCAGGTCCTACTACTGAGAAGGGTATTTGGAATTCAACAGAATGGTTACCTTCGATCGTTGCAACGTCCAAGACGATTGGAAAGATTCCTAGGACCCTGGGGTCAATGCCTGTAGACTGGGTGCCAGTGGTAAGTTAGACTTCAGCTCATTATTTGTTATATCCTTCAATAGAGAGACTAACCATATTTTGAAACAGGATACTCTGGCTACAATAATCTTGGAAATAGTTGACTCTCGCCGAATGACGGAGATAGAGTCACGATGCTCTGTCTTCCACTTGGTCAACCCGTCTACCACTTCCTGGGAACATCTCCTCACACCAATTCATGATCACTGCGCCGTCCAGCGAGTTTCCATGGAAAACTGGATAGAAGAGCTGGAAAATATCCAGAATCCCTCAGATCAAGATATTTCTACAAAACCAGCATTGAAGCTGCTCCCTTTCTACAAAAGTTTGGTAGAGGGAGAAGGGGCTCTCTCAGTACCAATTAGCATGGAAAGGGCCAAAGAGGCAAGCCGAACTATGCGATCAATGGAGCCAATTTCGGCAGACCTGATGGCGACGTGGCTGAGGCAATGGCAGTTTTAACTTTTTAAATCAATTAACTTATATAGGGACGTGTCAAAGTACTAATTAATGTCTACTTTTTATTTGTTCCTTTTTCCTTCGTCTTGGATGTTGCAGGATCAGAACCGCTAAGGAAATAAAAAGAATGCTCGCTAGTTTAACGACATCAAGTATAAAAATAGTGATAATAGGGCAAGTTCAGTTAGTTCTCACCAAATTATGCTCAGCATACCCGCAACATAGTATCACCTATGTGCTACTCTTTCAACTACGTACCCTCGCTTTTAGGAGGAGAAGCAAAGATAGGGTTTCAGACTATCTAGCAAAAATAATGCTCTACTCTTTTGTTGCACAGGGTCCTCATAGGAAAATTTTGGCTCACATATATTGTAGCTAGCTGAAGCAAGAGATATCAACTAGTTGGGGAATAAACAGTATAGCCCACCTAATGCATGCTTAATTCTCATGTAGGGGTATATGTCCATAGAAATTGAACTGGCTAGCTAAAACTTATGTCTTAGTGATAATAAAGATTTTGGGGGTACTTGAGTCAGCAAGTCAGATACACGAAATCCATTAGCATCACAGGAGGAAATAAAAGGTCAAATAAGATCAGATGAAGTAGCCAGGTCGCATACAATATTTTATACTTAGTATTAACTTTGTTAAAAAGCTTGTAAGTACACTGCTTGGGGTTTGAGGGTAGGCTAGTGAGCCATTTGAGCCGCAGAAAACTCCTGTTTCCCTCTGCGTTAGTATTGATTCATGAAGGAAAAATAGACAAACTCACCGGAAACTCATCCATAATGGCAGCGGCTACGTTTTCTACATCTTGAGCAAGATGTTGAACCCCTGCATCCCAGTATCGTAAGTTACGACCAGTCTGTCCATCCCCATAGACCTCCGAGTCAAAGCTAATCACACCATCAATTTGATCAATAGTCCCTTTCAACCTGCCCTGTTCTAACATTCCGGCGGCGTAAGCTTCTGCCTTCTCGCCAGCGGTTACATCACCTGTCGCTTTAAGGCCTAATATCAGGCCTAGATCGTCCGCTTTGATATTTTCGTATAATTTAGATGCTGCTAGCAGGTTGTGTTCAATAACTGCCTTGTCTAGAACTGTCAACCCGTCGGCAGTTTGTGCAAGTTGATGCGGGACTAGACCAGCAGCAAAATTTGTGACCTCATCCTCGGTTAGGAGCTGATCACGATATATTTTCTCTAAAATACCATATTCTTCTAGAGATGACGATCTGTCATCTTTATATAACCTAGACAATGCTCGTGATCTCTGTGGCCCAGCAGGAGCTAAAACAACGCATCTAATTGCTGCTGAAAGAGCTTGTAGCCGGTCTTCTTCATCAACACCGTTGGCTAGGCTGACAGCCAGGTATTCCTGGCTAGCCTCGAGGAATCGCCGTCGTGCATCAAGGATTCTGGCCTGGGATAACTGGAAATGTAAGCGCAACGCTGGGTCTTCGGTCTTCGTTGGCAAATTTTTTATTTTGTTTAAAAACATCTCAGCACCGCCCGCATCGTCGTCCTCTAAATAAAGGCGTATTATCCGGATCCACATGCGGATTTTCTCCTCATCGGATATATGGCGTTGCGAGCTGTCAAGGTGGATTCCCTGCAACACTCTAGCAGCCTGGGAATATTCTTCCACTTCCTCATATGCATCGGCGAGTGTCTCGCGTAAAAGAGCATCTTGTTCTTCAACTGAAGTTGAACGCGACTGGAGGGCTATTATAGCAGGCAGCCCAACCTCTATCCTCGTTGCTGCGGAGAGAGACTTAAGAGAGTTGATGAAACTATCGAGAAGAGGTCGAGATGCAATAACACTAATCTCTCCACCAAGAAGAGACCCCAGAAATAGGATAAGGTCTCGTGCAAGGGAGGGAGAAGACTTGTTAACTATTCTGGAGAGCAGGTCACTGTAAAGCTGTGCCTTGGTTCGCTGATCTGTTGCCGATTCGATCTCAGCAAATTCCTGAGCAAATTCAGAATCGACTGTGGGATCGGAGTTGGAAGAATCCATCTTCACAGCCTATTGACTTGGTTTAGAATGACTTAAAATAAACCACAACGGAATCAATAATATTTCAGGAATGCTCGGAGAATGAACAAGCTGAGTTGTAAACAGTCTGAAGTACTAGCTGCTTAGTCAGCATTCTCTCTGACCTCATAACATTCAAAGGTAAAGCCGAAAGCTTTCGCTTTGCGCTTTCAACTTGCTCTCTTTCACTTGACTCTTCCCCTATTGCAGACTGGCTCTACCCAACACAGCTGGAGCACACAGCTGCGACCATGGCGAACTTTAATGCAGGACAGATCAAGGCAGAATCTCCTGCCAATCCGGAAATCAAGCAGGAGCCTGACACGAAAGACACTGTCATGTCGGACGATGACATATACGAAGACACTGGAGACTTGGATTTCACAAATGCCGCCCAAAACGTCTGGCTAACGCGGATTCCTCGGACGTTATGGGAGCGGTGGTCGAAGCTTGATGATGATGAAGAGATTCAAATCGGCACTGTCAGGGTAGAGGGTGATCCAACCGATATCAAAAGGGTACTTTCTGCTTCTTTCACATACTAAGGCTCAAGAGATGCAAAGTTACTAACTATTTACGTTTAGATAAGCTTACGGCTACTAGACATACCCCAAAATAAGGGCATACCGAAAGACTATAACCTGAGACGGCAGAACGTAAATGCAGATCGGTCGGCTTACGCAGTTCAAAACACTTATGTTTTTACAGAAAAGGATCTCCCCGGATATAAAGACAAGATAAATCAGTTTTATAATGAAAACCAACCATACGGTCGATCATATCTTTACGAACAGATGAAACGCGATGCGAAGAAAAAAGAGCGGAAAAGGAAGTGGGAGCCCTATGTGAAAAAAACTGTACCAAGTATGCCAGAATCGTTAGGTACTCGTCATTATAATGAAGCTTACCATAATTTAATAGGACAAACTGCCATAACCGCCCGGGTTCATGACGAGTTTAACTGCCTACCCGTAGAAAATGAAGAATACCAGAGAATAGCGGAGGAGCGAGCTTTGGAGTCTCTCAAGCCCAAGAGAGAAACCAAGTTCATCGAAAAAGTACCTGGCAAGATGCTTCGGCCCAAAACAGTGGCTGCTGCTGACAAATCCAATTTTATTGTAAGTCTTAACAGCCGTTGTTTTTACTTACTTGGCCATATAATCCATAGCTAACCCCCAGAAGCAAGTTACAAAACCTGCAAAAGTACGCGCACAGGAAAACAAGACTGCTCGTATGCCCCAGAACGAGCTCTTGGACCTTATTTATGCTTGTTTCAGGAGATACAAATACTGGCCGTTTAAGTCACTTAAGGCTGAGTTGAGGCAGCCTGAAGTATATCTTAAGCAGACCCTGGAGATAGTGGCACATCTTGTTAAATCTGGTGACTTTGCCCTGACCTGGGAGCTAAAGCCTGAAGCTAGGGAAAGTAACTACACAGATGCGCTGGCATACAGGGACGCAAAGGAAGAGCTTCCTCCTACAGCAGGTTACAATTTTGATGAAGGATCCGAAGGAGAACCCACTGCTTCAGGCATAGGCACAGATGCTGACGATGATGATAACGTTAAGTTTGAGAATGCGTGATAGGAGCTTCTATCTAGGATTTTCTAGTCTATTTATTCTTCTTGTTAAAAGAGCTACGGAACTAATATGCGTTCATCTGTATTATACACCATAACACTATGAACCGCACAACACTAATAATATCTAAGACTTTCACGATGAAAAGTACTCTATAAACGTTGCAGCATATGCAAGTTGGGATTTTATACAATAAATATGTTAAGTTGTTGCGGTGTCATATTTTTTAATTAGCAGCCTTATTATTATATAAATCATGCACCCAGTGCTTGGTACTTAAGTCGTAGCAGTATATTAAAAGGATAGATACGGTGTGGTTCTGCCTGTAGAGTATATATGTATCTTACATACTGTGATGATAAATTTAAGTCACGTGATATAATGTCCAAATAAGCCAATAATATAATGTGAAGCCTTCAACCAAAAGCAAGCTTGACTATAATGCATGACCCTATTTACGGATGCGGAATAACTTAAGTCCGATATGGGTCTGACATGAAGGGCAACAAGGGACTCCGCTCTGCTCACAACAACTATAACATCTTTAAGAAAGAGTGATGTTTCACTTCTGACCTTGATATTTGGTCCCATTTAATATTATTCCTATGACCGAAGAAGAAGAGCTCCTGGCCAAGATCGGCCAGTTAGCTGGTAAGTTCTTCAAGCACCAGCTAACCAAGTCATGAGCCACAAGTAACCAAGTCACTAGGTCAAATCAACCAGCACAAAAACCAGTCAAATCCTGCTGCGCGTAGTGGATATTCTGGCGCTTCCTACGCGCGACATCCCCGCGGTGGATGGAGACCCTATCGTGGGAGAGCAAGGGGAGCCCCACGGCCTATCGCGGGACCGCATAGAAATCGAACGCTTGTGCTCAATAACCAAAGCACTACATCAGAAACAGCAAGCTCAACGGCCTCACCATCTAGGCCTACCGATGAACTCAATGACCCCAAGCTTGGCGTGAAGAGCTCATGGATAGCGAAGAGGGACCGTCACATGCAGCTCATAAACTCTTCGATATTTGACCAGGAGACTCAGGCTAGAAACAAAGCTATAGCAGAGACCCAAAGGTTGAAAGCGCAAAGGAAATCAGCGCGAGAGGAATCTATGGTCCTACGACACGCCCAATCTGCATCTCGTTTCCCCAGAAGCAACAAGGGTGAATCTCATTCTGATGGAAAGACATACACCATCCATGTCGGAAAGGTGCCCTTTCAAGTGGCTCAGGGTGGAAGCAAACTCATATCTCTTTCCAGTGAGGTTATACTCTAGATAATTTTTATCAGTTCGAGAACCGACTTACCGTCTCATAGGCGACCCTTTAAAAGCGAACCTTACGCCTAAGAAAGTGAAAGTTGGAGGCGTTATGTTCCTTAGAAGCAAGCGTGGTAACCTCCACCGGTTGGGCGCAGTTGCTTCGAAAAAGTACGCATTATCCGCTTATCATCATAGATGACCCCAGGGGTCTTTTTGACAGTTGGCTTACAATATTGAAGAAAAATCGGAAAAGTTAAAAAGAAAAACGAGCTATGCAAAAGATTTACATCGACGGGTACCAGTCTCTCCTTCCGCAGATTCTATCACATCCGTGGCATCCAGGTCAATTAGACATGGAACCAGCGTTGTTGGGTAGATGAGCGTATCGTTTGCGAGTACTGACAACTACGTCCCCCAAACTATAGGTACTTGTTTCAAAGGCCCAACCTGCCCTTATCTCCATGACCCGAATAAAGTCGCTATCTGCAAAGACTTCCTCCAAACAGGTAATTGTGATGCAGGTTTGGCCTGCGATCTTTCACATGATCCATCTCCTGAAAGATCCCCTGCTTGTCTTCATTTCCTTCGCGGCCGGTGTACAAACCCTTCCTGCAGATACACCCATGCCCGTATAACACCAGGCGCTCCAGTTTGCCGGGATTTTGCTATTCTAGGATACTGCAGTAAAGGAGCTACTTGTGAGGAGCGGCATGTCCATGAATGCCCTGACTATGCTAACACCGGGAACTGCGGCAATAAGAAATGCTCTCTTCCTCATGTTGACAGAGCTGGTCAAATTCGCAAATTTACTAACCAGGTAGATAATTCTACTGAAGCAGACTCGGAAGAGGACATCTCTAGTGATGAAGAGGTATATGACGAGATTGACTCCGATGATATCGATTCTGATGACCTGGAGGAACCTGAGGAGATCATTCAAGGCGTTGATGGTGGGGATGCTTCCCAACAGTTAGATTTTATTGGGTTCTCTTAGCTCAAGTAAGAGTTAATTGACCTTATTTTGAACATACGCCAACCAGCAACTGGGCAAGCTGCTTCGATTTTTTGATTTTTTTTTTTTTCACAACGGGGCAATCCTGATCGGCTATCCACACCCCCTGATTTTGAAAATATCTCCCGTACTTGGGATGTTACACCATCTTCCGATGGGTACCCCTTACGTTTCTTTGGGCCTAAAGATCCATCATGATTTGAGATAGTTTCTATGATACCTCTTTGTATTGTTATTCTCTTGTACAAAACAGATTGGGTGGACAACGAGCTCTTGGGCGTTTGGGCGTCAACAGTTTACTTTTTAATTATCGAACTTACACCCCTAATAAGGAATTAACCATCCAATTTTTTCCCAGTGACATCCACGTCTTTATTCTAGTTTGGAATGCAGCATATCTTTCTTGAGTTGGCGGGGCTATACCCGTATTTCTAGAAATATATCAGGCGAACAACTCACCAAGCATATGTTTTGGGTTAAGAGTCATACCCTAGAGTGAGCTAGGTTGAATAGATTCCTCGCCTGAATGAACTGCTGCACGGATTGAGTGTTGCGGGAGACCAAGTTTGAAGCATATTGGCAACTCGTGTGCGTCGGGTACCCAAGCTTATCAAGAGAAGTTATTCACCAGCTGTATAAGTCCTTATTAATTCATTTCATAGCATAGTGCAGATATAGGAACCTGGGGGTGGCATTGGTGATGGTTAGAGGGAGTCTGATTGGAATCATTTAGGATTTCACATGGCACGACTCAGGGCTGCCATGCATCAAACGTCTGCTCATCTATGCGGAATCTGCCTCACGGAAGGAAGGCAATTATAAAACGCACCATGACGTTTGCCGGCCCTCTTTCAATTATTCTGTCTCGTCTATATTACATACTAGCCAAAGCGTACGGGGGAGATTTCCGTTTTTGCGTGTAGAGGATAATGCGGAATACTCCTCATGTCGGGCGCATTGCGGTGTACAGTTACCCATGTCCGGCTTGAGGAGCAGGCACAAATCTTCCATGAGAATACGCGTGTCTATTTTCAAAGTTTTTTTTAATTTTGAATATTCATCCCACCGGGTTATTGATCTGTAAATTTGGAAAGAGTCCGTGGTATCTCGAGCACAAGAGTGTCAATCTCAATTTGCCTTAAGAATTGTCCATTTGCAGTCATAGGTCAGAATTTAGTATGGCGTATGCAATTGGAAAAAACAGCCTCGACAATTCTCCATTACCTGGACGGTAAGATATAAGGCGAGCAGATATGACAGGGATGGATACTAAGTAAAATTGAATACAAACAGGGCTATCCATTCGCCTTCTTTTGTCCGGAGAGTTCTACTGGCTTTCTAAATGAGTCATCCCCCACCTCGTTGCTGGGACCAAACAAACGTTCAAGGCTGCAGTTAGGCAAGTGGAGGCGCATTTGCTTCGCAATATGGGATACCAATAGGAAAAATAAGCTGTGTCAGTCACGGCCGATAGAAGGCCTGTGGCATAGAACAGATAGATGTTACCGATTTTTTCCAAGGCCCTATCCATGCCGCAGTGCCAGAGCAAGTTCGGATAGAATGAGAAGGTGATTATCACGTCAGGCTTGGAGAGGAGCCATTTGTAAGTCTTTAGAAGCTCTTTAGAGTTTGATATGAGGGATATCTCTGGGTGATCTTGGGTGGGCTGATATCTGCTTTCATGGCTGAATTGATATGACCGGAAGAGCCGTACTATGTATAAATTTCAGCATGGGGGCAGGAAGACGATAACATCAACCACAAGGTAGCTGAGGGGTATCATCTAAAAGTAGGACAGGCCAACAGTTAGCTCACGCAGAGTTTAGAGGCCATCCCCGGGATAGAGGTTATTGAGCTACCCGCTAGTTGAGGTTCGCAGATAGCAGTGCTGATGGGTAATTGGATCTTTCGTTTCGATCAGGTGGGCGAGAAAGGACGCCTCTCAATACGAGCACAACAGTCTCAGTTTGGGTCACTATGGTCTGAGACCGAGTTCTGGTCTCTCATTCGCCAGCTGCTTTTGTGCCTGAAATATGATGCATGGAAGATGCATGCCATGGAGGGCGGTTAGGTCGACAACAAAACAAAGATAATGAAGCTCCTTCGGGTTGCTTATTGAGCGTTTTCGTTGGTTGTTTCTTAAGCTTTGTAAAATTATATAAGCGAATGTCTATTTATATACCCTCATTATGTAATTTGATTATGTCATATAGTTATTATATAATATCTAGGTTATTTTGACTGTGATCTTCCAAATCAGTGTTAGCAAAATAACTACATAGTACAACAACCACCCTTTGAGGCTGTGCGAGTTTCACGCCTATTCTGACATGATATTAACAGTTAGATGTCTAATGTGGAGCGCTATCAACCTATTCTCCCTACTTATTTCCCCTTCACAATATTTGCTTCCACTACTCCGTACGTTCAATCGCGTAAATTGACCGAGATTCGCCACCAAACACCGCTCCCACACCGATGATATTATTATATATATAGCAGAGGATCCCGTTACGTACCTTGTGCAGTGCAAAGCGTGGCGCAGATTTCAAGACGAGCCACCTGTCTACTTCGTACATCCTTGTCCTTCACCACCGCTACTCTGGAATAGTTTCCACTCTTTCCCACGGAATCCGTATGAAATATAAAAACAATATTTTCATGGAAGATAAACTTCAGCCACAAACGTGTTGATCTGAGGCAAATCGAGATCATTTTGAGATTTCAGTAATACCTGAGTACTGGAAAGGTATTATTTTATCCTCGATTATCGGCTATCTATTTGGATACACAACTTCTAGTAGCATATACCCACCATTTTCTCCTAAGATTTGGTTTTGTTCCATTAGTCCTTGGCTTCAGATACCATCTGCCTCAGGTCACAGACTGCGCCATTCCTTTCCGTTTTTTTTTAGCACAGCCAGGTTTTACACAAAAATCCACAACTAGGTTCATCCCGCTCTGTCCAGGAATCATGTGAGGATACCCTCACCCAATGCCCACACACTTATACAAGTTTTGCCCCGTGTGAAATTTGTTCTACCTATTATATTACGTGCTCTTTGGGGACGCATTGGGCGTGCGAGGTATCGGCTTTTTATCCAGAAGTCGACACAAGTTAAATAGTCGGTCTGAACAGCCCTTCACATCAGCTCAGCTCTGGTGCTAGTCGCCCACCCTCTATATATTATGGGGAAATTTAGCGAAACAGAAATGGAATACTCTCAGAAACCGATAGCTATCATAACCCTCCGTCCGCGCTTCAAGTCTGCCAAATATAGTATATGATGGGGATAAACCAAAACCTTCGAGTGCACATCGTGTTGCGTATACCCCTATAAGTTTCCCACCTCAAAGGGCTCTATGAATCATCGATTTATATATATATATACACACACACATATATATATATCTTAACCACTCATATGGCAGTGCTCCCGCCTCGAGGCTAGGCTGGTCTCATTATACCAAGGCTGAGATGAAGCCAAGAGGTCACATGTGTATATATGTCTGTGTATTTTGTGTGCGTGTGTGAAGGGCATGCAAACCGCTAGCACCAAAAGTACTCAGATGTCGCAAATTACGGCATTAAGCTAGGTGCCTGAGTCTGTTACTGTCCGAAATGTGAGGCGCTCAGGCTTCAGCCTACGAGGGGTTTGCTTGACAGAAGGGTTGGATATCTAACTGCAGAAGTAAGGGGCATCCATACTCATGGTACCGGAGAGGCGAGTTGAAATACTTGCTTTTCACTCATTGCCCGTTTCAGGCGGTGAAGAGAGGGGTTTAGTACTATTCGCTAACGGCTAGTGGGGTTGAAGAGAATGTGTTTATTGCTTGTTCTGCCAATCCTCAATATTACTGCAAGACTCCTGAGGGGAAGAGGCAACGAAGAGGGTGCACAAGGTTGGTTTGAACATGCCTTTTGGCACGCCATCTGCGTCCTTATAGATCTGGATTGGGGTAGTATCGCTTGTGGAAATGCATCTGTGGGTTCTGATCCCCCTCTTCCCCCCTTTCCTTTTCTTTTCTAACCGCTCTTTCCCTTTTACCTCTAGCTAATATGGATATGATTTTGCCGTTCTCCGCCCGTGGAAGCATGTTCTTTTCTTTGGCCTCTACTATGCGTAGCAAAAAGGAATGAAGAACTCAACGCAGTGGCCATATTCTATAACTACTAATAACATGCAGTATGCGTGGGGCACGGATTTCCAATGTACCGAGCAGTGAGTGCATAGCCTCCCCATCTGCGCGGAAATGGCGGAAGACCGTTACAATCAATGTAAATGCAAGCTTCATAGTATGTGGAATGGCCTCGCGTGTGCATACAGAGTACTTGAGGCTAGATACACAATTGACTGTGTCCTTAGGAATATGCGGCGTAGCGGGTTCAGTCAATGCAAGGGTCTCTGGCATGAGGTAACCTTAGACGGCGGTAAATGAAGAAACCGGGGTAGCGACAAAGCAAAACGCCACTGTCGAGCAAGAACGAGCGTCGAAAGAAGAAATCTTATGGTTGACGAAAGAGATGCAGAAAGTTCCGTGCCCACCTTTCTCTCAGCCCCGATCCATGGTAGAGAGTAGTGTAGCTTAAGCTTGGAACACATGAAGGAACAACATTTCAAGGAGAACTGACGAGCAGAGGTTCCCAGCCAGTCGATTTACAATTTATTTACAACCCAAGAAGAGCGGCCTAAGAGGTTGCTTGCGAACTGCGGTTCTTTGGCTGAGAATTCCCGGTGAGTTCGGGCTGAGACAGAAGTGTATCAGAAGGAGCCTACTCTGAGAGCATGGACGATGCGATGGTCATTCGAGATGTGTGATACCGGACAATACCAGACTCATCCCCGTCTAGCTACTCCGTACCTTTGTACATTCATTCGACCGAGTTATCTGCTGGTATGGAAGACATGGTCGGTAACTACATCATGTTTTTCAACGGCACGAGCCAGGCGAGTATATCTCGGAATTCTATCTGAATGGCTCGACCTGTACATACGTACATAGTACGAAGCAGAGGAACTCGAAGTTAAAAAATCCAGATAAAAAAGACGAAATACACTCCATACAAGGAGGGAAGAAAAAAAAAGGACTGAAGCTAGAGCTGCAAGTGTGCCCAAAACCCCAAAAAGACAACCCCAATAAGAGGCATCCAATGACAGTCGTCCTGAGAGCTCAATGCAGAAAGCTGTTTCGTCGCCTTACTTTTTTGACTTCCGGCGAGGGAACGATGTCTCGTCGATCTGGAACCAGGATGGATTCACAACGGACTGCTGGTGGTGCATCCCCGTACAGTTTAGGCGTCAGTCGACAATCACCAAGCGTGCCCGTCGCCGCCAGAGAGGATGACGATGGATGAGATCGAGGTACATGCTGAACTCTTTCCTTACTTCTTTTTCTTTTTTGCATTTCTCGATATACGGGGGCACACTTGCTCAGTGGACGGGGAACCGTACATCGACCCCCAGGCACCCGCAAGGGACATGGGAAACAGTGCAGCGACTGGATCAACCGCCCATCCCACAAACGCACGTCCTCTGTTTTTATTGCAACTTGCAAATATACAAAATCGACCATAGTTATATTACCGCTGGGCAACTTTTTCGATCTACTCCTGTTGACGGGTACGAAAGTGGCTCTTCCATGAAACCTTTTACCTATCAACCACCTTACCTCAGCATCTTAGAAGTCGCATTATCATTGCTCGAACGCCTCAAATCGCATCCATAGCCAGGGAGTTGAGAGGTGATAGGGCAAAGCACCATGAGTGACCCAGACGGGCCGTATTAAAGATCCACCGCTTTCATCTGACCCTGGATACCGATAGAGTCGGATCAAAAGATATATTAGCTCGTCCCCGCTGCCCTGAGCAGATGATCGCTACTTTATTATAGCAAGCCCATCACTAAAAAAGCACACCCGCCATCATTAAGTCTCTTGACCTCAACACGAGCAGGAGAACAGCAGCAGAAGCAACGAGATCCCCGTCCAACGCTCTACCCCCGCATCGTCTCTATCGATTTCTTCCCCCTCCAAGCACGTTGCACAGTGCTCTGTCATATTTCTTCTCTTCTTCGAATACTTCTTCTCCCTTGCCCACTTCGCGCGCGCCATCGGTTCTTTTTTTTTTTTTTTTTTCTTTGGCCCGCCCGCAAAAGAGGGAGCCAACCGTACCGCACACACACCGCCTCTTCACATCCAAGGCAGAATATCCTCTCTCCATCTTCCTCCTCCAACCACACCACAAACCAACCACCACGCCAAAGCATTTTTATTCACGACGAGACGATTTTAATGACCACGACCTCTTGATTTTGCATCATATATATATTTTTTTGCATATTGTTTCTTGATACTGTTTTCTCGTGGGACCCTGCTTTATCTCCCGCTTGAGTGCGTCTTTTTCGAAGTTCGCTCTCTGCAACACCTGCCAGTTCACATCCAATATGGCGAGGTTTTCCCTTCCGTCGCCGGCCTTTGACTTCTTTCAACCTCCTCCCAACCTCGACACTAAACCCATGTTCGCCAGAGACGAGGAGATGAGCGTGCTGGATGACAAGATCCTAGATACCGGTGCTCAGGATATGTCTTTAGACAGCTCACGGCGGCCTTCCTTTGACCAGACTACCGATGAGTTCTCGCGAAGAGAGTCAGTATGGTCAGACATGGCTCAACACCAAACCGATGCACAGTCACGGCATCCATCGCAACTATCAACACCGCTCTTCGAGGCCGTCAGCAATCCTTTCGTACGGCTCGACGCACACAGCGGAGCCTTTGCCCAGCAACAACAGCAGCAGCACCAGCATCACCAGCATCTGCCCCAGAACCAGAGCCAGCAGCAGGCTTGGCCGGTTTCCACCGACTCCGGCTCATGTACCCCTACACCCATCTTTGAACACTTCCCTCCAGAGTTTGAGAGTGCGGTCGCCAACCCATTTACTGGCGGTGCTGTTGGCCAGGTACAGCCGATGTCTTACCAACAGATGCAATTCAGAGCCTCTCCGCCATTTGCTGCACCTAACTCTATCCCAATGTCCCCGCAGTCCAGCCAGGGTTGGGTGTCGGGCTCATCCGAGATACCAGAGGCCCAGCCAAGACCAGTAAGGACCTCCGGCGGATATCGAAACAGTGCAGCCAGCCTTACCATTAGACGGGACGGAATTCGCAAGAAAAATGCCCGTTTCGATATACCTGCAGAGCGAACGCTGAGCAATATTGATCTACTGATCAGCCAGTCCAATGATGAGGATGAGATCAAGGAACTCAAACAGCAGAAACGTCTTCTTAGAAATCGACAAGCGGCGTAAGTATCACTCTTTCAAATACCTTGGATATTATAGTTTCTGTCCTCTTACTAACGCCCCCTTCTAGACTTGATTCTCGGCAGCGAAAGAAAGTTCACACCGAACAGTTAGAGGAGGATAAAAGACGGTCCTCTACTCATATTAATGAGCTCCAGGAGGCGCTTCAGGAGATGAAACTTCGAGAAGCGGAACTCATCAGAGAGAAGAATGAATTACTTGAACGTCAGCAACAGTTACATCAATTTGTTGAACAACTACACATGGAAAAGGAAGAGTTGATCCGCTCCCACACTCTTGAGACCGGCGAACTTCGCAAAAAGAACACCATTCTCCGAGAGCACCTCGAGCGAATGGAAGTGAACTCTACCAACCCAACTGCCCCTGGCCCTATACGTAACGAATTCTCTGATTACGGTGGTCTTAATGTGGACAATCCTTCATGGGATTCGTTCTCCCTCGCTGATGAGTTTAACCTCGACTCTGAGCAACGTCCGCTCCCACGCAGCCCTACTCCTACGCCTGCTCGCCACCCTTTCTCCCTAGACTTTAACCCCAAGAAGGCAGAGAAACAAGCAGAGAAACCGTTGACCCAGTCCGACTCTGCCTTCAGCTGGAATGCATTCTACATGTGCTTGCTATTCGGCGCCTTCATTGCCTCCAACAGCACCTCCACTTCGCAACCTGCCATCCCTGCCCTATCCGAAGAATATCGCGCAGAGTCGGCAAATGTCTTGCGTGCAGTTCTGGCTTCTGCGTCCCCTGATGGAAGCTCAGCTAGCTTCATTGGCCCTTCATCCGGTTCCAGTGATTTGCTCCCCTCTACTATCAGCAGCAGCCAAATGGCCCAGATCTCTTCCGGCCCAGCTGGTAGCGCTACCGCCAACCTTGACGCTTTGCACAACAACCTCGTTGCACCCACCAAAGAACAGGAGGATGCCCAGGCCTTTGCATTGACCACAAAGCAATACGAAGCACTCACTACGCTGGAGGATGAGATGGGTGAGGACCACGTCGCCCCTCCATCAAATTTGCAACAAGCCTACGCAGCCATGCGTAATAACGGGCTCCAGAACCGCGCCGCCTTCAAAGGGAATGGAAATCCAGATATCTATTCGCGATCACTAATGTGGGACCGTGTTCCACAGAAGGTACTACAGGACTTCAATAACATGGTAAGGGAGTGTGGAAAGACCGTCAAGGCCGAGGAGCCTGGCAGAGAAATTCGCACTTCTTGATTCATCTTCGCCTGCATTCACCCGATAATACTTGAGCAAGACGGAGGTATAAAAAACAGAACATCGATATCCTCAATTCAATGAATTCTCAGTCCCAGGTGATTATTCCACGCTACAGCCCCTATCGCCCTACGCGACGCAGGATGGTTTTAAACCATCGCTATCTCGTTTGTTCTCTCTTTGCACATCTGTGTCTTGCATTTTTTTGGTTGGATGAAGGTTCTATACGTCTTTTTTCCCTCGCGGGTTATGCATCTTTCTTACGGGCCGTCCGTGGATCGGACAGATGGCAGAAAACATTACTACCATTATTACCTTGTAGAGGGAGACCGGAGTCTCTCCCTCCAGAGACCAGCCGCGAGGCATTTACCATTTCATACCCGCATTCACACATATCTAATTGTTCTCTTTTTTTCCGCATTTTGAGGGATGGGGTTTCTTATATATTTTTTTGTTCATGTTCTTTGATAGGCTTTTTTTTTTTTTGGTTTTCGTCCCATTGCCCCCTTTGATATTCCAATCCGTTTGCGCGGACAGGCTCCCTAAAAAGAGTCCAGATATATACACGACCAGGTCGCAAAGACGTCTACTTCCCTTTGTCCACCCAGCCACAGCTTCGACAGCACAAATTTTTTTTCATTTGTTCAAGCCCAGCCCTCCCTCTTACTGCCACCTGGTTCTACCTTTAGCCATTTTCGGTGTATTGACTTATCAACTCCGCTCTTCCCTCTATATGCTGTTCCCTTTCTCCTCATCCTTAACTCCATCCTTGCTTCGCACATCGGCAGCTCTAAACTGACCGTTCTTCTCTTCACCCCCTCCACTTTTACCTTCTTACTCCTTTTCCCTTTTCATATTTTTGGAGTGTTGAGAATTTTTTTTTTTTATTTGCCTTTGCCCATTTTTGATGTATGAACCTTAGGATACGACCCGATATGACCTTAACGATATGATATACGAAAGTGAAGAATGATTATTATGAATATGATGGACAACTAGCAATGGAGAAGCTAGGGCATCGGAAACCACTCTTTTGCTTCACTTCAAGTTGATCTTTATAATCTGGCTTCAGCACAGGCTGTCGAGGAGAAAATACAGCGTCCCTGTGGCATTTATTATAATATTTAGTATAGTAACTAGTTACTAGTTGGAGTTTTATGATAATTAAGCCATCATTAGTCGAGCGTATGATACTATTTACCTAGCTATGCATGTTTCTATTATGCAACCCGCCCATCCTCATTAATTGACGGCCATAGTCCTAGTGTATCTTAACAACTTCAGGGGCCCTAAGGGCACGGCATGGAACAAAAGTCGACTGAAGTTACGATTCCATAATTGGACGTCCCCTGTCTGTTCCGGCAGGAAACAGGCCCCGGGGATGAAGTTCGGCGACAGGTCATGGGACTAAGATACCGGAGCAGCCGAAGTTTTAGGTGCTGCGCGTCTGCAAATTTCAGGCTCAGGTTAGATTTTATGTACAGGGATCATCTTGATTTCCTCCACGGACGAGGGGGCCAGGACAGACTGGCTAGCTGTGGTATACACGGAGACTCCGTATTAATTAATGTCTCTGGTATGCGGTTATGGCATGGGCTTCGGCAGGTTGACCTTTTGCATTTGTAATGAAGAAACCCTTTTAGGCAGAGTACGCCGGAGAGTGGTACTGTTAGGGGGTGTTACCGGTGAATAAATCTTATGGAAGGCCAAATATTATTTATACCGCTAATGTTGTTTCTGGTGCACTGCATCAAAAGAATATATTCAAAAAAGATGAACGGAAGTTTTGTTACATCCATGTTAATTATATAAGCATGGATTTAACATAAGCACAGCCAAGTATTTCGCATTTTCAGCAAATAGACCAAAGATTTGACTGCGGCTTGATGAATTCACAGGCCATATAAAGGTCATGATACTATTATCGTGGCCTTCCGTGATATAATTGGAAGAAATTCTCCCATGTCTGAAGGAAAACTATACAGCCAAGGTGCATCATATTTCTCCCTTCCGTTGCCATTGTGGCAGCAGCCTGTGAGCTATAGGACAGCTAAATACGAGCAGCTGAAACAGCGAGGGAGATTTCGACGAGTACACGATGGAAACAGCAATAAGGAGCAGGACGAGGAGAGCAGTAATGACAATGAAACAGAAAGCGCGATAGAAAGCGAACCTGGGAAGAAGGACAAACATCGAAAAAAACGTGGATTGAAGCCTAGACCTCCCCTGATCCTTTCCCCTGGGGAAGCACATCAGTATAGGATCTCAGGGCTACCAAATTACCGCGAGCTACCAGGTGGAGGATTCCCTCACAAGGCTGGCTTGGGAGACCTACATTCAACCGATAGTGACGATGAATCTGAGGACAACGACTATGGGGACAATACCACGGCCCCGGCAAGCAAACGACGAAATAAAACTAGGATAATAAACAGCAGACAACGGATAGAAGAGGATCTATCCCAATTGAACCCCCCACTGTACCTGGCTGGTGGCAACCCTACGAAGAAAAATACCCTACGTCTCCGCCATCTAAGCGTTGTGACCACTATTCTACATCGTTGCTTAATGGAAGGAGACTATGTCCGTGCCGGCAGGGCTCTGGGCCTCATCCTTCGAGATAATTTTGGTGGGCATCCGGCGGATGTACGGAGCTCGGGAAGATGGGCAACTGGAGCAGAAATACTACTGTGGAATGGTTCTGGCGGTAGTGAACCAGAAGACGTAACCGAAGGACTTGGAAAGATGGGTAAAAGTAGTGGATGGTTTACAAGGGCTGGATTTGAGCGAGCAAGAGAGTATTACGAAAGGCTTATAATCCAGTATCAATATCGGAAGATGGCGCCAAACGCGCTAAGTCCGCTACACTTCTATCCAGCTATGTTTGGGTTGTGGATATCTGTTGCCCAAGAAGAGAGTCGTCTTGCAAGGAAAAACACGGAGTTGGCCGATAGCCTAGACGTGTCTGTCACTGGTAGTGACGGCTGTTATGATCCCAACCTTGGAATGCAGGACGATCTAGAGGAACAGAAATTAACAACTGGCAATTCAGCATTAATTATTGCTGCCCGGACCAAGGAGCTTGAAGATGCCAGGCAGATCGCAGTACAGATGGACGAGCTGCTTGTTTCACCTCCCTTTTCAGATAGCCACGAGTTACTTAGACTGCGGGGAATGGTATCCCAGTGGATAGGTGATCTTTACGTCTCTTCAGTTGTGCCCACAAACAATGGTTCTGGCCTCCCTGATGCTGATGAAGAATATGGAGACGGCCTTTCAGTTGATGATTATGGAAATGCCCGCCTTGATGCCAAGATATTGAGGATGGAAATCAATTCGGCTAAGGAGAAAAGGGCTGCAGAAGCCGAGAAGGCTCAATCGTTTTTCGACAAAGCACAAGCTAGATTGGATCGGACTCGAACATTTAATACTTAGTTCGAGCTAGCCTCAATCACGTATAATTTACAGGTGAACATATAACAGTGGTTCATTATATATAACGTAGCTTTCGGTTATCACGGCCCTCTGAACAGACGCAATTTTCCTCCACAAGTAGTATCTTATGACGGGAAGGAATCTCCCGCATCATGCTACTTTTTATCAAATATCATATCAATTCGTAACTTCAAATTTGACAGAGTTCGTGTCATGTGACCAAGCTAAATCACGTTCTCTCTTTAGTAATTTCAACGTCATGAAGAAGTTCAACATCAAGTTGATATAAAACCATTCAGGAGCTAACGTTACAGTTTTGAAAACCAGTTAGAAATTTGTATACTTAATCAGAAGTATGAGGGTCAGCGACTTTGTCCAAGCGAGCCGCGATTCAAATGGAGTTCAGACGAAGCAGCAACTCAAACCTGTCAAGATTTCCAGGGAGCGACAAGCTGACATGGCTAGAATAAGCCCACCCCCTACACAATTGACGGGATTCAACCATCCTCTTATAAATAGAAAACGCAGAAATCTATCACAGGAAAACACAGCTCCCTATGTGCCGTTAAATGAGCCGCCACACGTGGCCAATACCAATGAACGCGAAGGGCCAGGGGACCTTTTTGACACTGATCTTGAGGGTGTTGATGATTCCACTACTATCGGTAGTGTCTTGAGAGAAACTGAAGCAGGATCTGTTACAGGGAATCCTCACTCAACACGTGAAGATACCAACCTCCCGGACACAGACCTTGCTCTAAAGAATGGAGGCTATAAGTCCATTACCGAGAGGATCAAGGAACTTGACTCTGATGATGAAGAAGATGATAATGAGAAAAGATCCGATTATCAAATATCACATAGGGGAATAACTGAACTTGATGAACTAGCGGAAGAAAATATAAACCATATTAATAGGGAGCTTGGCTCTAACTTGGACGTTACCAACAATCATTCTAGTCGGGAGACATTAAGTTGGCAAAAGATTGAAGCCATCTTACGAGAAGATAGTTCTTCACCAACCAGAAAAGTTGACGACGGGGGCATTTGTCAGACCTCAGCTCGGGTTGCGTATGCTCCAACTGCTAAAGAAAATTACGAGAATGGAACGGTGCCAGCATCTCTAGTCCCACAAAATAGTCATCTAGAAGTTCCCAAAATTACTCCTCGGCCTGTAGCCCAGAGGCTATCAACCAGGAATAGATTTGCGGCACGGCCTCATTTTGCTGCCCCCGACCCATATTCAGGCCATAATGAGGGAGTGGACAATGTTATGTGAGTAAAATTATACCCAATCCCCTCCAATAAAACCAAATCGTATCTAATACTAAATTATATAGTGAGAATGACTCTGTTCGGCAGCAGTTGCAGAATTCTGTGGATGATCAATACTCAACTCATAACCGTGGGACCTTTGATACAGCTACCAATCTAAGCACTATGGACTATTCCGACGATGATGGGTTTGAAGAAATGGTCCATCACGAAGAACATACCTCCTTACAATCACCCCATTTGTCCACAGTATCCGCAGCTTCGTCAAAACGCCCACTATCCAACTTTATATCCGACTACCCGCGTAACATTCTTGAAACGAAGTCATTTTCTGACCTCCAGGCAGAGGGCTTCGACTATAACCCAATTCCCGCACAGCCACTGTTCCAGCATGACACACATTTATCATTAAAAGATAAGCTCCTCCGTGTTAAAAATTTTACAGACGATCAGCGCCGTGCGTTCTTTTCATCTGTGACTCTGTCGGAATGGGAAGAGTGCGGGGACCTACTAGTTGAGGAATTCTGTCAAATCCTTCAAAAATCAAAAGGAGCACGCCAAACCAGAAGAAAAGTGGCGGCAATTTTTGAAGCAGAGATTAAGCGGCGCCATGACGCTGTCGAATATGATGGCAAATCTATTAAGAACCGTCTTGAAGATATGAGAGCTGGAGGAATAGGTGTTCTTAGAGGCAAAATACCATAATTCTCGTTCTATCAGAGTTATTTTGCTTATTGTGGCCAGGAGTGGCTATAGTAGTTTTCTTTACCATGCAACGACCTTCCATACCATGCACCATCTTAGCTGCCCTAGGAGTTACAGGCTGATATCACTATTTCTTCTCTAATGGTAGCCTCCGTAGATTTCTCTCCCTTCTCTTTTAACATTTCCTTCAGTATACATATACCCATTCCATGTTTGAAATATAGGAGCATGTTTTTACCATTGTTTTATTAATAGTGTCCTTAGTCTCTCCTATTAGCATGCTAATGGATAACTACTTAAGACAAAACGCGGCTACTATCATCGCTTAGCTGGTAGGAGATATATCGAAGTGATTTCACAACTAAATAAGTATAAAGAAGCTTATAAAAAGAGATAAAGAAAAAGAGAGACGAGACATTATAAGAAAAAAAAGGCCCTCCATACATCCCATCCCAACCATGATCCGATTTATTGATGTGAAGCCTATTTCCAGATCCCCACAATCCCCAACCATATGATGACCCCTTAATGAACGCCAGATGAAGTTTGCTGCAAGGACAGAGACAGGAAAATATGATATAAGAGCAATTTGAAAGTATGCAACAAGAGAAAATAATAAGGGCCGAACAGGCTTCCAGACTGATAAAAGCACCTTATTCACAGATTAAGAAAGGTAAAAAAAGAAACACGGTAAAGGGATATGCAAGAACCGGGAGAACATAATGAAAGGAAGAGAAAATGAAGGGTAAGATAGATACAGACCAATCTTGAGAAGGCAACTCCAGAAGTATCTTCTGCCATAAAAGGTAAAAAGAATACATAGAGGAATAGAATTATGGCATTCACGACCCCAGGCCATGAAATAAGAAGTGATCCTTATTTATGGGAAGTAATATGTTTCCATAAACTTATCTTTGTAAGAGTGAGGAGGTATAATAGCAAGTATAGACCTAAGATGCCGTTGCTTCACCACCAGTGCTATTATTAGAATTGGAGACACCTTCTCCCCGACATAATGGGCAGGAATTGCGTCCAGTTGTTAGCCACTATAAGGAATAAGTTAGCTTTGAATAATAATAATACTATTTGAATATATACCTCATCAATACACTCGCGATGATAGACATGCTTGCATTTATTCAATATCCTCACTTCATCTGCGGCTTCATAGTCACATAAACAGATTAGACACCGTTCATGTTCAGCGATGGGTAAACTCTCGTGAGTTTCTCCGATGCTTTCTGCAACCAATGCCCCGGAGTATTCTACAAGACGATATAGACCGCCTGCGGAAGTAATTTCATCCTGTGTTGCAACCGGAGGTTTGGCGGGGCCTAAGAGGGATGAGAGTAGCACCATGTCTTCGTAGGTAGGATTCTAGAATGGTAAGTTAGCACATGTTCATTTGAATATAAGAAAATAGACGTACGTCTGTAAACAGGCTAGGAGCAGCAAATGCAGGATGGTTCTCAGCTAAATTGGTTCCAACAACGTATATCAGCCAGCTTCTCCCTCCAGAGGGAGAAGGGTCGTCGGGCTCCACTACTCCATTTCTTCGTGCAGCACCGGAGCCAAGGCCTCGGTGACGAGCAGCTTCCGAATCACTCCTACGGCGCTGTCTTGCAGGGTTAGGACCCATAGAGTGCTCTTCTAATGGATCTCCAGGTTCTCCGACCCCGTCCTCGTTGAGCTGCGGAAGAATAGCGGATGCAGATGAAGGCCGTCTACTTGGGGTATTGACTGCGGAAGATACTCTAGATAGGCCGGCTTCCGCAGGTGTGGAAGGGGGTGGGTTTGGGCCTTGGGGACTGTCGGAGAGGATGGTTGGGAGTGAGCTGCCCAAATCACTGGAGGACCCAACATCAGAGGGTCGACGGGAGGAAGTTTGTGATCTGAAGTGACGTTGACTGTCGTAGTTTGCCGGGAATGTGCTCCCTCCAACTGAGTAGCGCCGTGGAGAGAACCTTGAACGACCATCTGAACGTCGGAGAAAGTTTGTATTACCCCTATCATTGCGGAGGAAGTTCCCAGGAGCGAGAAGGGGTAACCGAAGGAGGGATTCTACGTTTAGTCGACTGTTGGTGGCAGCATCCCCTGTTGTTCCGTTGCCAGGTGGTATAGCTCTTACACCGACAACAACCAAGGTGAGTAAACGTCGTTCTTGACGACCATCTGTTGAGCCTTGTCCATCGATATCCATCTGATCGCCGTTATCCTCACTTCCTTCACCTGCTGTCGACTGTGTCGAAGGACCGTCCTGGTTCACGAATCTGAAGACTCTCAAAAAGTTCACATGTGGAACATTAGGATCTTGTGGAGTCTCGAGATTATTTATAGTTTCCTGGTTAGTTGAGACTTGCTGTAGGCCACTCATGAGCGATTCGAGAGGTCCGTCAAGGCCGTCCGCACCAACAGACTGGATGCTGGGTACCGCTGGATTTGTATTCCCGGAAAGCTGTGCGGCAATGGCTGTTGCAGCAAGTTGTAGGACACGAGAGAGTGGAGTTTGTTCCTCTCGTCTTAATAACCTAGTTGCGCGGGAGCGGATAGTTGAATGTCTTTGGCTAGGAGAAGTGGCATTATTTTGACGACCAGGGACCGGGATGGGGCCAGATCGAGGCCTAGAGGTGGGATCGACACCATCAAACTCGTGAGAATCATCAAGTTCCATATTCGCTTCAACGCCGCTTGGAGGGAGGAGGTGGTCGGAATCATCTAGGAGTTCAGTACGCGAGGGTCGTCTTGTTGCAGGTGGTGTAGCGTTATTTGAATGGGCAGACGGTGAGTGTTGATTAAACATATACGATATCGGGGAGGATATTGAATGTCGAACGTGGCTCAGCCTTGCACGATATCGCCAGGAAAGGCGGGAAGGGTCCGTATTTCGGGTGTTCGACGGATTGTCCAAGAAGGTCGGGTTTGGTGGAGAATCCGGCAACAAAGCTGACTCGCCTCTCGGGAGGGCATATGGCCCACGAATCGACCTCCTTCGCGTTATCCCTCGTGTACTAAGGGCTCTAAACGATGGGAGGTGCGGTGATGATGGCTGTGGTGAATCTGATCTTGGTAAACTCCTAGATAAGAGCCCATCCCGATGGGCTCTACCTTCGGCTGGCGTCTCCTCCCCACTATTAAGCAGATTTCTCAAGACAGAATTTGGCAGTATTCTTGTCCCAAGGCGAGACATCCGGGACTGCCTACTGGTGCCTGAGGCGCTACTGCTCCGAGAGACAGAGCCGGCAAGGTCTTCAAGGCCGCCGCTCTCAGCCCATGACGGTGGCCGGCTCCGCAGCTCATCTCGACTGTCGTCTGCCAGACGTGCTCTAGGTGGAATATATGTGCTGCCTCTCATTCTCTCGCGGGAAGAAGTCGGCGGGGCTGGGAAGTCATTATTATTATTAATATTAGTGGTATAGCTGTATCGCGGTCGACCTCTGTTGCTCGTTGTTCCTGGCGATGTTCTTTGGGAAGAACCGGCCTGCCCCATATCGGCTCGAAGAAGGGTTTTATGGAGTTGGAAAGTCGGTCAGAGAAGCATGTCTAAGATACCCAGGGATATTCTGTTAGCGAGTGATTCTTCCAGGCCAGAGGCAGATAGTAGCTAGTCAGGCAGGCAACCATGAAGGGGGCCGTCTATCTGTTATACCAGCGAGCCGTACCCTCAGGCTAATTCGCCATCTAGCCCGAGCAGCTCATAACGGCCCGATATTATCGAAATATAGACGGGTTAGGGGTCTGATAGAGTTGAACCTGGGGTTTCAACTTACTTGAAACAAGAGCAAACGAAGCGGTTAGGGCCCCTCAGGTCGTTTTCAGACAGCCAAGTATCAGCCAGAAAGACCTATAACCGATAGAGACCCCCTTTGCGAGTGCTGAGCAGGGAGTATGTGTGGTGTGTGAGTGTGTGTTTGTGTCTTGAGTGTGTTGTAAAGTCGAGAAGTTGAAGCTGAAAGCAAAAAGTTCGTCATAACTTTGCGCGTCGGACCACAGCGACCACTCGCGCAGCTTCTTCTTCGTAGTGTCAGACAAGAACTTGCTCCCTTCAACTCTCCCAACACCACGACATAAGCCGTGGCCGTGATGGGTGATATGACGATGATATGACGACGGATGACTTACGGCCTGTCACTATCTGCGAGTTTGAAGACTGACAGGAATACGAATGCAGAGTGACTACAGACGGGATCTTTCTCCTGAGATCTTCACGATATTACTGGTCTACGGCTGTCCTTCTACTACACCGAATAACAGGAGTCCATAATTGTCTACGGAAATACCACCAGTTGCTGGTTTTGATTGGCCTTACCGGTGCGCCTCTTGCACAGACAGTTACCTGGACCACGATGGTTGGCGAAACTTGTTTCAGGGAGGAATACTGATCCTGGATCTCCTGTACGGTGTGCACATTTGAGAAGTGGCAGGCTTGGTCCAGCATGGCTTAAGGGCTCTGTTGCTGTGGCTCAAGGCTTATACCTTAAGGGTGGCCGTATCCTTCAGGTTACATGTCAAAGTGCCGAAAGCAATGAATACAGTACCTTCATATATGTTTCAAAAGGATGATATTGCATGACGCTTCGCTTGCCGGGCTTCACATACCACTGAGTGACAAGTAGCTGGACCTGGAGCCATCAAAAATACTTAAACGAGCTCAAGCCTATCTCCGATGGATTCAAGTGCGCTAGCTAAATCAACGATATACGATAAAATTATGAGCCTTGCTTTGTATCTACAGTTTCCGTGCTGTACCGTTTCTCTATTGTTGCTCTGCATCCTATACCTACTCTTTCTAGATCTCCCTTCTGGTCATAGCCAGGCCATCCTATTAGCTGTTTAAAATTATATCCTCTATGTAAATGATAAAAACCCTTTTACTAGCCAATATTACCCAAATTATGGAGCATGCAAAGAATGTCCAACTCGCGATGCGATAAATGGCTCAGCGGGCCAGCCCTGAACCGTACATCCATCGTCGATATGGTCTCCTGACAGAACTAACGTGTGCTCTAGCAAGCACGCATCATTACCTATTGATGCTCCTGACAGAAGCCTTGACTTGGTCCGTAAAACACTGCGATTTCCCACACGTAGTGTGTGCAGTTCAAACTCCCCTCGTGTGTTTAGATGGCCAACCAAGCTGGCATTATCAATAGCCACTCTGTTCCCTAGAGTCACAAGGTCGGGCTCTGTTAACAATACATCCTCGCCGCTGGCCGCCAAGGCACAATCTGCACCGATGGTGGCACCCAATGCTCGATAGTACTGCACCATATATGCCGTCCCAGTCAGCAATGGCATCGCATTCATCCGTCCAGAACCAGTAAAAATCCTCTCAATAGTCAGTAAGATTTGCCAGCGCTGGCAGTAGCTGCTGCGGTCCCATGGGTAGTATCCCTCCCGACGTCGCCCGAGAATTGTCCACTTGGCTGCTATTTTAATTCCCAAGGCTGCGGCAGCTTGTATCAGAGTGACAACTCCTACAACTGCAGTGAATGCAGCATAGAACAGGAAAGGCCACCACCAGTGTGGGCCAGACGTCGTGCGATCCATATGCAGTAACCGAGAAACAACTAGTAAGCCGGTTAGGATACCAGACGCGGAGTACACAGCACCAAAGGCAGTAGCAAGGACTGAATATGCTACAATTGGTACGATCCCTAGCACATAGTAGTTTGCCTGTCCCTCATAGAATGCTCGGCCAAACGGTGATATCGTGTCATCGCCGTCATGGTTCAGACTAGGCTTCTCCAAACTCTCTTGACCGTGATTTCGAGGAGAATTATTCTGGGGAAACTGTATTGCATCACCGTGCTTACTTCCCGTCCAGGTTGTATTGTCTGGGTATAAACCATTGCGACGCAGCAGCGCTCCAGATCCCACTGTTGTACGCTTCCCAATTGTGACTCCTGGAAGCGCTACCACATGGTCTCCGACAAACGCTCCATCACCGATACTGATACGCCCCATTCCAGTCCCATCACATGTTATAAACGTGGATCGGGACCCGAATACGACGTCATTTCCAATCTCCAAGAGATCGTATTCCTGGACCGCAATTCCAGTGCCTGGCCAGTAAACGCGTTTGCCGACACGCGCGCCAAGCATCCTCACCGCGATCGAGACAAGCTCATAGTGAGTTCCTATTATACGAGTCAACTGTGAGATATCCCCCTGTGGGAGAATGCAATCCAACACGGCTCTTCGGACCATCTGGCTCTGAGTATATTGACTGTATGGTCCGCAAGATAGATCTAACCCGAGTTTAACGACGTACACGGCAAAAAACCAGGCAAACGGGCCCAGAATAGCACCATAAAGAATCACCAAAACATAATACCCGATCCGTGACGGGCTCACGAACCAAAGTATTTGTTGGCGCAGCATATCACGTTCCGCGTGTCGATATCTCATAACCACGGGGAGAAAGCCTAGTATTGCTGGCAACCGTGAGACTAATCCTACTAGCAGCGATAGAGGCCCCACCACCAGGATATACCAGATCCAATGCGGCTGTGGGATTTGTGCAGGGGCTAAGGCGCGATTAGACTCTGCCGCGTCCTCCGTTTCCCAGCTAGAGGAGTTTGGCCCTAAACAGGTTCCCGGAGGAAGATCAGTGCCGGAGGCAATGACAGTCTTGAGACCAACTGTACAGTTCGCCCCAATGCGAATTGGTTGGAGGAGCATAGTCGTATTTCTCTCTGCACTAAAGGGACGACATGAGCAATCTTCGAGGACAACATCATCACCAATATCAATGAGGTCATATTCTCCCAGAGAAGCGTGTGTATCAATGCGAACATTGCGGCCGATGCGAGCCCCGAGAGCACGGTAGTATAGGATTCGAGTGAAGCCAAAGTGGCCGAAAACTCCCTATTAACAATTAACAAATGCTCCAAGCTACTTAACATAGAAAGCTTGGGCTAGAAGGAGACTTTTCAAATTACCTTTCCACACACTTGGAGTGCTTTCTGGGTCAACCACCACCGAGTATGATATGGCCCCCACATGGGATACATTCCAGCGCGATACCGACCGATGAGTAGCCATTTGAAAGCAATCCCAAGAATGGGGGAGAAAACTTGCATCACGTACCGAGACGCCAGCCCAGCCACAAGGATGAGGGAAAGCCTCCCAACCACAGAGTTCCGTATTTGCCAACGGAAGGTTTGAATTAGAATGTATACAAATAAAGACCAACGCAGCGTCTGTAAGATTGGAGAAAACACAGCCAAGGGTATTAGGTTGAGTAGAAGAATGGCTAGATTCGTGGAGCTGTAAGTCTCATCCAAACCTGGGAGATCTTCTGGTTTGAGATATTCGGTTTTCGGCAGATCCATGGCCGCTTGGACAACAGTACTGACTTTAGCGACAGTACTTTGTCGAAAAAGCACGTCACTTGCAAGCCGAATGTGGAACTCTTGACGGATCTGGGAGACGAGCCGCCCAGCGGTCAAACTATCTCCACCGGCTAAGAAGAAGTCCGTGGAAGAGGTCACATCTTCCGGCGCTAGTCTAAGCGCGCTAGCAAAGAGGCTACAGACGCGCTGTTCAGTAGGTGAGGTGGTAAACTGGTCCCGGGTATTAATTGCAGCTTCCACGGCAGTTGTGTCAATGGATCCGCGAGAGTCAACTGGTGGAGCCCCATTAACGACCTTTATACTGCTTGGAATTAAGTATCCATTAACGAGAGTGCGGAGGCAGGTAGAGATATTGTCCACAAGTACTTCATCTAGTGCACAATTGAAGAGAATAGCCTGAAGGTAACCATCGATCGAGTTGGTCCGTATCAGAATGCTTGATATTCCAGAGATTTCTGTGATATGAGCTTTAAGAATTCTGGGGTCTATAGTGCATCTTGTTTGATCAATTGAGACATTCAGGGGAGTGTCTGGTGGAGGGCACTTTGCTTCGTAGTGGCATTCGGATGGTAAGGTATTGTTTGTAAGTGTCTCCAGTCCCAATCGGCGGCTTAGTTGTATACGGCGCAGTTTGTTATTAGATTTTGGGATATTATCCATGTAAACCAGGACAGTAGGCCATTTAGGTTGATCAAGGCGATCTTTCAATGTTTCATGTATTTGTCGGAGATCCGGTCTTTTGCAATCCGCAGGTGTTACAATAACAGCACCTACAACTTCTTGCAACACATCGTGGGGTGTGGAAAAGGCCATTGTTTCTGTAACGCGGCCGAAAATAGCTGAATTCGAATCCTTTGCTGCCGACATGATAGCATCTTCTACCTCTAGAGGAGAAATTATTTCTCCGCCACGGTTAATAACTTCTTTGCTTCGTCCAGTGATGTAGAGATATCCTGCCTCATCTATGCGGCCAAGGTCACCTGTGTCGAACCAGCCAGCTGCATCAAACGCGCTTCTGTCGACACCCTGAGAAGTTAGGTATCCAGTAAATACAGGAAGACCTCTCACACAGATCCGTCCCGTTGCCCCGGTAGGAACGCGTTTCATGGGCTGCGCAATGTCCAGAATCGCCAGGTCGGGCCCAGCTGGGAGACCGGAGGTCCCAACTCGTTTGAGGTTATAGTCCAACGGCGGCGCTGCAATGGGAGCGCATTCCGTCATCCCATAACTAGGTAAAACAACGCACCTAAATGTGGAATGAAGTTGTTCCGCGAGCGTAGGAAGGAGGCCACCCCCAGCATTACAGATGAACTTGATGGAGCTTTCCCGGACAGCATCCTTACAATTCTCTGCCTCGGCCAAAATCATATGGTGCATGGTTGGTGTTGCGTAGTACCAGGTCGGGCGCCATTGCTCTACAGCATCCCAGAAGAAACTCGGGTCAAATCTGGGACAGCATATCGTGATTCCTCTAGCAAATACTGGAGCCCACAAGCTGCGTACCATCCCGCCGCTAGTAGTTATATGTCAGATTGCAGCCAGTATTTCTTGATAGACAAGATAATAACTCACATGTGGTGTAACGGCATCATGTTAAGACAAGAAGAAGAAGAATCCAGCCCCAGGCTGTCCATAGTGAATATGATGCTCACCATAAGATTGAATGTACTGATTGGCACTAGTTTCTTGGTACCGCTTGTGCCACTGGTAAATAAAATAATGGCGAGATCATCTGGGCCATTGGGACTTGTGCGCACATGGCTTGGAGAATTGGTATGGTTCCAACGGGAAACTTTGAAGGTTAAGTTGTCCTGGGGGTGAACTACAAAGGTAACAATCTCTGAGTCAAGCTGGAACCTATGGACATCCGCTTCAAGCATCAAAACAGCATCGGCACTGACAGCTTGGATGTCCGATTTCAGTTGTTCGGTGGTCACTGATCTTGCCATTGGTACCAAGGTATACCGGTTTGCTACCGCAAGGACCGCAAGAGCTAAAGAAGGGCCATTGGGCAAAACAACCATCACCCGAGGTTTTCTCATAGTTGAGCAATCCAAGCCCAGGTCAAAATTCTTCACAAATTCCTGAACCATAGCATGGGATATCTCTTTATTATGATCTGTGTCGATTAATGCAGTCTGGGAAGTGTCGGAGTGTAAGAGATCTTCCATATGCGGTGCGAAGTGCTTTAGTCGGAGATGAACCCGGTCTATTGTAATATTCCAAGTTAAGTCATTACCATCCCGGATGGTTTCTGGCAAAGCCTTCCAAACAGTCTGGTAACAGCGGATGAGTTCTTCAAAGGGCCATAACCCCGTGTCATTATTCAACAAATATTCGAGCTGATGTATAGCATTTTCCGGCGCTTGCGTACGAATATCTCGCAGCAGACGCCGTAATCTTAACCTGTACAACATAACATGTTACTATCATTTTAACCTTGACGAGGAATTAGAAATTAACATACCGGTTATCCGTCATCTCATATGATATAAGAGTCTGTGGCATAAATGTTGAGCATGTGGAAAATTAGGTCCATTTCGATGAGGTGGTCATTGGGGATAAATGCCATTTATAGGCTCATGTCTCCGATTTCCTGGTTAAGTGATAGCTATCCTAAATAAGCTGAAGTGGCTGAAGCTCGGAGTGTGATGAGACGTGATCTGATCATCCCGGTCCTGCTTTCAGGGAGCTCATACTTCATATGCACTCAGGTTATCGGCCTAGCAAGGGTCCAGCGATCGAGCTCTCTAACCGTAAATAAAGTTTGAGTGCGATTGCATGATTATGGCTGAAAACGTGGTATACTCCGGTATGTGGTGCATTTTTATTCCAGTTGAACGTAGACAGATCATATATGAGCAGCATCATTTAATATTTTAGCCAGCAAATACGTAAGAGAGCCCTCATATCAGCCATTTCACTCTCCGTATATCACAGAGAATGGTCGAGCCAGAACAAAGTGAAAAGAAACAGGGGCCGATGGGGGCGATACTGAAGTTCAAGGGGGTCTTCCGGCCCGTTATTCGGTACATTGATAGCCTAGGTATCCAGTCAAGCGTGAAGAATAGTGACAATGTGATACACAACAGCGTAGTATTTCGTAGGCTTCTATCAACATGACACTCCGGATATGCTTGGCAAGCTGCGCCACCAGCCCAGAAACCAGATATGAATAGGTATCGCGCAACTTTTGGGAGGCTTAAATGATCTTAATCAATGTCTAGACGCTCCATCAGACTAACAGCCATCTTTTAACCCTCTCTAATTGGACCAGCGGAGAGGAGCTGTTAGTTGCGGGTCGCCGGTATTAGTATCAAAAGCCTGCCCCTACAATGAGTGATACTTAGCTCAAACATTCTAGACTTAGTAACAAAAAAAATCCAAACTAATTAGTGCACTTATGCCACGCGCATTGTGGGTTTTCCAACCTTTCTACACACGGCACACTCTATGAGAGCAGCGCTAGCATGAACGCAATCGGTCTTCGTTAAGTGCAGCAGATGCACCAGCGGCATAAGTCCGAAGCCCTGGATGCGAATAGTTGGCGGTGGATAAAAAATATGACAAAAAGGCTAAACCTTGCATGGCACATGTTAAGCTCAATAGAGTTGAACAAGCATCTGATAGCTAGGGTTTTGGTGCCTTGAACGCAATTCCCGAGGGGCTTCCCTGAGAATATGCATGTATTGTATGGAGCCGCAGGTGTGACTAAGTCAAGCGGGAATGGAATAAAGTCACAAAAAACATGGATGGAACAAATATCGAATGCGATGCAAGCCCCAACGCTAGTTTAGTTTGGCGATATCCCAGTCCATTATGGACTGATTTCGGCTTCGGCCCCTTACCCCGTCCTCTATTCTCGACATAGGGCTCTCCTCGGCCAAGAGAGTACGCGTACCCTATCTATTAATGCACCGTGTCCGGCATTCGATTTCTGTGGAGGAATCTGTGTAGGTGCACAATTCGATTCATGTTTCTGTTTGTGTCTATATTTGGCTGAGGCCATATTTAGTAACACCCCGGTACGAAGAACGGATAACAGGTTACAGAGTATGTACTCCGTAATTCCTCAGGTTTGATGTTGAGTATTCATAAATGATGGCTCGAGAAGTCGTTGAAACTGAGTTTTAGAGCCCCTTTTTTTTTAGGTCGCGGCTATTATTATGCAAGGAGAGTACCTAATTCTGACCAATTGGATCAAAGTAATGAGGAGGTCTCGTCCAATGAGAAACATCGGCCGTCAGAGTAAACGCGGATAAACTTAAATCCCTCAAATACGAAGATGCTCTGCTTAGTCATCAACAGGCTTTCTTTGCTTATGTAACTCATATTGTGTTTTTAATCCTATGCAATACTTTCCTTCCCCTTGAGGCTCACAATCTGTCGCCAGGATCCCAAGAGTTTCGTCAAGAAAGAAATAATATTCGCCCGAGGATCCAGCATTCATCCTCATGTCGTCAGAAACGCAACAATAACACATTCATATGCAGAATGACCCTCTGACCCTTAGGATCGGAACGACCTTTACAGACGAAATGTGCTATGGGACAATTATAGAAAAAATGGCGTTTAGCTACGGGTAGTGCTCTTTATGATTTAGCTGCTCTCTGCTATAGCTAAATCTTTCCCTTGTATGTGATCTATTCTACCGTTAAATACAACCTTCACTAATACCTACCTACACCAGAGTATCAGTTTTACTGAATCTTCGGAGTATAGTCTACGGGTTATACTGTGATAGAGCCTAACCAGTTTCCCCTCTGGAGCTACAGAGCTTGTCAAACCTAGCTTGGATCCGTTGAGTCTTGTCATAACTGCTGGGGCATCTTGTTAAGGTGCCCTATTATATAAAGGCTGAAGCCAGCAAGAATCGAATGGGTCAAAGGCCGCCGGTATCACACGTACAGCCGGGGCTCCACGATCCCGACGGGGAAAGTTCCGCAAATTTCGACGGCTGATGTGATTCGTTTTTTGCTGTTTAGAAGCAGGTTTCCCCAAACCACATCCACCATCGTGTATGTGGCTCACTTTAAGAAATATATATACATAAATGATGCATTTTGCATATTCATGGATAATAATATGATACCCTATGATACCTTAATTTTTGCATTCATCGGTTTTTTTGAAAAGAATGCTGGGATATTATAGCGCAAAGTGTTATAATACTGGGTATTGTACTCAATTCACTGATTTTTGTTAATATAGATATAACAATACACCATACAAGCGGTCCCTGCCTTATTTTATCAACACATATTGGTTGTGTGTCCCCACTGGCTGCCGTCACTGCCATGACACACAAACGCTCTTTGATATAGTTCCGTCGGCAACGAGCATAAAAACAAGGTATTGGTCCGCTGCAACTCTGATAAAGAACGGCGCATGACATAAATAGCAAACGTTGCAGCAAACGGGAGTTTCAATTCTCGCCTATCCACATAGGATAGGCTTAATGGCCAGAGAACATATATCAAAACTTGCGAGGACCTTTTTTCTGCCTCTTTTCCGCGTCCTTTTCCAGTCTTATACCTTCGTTCAACATGTACCATAAGCAGCTAGTTCTTATGAATTGACACCATAACATTTACAAGTGGACGTGTGCTCGCTGCCAAAAAAGCAGTCGAAGACGCCAAAGGTAAATTCTTAAGCATTTATCATCTTTTAATACAGGATTCCGAACAAAACTGCTGTTGTGCATAGACGGAAGACGTCTAACCCTGATATGTATATGTGTATATACACCTGTTATATATAAGGATTGATGGTTCAAAGCTGATGGCTTTGAATACTTGTCTTTGACGATGGGACAGCGGTTTGTCTGTCGACCAACACAGATAGGCTGTGATAGCGGACAATGAAACAGAGTCATTTCCTCATGACTACAAACATAACCCGTGGTGCCTTTTGGTGGAGATCTGAGGTTATTGGTTATTCCTCAAAATCCCGACATTACTGATTTGCGAAACCCGGGATTAGTATCTCGAGATGTATACATAGTAGATGGGATAAAATCAAGGTTCCTCTAAACCAGGGCCCATCTGGGTGAATAATCATCCACGTCGCACACTGCTGGAACGTTCTTCAAAATCGATTGATATCTCGATGAGAGAAAACTTACAAACTTTTTTCTTTTTTTTTTCTAAAAAAAAGGGGTGGCAGCCGTTTGAGAAGGATGGAAGTTCGGCGAACTTTGTCTCCCCAGTGGAGAGACATTTACTCCAATAAGCCTTCACGGTGACCGGGAAAATAACGTCAGCTTTTTATTCTCTCTTTATTCTTTGCTGGATGACAGGTTCTTTTTTCCCTATGGGTATGATGGTCTTAACCTATATTGAGTACTGATTTACTCCGTGCATATCACTATCTTGCTAACAGTGATCCTTCTCACCAAACAGGTAGATGGAATCTAATATTAGAAACATAGAAACACTGAAATTCTTCCAGCCCTTGTAAAAAGGAATTATCCCGCTTGCTTCCACGCCATCTCGACAATTCCAGCGAGTGATAATTGCGGGTATCCTCCTGTGTGCCGTCGGCAAGGACGATCAAATGCCTAAGCATTTACATGTTCACCAATAACTGCTAAGAAAAGGAAAAAAGAAAGAAGGGCAGGAGGGAAGAGAGATACGAGCCAGCCAGGCGCTAAATGCTGCAAAGTGGGATGGTGAAGCTGATGGCTTCGAAGCCTTGACTTCCTGAGCAACGACTGAATCCAGAAGTTTTAGGAGAGAATGGTATCAAACTTTCACCTATTCATACGCGGAACACTCGCTAGGTATGACCTCCTGACCCTGGGATCCTGCCACGACGGCCAGTCTGGTATCTGCGCGAGTGCTCCGCTCCGTCCGGGTGTGACAGTTGAGACCAAATCAGTCGCTCTTACAAGGCCAGAGATTGCTAAAAACGACTTTTTTTCTTTTTTGCCCGCCACACCCAACAGGGGAGCCCAAAGCCCTTACATGCTGGAATACATCCAACACTCACGCATGCAGGATGCGAAGGCATGCACATTTTGTCCCTCCCAAAGCTTCCAATCCCCTGCAAGCACTCCATACTTGGGACTTGACTACTATACTATGTATGTAACGCAGACCACGTTTTTTGCTTCTTTTCCTTTCGTTTCTTTTTCTCTCTTTTCCCCTATGAGCAGGTCTAGAGTCAATACACATGAACAACATGCTTTGTCCATGTGCACGGAAGATATATTAGGGAATAGGCTAAACGGTTAATGATATACGAAGACTCCCACGTATACACTTGTTTTCAAGAGCGAAGTTTCTGTGGTTTGTGATATTCTTCCGGATCTTCATATCACTTGTCCATTTTCAGTCTCTAATATAAAATAAATGACGTATTACAGGTAGTCAGATGGTCCTAATTGCGAACTGTTCCGTATACCAGCCCCAGTTTCCATATGGAGGGTGGTTGTTCCGTGATCCGTGCTGCATGGCATATACACGGAACGTTCGGTGGACATCAAGCCGGTTACACTGCATATATGACCACTACCTTTCTTTTGCGACAAGCCAAGGAGACAAAGGTGCCTTTCTTTCCGAGGGGCTTTTTTTTCTTTACAGTAGTACAAGCAATGCAAGAGAAAGAGGAGTACGGAGTACTCCGTATATGGGCGCAAAGCTGCAACTTCTTGTCAAGGGCCTCGTAAAGATAGGAGGGTTATTGCACACTTGACCTTATCGGCTCTGGATATGGTGCAACTCTATCGGAAGCTCTAATCCAGGAACCAAAGGGACGGAAGTACTCTGTACCCAGTATTGGTATGAGGACTGTTACTCCGTGTTAAGCTTTTTCTTCTGCTAGTATTTCGTACTCCAATCGATGGGGAAGTCGGAAGAATATCAGGCATTGACTCCTTGGATAATTCGGCGATGTCAAAAACAAAGGCTCCTTACGGTGTTTTCTGTTTTCTTTTTCACCATTTCCCACTTCCTTTGAGCTATCGACTTTTACTTACCTATTACGGTCACTGCATGGCCGCAGCCAACGGTAGGTCATTTCATTCAAATGGGGTTTAAATTTTCAATCGATAGTTTCATGGTGCCTGAATTGATCAAGTCATGAGAGGGAAAAACAAACGAAGAGGCACCATCACCTCTGTACAGAGTTCGCACCTAGATAGATATATATATGTACTATGTAGGTATATTTATATTACTCTGCAGGCCCATAGAGTTTTGGATGACGTTCCAAGGCGCGAAGGCTGGGTTGCTGGTTATCCACCTCTGGAGGCTGCTATTAGTTATCAAATCACAAGCTTTCGGTTGACACCCGATAGTGACCCGGATGGGATATATCATACGTGTATTATGACGATTGCTGCATGGTAAAAGGCCTAGGTCGAGAGAGGCCAGAGTACCGATAGATTAGATGCCTGCTTTCGAGAAAGTGTTGAATTACGGATACCCGACCTTTGCCGAGGCCTCATTTTGGGAATATATGGGAGGAAACAGTTTTGTGCCTGTAGGCTTATGGGTACAGACTAGTCGACTCTGTCATGTATTGACTTCGCTGAATGGTTGAGAAGCGCACGCCATGGCTCCTAGACGTTGTTATATATACACTCCATAGTGAAGATGAAAGAGGAATGCATAAATTGCATGTATATACAGGTGGACGAAGCTCTGGGTCTGCTTGACCCCCTGAGATACGAGATCTTGTGCGATGAAACCCATCGAGATCTGCGCCAACTCGGAGACGCTACCTGTTTCCGGCATAATCGGACGTGGGCGCGGTGGAATCGGTGGATGTTTTGTCGAAGGATGAAGCAGAAGGAAACCAGATGGAAAGCAAGCAGGGAGAAGCAAAGAAGAAGAAACATGGCAGAAAAAAAAAAGGCGGTGGCTGGAGCTTCCGGTCTGGGGAAGAAACTCCGGGTTTCCCCTTTTGGCTCTTTTGACGGTTCCAACGACTCAAATTAAACCAACTAAAACCGCCAAACTACTTTAATAGTAATGATTGTTGAGAGGTGCAGGAGAAGAAACAAGCTAGCGGCGAGAGATGGCGAGAGAAGACCGGAAATACGAGTTGGCACCTCCAGTGTCACCGTTGACTCCGCCAGAAACAAAAAAAAAGAGGAAAAAGGAAAAATCTGCGACGTCGACGTCGACTCACAGAAGCTCTGTTCACAGACTTCGAAGAGCTCACGGTTGTGTGGAAACAACACTGCCCCGGTGGACGGGTTGATTCGCCGTCCCGATCTCCCGGCAACGTCCTCACAGAAATGGGGCCCTGCTTTGATAGGGGGTCCTGGATCTGGAACAAGTCATGATTATATTCACGTCGATAGGAGCCCGAACCCTTCGACCGAGAGATGAGAAGAAACAGCCCCAAAACGATGCACAGAATGTTTTCTCAGGGATATTAGAAAAGTATATCCGGTAGCTACGGAATCCTTGGATCATGCTTAACTGCCTTGTTGGGGGAGCTTGTAGGGATCAAGCAGAGGAAACATATATATCGACATTCCTCACATACAGCTACAGTAGCAATCTCGAAGTGCTCTTCTCTGTGTGCTCTATGGTCGCAGCATAACCAGTTATGGGATTTGCCCCAACTCATGCCATCCCTTTTCTCCCACATGGCTGGCTTCTTCGACTTGGCTTTTCGATCAGCACTACCGTTGGCCTTGGAGCCATGATGACCAAAGATCGAGAAAAAGAGTAGAAAGGAAAAAGCAAACCCACCATGGCTCTCTCGCCCGTGGAGATGATCTCCCCGTCCAGAAGCTGGAACAAGGATTATGATTTGTCTTATTAATAATATTCCTGGCCTATATGTGGCCTTCCTCACCTCCTTCCCCCCACTTGTGTGGAACGACCTTTTTTTTTCGTTGTTGTTATGGAGAGAGGGCTTGCTTCTTTTCTTTTTCTTATTCCTTCTACTTTCTTTTGGTCATCATTCTCCATTCTCCATACTCCAGGTTTCCCTCCTAATCTTGCTTGGTGAGAGGATTCTTTTCTTTCTTCCAAGGGCATGAAGTGACAATCCTGGCTAATACGCCTATCCAGCCACTACATCTACCTTTACGATCCGCCATTGCTGCTGAAACTTCTGTCTCTAGAAGGCCATATCCAGACCTTGAACAAGGAACAAGAGGAGATCGTGGCTCGTTCTGCTTCACTTGCTTGATTCGTGTTATATACCTTCCGATTTCTCGCCTCAAAGCGGCGTGCAGCGTTTCTACTGTCCACTCTGCCCGTATACATACTTCTTAACATGGACCCTCCGCGTTTGCGCTCTCCAGCATGAACCCAGGTGGAAGCAGCCCATTCTGCTCTACCAATACCGTTGCTGATTATTCTTCTTATCCGTCACCCGCGCTTTGTTCCACCCCTTGGTCTGAAATTTCGCCCCCATAATATACGTCGTGCGACCTGCACGCCATCTACCCCTTGTGGCTGGCCATACTTATTTTTCTTTTTTATGAGTGGTAAGTCCATCTTTTTACGATTCTTTCTGCCCATCGTCAATGATAATAGTACTTTTAAACGTTCTTTTCAAGCTTGACCAGTTACGTATAATCTTACCCTTGGGTGTTTGCTTTTTTTTCCCTTCCCCTCCCACTGTTCAGTTCTTTTTCGTGATTACTTTACACAAGTCTTCATCAGGCTGCCGAAGCCAGCAAAGAAGCTGCTCCCATCGTTCTCTTCCCACTTGCTTTCCCGTCCTTATCTTCTCTTCTTTTCCCCGTCATTCCATGCGTGCACCCCGGCATATGGAAGCCATGTGCTTCCTGCACCACTAACCAGCCGTACGAAATACGTATCCCCATTTTCCCTCGTGGTATACAAGGTTACCGACAATTTTGCATATACGATTAGCACCTTGTCTCAGAATTCACCCAGCGGAAGTCACCTCAGCCCTTTGGGAATTTTTTTAACGACTTTTCCCTCTCCCTCCCCTTGACCTTCATCTTTAGTAATCCTTGGATGATCTCTGTGTGGGGTCGGGAAGTACTCGCAATTACCACCTCGATCCTTACGCATGGACAAAGGAATTATTCCTTTTTTTTAATCATCATTATATCAACGGCTACGAAGGACAAAACTGCATGATAAAGTTGTGATATTACAACCCTTCTTACCTAGCCCTGTATGCCCTTTACTTATACTTGACTCCTACTCCTTGGTCTTGTCACTATAATACTTTTGTGTCTTAGTATTAACATACATATTCGTCTTCAGGCTCAGGAAGCAACAAAGTGTCTCGACCCGCGGGTAGCTGCGCCGTATATTCATATGTGTGCACTGGGCCCGAATTGTGTGTTATAGTCATATAGGCCCTGACGGTTCGGACTTACTCTTGAGGCCTATGCAACCTTATTTTAATCAGCCATAGTACCATCATGGACTCCAATTCGATGGATGACATCAAGGAAAATCCCAATCCTGCCCTTCCTGCTTTGCAACCTCTGGGATTATGGAATATGGGTCTCACCCCAAACCATTGGCACAAGACCCCAAATATACAAAATCTCCAGCAGCAGTACCAACATCCGTTAACCTACTGGCACAATCCGCATTCTCTGCCTAACCAGCCGATTTCTCATCAAGAACCTTTCCATGGACAGCCCATACCTACCTCTCCCGCAATTCCGGAACAGAAAAAGCACAAACGGACCAGGAGCGGCTGCTTTACCTGCCGTGCCCGTCGAGTTAAGGTAACGCAATCCACAGGTGCTGTTCTTTATTTTCAATGCCTGCTAACTGTGGTGCCGTCAAGTGTGATGAGAAGCGCCCAACTTGCGACCGTACGTACCACACACCTCCTACGTTATGTCCCTAGTCCCCCTCATATTTACTTATTTCTGCCATTTTATTTATTGAGTTGCCAAATTTGCACCGGTTTATTGACAACTATACCTTTAGGCTGTGGTAAAGGGAAACGGGAATGCCTTTATCCTCCCCCTCGAGCTCCGAAGTCGGCAAAAAAGCAGGGTTTGAAAACTGGAGAGACATGCCCAGCAATAGCTGAGAGCGAGTCTGAGGGTGATGGTGATGAGAAAAAAAGGAGTGCCGCGCAAGTACCATCAAGCGGCCACTCCCAGGATGGAAAATCACCGGGCCAAAGATCAATCCAACGCCTAGGTCAGACTACAAAGAAGAAAAATACAACACGTCAACCCAACCGTGTCAATAATAATCCTGCCACTGTGAATACAGATGCCAAGATGGCCGCTCAAGACACAAGTGCGTCCCCTGCTAGTGATATGACGGCCCATTCAACAGGGTCCCACAGCCCTAATTCCCATGTCGATATTAGCTGGGATGTGTCAGGCGGTACCCCGGACTCTGCATCTAGTATTGCAGATACCCCTGGCTTTAGTGATGATATACAGTTCTTTCTCAGATACCATACGCAGCATATCACCCACTCGCACTACATGATGAAATCTATTTCAGCCAAATTCGTTAACGAAGATCTTCTTAAATATGCGGTGGAATATGAGCCCCTTCTCTATGCATTGGTTGCGTTTTCTGCCTACCATTATTCCATTAAACACCCTAATGGAAGACTCTATACATCCCTTCACTACTACAACAAGTCTGTCTCGTCATTGCTCAGTTCGTTGAAGAGTCGACAACCCCACAATGATGCCACTATTCTTACCATACTTCAGCTCACTACATTCGAGGTACGTCCTTAAATATGCCTACGATGCTTGCCATTCGCTGATTTGTTTATATTCAGGAATATGTTGGCGATTGGGTCAATCTTATAGACCACCATCAAGCGGCCCATCACATAATTCGTGAATTATACACCCCTCACATAATCTTTGAGGACAATATCCATAAGCACATTATCCACTGGTACATGCGTTATGATGTTATGGCAGGCTTAATGGCGGGCAATGCCACCATACTGGGTCGAGAATGGTATATCGAAGCAGAGAAGCAGGCCCATCAGGCTGCCTCAGATGATCCTGGCTGTTTGAGCAAGGAACTCTTTGCCTTATGTGCTTGTAACAAGCGATGCTCAGTGGACTTTGCCTCTCTTCTTGCCAAAGTCTCTCAAAATCTTATCTCCCAGGAGGAATTTCTTACCGAAGGGCAAGTAATCAGGGAAACCATGGGAGAAATGATTCGCAAGCTCGGCACATATAATGATCCGGAATATCTGGTGACGAGTTACCCAGAAAAAGCGCCGCTAGGAATCGATGATATTGTCGACCCGTACGTTCCCGGATTGGTTCACACTGGCCCGTTCTGTGAAGTGGATTTGGTCAAGTTGGAACTCCGAAGCAGCCTTTTCATGTACAAGTGTCAGATTGATTTGATCACTCAAACAGTAGAACCAGCAGAATTGTCAAAGTTTGCATTAGAGCAGTGCCAACTCGTTGAGACGATAAACAGGCTGCCCGACAAGGCCCCAATGTTTCCTCTGATGTTCCACAATGTCGTGGGATTAATCTGCTTATATATACCTCGTGATGATCGGCATAGGATGTGGTGCCGAAGGAGACTTGCCGAGATCGAGCAACATGGGTAAGTTGGACCTATGGAAGATATATCATTCCCGCTCATGTTCCAACTTTTGGCTCACAATTTCTATACATAGGTACATTTACCCTCCCGCATTTAGAACCAAAGTAGCCGATATTTGGAAGCTTCCTGAAGTTGCTGAATGGTGGCTGCCAAATGGCGAAGGGTATCCAAAATTAGTCCAAGAGATCCGGGAATGGACCTCGGAACGTACCACCAACCCTAGAGATAATTTTAGGGAAGCAGTAAGGGATATTCGGTCTATCTTCGGCAGAATGACTTGCTCAGACGATAGCAGCCAAACAAGTTCACCAAGCGCACATAGTGGGACACTTCAGGGATTTTCGCCTGATAACTCTTCACCCTGAAGATTATCTCATCATTGCTAATTCAAAATTAGAATGTCTATCTAGTTATCCCTGACTTGGTAACGCAGTTATACGGCCGCATTGGTTAGGTAAAATCTTCGGTTTGTATAGCTGTCAATCACATACTCTATTACCAAGACAAGCAATATCAATTGCACTCCGTCTTCCCCAAGTCTAAATGGAATTGGCCACAATTAAGTTCCATTCACGCGACTCCAACAGTACCAAAGCAGCCACGCAGCCGAAAATGAACTGCTTATACATTAAGAATCACTTCATGCCGGGGTTCACCACACTAAGCAGCAACGCAGCTCGTAGAGGATGCATATAACGGCATTGGGAAGCTGGCATGGTGGTGGAATCTTAGTGTCTGCAAATTGGGTTTGATGCCTATGCACAAAAGCATATTGTTCTTGGGCTTTAATGTCATTGAGGACAGTATTTGTAAAATATCTTGATATCTAGGGCGATATACATATAGTTAGAAGTAGGGTTCATCTTGAAATTAACTGAAGTTTTACCCAGTAGTTATGGGTGGTTGGTTTATCTACATTACACGACAAAAGTGGCTGAGATTAATGTGAGAATGATTCTTATTCTTCCGAACGGGAGACGGTAGCTCCTATATTTGGGCCCGGTGTGATGGGTTAAATAAAGGAGATGTATTAGCAAGCTGTCCTAACAGACAAGTGGGAATTGATAGATGTGTGTTTAATTCTTCTTATCCTACTTTTGCTATATTTCAAAACTATTAAATTCTAACCAGCATGTAAGCATCACAAGTCATCGAGCTCATAAATTCTTACTTCTTTCCCAGCTCCTCCACTAACTTCAACGGCTTCGACTACAGTCCTTAGGCCTTGGGCCAACTCACTCTCAGGGCCGGGTTGGTAATCTCGATTCAATTCTGTGCCCCAAGGTAAAGAGTCAACATCCACTTCTAGACCAAGAAGGCATTTCAATATCACGGAAGCACCGGCCTTGCTTAGAACAAGGTTCGTTTCGGGGCAATTCTCGTTACAAACACACCCCACGCAACCTTGCGCAGTGGTACATGCACATGTATCAATGCGTGAATTGGCACGAACCAGAAGGCTATCTATAAACTCGAAGGCTTTGGAGGTGATTCCGGAGCCAGAGGGGCCTCCTTTTGCATCATAGAATATAATTCGAGCTTGTCTCTGACGACGGGGGATAGGAGGTGCTAGCGGATGAAAGAAATGATTTCGAGTCCTCGGGTCTCTATCACGGTCAAATGCCGCTGCTGCCTGCCGATGCTTAGGTCCTAATTCTTTCTTCGCAACTTTGCATTCTGTTCGGATGTCATCTGGCGAGGATATTAAAAACGTTGGAAGGAGGGACATGACGGCGTGCTCTGCTGCGTGAATCGCAGCTGCAGCGTTTAGGTCATGGGATGCAAGGATATCTAGTGCTGTTTTTGGTACATCTAGCCATAGGCCTTTGCTCAGCCTGTCGATTGGCGGAGTGTCGAGTGCCACAGCATCAAGTATTCGGCCTTTCTTGTCCTTTTTGAAATATCCGTATACTAATGTATGGATAACAATTTTTCCGAAGAATGCTCTGTAGCTGGATTGTCGGCTAATACGCCTTATAGCCTCGGTTTCAATTGGGTCAATATTAGTGAAGTCTCGCTGTTCAGTTATCCAGTCAACATGTGCGCGAACCACTCTTGCAAATCTTTTAGTCGTATTAAGCTCCTTCACGAGATAGGTGTTGCCTTGATGAAAGTATATGGCACCTTCATATATAGTAAAGAAAACACGGGTATCCTCAATTTCTTCAATTACGACATTACGGTTGTTAGTAGTGTCTATGACGGCATAGTTACCATCTTCAATACTTCGAATCGACACACACTTCGAAGGGTTGGGCCTAAATCTCTCGTGACAATGGTAGAAACCCATATCATCCTTGACCAGCCGAGTAGCTGCAAGTTCTGCCAGCTGTGGGCCAAAATAGATGGAGTCATTCTCTAGGCGAATAGGCATCTCAAAAGCAGCACATTGAATATGACCTTCGAGGACTAGCTCATTCTCTAGATCAATAAGTAGCTCGCAATTTGGTTTTGTGAAGAGTTCATCAGGGTGGCGCATATAATGTTGATCTGCTGCACTTTGGCCGCCAACCAAAATTGACAGAGAGTCTTTATTCCTCCTTCCCGCCCTCCCACTTTGCTGTCTAAAATTGGATATCGAATGCGGAAATTCATGAGTGATCACGGCATCCAAGGAACCAATGTCAACGCCAAGCTCCAGTGCGTTTGTTGCCACAATCCCAAGCAGCTTCCCCTCAAACATTTCACGCTCAATCTTTCGTCTGTCTTGTGGGCTATAACCTCCTCGATAGCCCATCACAAAACGAGAGGCATCTGACCTGTCAAGAGTACGAAATTCTCTCTTGACTGCATTTAATAAATACTCACATTGCTTGCGAATACGGCAAAATGCAATGACTCGCACTCCTCGCAGGATTAGTTGGCAAAATATTCTAGCCGACTCTTCAATGCCGCTTGAGCGCCCAGAACTAGGATCGTTAGAGTCCTTAAATGGTACCTGCCAGCAAAGGTATTCTTTTCGTCCTGAGGGCGATCCATCAATGTCCGTTAACTTCACTTTATCCACCCCAAATATAGCTTTCATATGCTGTTCTGGGTTTGCCACAGTTGCAGAGCATGATACAAACTTGACATCAGAATTACCTATCGAAGCACATACCCTTCTCAAGCGGCGCATGATGAGAGCAACATGGGATCCAAATAGCCCATTGTAAACGTGAAGTTCGTCAACGACAACATATTTAAGGTTTTTTAAGAACACCCTCCACAACGATTCGTGAGGTAGAATGGTGAGATGTAATATATCAGGATTGGTAAAGATAATCCTTGCCTCGTCGCGAATTGCATTTCGATTTGCCATTGGTGTGTCGCCATCAAATGTTTCCACCATAATATGTTCCATGCCTTCCATATACGGTAACATGTCAAGCATACTGCGCCGCTGATCTTGTGCCAGCGCCTTCGTGGGAAAAATATACATCCCCCTGCTGTGAGGGTTTTTCTCGAGTTCATGAAGCATAGGTACTTGGTATATCAATGACTTCCCAGAACTGGTGGATGTAGAAACAATGACGTTGTGGCCCTCGTGGAGGTCATTGATGGCTTTGGCTTGGTGGGAATAAAATCGAGTAATCCCTCTAGTATTGTAAAGTGCATTGACCAAATTTTGCGAGAGGAGGAAATTTAAATCTCCATAGACTGGCTGCTGAGCATCGAAAGTGCGGTATCCGCCTGGTACTATCTGGTCAATATACCAGCTCTGTTCTTTGATTTCTGAGATGATTTCTGATATACTTCGTCTTTCTTTAGGTATCTGTGCTGGAAGTTTTGCTTCTGCGGATGAGTTGAGTTCACTATCAGGGACTGGGGGCATATATGCATCTTTTCCAGCCTCCAGATGTTGCACAGGGTCGACATCGTTATCCCGACAACTGGCGAGAAATGTATTAACAGCGGTGGAAAACTTCTTGTTTCTCTTCTCGATCAGTTCAACCATTTTTTTCTGACTGTATACCGGCGTTCTAATGTCTTCATAACCGCCCAAACCAAGGCCAGGCGGTGTCTCAGGCTTGAGGTCTCCATCTACAAATTCGAAAAGAAGCTCAGTGTCGGAAGGCCGGTTTCCCTCGTATTCGGTCTCTGCACCCATCCCCTCTACTTCCCAGTCGTTCCACACCTCATCTACCCTCTGTTGCCTAGCATCCTGGACTCCCATGACATCGATCACACCGGTGTCTGCGAGTTCAAATCTCACAGATTGTGGGATGAGGAACTTCACTTTGGCCACATCCTCGACGGTAAGCTCCCGACCGCCGTTTTGTGATTCAACCGAGCTCTTTATCTTCCCGAATTTTGTCGTGTAATGCTGACGAGTGCAGCAGAATGTATATACCAAGTTCAACGCTCGATGGACCCTACCCAGTGTTTTAAATTCGTCGGGCCATGGAAGTGTGGTTACTGATGAGGCCTTTGAGCGAGGTACACTGCTGGACCGTGAAGAAGCGGCCGACTGCTCTCTCTTCAGGGAAATATCTTCGCCAGAGTTATCATTGTCCTTTACAATAACTGTGGCCTCCGTCGCTTCATCTCGTTTCCTCTTCTTCTCGTAGCCCATAGCTGCCGAGCGGACCTTATATTCTCTCCCTGGGTCTCATGGGTTCAAACTGTTAAACCAGCGACATGGCCCTCAACTGCGTATTTAAATTCTACTTGTATGTTGTGAGTGTATCCATCCGTGCGGTTTCTGCTGTCTTTGAAGTCGCGATAAAAACGCGTGATCACGTGATTTAAAATGGACCACAGCACAAAACAAGTCGAAAAGCTTTCAACAAATGAAAATGCAGATAAAAATTTCATAATATCGTTGCCTCAACATCTTTATCGGATGAGATAAAGGAGCAAGAAAGCTTATACATGTCAAGAATAGATGTAGCCTTCTGATTTTATACTACAAGTTAAGCTATATAAATGCTCACGTGTAGTCACGTGACATCTACCTGCCTCTTACGTAAGTATCTTCATAATTAACGTCATACGTACAGCATCATGCACAAAGCATGACGGCTCGAGTTTTGGCCCGATCGAGTCGATAGCTTTTACTATTCTATAATTCAATTGAAACTCTTATACAATGACAAAATGTACGGATGGATACAACTTCGTATTACATAATACACGAGTATTCATTGGATCACCGTCTATTAAACTGATGGAGTTCTTGGCAGGGGAAGAGATTCTTTTTTGTGACATTGTCCAGTTGGTTGCCGTTAGGATATCCATGTTCGAGTTGAAGATGATGTAGAACTATGGAAAAATTAGGGACAATAAAGCAAGCGGGCAATAAGAGAGAATAGTCATTAATAGTTGATTTTTTTTATCCGTTTACTTTTTGCATTACGTAGAGAGTCTTTGCTACATGAGAAGACAAGGAAATAAAAGAGTATAGAACCAGCCATGCACTCTATGTCCTGTTTCTTGTTTTGTTAGTTGCCAGGTTACATTTGAGCTAGGATCTCCTGTGCAGTAGCATGGAGGTCCCTGGCGGCTTCGGGATTAGATGTCTAGATGTAGCGGAATTGTTAGTTTCTGGTTCAAATCAATGGGCCATCATGGATAGAGAACTTAGAGGGAAAGGGGGGGCAGTTATATACCCTGAGCAAAAGAGGCACTGTTCGTCCGTCTTCGAATCCAGAAATCTGTACATGCTTCCCTGTAGGTTCTTTGCCTTCTGGGTCTCCGACTTTCATCCCCTTGTACAGAGGGATGTTCAGTATGACTCGGTACACGCCATCGGTACGCATTATAAACCGAGCAGACCTCTTGGTCGACTTGGTGGCAGCACTACCGCCTTCTTCCTCATCACCCTCGGTCTCGGGTGTTTTCTTTACGTTGAGTTTGAACGTACCAACACCACGCTCTTTCCATTCACTACCAGTAAAGTGGAATAGCTTGCCTCTGACAGTAAAATGAGTCTCCTCGCCTTCTTCTCCAGTCTCGGCTGTTGGTTGAAAAGTGAAAAGTAAACAGATTAGCGCATAGCGTGGGTAATATGTGTGGAGGGGACGAGCTTACTATCTTGTTTGAAGAATCGCGAATCTTCCTTTTCTTCCTCTAGCCCCTGGAATACTTCTCCCTTTTCCTCATCCTCATCGCCTTCCCCTTCTTCATCTTCGTCCTCATTGTCGTCTTTTGAGCCGAATGCCTTGGGTTTAGAGGTGGTAGATCCGAAATTTGTTGGTTTAGGGGAGGCAAAGCTTGTCAGCCCTTCTCCAGGTTTAGGAGCTGCCGCGGCAAACCCACTTGCGAACGCACTCTTTGCAAATGCGCTTCCGCTGAAGGAAGAGGCAAATGGCGATGGCCCAGAAGCAGCCGCAAACGGGGACGCACCAGGTCTGCTAGAGCTTGTTTTGCTATCCGTATTATCTTTTACACTGGGTTTGCTCTTGAAGATAGAAGCACCACTCCCCATTGCGCCGAAAGGAGACGTTTCCGATCCCGCAAACGCGGCCAAGGAAGACGACGCAAAAGCAGAGGGGTTGGTGCTTTGTTCCTTGTGTGGCTGGTCGCTTGCTTTCGTGGGGTTTGCTTTGGTGGTCTTCAAAGATGCAAACGGAGACGTGGTTGAAACGTCGGAAAATGCGTTTGGCGGCGCAGCCTATAGAATGGAATGTAAGTATTTGTACCTTGCTCGATGGTCATGGCGTTTATGAAGGGTGCGGCATACGTTTGAAGCAGTAGTTATGTCCTTGGATGCCTCCACATGCCTATCCTGTGAGTTGTCACGATGGCGCTTCTTTTCCGGTTCACCTTTGTCCGATCGATTGTTAGGTGAGGCTCCTAAGCTTTCCAAACTAGCATTATCTTTCGACGGACCAACGGTAGAATCGTCATTGCCCTTTGCACCTTCTTCGTCTGGTTTTGGATTCAAATCCCTGTCGAATTGGTCTCTGCTTCGCTTCTTCTTTGGACTCTTTACCTTTTCCAACTCACTTGTAGGCGCCTGCGGCTGCATATCTCGTTCCGGAGTGTCTTCATTCTTGGAATCCCTGGAGCGCTTTCTTCGATGCCCGCTTTCGTCGTAGTGGCTCGGCTGTCCGTCATCATCCATCAAGTCGTCGAGAGACCGCTTCTTCTTCAGCCGTCCGCGCTCCGCTACGTTCGTATCGGCCTTATGCTCATCCGCCAGTTCACCATTCTTCGCGGCCATCTCGGAGGCTTTGAATTCTTGGTCTTGTTTCGTAGCGCCTGTGCCCGCAATGGAAGTTTCCTTTAGCTTCTGGCGGACAGGTCGTTCACCACCGCCGTCTTTATTGGTGTCAGAACACACTTTCTCGCAGGTGAATTCTGTAGATCGCCCGGGGAGGCCACTACGCAGAGCAGAACTCTTCGTACCTTCAGAGTAATCACCCGTATCAGGGTCAACGTCTTGTTTCGATCCAGGTTGTATCGCTTGTTCCGTAGTGTTGTCTGTTGAACGAATAGCCGTCAGTATCTATATTATTTAATTACCAGCAAGAAAGGACCACGCTATCGTAATTGCCCGGTAGCAAACTCCTTGTTACTGTGCAATCCGCTCCGGCTGCCAGTCCTTCGCCTGAGGCGTGGGTTCATCGGAAAGAAGGGGTAACAAACCATTCAGTGCACCATTCTCCCGCCGCAAGCTATCAGGCGATGCCATGTCAACTGCTGGACCTTGTTCCGCAGTTCTAGGTAATGTCTTGAAGCTGCTCCGTTCGGTCTGGCGTTGGTTATGCGGTTGAGATTGGGCTCGTTACTGAGCGGGGGAGGAAATCGAACAAGGAGCAAGATGGGGCTCCGAGTTCAGATTCTCGTGGCCAAGGAAGAGGAGGCAAAAAGAGAAGAGAAGATGTCTCTCAGCAGAATATGCGAGCCTCCAGCAGGTAGATAAGCAAAAAGGGGGCCGCCGATGATGGAGATGGCGAATTTTCTTTTTGGGCCAGCGAGGACGAAAAATGGCGAGGTTTTTTATCACGAAGAACTTGATGTTATTTTTGACCACACTAAGAAAAACCCCCTTTTTAATTATTGCTTTATTATTACTTGGACTGGCTACATCCATTCTATATAGATCGATCTTACGGTCATAATTATTTGTTTGTTTCATGCCTGTATATCGTTCTTCTGTGTTCACTCGATGAGGCATCGTTTTTGCTGCCGTGGCCGAGAGTTTTTTCATGGCTAGGGGAATCGTTCGCGCAGTTTATTGGAGACAACACATCGACCCTGAAAAAGGAGAAGAAAAAAGAAAGAAACCATCAAGAAGATAACAGACATTTTATATCGATTCGCCGTGAGCAGCTAGCCCCTTGCTGGCCCTTGGTGATGGCGATATAGCCTAAATGTTTGGCGCTGCAGCCAGAGAGAAGCCCAAGGCAGACACCGGAAGACCATCAGAGACGAATGAGCTATTGGATGTCTTGTTACAGATATAAAATAAGTACATTATGACATTATCTAGACCGATGTGCTATCCAGCGGCTATTCAACAGCTTCATCTCGATCATATATCAACAAGCAACGCCGCATACATGGGATAAAATATATATCTAGTCCTCCAACAGCCCCAGGGTCGCATCTGCAATCACTCTCCCATCTGAAGTTGCTGCAAAGCTCAAAATACCCCCCTTGGACCGGAAGTTCACTTCTATCGTGTAGTTGAAGCGGTGGTACGTCTGCCCATCCGAGGTGCTCCTCCGTGTCTGGAAGTCGTTGAATGTGGATGTGGAAAATGCTGGAGAAATCTCTCCAACTTTGACGACACGATGGTGGTCTTCTCTCTCCGGTGGCTCATCCATCGAGCAGGAGAACATGGTGATGTTCTCGTTCAGCGGTTGGCCGAGCTTGAACGTACTCTGGATGTCGGCTTTCATCTTGAAGTTTTCGTCCAGTCGTTTTCCCTGTAGTAGGCGAACAGTCGGTCAAAACGTCGAACAACTTCGTGGACTTTCCTTGGAGCTCCGTGTTTGCTTACCTTTCGGATAACCCACTCCATTCTTCCGCTGCACATCTTTTCGCCGGTGAGCGGATCGGTGTAGGCATTTGCTTCGGGATCGATTCCACTCCTGAACCGCTTTCCCCAGGACCAGCCATAGTGTGCTCGACTATGTGTGATGATAGGCTTTAGTCCTTCCAAACCACGAAGACAGGCGCCCTTGACAATGGCAGCTTGACTGTTCATCGTTAGCATATTGTTGTATAAAGCCAAGAATCTCTTGCTAAGGCCGAGGTGTCTTGCTTACCAGTCTGGCGGGCAGGTAACAGACCCAATATTCTTGCCTTTGCACCACTCTCCTAGCTTGGTGTTCAGGTAATCCGAGTCCCCGAATCCTCCAACCAGTATGAGCCGCTACATATTGTTAGCCATTACATTGTCCGAAAGGAAAGAAGCAGGTAAGTGGCAGCTCACGTCGATCCTCTTATTCTTCTTCTCGGCGGCCTTCACCTGTGATTTGACCAGAGATATAACTTCCTTCACCACCGGGTCGAATAGCCGCTGCATATCATACTTGGAAAGCTTCACCACCAGTTCGTCGTCATCATAGTGAACACTCGGTCCAATATCCATTCGGATAGGGCCAACTTCCACCCCTCGTTCATCGTTGGGGCCACCAAAGTTCCTTTTGGCGCTCTCGAAAGAATTCATAAACCTGCTCCCTGGCCCACGTAACCTCATTGGCACAGATGTATACTCCTCTCCAAAGGTGTCTTGCATCCACTGGTTGAAATTTCGATCGATATACGTTGATCCACATTTTCCTCCTAGAGTACAGGCAGACGTTTTAATTAGCTCCTAACAAAACAATATTCCAGCATAAACTGGAGAACACATACCTATACCCACGCAGAGCTCTTCAAACTCCAGCTTGGGCTCGGATTTTAGAACTATGTAAGTTGTGATATCAACTGTGCCACCTCCGCAGTCACATATCAAGATACCCTCGCCCGGCTAAGGCTGAAGTTAGCTAAATCCAAAGTATTACGAGCTGCCCATATACCGAAGGGGAACGTACCTGAACTGGATCAATGGCATCCGACCCCAGATGCGGCTTTATCGCGGAAAGTGCAGCTGCTTCAGGCTCCTTGATCATAAAGATTGAGTCATAAGGCCTTGATCCAAATCCAGCAGCCTCTGCAGCTTTTCTAGTGGCTAGCTGTGCTTGGTCGGACCAAATAGCTGGCATGGTTAAATATATCTCCATTGGGGTGACATTGAAAACTCCCGGGCCCATCTTCTTCTCCAACTGATGAATAAGGTATATGTACAGCTCTCTAAAGTAGTCCTCGATCACGCACTGTGCACTTTTTCCCTTTGGGAGACTCATCAGGCCAGCCCCGAACAGGTCCTTCAATGAAGGGTCGTCATACCCGGTGAGCTGTGCGCTTTTATCCAGCAACAGCTTCGTCCAGGAATAACACATCAAGTTAGGAGAAACCTGGAACCCCCATTGATCTGTGGGTATCTTGTTTTTATTCTCAGATGCATAGGCTATTCTCGACGGGACCTTCCATGTCGAATCCCGGTGACCAGGCCAGGTGTTGATGACATTGATATCTTCCAGTCTTGTCTTCGTCGACTCCGCCCAACTGACGCCTATGTCATTTATGTCAGATATTTCGTGAGTCAGCGCATTCTTCCTGGAGCGCTCAAACCTGAGAATGTTGTTCCGTAGTCTACTCCCACAATGATCTTGTGGCGAGAGCCTGTGTCTAGGCCATCACTGTCTTTCATTGGGCCTGATATTTCTCACTATGAAGCCTGCAGAGACAGAAGTGTCGGATGAATATACACCCCGAAGTCTGCCAGATATTGCACCCGTCTTCGGTAGGATTATTTGTTTGATGTTTGTCAGACTTGTTTTCTCTGCTCCTTAGGAAAAACAAGGGGTTTAAAACCACCATTGACCGTTCTTGGGTCTAAAATAAACTTAATGCAGCTTTCAATCTACTTTTGGATGCCTGGCTTTTTACCCTCCGAGCCTTGCCAGACAGGGCACACCTGATGGGGGCTATGATGACGGGCTGAGGCGCCTTGCATAATGCAGCTGCTTTGCGAACTGACTTCGTTAAATCCCCGCCAATCACAACAGCCACCAAAGCGAAGCGATACGGAAACACTGCCATATGAAAAAAGAACTAGCAAGCCATGGTCAAATAACGGCGCAGTTTAAAATTATTTCTTAGTGTTATGACGCTCTGCTCTTAATCAGACTTGATGCAGCCGAATTGCGGGGAGAGGAAACGGCATAGCCATATCTACACCCCCAGCCTCGTGCAAAGTATTTAATATATCACGTCATAAAAGCAAACAGTCTCTGCATGAGACAGCATTATCGTCTCTAAGTTTTGTTGGCCGGATGGCTTGTGGCGGGGAAAAGGTGAACTAACCGTCTATTAATACTAGCTATCACAATTTTCCCCCATCCCCATTGCGCTGTCCTCTCTTCCCAAGGATATATCTTCTTTTTTTGATGTTTTACTGGTACGGTGATGGGTAAGTCCTAACGACCACACCCTAGATACTTAAGATATCAAATTTCAGTTACTTATGAGTTTGAACTAAGGCGTGGATACCCTCCAAGTTATCTAGAGGTTGATTTTGCCCTTTATTCTGTTCTTTTCCATTCAATGATACTCCCTGCCGGTGTTGTTTCTGGATATTTGGAGAACTAACATTTGCATAGGGAAAGGCTGCAAGGTTATCAAAAGATTCAAGCATGAGTGAATTACAAACAGGCCGGCCAGGTTCGTCTGCAGGAAGACTCAATGATCCAACGATTGTTGAAATAAAACCACGTCAGCATGATAATGGCAAACCCCAGCCTGAACCTGAATGTGCTCCAAAACTTCCCCCAAAAGGCGATGACCAGCCGCAAAATGGGGAACCCCCAGATGCAGACAATAGGCATGGAAATGTTTCTATAGAAAGGGCACCAGCTCGCGGGGTGCCAGATAGACACCCGTATGATCAGGGAATCAGAGTAACCCACGTTTGCTGTGAACCAGAGCCTCCTTCGATGAGCAGCGCGTGGTTCTCGTCTCGCCGCTCCAACAGGTCCCGTGAACAGGCAATGGAGCAAGAAATCCACCAGCTACGATCAGAGGTTGGGCGCCAGCGACAGGTCATTACCGAACTGCAGGAAGGCAATGCATTCACAAAGGACGAAAATTTCCAGCTCCGTGGGAAAATCCGAGAACTCAATGGCTTGATCCGTCGAACACAAGAGAGAGCATTCGGAGAAATCAGCCAGGGAAAATGGGCCTCACAGCCTGACCGAGATATTCGTGATGACTTGTCATTATTTCAACGTGAACTGAGGGACTGGAGCAAGGAGTATGCTCTAGATTCCATATCCACACTACAGGCGTTGAAAATGAGTGAGGAAGAGAAGGAAGAGTTCCTGTGCAACTTAAGCAAGGTTGTTACGCTCAGCGATAGTGGAAGTATCCCGGCGACGCTGCGTTCAGGGAAAATGGAACGCAAATTACCATCGATTCTGCTAAACGCTCTGGTAGCCCATGATGTTTATACTCAGGTCTTTGATGATCCTTTCTATTTTCTTGGACAGAGCAATGGCTCGGATGATCAGGACTGCTCGGTCGATGGAACACCCCTCGTGAACGAGACTCTAAATAAGGTCTATGCCGAGCTCATGAATCGTATGAATCCCCTTTCTCATTAAACAGTAAAATGCCACATTGAGTAGCATCTCGCTAACATTCAGTCTCGTTAGTGGATGAGCGAGAAGCTCATATCTGGAGATCACAGCTGGTTCGGATATACAATCCGCCAGAGGGAGGAATTCTCACCGAGAAAGATAAATTAGCTACCAAAAAGATGCATTTCCGGGTTGAACGCTGTAGCGATTATTTTGCAACCATCTTCCACACCGGACCGGCAAGACATCTCTTTCGGAAACTCCCTAGTGACAGGGAAACGGTTCGCCTCGATAAACTCCGGGACATCTTCATGGACGCTGGCGAGTTATCATCCAGACTTTGGACTCAACGGTCGTACATGAAGAGCCAGAATCTCCCGTCGTTAAAGTTGGAACCGTTTAAGGTCTCTTCTCCATCCATGGAAGCCCATCCCTCCCAGGGGCTAGATGATGACGAAGATAGCAAACTAGATGGCTCGCGGGTAGAGGTAGTCGTCCACCCTGCCATCCTCGCCTTTGGGAATGACGACTGTGAGAACTACCATATCGCCCGTGTCTGGGCAAAGGCTGTGGTTTTGCTGAGGGGGTCAAGATGATAAGATCCTCCCGTGTATTCCTGTAATATGAGCTTACTTTAGCTTTGCATTTCTTCAACTCGTATTATCCAGGTTCGTTCCTATCGCAAAGTATATTAGCTAGTTAGTTATAGGCCAGCCACCTCCCCTAGCTCAGCCTACGCTTCGATATATCAAGCATCCACTAATAGTAAAGAACCTTTCGGGACTCCCGCTTGAACATTCCGTTTCTTCTTCTTCAGCTCTCTCTCAAACTTGACCTGCAGCAACCCCAGCCTAATCTCGAAACCAAGGGCGAAAAGGACTGTGGCACCAACGAGGAATATACCTATAACTTATCTTGCGAAACGCTATGAAGTAGGCGAAGTCGCCCCCCTCACGCCCTCTCGCTTGGTCTCGCTTGACATCAGCCGAATCAGCATCATGTGGGTGTGTTCAGGCTTGCTTGATATTGAGGAAATAAACATGGTAATCGATATCTGGTCATTCATAGCCTCGCGAGGGGAAGAACTCTCATCATAGCCTCGCTGCAGCCAAGGCAGACCGTTTGCCCTGTTCGTATGACGCATGGACAACCGGTTAGCTTGCTATGGAGGGCTAATAATGGCTGTTATATAGAGGATTGAGGGGGTTTCCTTTCTCCCAAGTTAACTAGATGTCTTTGGTTGAACAATTGAATTGATTGACCAATATAAGTCTCACCCCCTTTGCTCGAATATCTTTCCCCTGTCCACATATTGCTATAGCCAGTATACATGTCCATACCGCCAGCAATGAAGGAGCGCCAGAAGGTCTTTATCGCAGTTATGGGGGTGACTGGCTCAGGGAAGAGTACTTTTATACACACTGCCACCGAGTCTGAGGATGTTCATATTGGCCATACATTCAAATCTTGTGAGTCCCTCCTCGCTCAGAGGTTTCTACTAATGCAAGGACCTGCTTAATATCAATTGCTAACATGAGTATGACAAATTATATCCAGGCACTGCGGCAGTCTCAGCTCATACATTCCCTATGGATAAATATGATGTCACCTTGATTGATACCCCTGGATTCAACGATACATTTCGCAGCGAGACAGAGGTGCTAAAGGAGATTGCAAACTGGCTTGATTACACCTACCGTAACCCTCCTCATGTTATGCTCACGGGGATAATATACATGCAGTCAATCACAGATCGTCGGATGTATGGCTCTACTCTTCGAAATCTGAAGATGTTCCGGCAACTGTGTGGTGATAATCCCCTACAGAACGTGGTGTTCACCACTACCGGCTGGGGCACTGCTGAAAAGTCTGGAGAGCTCGCCAAAGCGATTGAAAACCAAGAATCTCTTCGCACCGATCCTGACTTCTGGGAACCCATGATTAGAAGGGGGTCGATTATGGCGAAGTTCGAGGACACCCGCGCTTCTGCCTTGGCCATCATCATGAGCTTAGTTGAGCGGAATCCCATCCTCCTCAAGATCCAGGAGGAATTGGTGGATGAAAACAAGAATCTCATCGACACTGCTGCCGGGCATACAGTCAATGAAGAAATGAAGAGATTGGAAGAGAAATACACCAAGGACATCGCCAAAGTTCAAAAGGAGATGGAAGAGGCGCTTGCTGCCCGTGATACTGAATATCACGCAGCCCTCCAGGAGGCCAAAGAGAACTATGAACGGCTTCGCGACGAAGCTCAACGGGCCAGAGATTCTTTGCAGTATGAGCGTCGAAATGAGAAACGTCGCCTTACAAACGAGATCGAGGGTATGAAACGACAGCTTGAGCGAGACAAGAAGAAACACGAGGAGTACCTAGAACTCAAGTTCAAAGCCCAGCAGGTTGACGAAGACATGAAATATGAAGAAATCGTCAAACGGCTCCGTGCAAACGGTCACCTTCTCCGCAATGAAGAACGGCAGGTCTTGGAAATGAAGATTCAGGAGCTAGAGGCAAACGCAAATGCGCCAAATCTTCAAACTGGCAAAAAGAAAAAAGGTACGGGAACGAAACTCTTAGTCGGATTAGCACAGGTCTTGGGAAGCGTCACTATGGGTTTGCTAGGATTCCCTATGCTATTCGGAGATCCCATAGGGACCATTGCTTCAATTTTTTAAATGTCGCTTTTTGTCTCTTTTGCTTTCTGTAACTATATCATATTCTGACTGGTACAAGGTAATTTCTTAGGAACAAAAACAAAATACTAAAGTTGCATCTGATGCCGAATGGGCTCTGGTTATAATCTCATATTACTTCCCATATGCAGTATACTTCTCGGGGGTTGTCTATATAGCGGAGAACATGCAAAACAAAAAATAATAATGGCATCACTTTTCATACTATATGTCGCAATGATATATTTACAGAATGGAGATATATTTGCAAGGAGAGTTTCTAAAACGGTTAAAATTATGGGTATTAAGTGTGTGCCCAAAAGACATATTTGAGAAGGTCATCTTTGAAGAAGGAAAAGGAAAAGGGAGAGGACCAGCCTGAGCGAGGGATTCAAACTGAGAAGACAGCTGATTAAGGGCTAACCCTAAACTCCTGAATCATCCTGGAAGTGACCGCTTGGATTCCAGTAGTTGCTCTTATCTGAATGCCATGCATCCCATCGTCGGCAATTCTCTTGCATAAAGTCAAAGTCGGGATTGTTTAAGGTCAGTGTCTTCAAGTCCTCCTTGCGCTCGAGTACTTGCAACGCTAAACCAGCAGACACATGCCAGGCAATATGGCAATGCAGCAGCCACGAACCTGGATTGTCTGGTTTAAAGGCAATCACAATGAACCCGCCAGCAGGTAGCAACGCGACGTCTCGACGCGGTGGGTTATCAAGTTTAAGATTGACATTGGTGGGGTCCCACGGTTCCATAGATTGTTGCAGTAAAACGAAATCATGGCCATGTAAATGTATCTATATCTTTAATGTTAGCCATATAACCGTTAGTTAGGTAGAATCATAGCATTACCGGATGCGCAACAGCAATTTGGGTGCTAAGCGCCTTTAGTTTCTTCCCTGTGATGACAAGGTAAACCCACTTATTTTTGGCATATTCGTCCGCCGGATATACAACCCACGTTGAAGGATATTCCGTCTTGTCAAGATTATTAATAATGGGCTCAGAGTAGTTAATCCACATGGGAGATGGTCCGAATTCCCAGTTAGAGACGAGGCTATCTGTCTCAACATATCCTGGCCTCTTCCACTGGCCAAGTTGCACATCTGCCGATTTCTCGAAGGCACCGGCCATGTTGAGACCGGGGTCGGGGACGGTCCACTTAACCTTAGGTTTCAACTTATCCAGAGGCTCATCTCGGCAGTCCAAAGAGAAGGCTCCTCGCTCAGTCTGTGGGGAGATGCCATCATCCTTATTGTAGTAGATAACCCCTGTCTTGTCATCAGTGCCTTTACCCTCAGCAAATTTTGAGCACCCTTTCGCAGGGGTTGTCCTCAACCAATACTTGTCGTTCTTCTTAACCTCTTCTTTGGAAAGCCCTTCAAGAATAATATGGTAACGCTGGCCTGTAATAAGTTCGTTTAGCTTCCGTTCAATATTATATAGTATGTGTATATATGAAAGAAAAGGGAACATCGCCTACCAATTCCAACGGCAATATGATCAGTCTCGTAGGGTTCTATTGGAACAAAGTCCGACCCAACAACTTGGAATCTGTGGCCATCCACAGAAAATACAAATGTCGTAGCAACGGAGGTATTAATCAATCTGACAAGATATTTTTTACCCTTCATCAAATGTTAGCGTATTCTGCGAGAGTAGTATTGAGAACAGAAGTACAAACAGGCTTAATAACGGTACGATATTTCTTCTTCAAGTCACCAGTTTGGTCGTAATCCCCTATTTAATCATCAGCAATGACTGGATTTCATACTCGAGCCTTAATATTGTCTTTAGGAAATCTCACCCTTTCCATTCAAAATAATGCTGTCCATGGCGGGTGGATGTCCATCCAATTCCTGGTAGAATCGCTCGAATGCGCTAACGTGGAGGTGGTCTGTTATCAGTAGTGGATCAACGGTCTCATCATAGCTTGCTGATGACGGCCCATGGATTGTCATTGGACCGAATAGCCCATCTGCATATTGAAGAGAGTAATGGCTGTGATACCAGCTGGATCCGTACTGGCTAGCCTTGAACCTGTAAGTCATCGAGGAACCTGGAGGAATAGGGCATTGAGTGACGCCCGGAACACCGTCATTAAACATATTTTCCATCATCCGGATTCCATGCCAGTGAACGGCGGTTCCATTATGCTTCAACTTGTTGGTGACAGTAATTTCTAATGCCAATTATTAGAATATTGATTCTCCCAGGCAGACCGATGTTTAACACTAAATTGTTCTCACCAAGGTCATCCCCCCAGCATGCCTCTAAACCCAGTTGGTTAGTTTGATATATCCGCAGCATCTCAATCTATCATAAAACAACTTACGAATCCACGGCCCAGGATATTGCTTATTGAAGATTTTGGCCTTGTCAAATACCGTCCCGTCCATATTCACCGATTCGTCTGTTACTTCTAGGTGGTACTGCATCATAGAACTTTAGTCTCTTTCCAAATTTCTTCAGAGGAACTCTCCCAACTTACCCTTCGAGTAATTCCTTGTGGAATATATTTGTCGTTGTCGGTGTCGATGTTATATTCCGTAATTTCCCCCGGATTTGAACCAACATACTTTAGCCAGTCCCCGTTCTTCTTGTTCGAGTAAATCCAGCCTCTCATCGAAGGGTATTCGCAGCGGATGAGACGGGTATTGAAGTCGTTACTAGGAAGTGGATCAAACATTGGATAATCTACCCTAGGAACGTTCCTCGAAGGGGCGCCATGAGGCCCGTTCCATGCCAGCGCACTTCCGATATAAAAGGCAACCAAACCAAGCTGCTTCAAGGAGAGAAGCGTTAGCGAACTTAATGGTGCCATCATGTCACACACTATGGAAAAATGAAGGCAGTCGCCTGGAATACTGTTCCACTAACGGGCAACAGTACCAAAGGAAATGTGAGAGGGAGGTTCCCATTATTTATCAATTTCATAGCTAGGGCCCTCGAGGTGGAAGGTATAAAAAACTTCCACGTTACTGCGGATCCTATCATCGATCAAGGCTGTCCCCCTTGACGCCCAGGTCAAGCGTCAAGCAGGTCTCAAGGCTAATGGACGCCCGCGAAGCCATGCAGATCCCATCGGGCAGCCACGTTTCCCCTATCCACTGATCTAGACTTGAAAATAAAAAGAGAGAAAATAAAAGGTACTCTGTACTTGTGCTCGAGATGAGCAAAAGGAATATCGGACCGAACAGGAGGTGGGCAGAAGAGTGGATCTTCATGCATAAGACAGAGAATACGACTCTAAAGAAAGAAGCTGACCCAGCCCTCAAGGCGGCAAAGTTGAGTGAATCCCAACGTGTTTCTTAGAGAAGAAACATGCTGAAACCAAATCTCAAAAAACAAGGTGGAGCGAGGATGGAAGCTAGCAAATCTAGCAAACGACTTGAGCTTGCAAAAGCGATCCTTAGACTGCACAGATATGGAGAAAAGTTAGCTTTCGGATGAGCCCTGCGTACCTAAACAGGTATACATAGTAGAAGGCTACCAGTTGGCTTCTATTTTTTCATCGACTCTGGCAGCCATCCAAGGGAGAAGAACGCCATGACAAAATACGAGCGGACATAAAATAATGATAATCCTTCGAGATGTGTATGTATAGTCTACTAGAGGCTATAGACTAGCAGTTTTTGTTTCAACTGACTGGTTATGTCAATTCCTTGCCAGTTGCTGCCAATAAATATAGGCTCAGCGTCCCTACTTTGTAACAAACAGTCAGCTGCTAATAATGGTGTACCAGCTGGTGGATGGAAATATTGACAATGGAGCGGAGGTTAAAAGTACCGAACTGTGATCTTTACGGGGTGCTCGGTTCCGTAGAGCCCTTGTTCCTCACTGTTGCTCCTCATATCATGCATATCGAACGGAGTAACACCTGAGTATCTCGGTTTAAGCGACGTTTCTCCCTTGGCTTGATAACCCTCCGGCTTGGTTTCATTTTTTTACTTCTTCTTTTGGCTGAAGTTGCGAAGTTGAGGTTTAAGAAGCTTGCTTAGTCATGTAATCCGCTTCCTCAAAAAGCAAAACAGGAAGAAAACAAGAAGAAACAAACTAACAACAAACCTCAAGCCATGTTTTTTTTTAAACAGCTAGCATGCTGGTTTCATTTTTCATTCTACTACTATGTTGGTGGGAGCTTGCCGCTAGGGCTCCGAGGCAGCCCTGTCTCAGGTGGAAACCTACACGCACCTCCTTCAGGCTTTGCGACTATAGGCTGACACGCTTCTTACCAACGATTTACATATAGTCGGTACATTGTATATGCAGAGAGACAAAGCAAAAGCAAAAGTGATGTTATCATATTCTGGAAGCTGTGCAGAGGTGTAGAGATACATTTCGAAATAGATCAGGTCTGACTGCTGATTAGTTAGGCTTCGTCCCCGGAGTATGAATTACATCTGATGGATCTCTGCAGAAGCGCACTGGCAGTTGACCTGCCGTCATTGTCATACCGCTAGCTTGTTACCGCTGATCTCTTACGCCACATGGGAAATCAATTTATTTGCCTTGAACGGACTTTTCGCTGCGTCTCGCGTGTCCGCTCTAGGCAGCAGTGTGGGAAGGGTGGAGAAACATGCATACTATGTATACATCTTGCTGCAGTATGATATAAATAGGTATTTGCTGATGAGCTTATATCCAACGAGAAAATTGACGAGAGTTAAGGTGATCACTACATGCAAGAAACGCTTTCTCTGGCCATGATGTCTCTATAAATAATAGCTGGAACTTTCCCGAGAATTTTATATGTTGATACTTCCTGCTCCGCATGACGGGAGTGGCAATGGACTCCGATAAGATGCTACCCTGTACAACTAGAAAATGCCAATGGGCATCACAGATCTGTATCTGTGAACTAGTGTGTCAGTGAGTACTATAATCTCATAAATGACTTGCTGAGGAAAATACTTTCATTAAACGAGGACGAGGTATATGACGTATAGTACAGCTTCAAGCAATCGAAAAGGCGGAGAATGAGCCAAAAAATGAAACGAAATGCAGACGGCGAATGGGGCCTCGAGTCATGATATCTGTGTAGCTGGAACAGAAGCCGAGATCCAGATCCCTTCTATATAATACTGCTTCAGCAAAGTTCCGAAGTTGTAGCTGGTGCATATAAGACCTTACCTACTTCAGGCATCCTTAACTGATGAAGCATAAACACCCGATCCCCATGTAAAAAACTAATAACGGATAGACGGCAAGAACCACCCGGTTTTTGACCACGCCGGAACCGCCCAAAATGCTTACCCCGGCAGCCAGGGACCATGCCACCAGGACGAGATAGACAGGAATGCGAGCTATAGTAGGAATATTAAGGGCACTCAGTAGCGCAGCAATAACCAGCGGGAAGAGCGTATAGCCGATGAGACAGACGGATTGAAAAAAAGAACTGTGACTCATAGTTAGGAGAGGGTGCCAGCCAGAACAGACATGCATGTGCAAACAAAGAACTTACATATTTCCTCCAAGCAGCTTGATCTGCAGAGTGACAACGGCCTCGCCAATCCACACTATGCAAAACACACCCGAGAAGACGAGACTGGACTGATCACCCTTGCCCATTGCAAGAAACATACTCAATAAAAGGCAGAATATTAAGGGCCCCCTAATGGTCACTTGATGTTAGTTTGAAGGCAGAGGATCCGATGTTGGGTGCCTAGAACATACCATAGATCCCAGTTTCTAAGTCCCTCGCTCATCCCGCCCTGCAATACAACATCTGCATCTGGCAACCTGCCTACGAGTCCGCGGAGAGCACCAAGGCTCTCGCTACCAAACCCAGTAGCCTCGCCTCGCTCCGCGGAGCCTCCGCTGCCTCCGCCTCCGCGCATCATCATACCACCGAGTAGATATTGTGGCCAGAGGACCTGTCTCATTTTCTCCCACACTGCCAAAAGATCCCGAGAGAGTGTATCCCAGACAGACTCGTCAATTGTATTCTGAGGTGCGCGGCGGTCTTCTCCGGGTATGGATGAGGTAAGGTATGAGCTTGATACAGGGTTTCTTGAAGCTCCTCCGGAAGCCGAGGATGAAATGTTTCCAGTCAATGGTGTACGGTCTGTTGTCGAACCGAGCGGATCGTCAGCCTCGATAGCTATGAAAGCAGTTGTTAGCTGATTTGTCCTGTTGTATCAAGCTTAGGGCCACTACCATCGTCAACCAACTCATGATCCAAGACCGATTCCTCGTCATGTTCTATGATAAACGGACTATCTGTCCTATGTCCTCCACTGCCGCTGGCCATCTCTGATATACAGGGGGAATTAGGATGGACGTCAAAATAATCGGATAGCAATCATATATCGTAGTATCGATGGATTGTCGTAGTTATAATAATGCTCTGGAAATCGGTCAAGCTGTTGACGTGGCTCTTAGGCAGCTTCGTTTTTGCTATCACTTCTCAGCAACTCTGGCACAGAAGCTGTAGAAGACCTGCTGCGTGTAAAATTCTTCCGCGAGGTCTATGGTCTTGGTCAACAAAACGTAGAATCCACAGCTTATTGTTGCCTTGTGCTCTTAGCTTGCGGCCGGTTTTGTTCTATTTCCAACTTGCGACTTTCGTTCCTGAGCAACATATATGGTCACGTGATAGTTCTTCTCCTCGAAGTTTTGAAGTTGTAGTAGAATTGATGATATTGATATTGGAAGATATGACGATATATCAAGGATAGCTACGGTGCAAATGGCTCGAGGTGGTTGAGAGAGTTGGTTAATTTTGAGATATGAGGGTCTTTTGGTAAAAGAGAAAAAGAACATGATGGTTAATTCTCAAAGGAAGATATGAAGAGACGACGAAGCAAGCAATTAGTAGCAACTAGGTGAGAAGTTCGATATCCAATTAGCCCTCTCGTTTCAACTAGCAATGGCAGCAGAATGCAAGACATCTAGAAAACATTCATTGCCAGAAAAAAAATGGAATTTAAGAAGCAAAACCACACTCCATGTAGGCCCCCATATGCCCTCATCCCAGTCACTCCCACACTATCAGCGCCAGCACCTTTAACCTGTTATTACCGATGAAAACCCGATGAAAGTATCGTATGCAAGTGCCGCTAGAGTTCCAAATACCATATGTATCCCGTGATGCGCGTGCGGGTACAGAGAAGCAAAACAAATAGGAAATTCGTGAATCGATCCGGGCCATCCAATCATTATATGGTTGCAAGAGCGTCATCATGTAGCGTTTACAACGACGAGAGAGTCAATGATATTATCAAATAGAAGCTGGATTTCCATCTTCCAACGTTGACCCTGCCAGAGATCCTTCGTCCAGAACTTCCAGCCGCATCTCCAAGCTCCGCTGGTAACATCAAACTGTAAATTCCGGTTATATACCCGTGCCATACTACCAAGCGTGGCCCCAGTGGGCTTATGCTGATCACCGGCTCCTTCAACTCCAGGTACAGGCGAACCCCCAATGCCATCCTCCATGCCCTGACGAATCCGCCATTCCCGCTGTGCTTTTTCTCCTGCACGCTGAGCCACCGCTTCCTCATCCTCTGTTTGGTAGAGGTCGCATTTGTTGCATTCCGTGCAGGCGGAACCCGGGTTTATTCGGAAATGCTCACAAAAGTGCTTGTATCCTTCCGCCTCCTCGCCATTATCGTCATTGTCTGGCTCTTCACCCACTGCACCATCCATGAGCCGGATATCACCGTTATTGCTGCCCCTTTGGCGCTGCCGGCTCTTCGGTCCGAGTGCTTTACGGCATATATAACACATGGAATAGCCGCACACGCAGGTCAACTTATTACACCCAGAAGATTTAACGAAGGACAGCCCACAGCATGGGCAAGTACGTTTAATCGCCGCCGTGCGCGCTGCTTCCACAGTTGTCCTCAGAGACTGGAGCAATGGTTCATGACACGTATGAGGGTCAGTCCATGGCTTATGGCAGCGCATACAGCTCGCTCGAGAACACGATGGGTTCCCGCATTTAAAGCGTGGCGTTCGTCTCATGAGACAAATGTTCTGCAACGACCTGCGAAAAGTGGTTCTCAACACAGAAGGAGAAATGCAGAGGAGGAGAACCAGAGGAATCAGGAGGAATTGAACGATGTCCAGAAGCAGGATGAAGACTATGATACTTGTGGCCAAGCTGGCTTTGCGAAACCGCCAAACAATCCCCTTTACCGAGGGATGAAAAACAGGATCAACCTCGGCGTACGCGCAGAAAGGGCAGTGAATTAGCTTCAAGTTTGATTTAGTGAGTGATTCAGAGGCAAGCCGGGTCTCGAATTTCCTATATGTTTCCAGTCCGGATTTCTCCTTTAGGATTGCCCTCTTGACAAGTGCGGCATCCAACGTTCCCTGACACGTCCCGTTCGCCATAGGAGCTATACACGATAGTGTCGACCTCTCAGGATTGATGGATTTATCCCATCCTTGTCCGAAGAGAGCTTCTTGAAGGGTCCGCTGAATGCAGTTGAAGCAGATAATATGGCATGCCTCAGAGCAGGTTGATATATGTTCAAATGTAACGTCCGAGAGGCAGCAATCACATTCGTAAAGCGCATTCATAACTTGTGCTTCTGCTTCATTCAACTCTTCTGCTCTTTTCAGATCCTCGTCTATCTGCAACTCTCTTCTTCGATTTAACAACGGAAGTATAAACGTAGACCAGATCTCTTCATCCAGCTCTGCACAGCCCGTCCCTCTCAGAACAGGCTCAAGTTCGTCAGTAAGACGTCTCTGCCAAACCAGAAATGGGGGTGGGTCATCTTTATGGGGTGCTTTCTTCTTCTTGAATGAAAACATATTCCCCAGAGTAGCGCGCCATGTTTTCTGAGATAGGCCTAGAAGCGTCGGCCGGGCACGAGTGTACGAGAAATTCCCTTCGGCGAGGACAGCATTGATGGTACTCCTGCTCAGAGACCGAAATTCAGAGGCCAGCGCAGACCTGACAGCATCTTTATATTCATGACTCCGGAAAAGCTCCTCTCTAGGTACCAGCTCATCTTCTCTCTCGTAATCATATTCGGTCGTAGCAGGGGAACCAGCCCCCTCAGGAGCAGCGTCGACATTCCACCGACCTTTGACCCATTCAGATCGGTATCTCAGAAGCTGTTCGACACTAACTTCCAGCCTGCTTTTGCCATCAAACCGGGTCAGAAGCTCTCTGAAAACCTCCGGATGGACATCGGGGAATAACCCTGCCAGCACATTCAATGCATGGTTGAGTTCTCGTAGTTCGCGATGTTTCTCGTCTTCCGTATCGTTCGTAACCCGTATATCTGTTGTCGAGGCGGTGGCACAGTCAGACCGTGGACCTGCCGCAAACGGGTTACTGCGTAGTGCTTCGGTGAGAGTGGACGAGGCGGAGGAGGACAGCTGGACAGAAGTGGAAGAGCCGGCTGCCTTGATAGATTTTGAGGACGACGACGCTGTCGTAGAAGTGGCTGAAGGAGATAGTGATGCTCGTTTATTGCTGCGAGTTGTCTTGTTGCTCAGTAGAGAGAGGACCATGATAGGCGATCTGCTGCCTCATCCTCGGGGTAGAGAGCATCAAGATATCGAAGACGACTCACAGAATGACAGGTTAACATGAAGAAGGCTGCGGAAGTGACAAGCTGGTATGTTTAAATGGACTGTGAGTTGGCTTCCATGTGGTTGGTTTGTCTTCGGGAACCCTGGATCAACCCCGGCCTCGATGGATCCAGGCTTTCTCCCACCAATACCTTTCACTCCCAACTGGTTAATACGACGATGATGACCCCGACCATGGACAGATATCTTACAGTGGTGACCAAGAGGACGAATAAGATTGAACATATATCTCTCCTAGATTTCAAAAACATGGCATAATATAAAATACATTTAGCCACGGTTGTCATTCGCGCGACTGTCTGGTAGACAAATAATACCTTCGTGAAACAAAAGGAAAATCCATACCAAAGAAAAGGAATAATAAAGAAAAAAGTACAAGAGAAAAAAAGGCTTTTGAAGATGCATTTACAATTTGCCTTTTCCGTTAGAGACCAGCTCGACGCCAGCTCCAGCAATAGCTGGCTTGCCAGTCTCGACGACGGTGGTCTGGAAGACGACGACATTGCCTTCCTTCCACATCTCCGTCCTGAGGGTCTGGCCAGGCAAGACGACACCGGCAAAGCGGACCTTGATGTTCTTGAAGGCACCGAACTTCTCATAGATGTGTTTACCGGAGATACCCAAGGAGCAGAGGCCATGGAGGATAGGAGTCTTGAAGCCACCCATCTTGCTGAACTCAGGATCAAGGTGGAGAGGGTTGCGGTCGCCGTTGAGACGGTAAAGAGCAGCTTGGTCTTCGCCCGTCTTCTCTTCGACCACAGCGTCGGCCTTGCGTTGTGGGGGTTTGTAGGCGGCTGTTGCGGCAGCTGGGCGGGAGGCCGTGGATTTGCTTGAGCCGCCGAATCCACCGCTTCCACGGATGAACATGGTAGACTCGTTGTAGAAGAGGTCTTCACCGGTCTTCGCGTTCTTGGTTGTGTATCCCATAACGACGATAGCGGCGTTACCCTTGTCGATAACATCGATCAGCTTTGGGTAGGTGAGGGTCTTCGCCTCGGTAGGAATTGGGTATTTCCTGATTTCGAGGTATTGTTCGCCGTGAAGAAGCATCATAGGCGAGAAGTTTGCAACAATGTCGTTCATGCTCCATGGGACGGCAGTGTTGAACCAAGGGATAACACCGTAGGTAGGCAGAGCCTGGAACTCGTCGTGATTCTCATACACGAGTGGTAACTGGGTCCTCTTAGCTCCGAGACTGAGACTGTAAAGGATGATATCCTTATCAGCGTAGTCAAAGGGGGTACCTTCAGCCTTCATCTCCTTGGCCTTGGAGATGTTGCTCAAGATGCCCTGGTCGCCACCCTTTGGCGCCTCGTCCTTCTTGGTCTCTCCGACCTTGTTGTTGATGTTGGCCATGATGCTCTCAGTACCAGCAAGGGTATCATCAGGGTGGTCAGCGCGGCCGTCATCGAAATCAACGATCTTAGGCCAGGCCTTGGCAACATCCTCGACAGTGAGTTCGATGTCAACGGGGAAGCCATGGCCTCCAGAACGTTGCCACCTGGTCTTGCCGGTCCATCCACTGCCACACTCATAGAGGCCCTTGGTAGCAGGCTCAGGGAGGAGTTCAGAGCAGAGAAGGATGACGAGTGGTGCAACTTGGTTGGGGTTCAAGGCCTGGACGAGTTCTTCTGGCATAATGGTTCTGGTCATGTCCGTACCGGCATTAGGAGCAATAGTGTTGACGCGGATGTTGTACTTGGCGCCTTCGAGGGCAAGCGTACGGGAAAGACCAAGGATACCAAGTTTCTACATTATGTTCAGTATCCGTTCCGTAGATTATAGTGCACGACGGGGTTTTATAACACTTACAGCAGATGCATAGTTGGCTTGGCCAAAGTTTCCATATATACCGCTAGTAGAGGTAGTGTTGACAACACGGCCAAACTTCTGCTTCAAGAAATAGGGCCATGCAGCCTTGGTGACGCTGTAGGTACCTCTAAGGTGAACGTTCACGACCGAAGTCCAGAGCTTTTCATCCATGTTAGTGAAAGCCTTGTCACGAAGGTTACCTGCGTTGTTGATAACGATATCAATGCGGCCAAAGTTGTCAATAGCAGTCTTTACAATAGTTGGACCGTCTTCGCAAGAGGCCTTGGATCCAACAGCCTTTCCTCCAGCCTTTCGGATCTCTTGGACAACTGGCTCTGGATCCATAAGATCGTTGACAACGACGGATGCACCATACTTAGCAAACATGAGTGCATAGGATCGACCAAGTCTATTTATATCAGTTAGAAAATGATCTTTTCCGGGATTTTATCGATGCACAATCACTTACCCAGCTCCAGCTCCAGTGATCAAAGCAACCTTTCCAGTAAAGTCCGGTTGCTCGGCCGGGGGGTTTGCCGGTAACGTCATTGACTCTTGGATCAATTCAACATAATCAGCAGGCCCAGTAGGGTAAGTAGGCTTGGAGAAGTCATTGACATCATCCCATCTCTTCAAGAGAGCACCAGGTGTAAAGCTGTCATCAGCTTTCATCAAAGCACCCTTGGAACGTTCCCATCGGATCTTGGCAACATGGCCAGCTCCAGCCTCGAATATACTACCAGTCTCAGTAGTGGAGGAATGGACAAGATATGCAACAATAGGAACGACGAATTCAGGCTTTAGGTTGGCCAAAAGCTCTGGGGGCATCACAGTCTCCGTCATGCGGCTAGCAGCTATTGAGATATCAGCAGTGCCCTTGATGTGTTTAGAGAAGATCTTCTCAAGCTTACCAATTGGTGCAATGGCATTGGAGTGGATGTTATACTTGAGGCCCTCCTTTGCGAGGGTCTCGGTAAAGCCGACCAGCGCAAGTTTGGCAGCTGGAGCCTGGGTTAGCACTGTTTTGCATATATCAAGTTGATATCAGGGTATATACCAGAATAATTGGTTTGGCCAAAACTGCCAAACAGACCGGCAGCAGAGGTAGTGTTAATAACTCGGCCAAACTTTTGTTTTCTGAAGTGAGCCCAAGCAGCTTTGGTACACTAATTCCCCATATGTACTTGTTAGCAGCGCCCAGCTGCAAAATAAAATCGATTACAACGGCTACAAATCCATACCTTATATGCTCCGAAAAGGTGGACCTTGTCGATTATATCCCAGTCTTGGTCTTTCATATTCTTAAAGCTGACATCTCGGAGAATCCCAGCGTTGTTGATTAAGATGTCGATGCGGCCAAACGTCTTGATGGCGGTGTCTATGATCTTCTCACCGAACTCGACGCTGTCATAGTTGGCAACGGCCTTTCCGCCAGCGGCTTTGATTTCTTCGACAACAACATCGGCAGCCTAGCAGTCGAATAGAAGTGTTAGAACCAGAGCCCCGCCGCAATGAACAATCAAATGAGACAGGAAAAAACTCGACCTACCTTTGACGACTGGCCCTCTCCAGAATGTGATACACCAAGATCATTGACAACTACACCGGCACCCTTGGAAGCAAAGTACAGGGCATATGCCTTTCCTAGACCGCCCCCAGCGCCAGTGACGACGACGACCTGGTTATCGAAACGAAGTTGAGACATGACGATAGTGCAAGTGTAAAGAGAGGTATCGGGCCAGATCTTATCAGCGATAATATACAGGAAAAGAGGTGTCTGGAGATAAGCAGAAGAAGAACAGAAGACCAGGAGAGTCGGACGGAGGCGTGAATTAAAAGGAAGCCGTTTGTTGCTTGTAATTGCAAGCTCGGCACGAGAACGAGCTGAACCTCGGTATCAATAGTACAAAAAGATACTTATATTTACATATATTTTACTAGTAAATAGAAGTATTCTTTTGTACCAGAGCTTGTGCATCATCGGTCGCATCTCAGCCAATCAGCTATCATGACGTGGATGACTCAGCATTGCTAGTCACCTGACGCAAGCTTTGCATGTGAAGAGAGAAAAGCGAGCTTTTGATCGAGCTTTTACTCCGTACATACCACATAGTATGTAGCAAGAGCGTCACCTAGTTGGCAGCTTGGTTAATCTCTCAATCACTATACACACCAGATAGCAACAGCTCTTCCTTCGCTCGTTGATCTTCAACTTGAGGCAAAAGGCCAGAAAGGTGTTTTAATATATAACGGAGAAAGCCTTCTAGATGAACTTTGAAAGCAGAGCCTCATATGAACCGTGATGATCCGGAGACTTATACAACGGAGTATACTATGTGTGACGAGCTTTAGACAACTGTTTGGGTTCTCTTTTATTCTCCTAGCCTTCTCTCATTATGTGGCGTTAGATCGTTTGCCACATCGTAGAGAATCCATGACGCGCAGGGCTCTATATACTTCGATAGTTTAAATCTTCTTAGAGAAGCGCCAGGTCGCTTCTAATCCGCCGACATAGGCGGGCAAGACTACGATCTCCGCGGATAAATACAAAGTATAACAACGGTTGATATTATTTTGAACAACCAAATTCCAGGGAACAGCTATGCGTGGGAAACACGACCGCTAACCAGCCCCTATTCTAGCGTAACCAACCTGCTTAGTTACCATGGATCTTTGGCTCCATGGGATACGACATAGTATGGATGAAAGTATGGGGTAATATGCTTGGGGATGTTAATCATAGCCAAGAATGGCTTTAACCAACAGTCTCGAGTGCAGTTACTGTGGGTTTCCAACATCCGTTCAGGGGGCATTTGACGCCCTCAATGCGCACTAGTGACAATGGTCAGATTCGTTCTTACCTCGTATCTATATCGCTAATAGTTTCAAGACCAGCCATGTTTGAGGAAACCGAGTCAGTTCAACGCCAATCACGTCGTGATTCCTCGATCGACCCGCGTAACCCGAAGCTTGCTATGTAAGAGCCTCCCGTCATTTCCTTTATATAGATCATGTCTCGCAACAACTCTTGTCTCCCTCCTTGCGGCATATCATCGATGACCGCAGCAGGCCTACCGACTCCCTCGACCTGGCGTCCGACACCATGCAGCTCCCTCCAGTCTCAGTGATACTCTCCTGGCCCAAGCCCAATTATGTGAATCCAACGGAGGTTCGTGGGCCACTTATAATCATATTAACCTCGATATTTGCACCTTTGACGCTTTTTGTTGTTATTATCCGCATATTCAGTCGCATCCATGTATCGAAGAGCTTTGGCTTAGACGACGTATTTATAATAGCCGCCGTGATTCCTGCACTCGGCTGTGGCGCCATCACCGTTCTGGGCTCAGTCAAATACGGTTGGAGTCGACATGTCTACGACGTGCCATTCGATCAGCTTGTCCTAGGGTTAAAGATGACCATGCTGATAGAGTGCCTCTTCGCCATCTGTTGCTCATTCACCAAGCTCTCGCTGCTATGTTTTACCCGGAAGATTACCGCAGGCATAAACTCGCGCGTCTTGCGATGGCTTATCATAGCTAACGTAACCATCGTCACGCTAGAAATGGTAATCTTTTGTATAGTAGCTGTTTTCACCTGCCGGTATGTTGTTTGTCCATCCCTGATATAAAGGTCACTCCACTAATGCTTGGTATCAGCCCCATCTCCGCCTACTGGACCCTCTCGACAAAACCTCAAGATTGTATAAACGAAACTGCACATCTCCTAGGCGGCGGTATACTGAATACCGTCACCGATCTCTGCGTCGTTTTTTTGCCGTTCCCCACCGTCATGTCCCTCAGGCTACCTACCCGACAACGGGTCATGCTCTCCATCCTCTTCGGTGCTGGCTTCATAGTCTGCATTGCTGGCTGCTTTAGAGCTTATTTCCTCCACAAGCTAAATACTTCGTACGATAAGACGTGGGCCGGCTATCCCCTCTGGATTTCCGGAACGATTGAGATGTATCTCGGCGTTGTATGTTCGGATTCCCGCCGTTATCAATTAACCCAACTAACAGCTTCTAGATCGCAGCCTCGCTGGCATCCCTCAAGCCGTTCATCGTGCGCTACCTCCCTAGTTTCCTCGGCTCCCTTGGCTCCGGGCGCACCGGGCCCTCTTCCTTCTCATTCTTAAACTCGTATGTGTTACGACGTAGCGAACCCCGGCCCGTGGAGAAAAGCAAGCTCGAGACGCTCGACAGCCAGGCCGCTACCATCACATCTACACAAGACTGCGACGTTGAGTTTGGAGAATTAGACCCCGCTAAGAGGGCGGTATTGTCCAAGGCCATTGGATACCAAGAGAGTAGGAATTTAACGAAGCCCAGCTTCTGTTCCGCTGACGCAACATCGCAATCGGAGCCGAAGCGGAAATAATGTAGATTTGAGTACCAGGCATTGGTTTGTTTAAAAAACACCCCACGTCAATAGATGGTTTCAAACAACTGTCCTGTAACTTCTGCGTACGGCACTAGTGGGACACCCTTCCGAGTCGTTCTCTAGTTCTGTATGTTTGGCCGTAAGGGTTTGAGGTGCCAGTGTTACTATATATAACGTAGTAGAAGGATATGCTTCCCTAACATAGGTGACCTGCCCGTCGGCATGTTTTGGGCCCTGTCTGCTTGGCGCTTCCGCAGAAGCTGACAGTGTAGTTTGATACGTGCTCTTGAAGACATGTTGTGAGCTGTTGGTGCTTTTTGTTTCATTTTGACCTCGGGTTCATCACGTGATAAATAATTTACCTCGGCGCGTTTGATGAGCTTATCTGCGTTTATCTCCATTTGTTTACCCCAGAGTGTTTTATCAGATGAAAAAGCTCGAGGTGAAGATTGAACATCAACAGAATGAGTACGGCTATAGTTGATGACAAGTCAGAACATTGCATACCATTTCTGCTTAAATTACTAGAATCCCACAAGTTAAAACACGGGGATGACGGCAACGCACCGCCGTTCTTCGTCGGCTTGAACGGTATCCAGGGCGCGGGGAAGACAGTCCTGGTGAGCCTCCACCTTTTCTCCCAAGAACACAGTGGTGTATAACAGAGTATTTATATTGTCAATTGCTTTTATTCTAGACCATATAATATAGATTGAATATTTTCGGCGGCTAACATTCGATCTACAGGTTTCCACCCTTCGATCTACCCTGTCTGCAGCCCCATATAACCTACCAACCATCACCTTCTCACTAGATGACATATACCTCACGCATGCTGACCAGCAGCAGCTGGCAGCTGTGCACCCGAATAATCCCCTTTTACAACATCGTGGGCAGCCGTCAACACATGATATCGCTCTTGGAAGCAAAGTGTTTGACTCCCTGCGCCGAAATAAGCCAACTCAGATACCCTCCTACGATAAATCTGCTTTTAACGGCCAGGGAGATCGTGCTCCAGAGGATACCTGGGAAACTGTAAATGATATACGGAATGGACAGTCGCTGGTTAGAGTCGTCATATTCGAAGGCTGGTGTGTTGGATTCCGCCCGAGACCTGAAGCTGAAATTCGTGCAGAGTGGGAAGACGCTGTGAGAAGGCGTGAGTGTGATAGTAGCTATGACGGTCAGCTTGGCGATGTTAAGCTGGAAGACGTTATGGCTATTAATAAAGCATTGGAAAAGTACGATGCATTTACCAGGTATGGCCTTATCCCTTTTGATAATAATGATAAAAAGCTAATATTGATCCAGTCAATTTGATGCATTTATACACATGTGAGTTAGCTCCCTGGTGCCCAGTATATATCCTGGTACTGAAGATCCATTCGATCATTTTAGTGATGCCGAGAATACACATGATGTATACTACTGGCGACAACAGCAAGAACAGACGCTTCTTGAAGTCAAAGGAAAGGGGATGACTCCAGATCAAGTCACAAAATTCGTCAATGGCTGTAAGGAGGATTCCAACTGGTAATAGGACACTACTTCGTGATAGACTAACAGGCTATCCGATAGACTACCCTTCATACGAACTATATACAAACCAACTTCGGGATGGTGTATTCAATCCTACGGATAAAATGAATGATGAGAAGGCATGGAAAGGTCGGCAGCTTAGACTCATCGTTGATAAGCAAAGAAAAGTAAAGAAAGTCATTACCATATAATGAACGGTATCTCCTAGTTTGATTATTTTAATGGGATAAGAGATAACTAGTAGATAGTAAATAAAAAGAACTATCCTCCAATTGCTTCGAACCATCTATACTACTCTTAGGTTAAAGTACCACATGAGCCGGAATCAATCAATGCTAAGAACGCCGAACAAAAGAAAAGGGGGGCCTTATTACATGACAGGATTATACATAATACGTGATGGGATATCAAAGAAACGCCTTACAAACGGAAAGTGGTTATACTAAAGAGTGATCTGGGATCTGGGGTTCAAGTAAACCCAGATACAATTAATATCCCCTCTCTATCCTCTCTGGCTATTCTCGAGTACCAGCTGATGTGGAAGACGAGTTATTAAACACGTTTCTACGCACCACGGCAGCGTCAGAAAGTGAGCTTGAACTCACTTGTTTGCCGCTTTCTCCGTCGACAAAGATCGTGGGGGAATGAGAAGCCCTTGTATCCTCAGGAGCATCATCTAATTCAATCAGGTCGCCGGAGGACCCTGAGAGGCCAAGATTGGCAAACCTCCGACTGAGAGGTTGCTGCTGTTGGTGGATCTCATTTATCCCTGCCTTGGCTCGTGTAGCAACCTTTCGAAACCAGCCTTCAATTGCTACTCCGACGTTTTCTAGGCCGGCGGTAGACGAAGATGAGAATACTGCGGAGTTAGACGAGTCGAACGACGCCCGATCGAGGTTCTGTAAGGTGGCTGTATCAGTTGGTGCAGGTTGGATTGTCAGTGTTGGCAGATGGGAATTAACGAAAGTAGTGAACTTGTCTATAGGTGGACCGGGACATCTCGCGTTCTCGAGGGCTCCCACGCCGCCTGGGCCAGATAGGGTGATACTGCGTTGCCTTTTGTGTCTGGAGGATGAATAACGTGGGGATTCGGTGCCCGATATCGAACTCGACACCCTTGGGGAGGATGCGGAACCTCTCTGCCCACGAGACGGAGTGGAATGTAATTCTGAAAAATCCCGCTGCGTGGAAGAAGACATAGGCCTAGAGGTATCGCTATAAGGAGTTAAAGGTAGCTGGGATTTCCTGCGGGCTCGCGGGAAGAATCCCAAGGACCGTCTAGGGAGCCGACCAATCTCGACAGGTGATGAGAAGCCATCTAGTTTCACCCAACTATGGTGTTCCCAGGGAGCATCGCTACCCAAGTCCTTCCCAGTTTTCGGTGATTTGAAATGGTCACGGTCCAGATGTGAGTCTCCATACCCAAAATCGCATGTACTGTCTGCATTCGAATCAGGCACGAGAGAGCTTGTATCATGATCCGGGTTATCTTCTTTTGCGTCATCACTCTGCTGCTGCATCTCTTCCTCGGGTATTGGTAAACCCTTTAGCGTACATGACTCGACGGGCAGTACAATCGTCTTCCTGGACTGTATACTATCACTAGGCCAGAAGCCATTTGACTTTCTCAACACCGCCAGCTGGCAGCCATAACGAATTGAAACTCCCGTGAGCGTATCGTTCGATTGAACGATATGTATATATACCAAGGCATTCCCATCCTCTTGTCCCGGCGTTGAGGTTGCAGTCGATCTGTCAAATCCGTCTCCCGAATCTCTTCGTTTGTAATTCCCTCTGCTGTCGGGAAAACTGTTCCCATTGGCCTGCAATAGGGCTTCCCGTTTTTTAGCCTGTACCAGCTCTTGTCTCTCCCTCTGTGCATCCGGGTTAGATTCCCCGATTATCGAACGTGGAGGGCTCCATGATGTAGGAATCGAGGGCCGATTCCTTGACTCTCCACCACCAACAGGGCGTGATCCTAACAGCTTCCCTCGCCCTTGTTCATTCGCCGGCACTCCTCCATTAATCAGAGCGGTGCCAGATCCAATGATATTCGACGCAAGGTCCTGCAGAGACGACCAAGGAGACTCTAGGAAGTCGGTAGCAAATCCTGTCGATCTACCGCTTCTCGTGTCTTCCCGCATACCACCAAAACCCGATCCTTTCGGAGGAGGAGGCACTTGGTTATCCGGTCCGCCAGCCGTACGTGGAAGGCGTTTGCTTGGAATCGGGGATACAGTTCTCGAGGAGAACGGAGAAGGCGTAGATATTCCGCCATTCGTATGCAAAGAGCGTGTCGAGGGTTGTGATCCAACACCCGAGTTGCCGGTACCGAGTCTATCGTCACTGCCATCGTATGATGGTATCACTCTTCGATTACGAGACCGGACGGTAGAAGTGGCAGAGCTGGAGGCAGTTCCATGTGCCGAAAACGAGGTCCAGGAGTTAGAAGCATCGAGGAAGCTGGCGTCTTTGCTCATTCCTGATTTCTAGTAACCCCACCGGTATACAGGATGGTCATGTAGGTAAAAGCTGCCCAGACCGGCTAACGTAGACAACCCCTCTCTCTCTCTCTCTTCTTGTCCGAATATTATGAGTAAACTGCGGTGTCTGGAAGGCTGTATGAGCATGGAAGCCCGTCGTGGTTCGGATGATAAGGGCGACCTTGCTCACGGCGAATGGTAGTAGTCGATTTCCTTCAAGATGACAAGTATGTATAAGCCAACTACGACCCTTTCGTGCCGTATAGAGCGTGATATACGTTGGCCCCCAACGCCGAGTTCGTCATTTAGTTGGTTTGCGGTGTGAGGCTGCGCATCATCCGGCAAAGGCGTAGGGAGGGACACCTATACTATGTTGTAGTAACTAGTCAAAACAACCCTGGATGAGATAACTAAGCAGTCAATCAGCAGCAAAGAACAACCAAAACAGGTAGACGAGTGATCCAGCCGATGATCTCTATCTTCACAAGCTGATCCTGCCAGAGAATATGTCGATATCGTCCTCGGTTTGTCGCTTTTGGTTCAATCAATTCGAAGCAAAGCGTCATTTGCTGGTTCGTATTTAGTTTATTGGCCACGCTCGGCGTTTACTCTTTGAGCCGTCACATGACACATCGAAAGATCGATTTATTTTTGATGTTTTATTACCGATGAAGATATATAAACATGTTTATATGCGAGTAGAGAGAAGGATTAAGTATATATGGCCCATGATAGACTTGGATAGAGGTACAGGAGACAAAGTAGCTAATTACTAGTTTAAATGAAACAAGAACTCCACCCAAAACGCTCGCATTGAGATATAATATTTAATTAATAGCTAGAAAGACAGCTTCGTCGCCTCCCCCCTAATAAACATGCTCCAGAGAGTAAAAGAGAGACCCAAGGTATAAGACAGAGCAAAAGAAAATATGCCTTCTCTTTTCTTTATTGTGCTTTGTATTCAATGACAAGGAGGGGAATATTCAGGCGAAGACAAGAGAAAAAAGATACTGTATAACGCTATGTATTCCCGGTAATCTACAGGTTTTCGACAGACAGATCAGGTAGACCATTGATGCCGAAGAATTGGAACCTAGAAGCTGATGTGTTAGAAAGGTTAAGAGAAAGGATAATACTTATTAACAAGAGAAGTATACGTACCAGTCTTCCACGTTCAACGTCGGCGGGATCGCTCCCTGGCGAGAACTATTACTCCAGTTATCGTCCTGACTGGATACATCCATAGGCACGTTAGGGTCGAACGTCTGCATTGGCCACTGTCCTTGCATCGGCACTCCCTGGCCCATCTGATGCTGCGGTGACATTCGATCCAATCCACCCAGAAGCGTCGGACTCTCATGGGCTCCGCGTGCTGTCCGGGGCGAGAGATGTTGCTGTAGATGTGTCTGGCCCGGCATCCCCATTGGCATTCCTGTATTGTTAAGGCTGGGCATTTGCAGCTGCGGATCGACGTTCGTGGAGGCGGGTGAGAAGCCAGAGAATGACATGTTGGTGCCGTCCGGGAAGAGTTGGTCGGGCTGGAAGTTCTCCCAGAGCGACTGAGAGATGCTGGGGGAGTTGCGAGTGACAAGGAATAGATCTGGTGGGGACTGGGGAATTGATAACGCTGGGTTGAACGGAGATGTAGGGCGGGTGTTGCCTGTTCCTGTGCCGATGCCGTTGCCAGTTCCCAGGAAGGCATCTGTCGGCATACGTTGGTTCTGTTGTTGCTGGTGCTGCTGAGCGCTCCCAGCTGTAGGCCCCCCAAGGTTGCCTGGTAGTTGGCTTGGGGTCATGGATGGCGTTGCAGCCGGAGTCTGTGGCCTTGAGCGCTCGTACGACACCTGGGCGGCAGGAGGCCCGTTGGGCATGCTGATATCCATATCATCGAATTTCCTCTTGGGAGGATCAGGTCGTTTCTGCGCCTCAGGTGGCTGTTGTTGTTGTTGCTGCTGCTGCTGCTGTCGTCTGGCCTTTTGATGACGCTTTCCAGCAGCTTTCTGGAGACGCTCTTCAAGAGCCTTGTTACCTAGGATGGATTCAAATAATGTATGCACCATCCTGGCGACAAGCCATACCTTCGAGACATCCTTTAATGCCGACATGCATCTATTGATCCTTTCTTGGCTCGTAGCGACTATGCTAGGGACAGATGATCGCATTTGATATACGTGCATGATCAGTGCGGAGAACAAACTATAAACACTGTAACCATTGAATAAAGGCCATTAGTTGATCCATCCCATTCGAAGCGTATACCAAGGGAATACTAACATGAAGGCAGGAGCAAATCGAATCTGTTGGTGTTTTTGGAGGCTCTCCGTGATTGAGGTGATCATGGCTGCGGCCTGGAAGGCAATTGTGCGGGAGGGATATGATATTCCATCACTTCCCGCGTTCTGGCCAGCAGTTGCAGGAGGCATATGGGCTCGATGTAGTAAACATAAAGTAGTACTGCAGACATGTCAGTATTGCACTTTTGAGCAACAGCCGTGGTTCGATCTTACTAGTAGTTTGAATGCAGCAAAGCAGACCAAAAGTGGTGTCGTGACCGTTCCCAGTACACTTCCTTGGGGCAGTTCTGTAGCCAGTCTGCCAACGCCATGTCGCTGTGTGTCAAGTCAATTGCATTGGTGCGTCGTGACTTGGATGCAACCGAATATTGCTGTGAAAGTACAAGGCCCATGATTTCGCATAGCTTGACGTATTGGAGGAAAAACTGAACATGAGTTGGGTCAGGCGGGTAGTCTGCCGGCCCATCCGCGTCATCCTCAATAAAATCGTCCTCTGTAAGCATTTCAACGTCCGAGTCATCCGTGTTGATGTTTACTGGGCGGCCCAGAGCAACGGCAACAGATCGATCCCGGGTAAATAATGTCCACCATACACGCTTCCATAGTCGTTTATCTGGTCGACTGAGCTGAGATGTTTCCACGCTATGCAATGGTTAGCTTTCCTTCTTTTTCGGTATGATATGAAATAAAAGTAGACGTGGACGTACCTTCTATGCATTCCTGATCCCTGGGCGATGATGATTGCAACCCTGGTCCAAAAGAAGACATTTTTTGTAACGTCTGACAAGGCAGTCAGTATTTAACCCCATAGGCACGACGCAAATACACTATTAAACCAGGGCATACATACCCTCTGGCCCTTCCCAGTACCAGCCCATTAGCAACAAAGCTTGCACGATGGTAACCCGGTCATCTTCATAATTAGCATCATACAATGCCTTTGCACGTTTGTAAAACGTCATGGCGGCCGGTGTCGTTGACCCATTGGCATCCATCAGCTGTGGGTTTGTGCATACTCTTGAGCCAGCCAGGAGGATGGCCTGTAACAGCAGAAGGGACGGTGGGTTCTTCGGGTCGCGGTACTGTCGCATAAAGCGGCTTCTGTTGATTAGTGGTACGACTGGAGCAACCCATTTGAAGTATGCATCCACCAGTTCGTCGCACAGGGCACGGGGAGGGAGTAAGAAGGCGCCACGTTGGTTGAGGATGTCGATTTCCAGGCTATCCAGTTCGGTGAGGCGGGAGCGTGAGCCACGCATGCCTTCTGGCAGAGGATAGTGGACGACATCTGTGGTGCCGTGGCGGTCTTGTACAAGGAGAGTGAGGTTTGACGATTCGCCTAGATATGCGACACGGCCTGCTTCTGTGATGGGAGCCCTGGCGAACTTGGGTTTCATAAATTGGGCGTAAGAGGTATTCTGTGTTGCTTGATGGGCTTGCTGAGCGTCTGTTAACGACGTGCTGGGCATCCCATCGGATGGTTTCACCTTTCTGTCGGCCTTTTCATCTCTCGAGTCGTCCTCGTTGCCTTGAGCTTCCCTATGGTGGCTTGTCAGTAAACGGAGGAACGGAGCAGTGCCTAGGTGCTTCCACGTACTCGCTTCCATCCTTGGACTTGGCCTGGTTCTTCTTCCGTCTTGGAGATGGGATCTTGCATTCGATGGAGAAGGCGACACAGTTGGTGCATGGTACACCGAGGCTGGCTGCATCGCAACGAACCTATATGTCAGACGTCAGCACCAGCAACAGGTAGAACTCTTCATCCGGGACCAACCTTTCTAGCATGGCATGTCTATCCAAAAGTACCTTGTTAGCCTCGTTCCATATATATGTGCGTGGGTGTACGTATGGGTCTATTGATATGGGTGATAAGATAGCAAAGATGCCTCGGTTCATGGTGAAAAACGCGAACTATCCACCAAACAAACTGAAGAATTGAACTCCCGAACATACCTCACAAGCCCGCGATGCGCGTTGTCTAGAATATGCCAGAGCTGTTAGCAAATTAAAAAAAAGGTCCGTAGAACTTAAATGGCGGTCTCAGTCACATAGACATCTTCCACACCACCAAAGAGGCCGTCCCATATTCTCTGTCTGCGAAAAGGAGAGTACACACCTTCTAAAACTCATCTGGCTGCCAGAGTTCGCTGGCTGAACCGTCTGCTTGCCCCCAACTGGTCCACTGTCTTCTCCTCCGTCTCCGCGCGGACTGGTGCCTGAGGCGACGCTTCTCGCTTTACCGACCAGCGAAGGGGCTGCTTCGTGCTGCTGCTCGCCTGCGTCTGCCATGGTCTTGCTCGTCTCTGGATCCGGTGTCGCGCTGCTCATCGTCGACCGCAATTCGAGCGAGAAGACGAACGTTCCATGGACCAGCAAAGAGAAGAAAAAGGAGGAGAAGAAATAGGTGATGGGATCAAGGTGGACAAGAAGAAGTGTTGCGGGATCTGGACCGGTGGGACAGGCTTCTTTTAGGGAAAAAAACCCTCCGGAGCAAGGGTGCAGCAAGCTATTCTAACGGGACGAAGGACGAAGGGTGTATATATCGAGTTCTGGACTAATAACGATATAGGCGTGGTTTTGTCTCTATGCGCTTTTCGTTCTTCTGTGCCTAGAGATGTGTGAGAGGGCTTGAGGACGGTGTTTGCGCAGGGATGTGTATATGGGTGGGCGGTATCGGAAAAGGGCTTCACATCAACTAGTCGGCCGGGACTGCGATTACGAGGATTCTATCAAGGAGTAATGCGTGAGGGCGGGACGATGTCGTTGCTTAGCAGATCAGCGAGACGGGAGCGAGATGGAGATGGAGGCTTTGGAGAGACGAAAGATGGAGCGGCGCGGCTTGACGGTTCGTGGCGATAGACGCTGACCTACAGGCGTCTTTCCACTGGAGAATACCATGACTACATCTTAATACTCTACATATGTTGAACGGTTCGCTGTTTATATATATGCAACCCCGGGTTATTCCTTGTCTACCCCAGACTTTTATCCCAACTCTCCGGAGCGTTTTCGTCTCATCTTCAACTCCTTCTGACACTCTTTTTTTCCTTGTTGCTCCTCGAGTTGTTCCTTTTTTTCTCTCTTGTGGTGCGAAAAAGTAGCAGGATCACATGTATCTTATGTAAGCAAAATCTTCTATACTGAAGACGCTAGCTTAGCTAAGCCTCTTTCCATGGCTTCCCACTGGTAGGATGTAGTCCTTCTCACAAGGTTGAAGTGGGATGGGCTGTCTTTGTCAGCACTACTTTAGCCATATCACCTGATCATAGAGCTCAGCCTCGGTAACTTTCCTCTTCCTGCATGAACCTTTCCAATAGAAGCAAAAGAGAGCATGCGAGAGACTGGGGAGAATCTGGGGTTTATGGACGACGGAGAACTTCCACCTCGATCAAGCTTCGTCCCTCTTTCTCGACGGTAAGGTCGCCTTTGCCCTGAGCAGCGGCTGCCTTGGCTGCTAGAAGGCCACCTTAGGCAGGCAGTGTAGGCCATGCTTTGCAGAACCTGATGCTCTCTTCCAGCTGATACATAACAGTATATATATAATGCATAAACTGTCAACGGGCCGAGACGTGAGTTCGTTAGCTAACCTTCTCGTTTCCCCTGGATACCGAACTCTCGGAAGGACACACGAGGGCGAACTCCTATTAGCCCTTCATTGCATTCGATGTAACTATATATGAAGAAGACATCTTAGTATTGGCCTCAGCAATATACGGATAGACACATACCATATATCTGAAACTATGCGGCATATACCCTCAAGTTCAGCCTTGCACCCCTTGATTTGCAGGTACAGACTCGATGAAGCCAATCCATATATGTTTATAGTTGACCAGCCAAGTTTAATTTTTACAGTAGTTTGTAAACGAATACAAGTCTTAATATAGGTCCGTATCCTGCTTCCACCGTATACATGGCATGAACATCGCCACAGAGTAGGTTGGTGCTAAACTTTCAGACTTACACGCGGGTTGGAAAGGAAGTCTATGAGGCTGTCGACTCTAGACGCTCCCATGGCATGATACCCTTCTTCGTCCCACCTCATAGTCCATAGCCGCTCCTCAAACTCAGGAGGGTAGAATCCCGAGTGTTCCCAGTCAATGATGGCCTCTACCTGCAGAGTATCCACGTTAATCATAATGTTATGCTGTGCGAGATCATTATGGCAGAAGTTGTATTCACTCTCAGCCGATGACTTTTGCGGCCAATATGCCCTCTTATCCCGTGTCGTGATCCTGTTTGGAGGTATGACCACGCCCCCTAGAGACCCAATTGTCGAAGATTTCAAGGCGCGTAGCTGCGGCAAGACTGAGGTAGTAATGAAATCTTCCGTGTTTCTCAACGCCTCTTCTCTGCCTTCTCGGAGACGATCTAACGGCTTTCCGTTTACTCTCTCCATCTCAAGCTGGTAGGCTCCCCAAACTTTCCCAAAGCTCAGGATCTTGGGCACCGGGATGGTCGTATTGGCAGCGATGAAGGTGAGAGCATCATGTTCGTTTTGAAGACGCTCGGTGGTCCATGGAAGTACTATGGTCTTCCCGAATATGTTCGTTTTTCGCTCACTCGGTCTGAGCTCCCTCTTGATGAAGGTGTCGGGAGTATAGGTATAGACACGGTCAGCTGTCCGCCAACAGCCTGAGTCAGCCATGAGACTCCCTAAAAAGTAGACACCAGTATCTACTCTTTAGATAAGTGTAACGAAAGGCATTTAAAAATGACGAAGAGCTCTAAGGGTCAAGAACATACTAGTAACTATGTACATAGTATGCTAGTTAATGGGACTGTTTTCAAGTTCTGTTAACTTTGTGCCAAGACTTTAGTTATTTCACTTTATTAATTATATTGTTGTCAACAAACCAGCAACTACTATGTATAGTTAAACGTCTATTTTTCAATATTTAAGTAGAATAATGATCAACTGGTACTTAGTCAGGCAGTAATACCAAGGAAAACGGCTGTGAAGAGAATATATGCAAATATTAGGGAATGAATATGTAATTATAAGACATGAGAAGCACTTTTTGATAGCCCATGATGACAAGTCTAGCTGTATTCCATAGAGCTCTAAAAAAGTCGAATAAAACGAAGAGAAAGGAAGCATGGAAGTTATATGAATGATACAAAAAGCATCAAATGTATACTAGGCGAGAAGAAGAGGAGAAAATCCACAGTCTAATCGGAAACCGCACTTTTCTCCGTCGCATCAAGCTGATTCTCTTGGCTGTGGGAGCCATCGAAGTTGACACCCGAGATAAATGCACCGCTCAAAGACTCGATAATGGCCACAAACACGCATAGTCCACTCGAAATGCAAAAGTGGCTAATAGTCGTGCCGATGTCAAGCCAACTTCCTTCGTCGCGAACCATAAAGAAGAAATTAAGCGTCATAACATCACTGATGCACATAACGATCATAAACAGTGCTGACGGAGCCACATGCAACCTGCGGTTGAGAATACCAAATGTCGCACTCAAAAGAGCAAAGGGCACGAGGATTTTTAGAATTAACAAAGCGCCCTGTGAGAAAGGGTTGAAGACGGGAATAAGGCGGGAGACGCTGTCAAGGGAAAAGGATGAGATGCTGGCGATGTTTCCGGTGCTGAAGAAGCCGGATTGAAGTAGGAAGAGGAAGAAGAGAGCGATGCGTGCGTCAGGCAGGTTGAGAGTGCGGTATGATGTAGTAGCAGGGGCTCCGGAGTCCGTAGTTACGGCTCTGGGAGTGGCCTCTCGAGAGATACTCGGTGTAGCTTTTGGTGGTAAGGTGTATCTGTAGATGCTATGCTCAAGCCGTACCCAGCTGACGAGAGTAGCAAAGTATACAACATAGAAAAGTCCTTCATAGGAAATTGTGAGAACGATGAAGGTTGGCGCGAATGTGAGGAACAAGACAATGAGGCGATGTAAGTAGTGCCCTGTCGGGAAGAATTTGTGCAGCACTGGTAAGACGAAAGAGGATACTACGGGGAGTTAGAAAGGTGTTGCATAACTTCTGCGTTGGTAATGGCTAGAAAGGAACTACACTTACTCATAGCAATCCACCCAGTGACTTGATTACCGAGAGGCAATCCTGTTCTCGCCTGGAGCGACGCAATACTTGAGCGGGTGACTATGATTGAAAGGAGTATAATCCCAATCTAGTAGCCAATTAGTATTACATTCAAGAAATACTGTAGGTAGTTGTTCAGTAGAAGCCATACCTGAGCGCCCATAACGATTCGGGACCCTATATTGAAGGTGCTTCCTGTTGAAGTTTTCACCTTTGAACTAGACAAGATGGATTCTTCGAATATCAAATAGAGCATGCCAATCCCAAACATAAGGATACCACCATATGTACTAAAACAAAGAGGGTTAACAACCAGAGCTGGCTGGCCTCTAAGGGAGATGAGTTACTTACACAGTGTCTGCATTATCTTGTTTTCCTACTGGTAGGAGGGTAAAGGAACTCATCAAGATACAATTAACAGTCCATGCTGCTGAAAGGAACTTATTATTGCTCAAGAAGTCGAGTCCATAGAGGGCTGGCCACACGGCACCTAGCAGATAGCAAACGGTGTATATCTCCCGATTGAAATATGATTGAACCTAGAGGCCCAAATATCAGCAAAACATAAAAGTAGTTAGTAGTAAAAGATGTAGACCTACAAGTCCTTGCAAAACTCCAATATATAGTAAGGACTGTAACAAAAGTACGAGGTACCCTGTAAATGATTTAACGTGGCCAAGTAGTACCTTTTGCCCAGCACCGAGAGCCGCCCGGCGGGCAAATACTTCCTCCCAGAAAAGAACTGGGAAAAAGGCATAAGCATAGTACCGCCACGTCGATTGCTGAACCCACAATACAGAGTAAAGAACCACAAGTACTGATGAGAAGAACATAAAGCTGGGAATAGATCGATCAGGCTCCAGAGACATTGGCAAGACATGCAGGTCTATCACTGTGACTAAAGCATATGAAATCCAACCTAGGTATCCTGCAGTTACAATGGCGCGCAGGAACAGCCAGTCGTATGTTTGTAAATAACGCAAGCCGTCTAGGGCATCCTGGAAGAGACTCCTGGACTGGAGGATCGATTGCTCGTATTTGCCAGTGGATATCAATTTGCGAATGGCGGCCAATTGAGCCTCCGGTGAACGCTGCGGTTGTGTAAAAGGAGTGTACCCCTGATATCTGATAGTAGCAGCTCTCTTCTGCTCCTCCTTGACACGGTACATTTCGAGCACACCCTGAGTATTGGCCAGAGCAGCCTTGGCTTTTTCCCTTGGAGTGGCATCCAAGTAAGAAAGAGGAAGCTCGCCAACTGAGTTAACGGGAAAATCTAGTCCAATTAGGTACGCCATGAGAGCGGCAACATCGGCCTGAGCAACATCATGTCTCTTGATATTGTTGAGGTGCCAGTCTGAGGAGAAGCCATCCTCATGCCCGGGCGCAACGGCTCCATTAGTCTTCACCGGCTTAGCCACACCAGAGCCCCAGACAATGAGAGGAGTACGTGTGTTGTCTGGATGTCCGTCTCCGTGGCTGCCCCAGTCGCTCATGCCGTGGTCTGCAGTGAAGACAAAGGCCGTTTCCTCGTCTCCATAGAAATCATCTATCAACTCCGTGATCTCGCGAACGCCTTGATCGACAACTTGAATATTATGTAGGTATTCCTTTGAGTATGGGCGGTAAAAATGTCCAGTGGTGTCTAGACCGAGCAGGTGTAAAAAGAACACTACCTTGTCGTCTCTTAGCTGTGCATCTAAATTCTTGTCCTCCTTTGCAGTAGCGAACATCTCCTTGACGCGGTCAAAAACCCATGTATCCAAAACTGTAGCATCTCGTGTGAAATCCTCGTCTTCCTCACTATACATATCAACAGAAATACGGCCTGGAACTGCACCTTCTTTGAACATTGGCAAGATATCCGGGCTCCCCCAGCTCCAAGTATGTCTGCTTCGGTTGAACACGCTGTCAAAATTGACCGGATTCAGCTTCCATCCCGTAGTCACAGCAGATACATCTTCATATAAACCCGCAATCAACGCAACATGGCCCGGTCTCGATTCCGTGGGTACTCGAGTATGCGACACTCCAAAGGTGCCATGTTCCAGCACGCGTGAACGAAGGAACGGCGCAAGCGGTTTGGGTGTCAGATCCGGCTCCGGGCAGGCTATGCTGCCCTCGTCGTCTCTTGAACAGATTGTCTGTGGAGGGGAGGGGTCGGGGAAGTATTGGAATGCCTTATCCGCGCGCAGGCCGTCACCGACGAAGAGGACGAGTCGTTTAGCTGGTGCTTTGGCTTCGGGGGCACGTTCGACGCCATATTCTCGCATGCCACTGACAATTGGACTAACGAAGTAGATGTCAAAGATCGAGTAGGTGTATATGAGGTGGAAGAGCACCGCCAGGGCCAGGAACAACCCTGTGCGAGACATGATGGACCCTTTTTATCTCTTTCTTTCCTTCTTTGCTTCCGAATATAGGCAGCGAGGAGAACCTATAATGCGTGACAAAGTGTTAAAGCCTTAGACGAAGCAGGCTATAAAGACGGCGAGAAACTGCAGTCCATCATCTGCACCAGTTAGTGGGAGGGCGCAGAGCTAAGGGGGTGGTGGGCAACAAGGTGCTTCTTCCCTCTGGAAAATAATGTTCGAATCACGACTTTTCATTGGATCCCGAGAGGGAGCTTTGCGGCCCGTGCAAAGTAAAACTTTAAGTTAAGCTTATCTACGCAGCAGAAAGAATATAAGAAGAATATAATCAAGGACCCGTAGATACCAAATATTATATATATAGAGGTAGACGCCTATGAGTCTGCTTGCTTCTTTGTCAGGCTATCGACTACCCGGCTATAGAACATGGCTGCGTTCTGCCGGGAGAAAGTGATGTCTACAGAGAGATAGTCGGGTAGCAACTCGAGCAGTTCCCGGTCCCGGTTCTCGTCCAACAAGGGGAGGTAGTGGAACTCCGCGGCTTCCAAACTGGCAGTTGACCGGTTATCCAGATTGTGACTGACACCGAGTTTGAAATGCAGTGCTACTTCTCGAGTTAGTCTGGAAACATAGGTAAGGCAAAGAAAGAGGGAGCGGGTATCAACATACTTCCGTTAAGGCCGGTTTGTATACAGTCATACAGATGGTCTGATTCCCGCTTCTTCACGTCTCGAATAATCAAGCCCGTGAGGTCGCTATACAGGTCTTCTTTGAGCTGAGCCAGTTGAGCAGATTCTATCGCTCCGTTTACTGCATCTTTGGGCACCACCCCTGGTCTGGCTGCAGGGCCCCTGGCTGCCGCTACCTTCTCAGCATTGGTGGCTGCATTTCTCGCAGCTGTCAGTTTGGTCTGCAGCGATTTAGCTTCAGTCTGAGCTTTATTAAGGCCAGACTTCATTTCTTCCAGTTGCTGTCGAAGCTTTGAGACCTCTTCGTTTCGCGATTCGACCTGTTTTTGTAGCTCTTTGGTTTGTTTCGATACGCTGGATTGTTTCGAGAGCTCGCTCTTTAATGAACTGATTAATTGTTTGGACGCTATCATAGTACCATTGGTTAGTCTATTGCCACATTATATATAATGAGAGGGAGATTTACCTGCTGTTGTCTCCTCATGCTGCTTCCGTATCTTTTCTAGGTTGGAGTTGGCCTCGACTATACCAATCTCTCTCAAGGCACGGTACTTTCCTTCCATGCTCTCATACTTCTTCGTCATCTCGCCTAGTTTGAGCCTCAGCGCCACCTCGCCGTCTCCCGTCTGGTGAGACTTCGTAGGGCTTCCCCATGGTTTTACCCCGGACACTCTAGATGTCCGCTGCTGAGGTAGGGAACTTTTGAATGGTGAAATCCAACCAGTTCCAGCGTGAGGGAGTCTCTTTTGTGTCCGACCGGTGGAGGTGCCGCCTCTGGCCGCATTCTTCGCAACTTCCGGCGTTATCTCTGTTGGTGGTGAAGATTCTTTGGAGGCACCTTGCTTGGCTGCTTGGTTCCCCGTCTGCCCTCGCATAGTCGTTGATTTGGCATTTGTGGGTGTGTACTCGAAATCGCCGTCCTTTACAGTCTCTGCTGTTTTCGCTCCTCCTCGTGTTCGGCTTTTCCCTTGATTCTCTTGATGTTGGACGGTCTCTGGTGAGTCAAGCTCATCTTCCGACCTACCTTCTGCTTCTCTTGTCCCACTTTCTTCTTCAACGCTATCCGCGTCCTCCGCATGTTGTTCTTCTACCACTTTTGATGCCTTTCCTCGTCCGGTCGCTGTTCCACGCTTCTTTGGGCCCACCACCACCTTAGAGCGAGTTTTTCTTGAGGTTTTCGTAGCCGTCGTCTTCGTCGCAACAGCGGCTTTTGGCCGTCCTTTTTGTCGTTTGGCCGGAGGTTCTATGCTCGCGTTATCATCCTCGACGCGATCACCCAGGTCGTCATCCTCTATCTCGCCATTCACCAAGGATGAAAGCTTCGACTCTGCTTTGCGCTTTGGCATCGGATCCGTATATGCAGTTTATTCCGTTGTGTCGAACGCGCTAGAAGCTATAATCCAGCGTAGACAGTAGATAATAAATTGTTAATAACAACTTTCGTGTTTGTGTTTTTCATGTCGATGTTTTGGTGTTTTCAACATGTGACCTCAAGCCTCGGACAAAAGAAAAAAAAGCATCTTGAGCCACATAGCTAAAGATCAAGCATCACAGGCCAAAACTAATGCTCGAAAGCAGTTACTGCATTACATATTGGTGATCAGTGTTCTTACTTATACACTACGGATGGTCTTGTTATCCTGCGAGTGTATCTGATATATTTAACTGATGGCTTCCAGCGGCGCCCGGCGCTGGCAACAGCTTGTTCAGGAGCTGATTTTGATTGCTGGCACAGTACGTACAACCCTCCCGCGAGTGACGCTATAGACGGTGGCCTCGACTAACATGTAGTTCTGTTACAGTCCCTATCGACATATTTCGTAGTTCGATTTTTACTCTCTAAACTCGAACTTGACCCAGACAGCCAAAAACGCGAAGAAGCGAAACGGAAGTCTGCGGCGGTGCTGAAACGGTTGGACCGGGAGGAAGACTCCGACAATGAATCCTCAGGGAGCGGGAAGAAGAACGGTCAACGACGACAACGGAAGGAGAAGCTAGTCTTGACTCAGTATGAACAGACAATTGCTATGGACGTCGTTGCACCAGAGGATATTCCCGTGTCATTTGATGACATCGGTGGCCTTGAAGACATTATCGAAGAGTTGAAGGAATCGGTTATATACCCACTTACCATGCCCCAACTATATCGAACCTCGTCCTCCTTGCTCAGCGCACCATCCGGCGTTCTACTCTACGGACCCCCAGGATGTGGAAAGACTATGCTGGCCAAGGCTCTTGCACATGAGAGCGGCGCCTGTTTCATAAATCTACACATCTCGACCTTGACAGAGAAGTGGTATGGAGACTCGAACAAATTGGTTAATGCAGTTTTTTCACTTGCCCGGAAGCTGGAACCGAGTATCGTCTTCATTGACGAGATCGATGCGGTCTTGGGGACACGACGCAGCGGTGAGCACGAGGCCAGCGGTATGGTGAAGGCCGAATTCATGACCCACTGGGATGGGCTAACATCTGCCAATGCCATGGGCCAGCCGCAGAGAGTTCTTCTTCTTGGTGCCACCAACCGGATCCAGGATATTGACGAGGCTATATTAAGGCGAATGCCAAAGAAGTTCCCTGTCACCTTACCTCTGGCACCTCAAAGACGAAGAATCCTTAGTCTTGTTCTAAAAGACACGAAGATAGACGAGAACGATTTTGACGTATTATATCTTGTCAAGGTCATGGAGGGGATGTCGGGAAGCGACATAAAAGAGGCCTGCAGAGATGCTGCCATGGTTCCTGTCAGAGAGCTGATTCGACACAAACGAGAAGCTGGAGCCATGATACACTCTGTTGACCCAGCTGAGGTCCGGGGAGTCAGGACAACCGACTTCTTCAAGAGAGCCGGCGCAGTGAAGTCAACAATAAGCACCAACTCCCCAGCTATTAGAAATTCGATATCCGAAAAGGACTGGAGTACCGAGTCAGAGCAGGGCGAAATGGCTGAGAAAGCTGCTGCCGACCCTGTAGCAGAGGGACTGGACTAGCTCCGTGATATTGCGACCCGCGAAGGAAGCAACCGTTTAACCATTTTTCAACTACTATATGGGCTCATGAGAAAGAAAATGGATGTAAAATCAATGTTTATTCAAATGGATACAGGCGTTTGGCCGTAGACGGGCGGGTTTCGTTTTGGCATAATAACTATATATATATTTGTCTACTATGGATGTTATAATATCTACCTTCGCTCTCAAATACATCATATAACCCCTTTTTACTCTCGTATGTTTCCTATCAAAAGCTTTTCGTCTCGCCGAAGATGGAACTTACGTAATACCTCCCGGCCTGATGACGTGATCTTGTTTGGGGAAAAAATTGGAGCCTCAAAATCGCCTTTTCCGCCTTAATAGAAGTTGATATCGCGAGCATAAGTTAATATTTGATTCAACTCCTGGTATATATCGAATTTACTTTTGTTATAAGGTGGCTGTCTTCTTTTGGACCTTTATCCTTTCCCATATACTCCCTCTTATCCCTCTAATTGTGTTCTCCGTCATGTCTGAATCTGGCCCTCCCCCGCCCAGCGGTACTTCAGCAAACACGGGGAAGGGCAGCGCAGTACGAAAGGCATTTCCTCATGTCGACTTAGCAGGACATGATCTCCCGCCCTCTCCAGCTCCGTCAAGCCCAAGAACAGGGCGTAGATACGCCCTCGCAACTGAATTGGTGTATACCGAGGGCAATGACCAGTTCAACGCCAGTAGCGTGCCAATATACCAGGTAAATTATAACCTATAACAAAATATTCTCATCATCTTATATTTTGTTGCCCTAGCTGAATTGCTTTGCTAACTGGCACTTCCAAAAAAAAATAAAGAGTGCTACATTTAAACAGACCTCTGGGGGAGGCGGTGGTGAATATGACTATACACGATCGGGAAACCCTACGAGGACACATCTTGAACGTCACCTGGCTAAGATCATGTCTGCACAACGAGCACTCGTCGTATCGTCCGGCATGGCAGCATTGGATGTCATCACACGACTCCTTAAGCCTGGCGATGAGGTGGTGACGGGAGACGATTTGTATGGAGGGACCAATCGACTTCTCAAATACTTGTCTACCCACGGAGGAATCATCGTGCATCACGTTGATACAACCAATCCTGAAAACGTTGAGCAGGTACTCAACTCCAAGACGGCAATGGTCTTGCTGGAAACACCCACGAATCCACTGATTAAAATCGTCGATATACGTCGTATCTCCACAGTGACCCATGCGAAGAACCCTGGCGCTTTGGTTGCAGTAGACAACACCATGCTTTCTCCACTATTGCTTAACCCCCTGGATCTTGGAGCAGATATCGTGTATGAGAGTGGAACCAAATACCTCTCTGGTCACCACGACTTGATGGCAGGTGTGATTGCAGTCAACGATCTAACCCTCGGAGACAAGCTATATTTCCCTATCAATGCCTCCGGGTGCGGCCTGTCACCGTTTGATTCATGGCTCCTCCTTCGCGGCATCAAGACGCTCAAGGTACGCATGGAACAGCAACAAAACAATGCCCAACGGATTGCGGAGTTTCTTGAATCACACGGCTTCCGTGTTCGATACCCCGGCCTCAAATCTCATCCTCAATATGATCTGCACTGGACGATGGCTCGGGGGGCTGGCGCAGTTCTCTCGTTCGAGACGGGAGACGTTCTGATAAGTGAGCGTATTGTCGAAAGCGCGAAGCTATGGGCTATCAGTGTTAGTTTTGGATGTGTGAACAGTTTAATCAGCATGCCATGCCGTATGAGCCATGCCAGCATCGATGCAAAGACTCGTAAGGAGAGAGCCATGCCAGAAGATCTGATCCGGCTTTGCGTAGGCATCGAGGATCCAGATGATTTGATTGATGATTTGAGAAGAGCTGTAAGTTTTCGCTTTCCTATTATCTATGCTGACCCGTCAGGCTCTACGTTACTAATCAATATCTCGCTCTACAGCTGGTGCACGCTGGTGCAGTGAACGTTACCTTAGAAGGTTTCCAAAACATTAACCTGAGCTCCAGCAGTTCAGAGGATAGCGCTCCACCACCACAGTCGTCGACGACCTAATCTTTTACGCTTTCTTGTTTGGCTCTGTGTGTGTTTTTTGCCTTGATTTTCTGATTCCCATCTGCAGGCGTTCCTGGTAAAACTGTGTTATAAAACATATCACGATTATATTACTATGGAATGGCGTCCAACCGCCTTCCAACGGAGGAATGTTAAATGTCTCATGTATACTTATTAAAAGGTGGATAGATTTGCGGCTACTTAAAGTAGCGGAGAACTGCAATCTAGATAATTTCGGCTTCAACTGTTCTCCTAAAGGGTATATCTAAAAAAGGGGCTCAAGTCACCCATATCCAATAATTCTTTCTCCGTATATCTGGCTCTAATCATTTCTTCGCCCTGTTCTGCAATTAGTTTATCTCGCTGGTCGTTTACTCGCTTAAACTCGACCCGCAAGAAGATAGCTGTTATAATTGCAATACCGCAGATGGCAAGGGACACACCAAAGCCCGTTTGGTACCTTGGTTTCTCCTTGACAAGGTAGATGTTTGAGCCAGCTATGCCGCCCCAGTTCCCAATGGAAATTAAAATAGCCATCCCCACAGCCCGTTTAGATGAAGGTGCAAGATTATTGGCTAGAAGATTGGTTAAATGTCAGTCTCTCATGGAAGGGAAACTCCAGAGCTCATCAATGAACTTACCGATCAGACAGAGCACAGGGGTAAATGCAGAATACAGCCCCGAGGCAACGAGGAACAGCATCCCGTAAGTCAAACCAGAGTACCTCGGATGTGGAATTGCAAGTTGTGCTGCAAATCCTAATAGAGCAATGGTATTTCCAGCGATGATAAAAGGAGTTCGCTGCTCATAACGATCGGAAAGGTAGGCGAATACAAGAATCCCTATGGTGGCTACAACGTATATTGGTATGGTCAGGAGCTGAGCCTGTGCAGCAGTATATCCAAGGTCATTAATAACTGTAGGAACCGTTGCAGTGAATCTAGAGGCAATTGTTAGTTGTCCGTTTTCCTACGATGTAAAGCCAGATATAACATACCCGTAAACGCCAATTGTGTTAGCCCAGAACATCAGTATGGCGCAGTAAATCTTCCACTCTTTAAATGCAGCGAAAACATGGCCGAGCGTGATCTTGTCGTTATTGGTGACCCGACCTTGGCCTGAGCCGGTTTCGAGAGACAGTCTGTTTGTAAGGAACTCTCTCTCTTCCTTGGTCAAGAACTTTGCACGCTCAGGGCTGTCTGGTAGTATGAACCATATTGCAATAGATAAGGAGATAGGTAGGAGGCCCTCGAGTATGAAGATCCTATTTCCACGATTAAGCAGCCGGCCATCTTTGTTTTTCTCCATGATGATAGCTTCTTACCAACGCCATCCTGCGAGGTTTGCAATACCATGCATCTTTTGAATTGCAAACGCAAGGAGGCCCGAAAACGCTCCAGACAAGGAAGCAGAGCCATAGAATATTGCCATCCGGTGCTGAACTTCATATCGCTTATACCAAATTGTTAACAGGTATGTAGCTGCTGGGAAGAAACCAGACTGTGTATAGTTTTATCCCATGTCAGCCCGACAACTCTGGTAACATACGGCATAGAGCAACGGTTTACACAACCAGGGTATATAACTAATTACCTCAGCTACGCCCAGGAAGAATCTCGCTGCAAGGAGGCCTTGATAGCTCTGAACCACTCCCATCAGTCTATCTCCGGAGGGTTAGCCACGACGAAGGAGAAGCCAGTTAAGCAGGCGGACGACTTACGTGGTGACGGTTCCCCAGGCCAGCATCATGATAGCAATCCACGCTGAGGGCGGTAGAAGCTTAAGGACGACATTGCTAGGCACCTCAAACAGGCCGTATGGGACGAAGAAGAGCGTCAATGCTATGTTATACTGAGAGCCCACCAGATGCAAGTCCGTCTCGAGGCCAGCAATCTTTGCATTCGCAACTATTGACCACATCAGCAACCCTCGAGAAGCAGAATACATGTAACGATGGAGTGCGTACTGTTCCCTCTGTCGATAAAGGCCAGCAAGTATAGCAGGGTGAGGAGTGGAATGAGTCGATAGTCGACTTTTCTCAATATCCGCTTTGCTTCCTCTGGAGAGTAGGCTTGGACAGACCTGAGGATCTCGTCGATATCGTCGACCTGCACGTCATCAGAGGCCAGCGTCTTTTCATTATTATTAGTAGCATCATCTACGGCGACCTCTCGCTTCTCCCCTACCCCGAGTTCGGGCGATGAAGACGTGTTTGGACCCATCAAGACCGCGAGGATGAATCATGGGATGGATGAGAGAGATGCAGCAGAAATAACTCGGGTGAACAGCCAACTAGTTAAATCCATGGCTGTATGCAACGTCCGATAGCGGCTCATCCTTGCTGTTTCAACTCTAGCCAGATCTAAGATGCTTCCCACTCAAGAGCAGTCTTACGCTGTAGTATATATCAGTATGTATCAAAGGCATTGTAGTGAATTGCAAAGAGATGTAGCCTAAATCCCATCCAGCCTTCCATGAGGAACAACATGACCTGATTGGATATTTAACAGTATATGTTTGGTGCCATTCAAAGAGCGGCCATGGCACTTATATTTCTGCTTAGTTCAAATTCTCTATAAGTAGGAATGCATCTGCATACCCCAGATACCAAAGACAAGCCGGCCCTTGACCATAGAACACCCCCATAGGTGCCGTCGGAATACACACCATATATTGCTTCTTCCACCAACCGCCGCAACGCGAGCTTATCCCTCTGAAAAAGCATCCATGGATGCAAGATGGGCTTCTCTATCCGGCGATATCACCACCAGACTCTTGCTTATTAGTGACGATGTTTTCTTCTTCGACTCGGCAGACACAGCCAACAAACAAGCAAGCAACTTCTGCCAGCAACGCTACTGGTCAAAAAAGGGTTTTCGGTCTCCGGTTCCGCTGGCTTAGCTGGACTTGCATTAGTTGTCTGCAGTCTCCATCTGGGCTTCTCCATCTTCTCCATCTCCATCCTCGTCCTTTTCTCGTCTTTCAGCCAATCCTTTGCGACCCTTCGAGGATCCCGGAATATCACGTGATTGTACTTGAACTCGCCAGGGCGTTTTGGGTGTTACTTTTTTTTTCTTCCTTATAAGGAACGGGGATGGACCAGCTGGGCCCTTGCTGGGAGGGACTTTTTCTTCCTTTTTCTTCCTTTTTCTCTTCAAGGATTCAAGACAGAAAGCCTGGGAGATAGACAGTCTTTCGTTTTGCAGTGCTCTCTATGAGCCTCAGGTAACTATATATTTGCTGGTCCTTCTGTTCAAGAGAATACCCGGAACTATCTCAGGCATCGCCGGAACTTCTAAATCCTTCTTTTTTTTCCTCTTCCACACCCTCTGCTTGTGGACATAGCAGCAACGGCCGTGCTATCCGGGAATGTCTCGTGAAGGGATAGCCGTTCGGGATGAGCCCAAGGCGAACGCAGTCACTCCTGTAGACAGCCGCCAGAGCTTCCTCGAACCGTCGCTCCACGTACCAGAGTCCGTTCTCGGCGGAGCTCGGAGATGGAACACAGGTAACCTGGGATCGAGACTGGCAGTGGATGCTGCCAGTGCTGCGACCGCTGGTGCCCTTATATGTCCGATAATCACGATCATTGATCGGTGAGTCAGCAACCTTCTCTCAATTAGCTCCTGTAATGACACTAACACCTGCCTTCCTAGGTCGATTATCGAAAAGGCAGCAAAGGGGATTTCAATTCAATCGAGCTTGGCCTCATCCTTGAAGGGCATGATAACTAAACCCCACCGCTTCCTTACTTCGACGCCGTTTCTGCTCATATACACTCTTTACTCATCCACCTATCTCTCTGCCAACTTGATCGACACCGCAGTGTCAACAATGGAAGACAAAGCATATAACAATGTGTCTACTGGAATTGTCAAATTTGTAGCTACTGCTTTGGTAAACATGTCTATATGCGTGTACAAGGACTCCAGATTCGTCAAAATATTCGGATCCCAATCACAAGGGAACAACCAGTCAACACCGGCAAAGGTAGCATCATCAGCTGCAGCTCCACAGATAAAAGGAACGGCCGCGTGCCTCCCACCAAGTACACCAAGGATACCAATAACCTCGTACGGTCTCTTCTGCTTCCGAGACAGTCTCACCATCTTTGCCTCCTTCAACCTCCCGCCCATAGTAGCAAGATACGTCCCTGACGCAGTTGCATCAAATCCAAAGTCTAAATACGCAATTGCCCAGTTCTCCATTCCTGCCGCTGTCCAGATAGTCAGCACACCATTCCACTTGCTGGGACTGGACCTGTATAACCGTCAGCCTGTCGGTGGACTGCCGGCGGCCGACAGATGGGCGCGTGTGACGAGAGACTGGGCCCCAAGCTGTATTGCCAGAGTTGGACGAATTGTGCCAGCCTACGGAGTCGGTGGTGTGGTGAATACAAGAATGAGAGAACGACTCATGAGCTCTCTCGATCCTGGAACGAGATCGTAAACCCCTTGCTCCTCTTACATGTGCTCATTCGTTAGTGAAGTGCAGCAGGGGGCAAGCGTATGCATGCCAATGCCAATGCACCGCAAGTAACAGACCCTAGACTACTACTTGCATCACACACACGCGCGCACACACTAGGGTTAAGCAGCTGCTTTTATTCTGGCAATATTGAAAAATAATATGCTTGCAGCTTACGCAGCATTATACCCCATAGACATGCCCTTCACCTCCACCTTTTGATAGACAAACTGCTGTCTTCGTCAGATCATATTTTATACACTTCCGGGGCTTATACCACGTTGTTTGTTGTTCTTGCTCATGACCTTTCACATCATTTGGCTTGGCTTGTTTATAAAGTTGCTATTTTTTTGGGAACTATATGAGTGAGCGAATGGATAAATCATGGCGTTTTAATGTCAGGGAGCCTGGGTCGTATGTTTGTTTTTAATGTTTCTGGTTTACTATCTAATGGGCATCTGGCTAAAAGGCACTAGACTCTTCATATAGCTATAGATAAGGCATGTTCTCTTCAAATATTTGGTTTTCAGCCTCGCTTAAATGGGTATGTCTTTCAGAGTATGGTCGAAGTAGTGAAAAGTGCCTGGATTAGCTACGTTGCATCAACTGTTTTGCGCTTTTGATATACATTGCAAAATACAGGAGAGGACAATGGACAGTATACATGATGAACATTTCTGCCAAAAACATATGGAATAACAAGAGATAGAAAGCGTCAGATATTATAGAGGAGATTTCAGCAGATGCTGATGCTTGGTAAAAAATTGAGTACGCAAGGCTATGGTAAGAAGGGAGATGGTGGGTATAAACGGGCTGTCTCGATCATGGCCTGCAACTGCATTAAACAGTTTGAGATGGGTGTATTTCGGCTTCATTCGGTCTTCTCACGTCTAAGCCGTCGTTCTTCTCTTCGGCGCTCTCGCTCCTCCTTTCGCTGCTGCCTTACCTCCTGGGCAGCATGAAAGGCTCCTTGGGCTGGAGCCTGGTTGGGAACCGCGTTAGGTCCGCCAAACATGAGAAAGCCGTTGTGGAATGCCCACTGGACTGCTTCTTCGACAGGCTTATCGAATAGGTACGGTAAGGCTGGAACGACTGAAAGACCAAGCTATTAAGTCAAAAAGAGAGGCGCATGTTAGTAGTATTCAAAAAAACAGGGATTCGGGTCTCCCGGAAAAAGACTTACGCCAATCGGTGCCCAGGTTCTAATGAAGACGCTCTTCATATTCTTCATTGCTCGTCCGGAATATTTGACGACAGAGTGGATCGTAAATGCCGGTAAACCCATACTGGCAATAGATTGAAACACGGCTCTCTCCGCCATCACGGAGCGATAGTCCTCGCTCAATGGGATCTTCACAGTCGGCCATGGAGTCATAGTATCTTCTTCCGGATCTTTCCATGGCATAGGGTGTTTCGCGGATGCTGTGGAAGCCAATGTCTGTTCTGCGCGCTTGAACGCAATTTTGTTTGCAAAGTGCTCCTCCAATGCCTTCCTGTCAATACTACTTTTCAAATCAACGTCTCCTGAAGCAATGACCTCATTCGCCTTTCGAAATGCATCACTCTTGGGAGCTAGAATTTCCTGGTTCCGTAGATATGCCTTGTATCCTTCGTTGGCGACATCACCAAATATGTAAGCCCAAGAGACGCCGTATGCACCTTTCACCAGCCATGGATGTGCCACTGGCCGGAACGACTCCCCAATATCCGAGGTATATGCGACATAACGGTGTGCAGAGAGAAGCAGCGTGCGGATCCGAGCTGCGTAGGCGGAGTATCGATAGCTGGTATCTACAGTATCGACCGAACTATACAATCAAGAAACGAACAGAGGTATGTGTGAGTACAGTGGCGTCTCCATGATTCAGGCAACAGCGGAGGGGTTTAGATCCCACCCGCTTCGAAGAGCAGAAAAGAACGCAATTCAAGGGACTCGAAAGCCTTACTTGCCCTCATAAAGCTGGTCCAGCATGTCCTCCTCTCTATCGACGAGTTTCTGTAGCTCAGGGGTCAGTTTGCGGGTTCGAGGCACCGCCGGCTTCGTGTCGCCTGCCACGGCGGCTTGCTCGTCCTTGACCATAGTTATGCAGGCTAGTTAGCGGGTTGAAGGTCTGTCTCTTATCCAATGGCTAATGCTAGCCCAAGAAGTTACAAGAGTTATCGCAGGAGTAGACACAGAGCCTTTAGCAGACAATCAGCTTGACAACCTCAAAAGTGAACATGGAGCTTGCTTTTCGTACATACAAGAAAGTTCCCGTTTCGGCGGCTTCTTAACTGGAAGTAAAGCGGCGGCAAAACCCGGGGAACTTATTACATCATCAAAACTCTGCTGAGTCATGTATTATGTCATATGCCTTGGTCAGCTCTGTCACGTGGTCGAGGTTTTGCCGATTCGACGTCGAACTTGCAAAACAGCAAAAGAAGAAGAGGACGAAGTTCAAGCTCGCCAGCAACAAGCATTGAGATCTCGTCTCGTTATTCCGTGTCGAATTCCAGGGTCTATACGCCTTTTATAACTCCCTACAGCCCTCACAATGGTTGCCACCTACACCATCCTCGGCCGCAAAGTCGGTTCTCATGTCGTACGTTCACACTCTCTTCCCTCGACGCCCACAATGGCTCCATCGGATGGAAAGGATCATCCGATACAGGTCGCCATCTTCATCTTTTATCGTTGATTGATATTGTGAAACCTGTTATTGATAAGTTTCTGTCTCAATTAGCTTGCCATGACCGTCCTCGGTGTCACCGGTGGAGGCATCTACCTTTCCCTCCCTGGAAAGCAGAACAAGGCTCAGGCCCCACCAATCAAGGCTAGCAGCAAGGACGAGGAAACATTCATTCAGTATGTCGACTACCTCTTTCATATATCGTTCTTCTTGCGTTGCCTCTAAACTATATGGATATCATATTAACGTTATTTTCTAGGGAGTTCCTCAAGAGCGTTGAAGCCGAAGACTCCAAGGCCAAAGCCAAGCACTAAATCTGCCTACCTTCCAACCTGCGCCTGCTGCTCTCTCTGGATCCTCAGCTACCTATTCTCATGTCTTACTCGACAGATTTTGACCCTCTGTTTGCCGGCGTGAGTGGAAGAAATGATATATGTAAAATATATGTACAGCGGCGGGTTTCCTTTTCCATTGGTGTTTTTTCGAAATGGCAATGCGCGTGAGAAAGAGGTCCCCGTGTTATTTTTAATCCGTGCATGCGTGTCTGTGTACTAGGTTACCTGCTGAGAATGATAGATATCGCGTCTGCATGAATAGACTTTTTTTTTTGGCATGTTTACTCGTTACGCTGTGCTAACGCCGTTCATCAACTACAAGTGTTGTTCTTGGCTTCCTTCCGTTGCCTGTCCTGATTGACCATTGAGAGGGTAGGATACGGAGAATTGTTCTCATGAACTTTGCTGCCGTCATAGTCATGGTTTGCATAATTGATATCCTAATACTATTTACTAACACAAGAAGAGGTACACGTCACTGAAAGAACGTATGGAAGCCCGGGAAAAAGAATTAAAGAAGAAAAAGAAAGAGAGAGAGAAAGAACGAAAGCAACGGTAGGGAATCAACGAGCTATAAGTGAGTCAACCACACGCATTGATTGAGGTTTTCAGTTCAATCGTCTCCTTGGGATCGACTGGTCTTCCAACCTTCACTGTGGCCTTTAGCTGCCTGAGGTTCATAATGATGCTAAACAACGTGGAGGTTGGGTTGTCTCCCTCTGCCTGCCGACATATAGAAGTCGGGTATCCATGCTCGTCCTTCAGAATTTCATCTATTCTCTCTGGATCTGGGTTCGGCCCGCTCTGTGCCAGCAGTTCTTGAAGCCTCGCTAAACGAGCCACACTATCGGACATATACATCTCACACTGCAAGCCAGCCTTGTGGTTATGCACATAGTGGTTAGTGTGAGTGATGACGTCTGGTCTACTCTCTATAGAGTCACCCATGTTGAGCCATGCGATGTCCATAGAAGAGCATTCGATACCAGTACCTCCCGTACGATCAGCGACGGTGATATGGCATGCAGACGCAACGCCTATTTTTCCCAGCTTTGCAATAACTTCGACACGTGAAAGGCTCTCCAGCGCGTATCTAAGAGCAATGTGACAGGGCAGCCGATTGAAGTCTACACCTTCTGCCTGGATGGCGTTGAGGGTTACCCCGACGCCTCTTGAATTCAGGCCGATTTTGCCAATGATGCCAGCCTCAGTGATCATATGAATATATGGCTTCAGTGGATCCAACGAGGTTATGTGCAAAGAAATGAGATTCGGCGCTTGCTCATCCTCCCACTGAGAATTGACGGTGACAGCTACCGTTAGAAAACCGAATCTCAAAAAGTTCCTATTTTCGGGTATCTTGTGGCTGGTTTCAACTTACATCCCAGTTCTGGGCAATGAAGCTCTCGTGTGAACCAGTCCATGAGAAAGCTGTGCACCCATCGTTGGACATGCCAAATGCAATCTCGGTGCGCACATTCAACGCAAGGATGGATTTCACGTCAACGCCGGCTCCTTGGGCGATTCCTGCTCAGATGGGTCAAAAGAAGTTACCATCATGAGGGCCAAAAGCGAGTAACGGTTCAAGACGGGTGTAACAGAGGCGAGAAGTTGTTGACCAAAAAAAAAAAAATAAATAAAATAATGAAAGAATAAATAATAACAAGAAGGAGAAAGCTAACCTCGTATCTCCTGCATATAGTTTGGGAACCTCGTCTCCAGCAATGGGAGAAACTTGACAGCTGCTCGACATACTTCAGCCCATCCCATGGAAGAATTCTTCTTGAGAAAGGTCTTGTAGAAATCTATGCTTCCGTGTACTTCTTTAGAGGCCTGCTCTCCATGTTGTCGCCCTATCTGTGTAGGTTCAGTCAGTTCACAATGAGACGCCAGAGATGGTAACAATATTATGCTATCCTTACATCGTATGGGCTTCCGCGACAGACAATAGAGCGCATTATTAACTACCTCCAGATCAAGGGATAGGCGCTTTTCTTCGAATATCAACTCAACCCGGCAGGCTTTATCGTGCCCCAGCTTGAAAATGACAGAAGACTAAAAAGACAATTCTAATACAGGAACAAGCTAAAAGGGGGTGCAACAATCCAGCAAAAAACCCCCCCTCTCAGCCGGGAGAAAAAGAAGGGTTGCGGGGGACCCATCACTGGACCAATCATGGAGACTGGCGCTACTCATCGCCGACTATCTACGTTGTATCACTAAGTTGTTTACCAGATACGAGGAGGTACATAACGCAGTACCACTTCGATATCAGAGTCGTCGACTTTCTTATCCCCGACCCTGTTCTACCACCGACTAACGCATTAATCTAGCGTCTGCATACTTCCTAACCATAGACTCAATCTCATGGTCCAATTTGTATTGCTTCCTTGCGGCTTGTTCGTGAGAGAACGCAATGAATGTTCATATACATGACTTGTACTAGGGTCAGGGACTTCCTCGCTGTCCTCCTTGAGATTGGCACACTTGACAACATAAGAACTAAGCTGAAATTCTCGATTACGGGATTACACATCTGATTGCAAGACGGTCGAGCAAATATCACCAAAATTGTACATAGTAGGTGTCTCCTCTCTGGGCGGAGACGAACAGCAGCCTGCATAAATGATATTGTGGACCGCCAACAAACGGTTAAGATAAGGAGTGGATGCAGCCTATATCAGCCAAGGCACTCAGGAGGGATATGCTATAGTACGAAACCCCGTATGCATGTGCAGTAGCTTCGAGTTCCTGCCAGCCTGGTGCATGGGGGTCGATCTCTAGTGGAAAGACATCCTTTAGCTGTTTTAAACTGCAGGTCAAACAGCCCAGCCCTGTCAGAATCTTTAGCACAGTAGCAGCTTGAGTTGCCCGGTTTAGCCTCTGTATGCAGAATGGCATTTCGGAAACCAGTTGTGAGAGTTCGTGTAGTCGTTATTGCAGTAGGTCAAGCTCAGATGGGAGAAGAGCTGATGGTAGTACATTGGGCGTTTCGATAAAGTTGGCTACCTGAGCGACCGCGCCCGAAGTAGAGGCACCTTTTCACGAAGCTCTTGCTCATTATCTACCCCCCAAACATCTTCAGATGACTGGGCCTTAGAAAGTTCCATGATTATGAAGTAAGGGAGTTGCGTCCTTCTTTCGAGTGCAGAGCGGATGAGTCGGCAGAAGATATTTGGGTTAAGCTGGCGCATTGTAAACTTATTCTAAGCCAGGTAGTGGAGAGGTATCCAAACCTAACTGTATAGCTACATGAGCTATAATTATATGAAGATGCTTATCAACATTTATAATATATTTATCTTCCGGGGTACTATTTGATACTCTGTCAACGTCATTGCAAGGCGTTGGACTATGTTAGTATCTACAGCCATATCTAGCGGCACAAATTCTTCGCGAAGTTGGCTATAGGCATCGCTAGATATCCAGTGACTAGCCTCATCAAACACGGCAAGACTGATATTTAAGAATGCAGCGGACGGCGGATAGCCTCGTACTTTGGCCCGGGAGCCAGGTATTTTCGAGGTACGGGGTTTGGTGAAATCCATGGGGAAGGAAAGGCAATTTACTAGTTCGTTATTGATTGCCGCAGATATCCTGACTGTGCGGGTAGCAGAAGTTTGATTAGACCATCGTCTGTTGGCATACTCTTCAGTAGGAACTGAAGAGCTGCACATGGAGCTGATGCATTGATCAGGCCTTGGTAAATCTTCAGGCATGCTGCTGAGGTACATGTTGAGAACTATAGAGCCAGTCTCAAGCGGTAATATGTCAAGATTCCCTGCTTATGCGGCATCAAAAGGCGCTGAACCTGAGTCAAAACGTTAGCCATTTGTAGTATTTATTTGGCTGAACACTCACCCATATTATCTTCCTGGATTCTTTCTCTGACTTGTAAAACACGACGTCTCGGCTTGAAGCTTTCAATGCACTCTGCTAGTAGATTTCACGCTCACCAACCGTTTAAACTTGAGTCTGTAGCTAGTTGCTTCGCGGCCGGTAACCTTGCAAGCATTAGGCATATCGAAGAATATTTGGAAGGGCTTGATTATTCCCTCAGTGCCTACTCATGCTGTTATCAGTTAATAGTGCAGTCACCCAACCAAGGTTGGTTTTTCCACAGGCTTGAACAGTTCCCCTGCAGAGTCGATTGTCAGCATCTTAATGTATTATTATGCCGGACTCTGCATGGGGTGAGTTTGTGACACGGGGATTTGGAACCCCCTGAGGAGAGTTATGCGTGTTTAAGATAAGTAAACAAGCTGTACTATGTAGTACCCTCCACTACAATCTGTACGATAGACGAGGTCGTTGCATGATAATTATCATCCCAACTGTGTCACGTGACACATATCTCTAACTTTGCTGGGCCAAAAACAAGCAACGCCTTCTTCATACTTCGGCAGCGTAGTTACAATGTACATTGACACGGTTACTTCGTCTCAAATTACTTCGTCTCAAAGAGTTAGTACAAGCTGTATGTTACGTGTCCAGGGCACACTTCCTTGTCCCTCTACTGAATTAGTTAGAGGACGTTTTGATGGACTATTTGCGTCTGTTAATCGGTGTAAGTGGCTTCTTCCATAGCTACAATCCCCACTACAATACCCAATGAAACTAATTCCCTTTCCATTCTTGCTCCCGTTTTATTCGCCGTATACTTGTTAAAGAGGAACAGACTTACCTCAAGTCCAAGCCCCAGTTATCCTCCCTTGTGGCCAATGCTCAGTTGCACTCGCAGCCAATAACAACCCAGGCCTCCACCGAGATCGCGAGATGGCTTACGAGACGATTCGCTGCTCAAAAAGTTATTGCCATTGCAGTGACTCCAGAGCTATGAGTTATAAAATTTAGAGAGCCGAGGCGATTTCGACCTTTTGTGGCATCGGGTGAGGTAAGATATAGTGCGTTAATTGGCCTGGCTTCAATTCCAGAAAGACTGGCAAAAAGGTTGTTGGTCAAACTTCCTGGGATTTTTTAGCGAAGCTGAACAACAGTCGTTAAGGGGAAAGGGTATGGAAATAATCCCACTTCTATCATGCCTCCCTGGCCATGAACCAGTTGCTAGATTTTTTTGGTGCCCTAAGATATTACAACGTCATGCTTTGAGCGGGCTCCTTGGGAAACAGACTCTTTGTTTCTTAGGCATACAGCACTTGAAGCATGTCCAAAGTTACCAATAATACCTTAGAAAGGCCAAGGAACATCGCGCAAACGGTCAAGGCCCGGCCCTTAGAGTATGAAGTTGTGGTCTTCGGGCTCGAACACACCGTCGACGACTTACAAAGAAACGGTGGATATCCATCTCGTTCAGCAGCTGTCGGCACTGTCGGCGCCGTGAGCCGACATCCAAGTCTCGATATACCAAGTAATGGATCTGCAGAGGTGATGATATGACAAGTCTTCGCTCCCCCGCGCTCATGAATCGGGAAAGTATCCCGTAGGGCGTTTATGATATCACAACAAGAAAGCTCTTCACTGTTGCAACCGTAATACGGTGTGTTTAATCGGATAATATGGGCCGTTCCGTGCTCAGCTTTGGAGGGCCAAGAAAACCATGACTACTCAGCAAGGATGAGTGCATTCCATAACTTCTTCCATACATATACACGGCATGCTGCCAATACTGATCATCCCGAGAGCCAGGGGCCAGTACATAATAGAGCGACCGCCAAGTGTATAGCGGGTTCTCCATGGTATTATATATGCCATTAATTAAGTGGAGGAGCAGAGGAACTTGTCCGTAGCCAAGAGGAATCCAGAATGATGCATAACAGGCTGTAACAGGCAGGAGGATGATATCTGTATATTATTCTCATCATCAACAGATATATACATAGTACGTCTTTTATCTTCAACACTTCATCCCAAAGGAAACCAGGGTTGTCTCTGCTGAACGGAAAAAAGTGGTGGTTAATATTTTTTATGCATATATAGACAAGAGAGAGCAAGCTTCACACTTCATGCAGGATCCACAACGTGGTGAAAAGATGTCTGTCTCATTGGAAATCACAAGCAGAAGGACATGTTTTGATTATTTATATATTTCTCCCGACTAAAATAACGACTTCGACTCTGTATAGGCTGAGCAAATGTGTATATATACATATATATCTAGCGGAAAGATGTATACTGTTCTCTGCTACGGGAAAACGGGTTGATGTTCACATGAAGTATCAGCCGCTGCTTACTATATATAACTAGCCATCTCGGCTGGATGCTCCATGTAGCGCACTCTCGGAGAGAGCAACACTGCTAAGTAGAAAGAGAAGAGAAGAACGAGAGAGAGAGGAGGGATGCCGTTCTCTCATCACAGCCATTCTGGCCAGTTCTGCCCTGGCCATGCTAAGGATCAGCTGGAGGAGACCATCCAGACGGCCATCGGGCAGCAGATGCGAGTCTTCTGCCTGTCTGAACACATGCCACGGGAGAAGATAGATTTTTACCCAGAGGAGGTAAGCCTTCGAGCCTTAATCAGTAGATTAAACGAGTTAACTAAAGGGTGTTCGCTACAGACTTTCACAGAGGAAGAGTGCTGTGCAAACGAAGCCGCGTACTTCAAGGAAGCGTTAAGACTACGTGAAAAGTACAAGCAGGTCATCAATATTCCGATTGGCTTTGAGATCGACTGGATACGGCCGTCGTCGCTGGACCTCATCAAGAGATCACTGTCGACGTTCACCTTCGACTTCTTCGTCGGGTCGGTGCATCATGTCCACACGATCCCGGTAGACTACGATGTCCCGACGTATCGCCAGGCGCGAGACCTGTCCGGCGGCACGGACGAGGGGCTGTTCAAGGCCTACTTTGACGACCAGCTGGCGATGCTCCAGGAGCTCAGGCCGCCGGTCGTCGGCCACCTGGACCTGATACGGCTTAAGAGCGATGACCCTGACGGCAGCTTCACCCGGTGGCCAGAGGTCTGGCAGAAGGTTCTGCGAAACCTCGACTTCATTGCCGGATACGGTGGTCTGCTCGAGCTCAACTCGGCCAGTCTCAGGAAAGGGATGAGCGAACCGTACCCCAAAGCTGAGATATGCAAGGTAACACCTGTCCTCCTCTCTCTTTTCGTGTTTACAACTACGTCTGACGCCTGTGACAGGAATTCATGGCCAGAAAAGGGCGCTTCTGCCTCTCAGATGACAGCCATGGCGTGGAGCAGGTTGGCCTGAATTACCACCGCGTGCTGGACTTCCTGCACTCCACTGGCATCTCTACGATGCACTATCTCACATACGACCCCGATGATTCGTCCGCAGAGACCCCAGACGCTAGGTTTCCCCATACCAGACTGCACAGCCTGAGCGTGGAAGAACTCGAGCAAGAGAAGTTCTGGAAACATTAAAAAAGGGGGCAAAAGGATTGGTCCCAACCGCACATGGTTTTAAAAAACCGTTCATCGTACATATAAATTAGGTAAAGCCTTTTTTTCTTTCTTTTCTTTTCTGGGAGGGTTATCAGAGGCTTCTTTTGGCTTCCATCGGGAGTTTTTGTTTCTTCTTCCCCTGGTCGATAAGCAGTTGCTATATGTATGGCTTTGATCCCGTAAAACACGAAAGTTATCAAACGTAGCCGCAGTCGCAACCCAACTCATGCATCAACCATGCAACAACCATGCAATATCTCGGAGTCAATTAAATGTACGAAAGGGCAAATCTGCTGGCCCCATATCCCTGGACTTAATAATAATGGCAGACTATGGGATGACGCTATGCTTAGCTCCATCTCCCTTCCCCCCCTCCTCCCTTCTCCGCATTCCTCAGGCGAAGGGGACGCTTGTCTTGTCCTTCTGTCCACCAACCAGACGGCCGACGGACTCGAGGACAAAGGGCGTAACTGGTCACGCCCATCGGACGGGAGGCAGGGATCCCAGAGACAGGGAATGAATTAGCGAACGATACAGCGTAACTGTGGGGGAGAGAGGCCGGGGATACGAGGATACATGGGAGCCATGGGCAGCAAGCCGTGGCAGGGTTGCAAAGATAGGAGACACAGCCAGAGACGGACGAGATGAAAACGAAGACGAGACGGAAAGACGAAGAGACTGAACACATATTATATGGATGATATATGGATGATATATGGATGATATACGGGTATATCTGGCAGTTTATATCGACAGCCACCATGGACAATACACCGACATCGCAACATCGCCACATTATTATCATTGATACAGTTTCTTGACCGGAGAAACAGGGCCTAGGGTTCTAGTTTGGTTCTTTCGCCGTTCCTTAGCCTCCTTCGCTTTTTCCAGGTGCTGGTTTTATCTGCCAGCGACAAGAGAAAAAACTCTTTGCTGATAAAAACTCCCAGCCTGTGGAGATTTTTCCTGCCGGCAAACGCAAAACGAGAACCATAAAATTCGCCTGTCCTGCCCTGCCCTCGGCTACTTCGTTCTCTCTCAAGTTGTTGCTGTCATCTGTTCTCCCTGCATCGAGAGTTGAGTGAGCGAAGAAGAGAGCGCGCGCGGGAGACGCAGAGTCACGATGGGAAAAGCAGACGAGATCACCATGGCCGGCGATGCCTACACCAAAGAGACCGCCGTAGACCTGGAGAAGCATGATGTCGTCAGTACGGGAGCTGAGCTCAAGAGGAGGCTCAAGAGCAGACATCTGCAGATGATAGCTATCGGTATGTGGAAGTTCTTATTTTACTGCTTCGTTTTTTTGAACATGGCTGACTCTTTTATCAGGCGGAACGATTGGAACTGGGCTCTTCATTGGTAGCGGTTCTGCCATCGCAAAATCCGGTCCTGCCGGTGCGTTGATTGCTTATGCCTTTGTCGGATCGATTGTCTTCTCGGTCATCGCCTCGCTGGGCGAGATGGCGACCTACATCCCAATTCCTGGCGCTTTCACCTCGTATGCTACTCGATTCGTCGACCCCAGCCTGGGTTTCGCCATGGGCTGGATATACTGGTTCTCATGGGCTATTACCTTTGCTCTCGAACTCACAGCGACCGGTCTGATCATACAGTACTGGAATCCAAACCTCTCCGTTGCCATCTTCATCGGGGTCTTCTGGGCCTTCATCACTGCTATAAACTTGCTGCCCGTCAATTTCTACGGTGAAGTCGAGTTCTGGTTCTCTTTGATCAAGGTCGTCACCGTCGTGGGCTTCATGCTCTTTGCCATCTGCGTGAACGCGGGTGTGGGTGACCAGGGCTACATTGGCTTCAAGTACTGGAGAGAGCCAGGCGCGTTCGCTCCATACCTCCTCGAAGTCATCGGGGAGCATAGAGTTCCCCTCGGCAAGTTCCTTGGGTTCTGGTCTGTCCTGGTTCAGGCTGGATTCTCCTACCAGGGTACGGAGTTGGTCGGTATCGCTGCCGGAGAGACCCAGAACCCACGCAAGGCAGTGCCCTCTGCTATCAAGAAGACCTTCTACCGTATCCTCTTCCTTTTCGTCCTTACCGTCTTCTTCATCGGTATCCTCATCCCATACACCAACAAAAACCTCCTCTCCAGCAACACCGATGCCTCTGCATCCCCCTTCGTCATTGCAGCTAAGCTGGCCGGTGTCAAAGTCCTCCCAGACATCATCAACGCCGTCCTGCTCACCGTCGTGCTCTCGGCTGCTAACTCAAACGTCTACTGCGGCAGCCGAATCCTGGTCGGCCTCGCCACCGAGAGGTGTGCTCCCAAGTTCTTCACTAAGACCACCAGAGGTGGTGTCCCAATCGCCAGTGTTGTCTTCACTTCCGCCATGGGCTTCCTAGGCTTCCTCAACCTGTCTAACAACGGTGGAACCGTGTTTGGCTGGTTCTTGAACATCAGCAGTATCGCTGGGTTTATCTCCTGGTCTTGCATCAACGGCTGCCACATCCGTTTCATGCACGCCCTTGCAGCCCGTAACATCAGCAGAAACACCCTGCCATACAAGGCACCATTCCAGCCCTTCCTCGCCTACTACGGCCTCGGCTTCAACATCCTCATCATCCTCACCCAAGGATTCACCGCCTTCATCCCGTGGAACACCTCCAACTTCTTCATCGCATACGTCAGCCTGATCCTCTTCGTTGTCCTCTTCACTGGCCATAAACTATGGTTCCGCACTAAGCCCGTTGGCCTCCTAGAAGTTGATCTCGACTCTGGCCGTATCGAATGCGACGCTGAAGAATGGGACAATACCGAATACCCTCGTCCCCAAGGCTTCCTTCCAGCTGTTAAACATCGACTGTCACGAATGTTCTGTTGATTCTTTTTTTGGTTTTCATGCGGTAGTTTCATGTGTTAATACATTTTGTTTCAGTATTGTCTATATATCCAATGAACCATTCTTCCATTTACAACCGCTTTCACATCTACGTATCCCGGTACTCTTGGATTCATATCTCACCATTACTCCCCGTTCACTACTGGGAGAATGGATGCCTCCGGACAAGAATATTCAGATGACATCCTATATGTATCGTGTGCCTTCTTAAGGGCAGTGCATACATTAGAGATGCCATGCAGACTCCACCTCTTAATATGACCCAAGTAATACCCGCCCTAGCCCTATGCACATCAGATGCATATCTGACAGGAGTGCATATGCCATCTGATCTTATCGTACAGCCCGCTGACCCCCTTGCGCGGGACCTCCGGACGATCATAATCATAACGATCAGCTTCGGGCGGGTAGAAATACATACCATGGCGTCTAAGACGGCCAATTGCACGACAACCTGAAAGGCCAGCAGCTACTATTAAGTTAAGAATGCCCAGTTTAGGGCCAAGGAAGAAACCCTGAAGAAACTTGATCGGACTCGAGTTTTATACTTTGATAATGATATCACACTTGTAGCTCTTTGATCAACGGGGCATGCTCTCCGAAAGAAGGGAAAGAGGAGGTGAAGGATAGAACATACAAGCTGGACGAAGCCCTATTTATCTGTTCACGGGGTACCAGGCGGCCACAAGAGGGCTCCGTACTCTGCAAGAATAGTTTTCCTGTACAACTATATAGCACCGTTTACTCGCTGCCTCATTCTCGTGATGCTCTATATCTAGCCCCAGATCGAATTCTAGATCACTCTTTTTTATGTTTTGGATGCCGGTATACGCACTCAATCGCCAACCGGGTCCGCTGGTGCTTGTTCAGCAAACATCCCAGACTCAGTTGCAATCCCGTTCCCTCGTTTCCGGACATCTGGATTCGACAAGATATAATATCGACACTGCATATCGGGGTGTCGTTTGTGAGGCATGACGTATTACCGCTTTTGATTTTAGTTTCAGCCGGCTGCCACCCGTCTCCCGGCCGCGATCTAGAGGCTTCCGTCAAGCAACCCCATGCGGGCCGAGTCTGCGGGTATGAAAGAGAGGGGAAAGGGGAAGAGGTGTGGATGGCATGGGGCGTCAAGGGTACGGCATGTATACAGTTACATTTCTGTAGCTATTGTATATCCACCGATCAACGCACTTAAGCGTAATCTCTTTGGGTGAAGCAGGCAGAGAAACGGCTCAGATGATGTCTGAGCGCTATCACTTGCAGCGTGTGTAGAGGCTAACGCCCGAGATTTCGAGAGTGTTGGATATGTATGCGCCTGCTCGCTATGTAGCATTTTCTCGAGGGGCTGTGGGTTCAAAAAGGAGAAAACAACGCGAATGCTGCCAGGATGCAGCAAGCCCAGGCCTTAGGGGAGATGATATTGATGTGATAACCCCGATTGAAGTGTACTGGTGTACTACTTTTAGACGACCTTGCCCGGTTTCTAAGTACGAGACGAGAGTATGGTGCATAAACATGTCCGACCATTATGCCTGTCGCTGAGGTGGCTTGCATTCGATCCTACATATTCTCGTTTAGGGCTACAATGCATTTCCCTGTGCCTTAGTTTCCCATGGGAGCATCAACGAATCCCGCGGCGTACGCGAGGTTGAGGGGGATATTCACCCGATGCTTCCCATGGGACTGTTGAAGATAGGAAGGTGTTACAACATTATGGCATATTTTGGATCTGACCAGCCGGGGAGGTTGAAATATGTAGATGGTGGCTGCTTTTCAGTCCTGATCGATATCTACAAACCCGTTGCATTCGCATGGGTGTTGCATGCTGTCAACTTCATGTTATAGATCAAGTAACTATAGACCCGAGTGCGGCTCGTATACGCGAATGACAGCGGCATCTTTGCGTTCTGCAATCACGGAGTGGGCACGTAGTTCCAATCGTGTCCGATGCATGCGGATTGCATTTCCGGACAAAGGGAGGAAAAAAACTCAGGGGAAGCGGCAGGCTGTTATGGGTTCGATGTAGTTTAACGCATTTGTCTCTTTATCCTTGAGCGAAGGGGTGGGAACCCAGCCGAACGCTCATGCATCCGTTTGCACCGATCTCGGGATGCCATTGTGTGTAAACGGACAAGTACGTGAATAGAATCGGCGGGTTCCGGTTCCATAAAATGCACTTTGAATCCAAATATGCCGAAGATGAAGACCAAGTTGGACGAAGAGAAAAAACGAAATCAAGGAAAGGAGGCCAGCGAGCAGGGGAGTCACGGATAGTCAGGGGGATTCGTGCCCCCTCTCCACCCGTATGGATGTTTTTATATGCTGGCTGTTAACTAAACCTTTCTAACTTCCTTGTCGGGATAATCATGTCTCCAGCACATGTCTGGGTACCTACTTGGTGCCCATGATGCTGGAGAACACGCAAGCTCAAAATTTGCATAGACCAATTTAGCAATCATCTAGATGTGTCTGTACATCCTTACTGCGGGGAGAATGGGTGAGAGTGGTCTCAGAAATGAGAGAGGTGGATGCTAAGGCCCCTCTATGAGTTAGATCAGCTTTATCGATAACTAACTAGCTAACAATATAATAGGGTGTGGGTTTCTGATGCCACGACTCTTTGGTAGGGGCCATCTGTAGATCATGGTGTAGGGGGTCCGTGTGACCAACAGCTAAAAACGGAGAATCATCGCCAGCCAAATCGTACTATGGGCCATGGATAGGGTGCATGGATTGGACAATCCAGTGAATGTTGCGGATGCCGATGTGGATGCACAATGTTTCCAAGGGATTGTCGTTTCTTTTTCTTTTTCCCTTCATGGCTGCCCGCTTATCCCAGTCCGGAAGGCTTTCCCCCAGAATTGACATGGAGAGAAGAATCTTCCATATTGGTATTGTGGCAAATTTGTCGACTGAGACTCCCAATCGCTTCTATGGCTGCGTCCAACTGGCGCATGTATCCGATAACTGGGGTGAGACTTCGCCAAGAGCCGGGGCTATGTAGATGTATTAAGTCGATACGATGAGCGACATATGTCCCCCCATAGTCTCCGGCGGGCACCTCGATACTCCGTTCCTCCCTCTCTGTCCTCTCAGGATCTTTTGCTCTTCCTGACTAGCTTGTGACTTCAACGGGGCCCCTGCTACAGGACGAAAACTAAATACCAGGTGGATATCGATCTAGAACGTCCAGGATCATGACTATTACTTTGTCCAGCGTATAAACAAAGACCCGAGAGTGAGCATATCAATGCTGGTGGGGGGAACGAGGCAAGCTTCAGCGGCTCCGGGGAGGAGAGAGACGGATAGACATGAAAAGACCGGATAGATGGCAACCAGCCAGGAAAGGCAACTAAGAGTACTTCGGGTTGGCAATAACTGTCGATTGATGCGTGTGTGTGACTGGTGTGACTTGCATCCTGCGAAGTCCATCCTATGGAGAGAGAGAAACCTGATGAATACCTGACAGGTACTTTCAGCCAGATGTTTGCAGATTCCCGTTTCCCGTCCTCTTGGGTCCGTAAACAACCCACCCCCCAGCAATAGATATCGCGACAAGCAGTCCAAAGTATCATCCATCCATAACTAGTTACTGATCAATCTCAACTCAGCAGGACGAAGAAGCACCACCTACAGTAGCGTGGTTGGCATGCATAACTTAGTTAGCGCTGGGCGCGGGCATCAAGTACCATTCGTCATAACTGGATATGGATCTGCTGGCCTTTCCAGCATCCACTTGTCGCCTGTTTGCCTCTCTCGTTGTTGATGTTGATGTCGATGTAGTTAGCTTGTTAAGAAAGAGTAAAAAAATATATTGATTGAGAATTGACTTGACGCTGGGGCCTTCTCCCCAAAAAGGCAAAACGACGACGACCAAACTTCTCTCCCGTTTTCTACCAAACTAACTACACAACTAATCAGCTTCTCTTCTCTTCTATTAGTCTCTGACTTTGCCATGACTTGCACAACCGGCCGGATGCGTGTATATCTCGTGGCCTATGACTGTATGAAACACACAAATAGTCTTCAGGTAGAGTAGATGGCTCGTGATCCTGTTTCAAGGTATAACGGCTGACGGTTTGAGGTAGCCAGCAACAGGTATCCTGCCAGGGGCATGGAATAAGATATCAATGACGATATCGGACTGGATTCCACCATTCAATATGCGCTGGTGGTGTGGCAGAGTCGTTGACCCTTCGAATACCTATAGGCCGAATAGCTATCCTCCCCCATGATTCTTTGCTCTGGTGAAAAAGCAATTCTCCCGTCTTTCAGTGGTATTATTCTCATCCTTAGTTCCCATTTTTCAATCCCGTTTGAACAGGTGCTCTCTTTTTTCAACTCTAAAAAAGATGCTTTTCGGCCTCTCAAGTTCTTAGTTATCAACCGGCCCACCAGTAGGATCTGTGCGAGCACCATTTATTTTGCTCACACCCATGGAAGAGTCCTATATATATATAAACATCAGCTCAAGGCTCGCAGTGGTGGGCTCTTGTCTGGATCGAACGAAAATACCGATGTGAAATGTGCCTCATCCTAAACCCTGCGGCTGTTCACTTCTTGCCCCAGACTTTTGGCTTTCGCAGGGGGTGTGCGCCCATCCACCCAACCGCGCCGCAGCCTGTTCCCTGTCATTCGCTAGTCACGTAGAA